AACACTTCATCACTTCTTCACTTGTCTCCACAAGCATCCTCACCACACTCAGCATTCTCCATGAGTGCTTGCACTCATTGTACTCAGTCAAATGTCCTTCGGCTTCCTTCTTCTTCTCTTGCATCTTGGACTTCAGGCTTTTGCATTCTTCCATCATCTTCTCAATCTCACGATACTTTTCGCCATATGCCCGTTCGGCATCTTCCGCTTCCTTTTCTGCGTTGGCGACATCTTCGTACATCAACTCGCCAGAGTCCTTCTCATCTTGTTCTTGCTCCTTCAAGGCTGCCAACCATTGTTGCAACTTTGTTCCGTACCGGGTTGGGATCTTCACGACGGGACTTTCCATTGTCTCCTTGAATTCTTGGAACATTCTCTGCGTTGCTTCGGATCTCAGGACGTCGCAGTCGATCCCTGTCTCTTCGAGCATCCTTGCTCCACTTTCGTCCATCTGCATCGAGCTTAAGATTGTTGGCCATAAGCCTTCCTTTGCCAGGAGGACGTATCTCTCATCATCTTCGGCTTTCTCGACCTCTTCTTCCTTTTTCTCTTCCTCTTCCTTTTCACCTTGGACCATCTTCTCGGGCGCTTCTTCCTGGTCCTTGTCTTCTTCCTGGTCCTTGTCTTCTTTCTGGTCCTTGTCTTCCTTCTGGTCCTTGTCTTCTTTCTGGTCCTCGTCTTCCTTCTGGTCCTTGTCTTCCTTTTGGTCCTCGTCTTCCTTCTGGTCCTTGTCTTCCTTTTGGTCCTTGTCTTCCTTCTTCTCCTTTTTCTCTTCGCTCGAACTTGACTCGCTTGAAGATGACTCGCTTGCGGAATCACTGCACGACGAGTCCTTCTCCTTCTTCTTTTCTTTCTTCTCTTTCTTCTCCTCCTTTGGCTCTTCAGCCTTTTCTTCTTCTTTTGGAGCATTCTCCAGTATCTTCCTTCTCTTCTCCTCAGCTCCAATTCTCATTTCCTTTAGCTCTTCCACCTTCTCTTCCATCATTTGTTCGTGAGTCTTCTCTCCTTCCATCGTTCTCTTTTCTACCTCCTTTTCTCTTCTTCCTACTCGCTTGAGCAAGAGAACGGCTGCGGGATAAACGGTGCAGCAACCCATGCATGTCACACAACCGATCATGATACACATGACTATTCCCGGTCCTTGATCTTCTTTCTTGGCTTTCTTGGCTTCTCCCACTCCTATCAACACAGCCATCGTTACAGCTTGTATGATCTTCGCTAACCGCTCATCGTCTATTCGCCGGCCATTGCCGCTTCGGCCATTGCCGCTCGTTCTTCGCACTTGTACATTTCTTTCAACTTCTTCTTGGTCCACAAACTCTCCTACATATCCGAGGCTTGCCCCATGTACTTCCGGATCTTGTCTTTGCTTAAGCTCTTTGTTCCCAGATCAGCTGGGTTGTCCTTTCCTTTGATCGCTTTGATGATCAACCTCGGGATACTCTGGATCCATAACAGATCAACATCGAGATGACGGGCTTTCCCCAGTCCTTTCCGAGCAATCAGTTGTCTTGAACTGCTCGAATCTGAATACATTACCATTTTTGGTTCTTTTCCGAGGATTCTCGTCAACAGTGCCTTCAGAAACACTCCTTCAGAGAGTATTGACGTTGCAGCGATAGTCTCCGCTTCGCATGAGCTGAGAGCTATGCTCTTCTGCCGCTTGCTCTGAAAATGAATCAGATTTCCATTCAGCATGATCGCTCCACACGACACACTTTGCCTTGACTCTCTGTCGGCTGCCCAATCGGAATCCGTCACTATCTCCAACAGTGACTCTTGTTCATAGACATTTCTCTCGACTTCTTCATCTTTTCTCTCATTTCGCTCTTCGATGAAACTTCTTCCTGGGTAGCTCTTCTTGTGTATCAGCGACACGTCGGGTGTTCCTTTCAGATACTTCGCAGCATGCCTTAGCAGTTCCATGTCTGCTTCCGCAGGCGCTGCTAGCTTCGTTGAAAGTTTCTTCAGCACATACATCAGACCGGGCCGTTCAGGTGCTAAGTGCAACAGTATACCTACACCTTTCCTATATGTGTGGTGATCCGCTTCCGATAGCGGGTCCATTCCTCCTTTCTTCGCTTGCATTGCCCTTCCATTGTCCGCGGGGCATGGCAATTTCTTTGGATAGGAATTTTCCAACTCCAACACTTCGGTCAATCCTTCGATGTACTTGGAATTCATCGTGATCTCAACGTCTCCATCGTTCACTGCGCTGAATCCTCTCTTCAGAAAACTCATTGAGCCTTCTTGTTCTCGCAGCGGTCCTTCGACCTTGATCTTCAACTTCTTCTTTCTCAGAAACTCGATCAATCCTTGGAACTCTTTCTCAGTCGCGTACAGTTCCATGTCATCAACGTGTGACAACACAACCATTCCAGCTTTTCCCTTTTCTTGTCTCCTGTAAAACAAAGCTGGTAGTCCTTCATCGGATTTGAGTCCATACTCTTCGAGGTATCCTTTCAGCTTGTTGAACCATGCGCTTGATCCTATCCGTTGCCCTGGCAACGTGAATCCGAGTTCATAATATTTTCCGTCGACTTCGACGACAGTTGGTTCCTCTTGTTCTACCATCAAGTAAGCATCTCCAACGTCTATGCTTCCGAGGATGTGGTCGCTCGACGACACAAACATTGCTGAGAGCAACTTCACTGTGCTCGCCACTCCCGTTGGAGAGAATAGCGTTGCGATGTCCGTTGACCCCAACCATTTAAACTCGCGGGCAACTAATCGGCCACGCCGTTGCCATTCATTGTCTCGATGCCTCCAATCGTAGACAACTTTGGTTGAGAGGTACTTGTAGTTGCTCACACTCGTGCCTTCAGGTAGCTCTTTCAAGACTTTCATCTCTGTGAGTCGGCTTATCTCGTGCTCTCTTGACACAACGTCGACCTTCGTCAACTCGCCTTCGTCCAACTTCGGAGGTCCATCTTCGAACTTGTTTGACCACCTTGGCATGCTTTCCTCGAACTCTTCGTCTTCTCCGAGCTCTGAGCTTCTTTCTTCTTTAAGCTCTTCAAACTCGACTTCTAGTCCTTCAAACTCTTCCAACTCTGCCTCTTCATCATCGTGGTACTTCGGCAAATCCTTCCTGAGAAATGACGCAACTTCTTGTACACTTCTTATGGCCATTATCCTTCTTACCGTTCCTGAGGGTTCTCCTCTTTGGATCTTCTCAGGTCGTTCTTCAACTTGTCCACTTCCTTCGTCAACTCTTGGCCTTGTTGCTTCAGGTTCTTCCGCGGTTGCTCCTTCGAGCTCTCTTTTGCTTGTGCCTTCCGGTTCTTCTTCCTCGGTTTTACCTGAGGTCAAACTTGCTTCATCTCTTTTCCTTGCCGTTGCTCCTTTCCTGCTGCTTGCTTCAGAACTTCTTTGGCCTTCGCCGGAATCTTCATCATTGTCATCATTATCACTTGTTGGCGGATCAGACGCCATTGCGTCGCTTGGTCTTTCCGACGCTGTCGGGCTATACTGCGGCGTCTCCAGACCAACTGCTGAAGTTCTCGGGACTTGCACGGGCGGTCCTTCGATCGGCGCCACTTCGATTCCACTCGATGGCCTCTTCGGCTGCTTCGACCGTCCTGTCAACTGCTCTTGGCTATAGTTCCACGGCGTTCCGCATGCATTTGCCAATGTCTCCACTTCGAACGTTGGCGAACATTGTCTCATTGTCCTACTTTTGATGATTCCGCTTTGTGCGCTCACCAGATTCATGTTTGAAACCATGTCCTTTCCAACGAAGATTCCTTTCTTCCATGCTTCACCTTTCTCTTTCGCTTTCGGCAGTCTTACGGTCAAATACCAACTTGAACGGGGTCTTCCCCTGTTGAACAACAAACCTGTTCAACAAGAACGCTGCATGTCTTGGTGCCCATGGATACAGTGTAATTTCGCTTGTGATTTTCACTTTTGCTTCCTTTTCAACTCCATACACCAAAGTCTTCGATAAGTTTCTTACTGTTTGTACCCATCTTTCAACTTGCGCTCCTTGGTGTGTGTCTGGTGCCACATCTTGGATCTCTGTTTCAAGTTTCTGCATTTTTCTTATTACTTGCACTTTCTTCCTCAACGCAATCATCGCTGGTTCAGTGTCCGTTCTTAGGATCACTTTTGGCTGCATTAGCATCAGTACTCTACAAACTTCTTCTACCAGATAGTTCGTAACTTCCTTGCTCTGAACTGGAATTGCATGGACAAACTTTGTCTCTTGATCCACCATGACCAAACTTATGCACAACGCATCTTTCACATCTTTCGCATCTTCTTCGTTTCTTGTTCCCGTAAACTTGAAATCCATGCTTACCAACGATGCTTCATACTTCTTCTCTGTTGCTTTGAAATCATCTTCTCTACTTCTTGTTGCCGAACAACTCTCACACCAGTCCGCCTTTGGTAAGTGTGTCAGCTCGTGTCTCTTTCTTCTTCACTCGGTCTTTTCTCTCCATCTGGCTCTCTTGAGAACTCAACCTCAAGTCCTTTTGAGATTTCTACTAGTTCCTTCATCTTGTTTAATGCTACAGCTTCTTTCAGTCTCTGCCAAATTTGAGCTTTGCTTCCTGTCTTTCCTATCTTGAGAAACTCGCAAGCATTCCTCAACTGCTTTATCGTACTTGCTGGTGTAAGCTCAATTCCTCCGATCTTCATTCTCTCTTCCATTACTTCTCCGAGTTTCGGAAGTTGTTCTTCAACCTTCTTTCGCTCATTCTCATCGTTGTCTTCTTGTAGTTTCTTTCCTGGGTTCGAACCAGGCCCTGGAGCTTGTGCCAATTCTTCAATTCCTTTTTCAATGTCTCGTTGCAACTCTTCTTCTAACCTACCTTTCCATAGATCTTCTTGTCTTTGTGGTTCCATTTCTACATCACGCTTCTCTTCTGTCTTCTTTTCCTTGTACGGACTTCTGTACTCTCCGTAATCTTCAACGCTTCTCGGGAATCTTTCCATGATCGTGATGACCACTGAATCCTCGATCTCTGGTACTATGACCATTGTGCTCCTTTCTCTCACTCCTTGACACACTCATAAAATTCCATTTCTTCCCAGATTATCTGCTCTTCTTCATATCTGGTCCTTAGCGTTGTTCTGTACTTGAACGATTTTCCTTCATCTCTTCCAAGGCTGTACGTAGTGTTCACGTCCCAGTCAATTCTCACTGGTCGTCCGTCGGTGAGATAAAACCAACCTTCTTCGTACTTGCCATTTTTTATGTCATCCTTCAGTTCCTTCGTCAGGGTGAGTTTCCTGATTGAAATCGGTACCTCGTCTTGTCCATTCTCCATTGCCGCTCGGTAGATCCTAAGATCTGTCACCGTTGAATTTCTTGCAAACCTTATCGGGACATACGATACCGACGTTCCATTCTTCCGCTTCACTAGCTTCGTCAGGAAAGCACTGTATGCATCCTGGGGTTCGATGCCCCATCCGACTTTGTACAATTTCCCCACTGCGAACAGTGGTTGAGTCACTTGACCAAACACGGCGGTGTTCTTGACCTTAATCACTCTTCCATCGGATCTTTGGAATTCGAACGTTATGTTGGTTCTTGCTTCGGTCGTTCTGATTGCATTTCCTTGTGCATCCGTGATGACCATCTTCAGTGCTGGAAGTTCCACTTCTCCGAGGTCTTCGCTATAATAGCTTAACGGCAAGACATGGCAGTCTGCTCCACTGTCTAGCACAACTTCGATCAGGTCTTCATATCCGGGGAACCGAACCGTTCGTACTCGGTCCTCACTTGCTTCTTGGACACTTGGACTTGGGCTTGGATTCTCAATCGATTCCTGTCTGACTTCTGGTTGGTCTTCTTCTTGGGCGCTTGGACTTGGGCTTAGATTCTCAACCGATTCCTGTTTGACTTCTGGTCGGTATTCTTCATACCACATTTGGTACTCATCCAACTCGTTCAGCTCTTCATCTCCTTGACTTATGTCGAACACTTGAACTTCCTTCATCTTCACCATTCTTGCGTAGGGCTTGTATCCCCATTCTCGAAACATCTCGATCAGGTCTACGATCTCTTCATCGTCTTCTTCGTCGTCTTCCTCGATTCTTGTCATCGACCTCTCATTAATTCTTCTCACTTGCTCGCTCCCTTTGGCAGCTTGCGCAGCTCGCACTTGCGATTGCTCTTGACTTCGGTACTGACTTGGATGTGAACTGGCGCTTGACTGTGATGGTGCACTCCACACACTACTTGTCCATTCTTGATCTTGGTTCCAATCTTCTTCGCCTTCGCGCACTTGTCGCATCTTTCCTTTCGACTTTCCCCCTTTTCCGGAGTCCTTTCCTCCTCTCGCTGACGTCCAACATTCTGACGCGAAGTGACCATACTTTCCGCATTTGTAGCATTCTACACCGGATCTTGATCCTTTTCCACCTGAACCTTTTCCTTGACTTCCGTAGCCACCATTCTCCACTTGCCTCACAGACTTTCCTCGTCCTTTGCCACGGCCTTTGCCGCGACCTCTTCCTCTTCCGCCTTTTCTCTCTTTTCCTTTTCCTTTTCCTTTTCCTTTCTCGAACTTTCCTTTTCCTTTTCCTTTTCCTCCTTTTCCTCTGTCATACTTTCCTTTTCCTTTTAGACGATCGATCTCCATTGGGATCGGTCCTTGGTACTCCTTTGAGCTTGAACTCGTTCCTGGGGCCTGAACGCTCAGTGACCCCAAGATGTTCTCAGCAGACCACGTTTGGTTGCTTCTTTCGTATTGTAGCAGCTTCGTTCTCAAGTCATTGTAACTTGTCTTCTCGTTGATTCCTACCATAATGTGTTGCTTCAGATTCTGTGGGATGCCCTTCAGCAACGTTCTGATCTTTAAGTTGTCATCGTACTTCGTTGTCGATAACTTCTCGTACTCATTGACCAGCTTCTCGAACGTGAGGACATAATCCATCAGGCTAGCTCCCTTTGCCATTGCAGGGAATCCTACCAAGGCTTGGGCCATTGCCAGACTTCTAGATCTTGAGGATGGCTCGAGCTCCATTGTAAGTCGCCTCCAGACTTCAAATCCATCCATGTTGTCGATGCTTCTCAACACCTTCAACGGGCGATTCTTCAAGTAGCTGCTCAAGACGGAATACAGTTTCATTCCTCTTATCTTTCGTCCTTCATTCGCTGCATAAAATTCATCGATGTCGTCCTCAATGTCCAGTGCATCCGTTGATACTTCAGCCTTCTTCAGATCTGCTAGGAATTCATAGTCCATGAATGCTAGAAAGTTCTTAAAGGCGAAACTCCAGTCACTCCATTGAGAGACTTCTTCTTCCAGCGTTGCCGGATTGAACACTTCTGGCGGCTTCAAGATCTTTTCTCCGGTGTCAAACGGGACACCTGAGGATTGCGCCCTTGGCGCTCCTTCACCTCCCAAACTTCTCGGGGAGTTTCTCGCAGCTTGGGCAGCACCTTGGCTAGCTGCCTCAGTAAGCCTTTGCACTTCTGTCAGCTGCTGTTGCTGAGTTGCGGTTCAACTACCTAGAGCTTCTGTGGCCTGGCCAATGCCAGCCAACATTGCTTCAAAGTTTCTTTGTTGTTCCGCCATTGCTCTGACAATCTAGGCAAGTCGTCCAGACTTAAGGCTCTCTCTTCTTCACCTTCTTCTCTCTACTAATCCAACAGGGCGTAGTTAATAAACCTAACTTCTGTCTTCTTCAGTTTCAGCAAGGCGTAGTTAATGAACCTTAACTCTTGTTCTCTTGACTTCTTTCCAAATTTCCTCCGGTGGTAACGTCCACCGGAAAACGACTTCTTCCTTTGCAGGGCGTAGTTGAGAAACCTTAACTCCTGATTTCCTTTCCTTCCTTCAGCTGCTGGCCGTTGCCAACAGCTCCGCTACCATAAAAGTTTAAAGGCTAATCTCAACCTTTCTAGAACACAAGTTCTTGGCGCACTTTTACCTTCACTTGCGGCGTTCCACAAGGGGCGGTGCTTAAGCTTTATACAGTCGGGCTTAAAAAGTAAAATGTTTGTTAAACAAGCTAGTTAATTGCAAGAAGCTAGTATCCACCCAACACTGCAACGAGAGTAGAACCCTTCTAACTAGCATATTGTGGTGGGCTATGTTCCACAAACACACGACTTCCAAGCTTCTTAGGTGTATAAGGATGTGGTGGGCCTCTTTGTAACTTATGTGCTGCTTGTAGCCCTAATACCGCGTTTGGATTCTTTCGTGCACATGGAAGTGGCCAAGGATTTGCCCCAAGCGATCTGCGTTGTGGTGGCGCACCAGGTTAAGTGCTTGAAGCAGCGTGTTGATTTGGATCAATCCCAAGAAGCCCCCGGCTCAAGTGAATCTTTTTCTTGTTGTGTGTTGCTTGGGGGGCCACAGTGTCCTCGCTTCTTTCTCGGTAGCTCTGTAGCTGCTTGCCATGGTTGCAAAACTCCAAATGCATTTCTCTCGATTGTACACATGGAGAATGGCTGTGAGTTTATTTTTGCTCTATGTTACCTTGGCTTATGCGGCTCCAGGGAAGACAGCAGTGGGGGACAACCCGGGTAGGCGGACACCGCACCCGGGAGGACAGAACAATGTGCCGAACATTTTCAGTACTCCCGTCCTAGAACAGCTTGCGGCACCCATCCCGCTGATCTGCCCGGGAGACACACCTACGGCACCAACATCACACACTTGCCGCGATGCTACGGTACCAGACACACAGACTTCCACCGAACATGCCCCGCCCACGCAGACTGCACCTATGGTCACTTTTCATGTTCAAGGGGCGCTACATGCCTTGACAGCAATATGCTGGATCCACTTTTCCGGTGAGGGGCGAACACTGTCGGAGCAAGATTTCCATTCTGCACTTAGGAACACTGCACGGCAAATACCGGCGTACACTGTCCTGTCCACGATCCATGCGGTGCTGACACAACGGGGAGGGACGGATCGAGCAGAAGCCTTAGCCCAGTTCATGGAGCACATCGCCACAATACTGCAATCGGATCAACTGCCGGAGAACGCGACCAGGCGGGACGAGCTTACGGAATGCAGTAGCTGTTGGGCCGCTCTACATTTGTGCTGTTACCCACTGTGGCTGCAGGATCTCGCAAAATCCCTGAGCGCTGAGGAGAGCGATACTGGCCTATATGATGGAGTTGCACACATGGATGTCGCTGTACGGGAGACACATAGCATTGACATGAAGGGTCGCTTTTTCAGACAGCAAAAACCCAAGCCCTTGCTGCGTGCTTGCATGACAATCTCCCTCTTGTGGCATCGAGCTTTGTCTTCACCCCATGCACATCCGCCAGCCTTTCTCGAATCATGCGTCGTTTCTGAACCATACATGGGAGCGGGTCGTTACTCGCCATGGAACAGGCCGGGGTCAGCGGACACCGCTACTCTGCTTGCAGTGTGTAATGAATCCCAGACTGAGTTCATGTATGCTCACAGCTGCAAGCGTTTCCTGCACCGGAGGCAGCCGAGAACTGCGACCGATACTAAGTGCCGAAAGAGCATGCTGATTGGTTATTCGCATTGGCATTTGCATGGAAGTCTCCTGTACCCAGATGTCGCAGGTACTACACCGCCAAGGCTCACACCCGCGACGAACACCACTGCAGGACCGCTGAGAGCTGCCGACATACACGCCAGTATTTGAGTCAGACTTGCGCTCTGCTTCTGTCTAACCACCCATTTGCCCAGTCCGCACCCGCGTGCACAGCTACTCAATACAATCCGTTTCGAAGCTCTGGTTCAAAAGAGCGCTATTGTGTGTTGTGCCACCTCGGCCACTCTTGGCTACAGGGGAATCCCCCACCATGGCAGAGGAGGACGAAAGCAGCCCCGAGGGGGCGCATGAGTCAATCGATGAGGAGGACGATGACGCCGACGGCACCATGCGGGAGATCATGGAGACACCTACCTCGCGGAGATCTCGGACACGGACTAGGTCCCCTGTGGCGGAACGATCTTCCTCGGCAAAGGCCAGCGGCAGTGCTGCCAAGGCAAGCGGAGTGGGAGGCACTACCAACGACTCCAGCATGGGAGCAAAGGCCAAAACCTCGGCGACTGGCGCGGAGACGACAACGAGTGGGCCGGCAGTGCTGCCAAAGACAATGGGGGCTGCACCGTGCATGCCGGCCGGGCCTCCGCCTCCTACACCACACAACCCACCTGGGATGGGCGGAGGAGGCCGACCGCCGCTGGGAGCAGGCGGACCGCCGCCACCTACCCCGGCCAAGGGAGCCTGTGGGGTGCTGCAACAGGGGATCTACACCGTGGTCTGGGACCCCAACACCAACGTCACCTGGATGTCCCTCGATGCCTTCCCAAAAGGCAGTTTGCCGCATCAGGTTATGGTGCCACCGCCAACTCCTCCGACACAGGGTGGGCCAAGCAGGCCAGGCGATGCAAGCACTCCAGCTGCGTGGGACTGACCAGCATGGGCCGATGCTCCTTACTCCTTGCTTTCCTGTACCGTGCCAGCTGGAGCCAAGAGAGCGACAGTGGGCTGCCTCACAGGGATTGAGCACCTCCGTGTCAAAACAAGTCAACAGATTGCAGATCAGTCTCACGACACTTTGCTATACCATGCAACTACACACTCGCCAGTGCGCGCGCAGGAAGATATCAAATCATCAGTCCCGACCTTGGTGGCCGCCGCCATACACAGAGACAGTCATTGCGGCTGTACCTCAGTGTGCACCCTTGATTACTCAGGCTGGGGATGTGCGGCCCACCGCGCCCCGGAGCCGGACTCCACGATGGATAAGAACAGGCACGCCACGCCTGCTCACATGTGTGCCCAGTTGCCTGCCAGAGATCGCAATTCTCCAAGTTCAGACAGCATACCACCGGACCCTCTGCAGATTCTACTCAAGCCGGCCCATCCCTGTGATAGCTTCACGCGTGTCAATGGGGAAATCGCCTGCTGCAAAGGCACGTTCAGCGACGAGGCCACCTACGAGGTTTCGCAGCCCGGCACGGACACCTGCCTGGGAATACCCCGAGCCGATCGAGGAGTGGCAGCCGCTGCCATATGAGGAGCTCCGACAATGGTACCAAAACCACTGGGATCGGCGACAGAACAGGACACCATGGAAGCCCCGCACACAGACCTCCTACGGCAAATCATCCAGCTCGAGCAGTACGTGGAGACGAGTGCCGCCTCAGCCACCCATGCCTAAGAGACGGGGGGCGGGCCACTACGAGAAGGACCTGGAGGGCGACGTAGGTCAGCCCGTTGGCAACCCGGACTCGGAGCCCAAGGTGGCAGATCCCCAACGAGCAGAGCCAGAAGCATCGTCATCCTCGACACCCGGGAGCAAGGAGGTTTCCGTGAAGGTGGACCCGGCACCAAGCAAGGAGATGGAGATGGGCGAAGAGGAGAGTGACCTTCTCGTGGACAAGATGATTCAACTTGCGAAGACTACGACAACACGTTTTGGGGTCACCAGCGAACAGCTGCTGGATGCCATGCAGATGACCTGGCTCCCAGCACTGGAGCAAAAGCTTTGGCGGACTACGGAGACGTGCCTCTTGTGCTCACACAGTCCTGGCAACCTGCGGGAATGGCAGCGGCATTTGCTCACCAAATCCCACTCCCGGATCGCCAATGAGGCAAAGATGACGTGGTACCACCTCTACTTGGTCATGAGCATACACGATGATAGAATGCACCCCGGTCTCTCTATATCCATCGCTTTTGATGTAAGTGCATCTTTTACAAAACGTTGTGTGTGCCGTGCACCCTCGCCCATATCACCATCAGGAGCCGCCGAACAGGGAAATCAGCATCGCACGCCAGTTCGAATGAGCCCAGCCTTGTGTCACAGAATGCAGCTCTGCTTTTCGAGCAGCTGGTTGAAGACCTTCATAGGGCGCAATGACGCCCAGTTTCGGGTATTGAATATGTGCATTGCCCTTACCCGATGCACCTATTGCAGCGGAGGGGGAGCAAGAGGGGGGCGTGCCCGCCGAATGCCTGAGGTACCTGGTACACCAGACCTCCCCACCGTACATCCGTTATCGATGCTGAACCCTGCGTGCTTGGATAAACAGCCTTGCCATAACCAAGGGGGGCCCAGAATGCACAATGACAACCATGACTTCCAGCCACGAGTAGCTCCTAGTCCTGACAGGTCTCGATGGAGAACGCACCGATGGAAAATACGGACATGGCATCGCAGGCCGAGGGCAAGCAGTCCCTTCTTGCCATTGCTTATGTGCTTTTGGTCCCATACCTGTCGATGGATGCATTCCCATGGCTCACTCGTGAGGTCATTATGCTCACACGCCTTCAAGGCCACCCTCCAACCTGTCTGGAGCGACACCGTAGCATCCTTCCTACATACCAGCACGGAATCCCCACTTGCAGGAAACAACACTTTTTCTCGACCTTTTCGATGTTCATTCCTTGAGCTTGTCCGGTCCCAAGTCCGGACGACGTGTCAAGTGTGACGCGTCGGGGGTGAGGGTTGCGACAGATGCCCCACTGTCGCGGGAGCCTGTTCACAGACTCCAATATGAGCGCTTCCGGGCGAAGCCAGGGGCCAGACACCAACTTCAAGCGAGCGACTCAGATTTTTCCACATTGTTCCAGAGGGCAATGTTGAGGAGAGCTGTCAGCACATTACCAGTAATGGGCATTGTGTACAGGTGTCAACAAATGGGAGTAGCGGCCACCGCTGTCCCTCAACATGGAGATGGCACGACCCATGGGTGGACTGCCAAGCGAGCTTATCGGAGAGCCAGGCACAGAGCCGGCATTTCTGGAGGAACATGGTACAAAGGAAGATGGCATACTGCCCAGTCCCTAGGAGCCATCGCCACCACACCGATGACACCGAAAACGCGAACCAGTCCAACGCGCTCACCCCAGAGCTTGTCCAATCGGCTACGCATTTGTTCGCACAATGTTGGCATGCTTTCAACAGATGCACACGATGAATTGATGTCCTGGTTGCAAATGAAACAACACCAGTACGATGTGATTTGCATTCAAGAAACGGGGTGGTCCCTGGAACACATATACGTGAATGGACCATGGTACGTGGTTAGCTCGGGACACTCGACAGATAGGAATAGCGGCGTTATGGTGCTCATCGCTCGCAGACTTCTTCCATCTGATCGTATCCGTTATGCGGCCATCATCCCGGGCAGAATTCTACACGTCAAACTGGAGTTCTCCAATCACCATGTTGATGTTTTAAATGTATACCAACACCCCTGGAATACTGCGGCCACCGCGTCCAGAGTTCTTCATCAACGAGACCAAATTTGGACCAAATTGAATCATGCCATTGGGCAAATGGCGATGCGAAACACACTTCTTATCTGCGGAGATTTTAACACGCCCTTAAGCATGTCTCCAGGCAGAGCGGGCTCGGGTATCCTTCAGAAACCTTCGCCACCGCCGGATACGTCAACTTTTGATGCCATACTGGAAACACACAACCTCGTGGCCTTGAATACGTGGGGAGATCCAGAGAAATCCAGAACTTTTTATTCGGATATTGCGGAATCCCAGATTGACTTTGTCATCACCAGACGAAGAGCAGCTGATCCACGCTCGAGAACTTTGTGGCCTGACCCAAAAATCAAGCTTTTTGAGTGGCGGGGAGGAGGCAGGCATCTGTGCCTACAGGGCTCTATCCCGTGCAAAGTTTACCAACCGGCCCCCCCAGCCAAACATTCGTATGCGCGACAAGACCTTTTGCATGCCGCGCAGCACAAGTTACCAGCGTTCCAGAGTTTTGAGCATGCGGTCACCAAATCCCTCAGTACAATGCAGAATCCTTCGCCGGAGGCACTGAATGACATGCTGTTAGTGCGTTGCAAAGAATTCTTTCCGGTGGAGCAAGACGACAGACGTAAGCCGTGGCAGATGACGGAATCCAAGGTAACAGTTGCGCAAATGTGGCGAGAAAGAAGAGCGGCGCGCAAACAGGCCACATGGTATCAGATGACTGACCACATGCAGTATCTTTTTAGGGCCTGGCGTCACCAATGTCGTTTCCAGCAGTTGCACTCCAAGTTCAGGAAAGATGGTCGAAGAAGGCGCAGGGACCTCTACTTGGACCAAATCCAACTTGCGGAGGAAGCCGCGACAAAAGGGGACCAGAAAGGACTGTACGCTGTGATTCGCAGACTTGCGCCCAAGCAGGAAAGACGACGCGTGCAGCTACGCGGAGATGACCACAATGTGCTCACCAACGAGCAGGAGCTTTCATCTCTATCCACTTTTTGCCAAGAGTTGTTTTTGTCCAAGGCCGCAGATGTGCCCCTTCCATACAAAGATCCGCTGATACGATTGGAGGAACACGAATTGCGATGCACATTGCAGCTACTTAAGCCAGGCTGCACCTGCGCACCTCGCCCCAGCAGCTGTCTGGAAGTATTTGTCACATCTTTTGGCAGGCCCGCTACTGCAGGCATACCGACGAAACCTGGAGCAAGGTCTCATACCGACCTTATGGACGGGAGCATGGATTGTGTGGTTGCCAAAGCCATCCAAACCACCCTGTACCCCGGGGAACCTACGGCCAATCGCCTTGCAGGACTGTGGAGGCAAATGCATAGCCAAGGCTCTGCAGATTCGCGCTGCACCATGGGTGCAATCTGTCATCCACTACCAACCACAATACGCGTACTCCCCAGGACGACTCCTGGAGGCTGCCATACTACGTGCTGTTCACCATTGCCGCAGCGTCAAACAACTCTTGCTTGATCAAGACGGTGGGCTACGGGCCAGGCGCCAGGGTAAAAAGAGAGGGAATTGCACTGGAGGAGCAACACTTGCCCTGGATATGAGCCAGGCTTTCGATAGAGTGGACAGAACCAAACTCAGCGAGGCACTTTGCCGCACAGGAATGCCAGCTGAGCTGATCAATACGATCATTCAATGGCACAATACCATCCAGTATCATCTACAGGTGGCCGACCTCACGGAGACCGTGCATTGTGGAAGAGGACTGAGGCAGGGTTGTACACTATCCCCCACATTATGGGTGGCCATCACAAGCCACGTAATGTCAATGATTGGGCAACATGTGCCGGAGGAGTGGGTTCGAGATCAATTGACTCTCTTCGCAGATGATGTTCTTGGGCAATGGACGTTTCATTCCGAACGGGACTTAACTTTTATGCTGCAATGCATGGATGCCATTTTCAACGTGTTGGAAGCATTTGGCATGAAGGTGAATGTCCAGAAATCGTCGCTCCTCATTCAAGTCAAGGGTCGAGTGGCAGCGGAATGGTTAAAGGCGCGGACGCGAACGGTGAAGGGGGTCAAGACATTTGTCACGGCAACACCCCAGGGCAGAATTCTGTCTATCCCAATCGTGCAACAGACCAAGTACCTCGGCATCATGCTAAGCTACCACAATCCAGCGAAACACACAGTTGCTTATCGACTGAGACAAGCAGAAGCGCAACGTCGGCGACTACAAAAAGTCCTACAAGGGAAGCATGTTCTGTCGATTAAACAGCGTGTCCAGCTATGGAAGGCGTGTATCTGGACTTCTCTACAACATGGTTTGAACGCTGTGGGAGTTGGATGGGAGGAGCTTAGGCTGATCCGTTCATGCTGTGCAAGGCAACTCCGTGCGATTTCGTCCAGCCCAGTCCACATAACACATGAGAGCACGGAGGCACGTTTTAAACGCCTTGGTTTTGAGGAGCCGCACCTTTTGTTACAAAAGCGGATGCATACACTTTCCACCACTTTGACGAACAGCACAGACCCAATGATGAACATGACTGCGCTCATCAATACGGTTCAACAGAACCAGTTGCAACTTGAGCAGGCCATTCGACATTGGCAGAATTTCAAGATTCGACAAACACCTGATGCCACACCAGACCAGGGTACACTACTACTCCCTGGAGAGGGCGGGATGTGGCTGCAACCTGTCGCTACATCCAAAGGTGTTTTGCCCGCTCAGTTCATGCGTCCTCAATGCCTCCTGTTCTTTGTGGATATGAGAATGCTGAAGAAGCACCATGTCGAGTCGCACGGCATCCCCCTTGAACCACTCCTCCGCAACTTTGACCGTTTTCTGCACAGCAAAGATGACATGCCCACATGTCGACACTGTGAACATGAATTCCAAACATGGCAGGCGCTACAAGGTCACATCTTGGACAATCACTGTTCTACTTTTTGGCTGAAATGCCAGGACCCGCAACGTGAGATTGAGGACACCTCGTCTCCGGGCCACCCGACCTTCGAACAAACACAGGCGGGAGATTGGAACAGGACCAACAGAGCGGACCCTGTAGCGTACCATGAAGACCTGCGCACTTTCCTGGGAACACATGGATGGCCTGCTATTGTACAGCTCAGGTCCATTTGCATGCACTTGAGGTCGCATTGTGCAATTTGTGATCAGTGGACACATCCATGGAAATTGAAGTTGCATTATAGAGGCAGCCACTCCACTATCTGGCAAGACTATGGCATTATGGTTGACCAGGACTGCTCACTGGTTCGAAGGCAAGCTGTGACACCTTGTCGCTTCTGTGGAGCGCAAGTCCGTAATGCGGTCTCGCACACATCTAAATGCCCTACTATTTGGCAGGTTTGCTTGCTGATGCGTTTATGGCACGATGAACAAACTATGCGGCCTCTTGACGCGCAGCAACACCGACGACACGTGCTACGGCTTGCCAGAGAGCGCCAACGCCGACAATCGAAGGCGCGTAAGATGCAATTATTGGCGGCAAAAGAGCCTCTGTTAAATCCACCAGTGAGCAGTGACTTCTTTCCGCATACACCCGAGCTTGAATCAGCCCTGGTCCTAAGCGCAAACTGGATGCATGTGCTGGAGGACGTCTCGTGGTGTGAACAAGCTCGACACCAATGTGTTCAATGCAAAGTGCCCACTGCAGACGTGCGTGAGTTCATGCAACATTGCGCTTTTGCACATGAAGGGTTCTGGCAACACCGACCTGATTATGTTCACAATAGCATTTTGCTCAATCAAGCTGCGACACCTTGCTGCTGGTGCCACGCTACGACGCACAGGCCAACATTACATTCACAATATTGCATGCCAGTGTTGAACGCGGCCCTGCTGCATTATACGTCTGTTCATCTCTTGCTTGAGGATGGAATCCACACCGATGGACGAACTCAAGACCATGTACGGCGAAATGCTGCCGTCCTTGAGCAGCACCGCATGCACTCCGGAGACCACACCGTCGAGGTCAACAGGAAAGAGATCGGCGTCTCCGACACATCAACAAAGCCACAAAGGACAGGGCCGGAAGAGTACAAAGGGACGAGGAAGGGGACGCGGAGCACCGCACCCGAAAACGTCTCTCTTTCGGGAGACCTCAAGCCTCATGGACGACACGTATCACCTGGAGAAGGACATGGTCAAGGAGCTGGTACGCCTGTCTCTGAGGCACGAGCAACAGTTGATGCGATTGGGCCAAGACACTGTTTTACTGTTCACGTTCCAGAACAGGCCAGGCGAGAAGGAAAACATCCTGCCCGCGTTGTTCAAGATAAGCCAGGCCTGGAAGCAGAAAATGGAGAGCGAGACCAAGCCAACAATGTCCTTGCGGGTCACGGTGGTGCAGTGCCTCTGTGCGGAGCTCCTCGACCGCGTCAAGAAGGTGACTACCACGGAGGCGTTCAAAGCAGTGGTGGTGCGGCAGCAATGGCTAACACCGGAGGGACACTGGAACTTCCTACGCTGGAATGCCGAGACGGAGCAGCTGGACAAGATCGAGGGACAGGGCATCACGCAAGAGGAGTTGGAAAAGTTGATCGAAACCATCCAACAGAGTTGCATGCTGCCTGGAGCCCTCTACAGATTTCAGGCGACCAGAAGGCTGGCAGCGGAACTGGCGGGACACCAACTGACCTTCGTAGCGGAGGTGGGGCTGAGGCAGCCTGGGGCACAAACACTGTACCAGTCTCTCGCCAGGATCCAAGGGGTAGCGGCATTGCAGCTAGTGGGTCTACGTGTTCATCACCCGCGACTCCAGATGTCACCGCTGGCGGACACCCTCAGCCGATATCTCAAGTGGTCACTACCTTGGCGTTGCGTAATCCCACCAACCTTTGTTATCTGAATTCCGTTGTCAGTGCATGGTTGTGGCTTGCGGCGAAAACTCAAGGTGAATCGAGTACACTCTTTGGACGAGCTTCCGCAGCTTTTCAACGTATCCTGGCATCAAATAGCACATCACCATATATAGCCGGCATGCTTGCATGGCGCCACATACTCTTGACATGGCCCCAACTACACCAACAAAACGATGCTCATGAATTCTGGATATATCTCCAGGATTTTGCCAGAGCGCCTGTCTTCGAAGGAGTTTGGGAGGCGAGGACGGCAATTGAGGGCCCCGGAAGATACATCCGAGAGCTTCAGGGCACACTCTCTGCAGGAATAACTGTTCCTTTGCCACAACGAACAACGGACCTGGATTCCTGTCTTGCAGCTTGGTGTAGACAGCCCTTCATACATGCCCTGGTGCAGGCGCCTCTTTGGTTATGCATACACTTGCCGAGATATGTTGAGCAGGCCGGAAGGATTCGCAAAAACAGGGTCTGTGTTCGCATTGATCCAGGGAACATCACATATGTACCTGTATTTTGCAGAGATGGTACCACGGTGCAATGGATGCCGTACCGAATCCTTGCAGGTATCACTCATGCAGGGCGCGACACCAAATGTGGTCACTACCGGGCCTTCTTAAGTGATGCACCGCTGAGCACCAACACCTGGTTTACCGACGACGGCCAACCAGCAAAAAGCTGCACAGATGACCTTCTGCACCACATTCACCATGAATGCTACATGTGTTTCCTTACACGCATGTGAGGGTAATCATGCAGACAATGCCAGCATATGTGGTCGAGGGCACCTCCCACAACTGCAGGTACTTACATTTACTTCCGCTACAACATGAGTTCGCGAAGCACACCTGATCTGCTTTTTCACACCACATTTCTGAACAATGTGTAGGCTGTACAGCTTTAATCTGATGGACTGCGAGGTTTAAGGACCGGGTCAACTGCTCGTTTTCTGACCTGCTTGCATCTCGATGCGGGGTCTATCCCTCACCGAACATGTACATCAGAGGATTTTACTTCTCACCTGCCATCACGATTGGCCGCATGCTCTTGGCATGTGCTTTTCTGTACATTGTGTCGCGCTAGGCTTCCTTACCCGAAGCTGCGTATGCAAATGCAAAAAAATGATCAATCCCAAGCAATTTAACAGTCTCCGTAACACATACTTTTCAATTGTTCTTTGTCACACTTGCAGCGCCTGCCTCAATCAGATTCTGCATCAAGTACCCAAGCTCAACGTGTTTTGTGTGCCTGGCCCAAAAATCAGGTACTTGAGAATCAGCTCAAATAAAAAGTCCGGAATTATGGTGGCGCGACAATCTATGCTGTAAGCCTATCATTTATTAAGCTTGATTATCAACGTCGGCTACGACTTTATAGGTCATGCAAGTGCAAGCGCAGTTCAAGGCAAGCGTCCTTTGTTCAAGCAGGCAAAAGAAATAGTTCTGCCAGTGGGTTGACTTTGGTTTACACTCCGCAAAATTCTGGTTCTTCTTGTAAAGTTGGGAATTTTCTTTGAATGTCGTTGATCAACAGAATGTCACAATCACATAGATTGATTCTTTCAAGTTTTCCCAGTATTTTATTTTCTCCTTTTGGATTTTTCGATTTTCCGTTAGGTAAATTGCAATCTTGGAAGTGCCTTTTGGGAATTTGTCTTTTGTTGCATTCTCTGCTGTGATTGCAGTCACGAGAGCATTCCTTTGGGCATTGCGCATCTCCGAAGCCTTATTGCTGCTATGGACAACGCTGCAATTAAGAACAGTTGCGGCATTGTGGTCCAAGGTGTTGGAATTAAGCTTAGAAAGACGGCCAACCTTAAGCGATTGGTCGCTGGCCATTGGTCAATTCGGACCGGAAGCCCTGCTCTGGACCTTGTTGGCTTCCATTGGTGAGTGCCCTTCCCCTTGAGAAGAAGATTACATTGTCGCTGGACACCCGCAAGAGACTGGTGCATTGGCCCTGGCGGAATTGTTGACGCGTCTCGAGATTATGATTGATCGTGTCACGTCCGCCTTGGTGGCCCGGACCCGCCAGATTCCGCAACTGGCATTGGATCCGCTGCGTGTCCTGAATTGCCGATTTGCAACGGCATTGGTGCAGCATGAGCTTAAAGGTCAAGATGATCATTGAGCGTTGCGCGGCAACCATTGGTGAAGCTCACATGGACTGGATAAAGGCATTGGTTCAGCAGACGACCATTGTGAAGACATTGGGAGCTGGGCGCTATGACGACACATTGTCCAACTTGTGGGCAATTGTCTGCCTGCCTTTGAGTCTGATCAGGACATTGGTGGGCATTGATGGCGATGACGCAGATGGAGTCATTGAGATGGACTGGGATTGCCTCCCATGCCGCCAGATCAACATCGCCTTCTCCATTGAAGGAGCAGTGGCGAAACTTGCCCATTGGGTAAGGCAGACCCACTTGGAGGCCCATTGGTCCGAGGCCGCTGCATTGGTCTTTTTCAGGCCAACGAAGGCCTTTATGGCCCCGATTGCGAAAAACCCCAGCTTCATCGGGGGCTTAAGCAATTGGCGTAACCAATCGTATGTGCCCGCCGCGACGCTTATGGTGGCAAGCGACTTTTCATTGTCGCCATTGCAGCGGGACCTGGCTTTTGTGGTGGAATTGGGCTCCACGGTATTGGATCTTGCGTGGGCGATTCACCAGGATGCCATTGCGAACCCGATTGGCTTTCAGATGGGCTTCACGCGGTCCATTGCCTACCCCAAGGCATTGAGGGATGTCTTTTCAATGTGCGGCATTGACGAGGATATGAATGAAGTGGAGATTGGCGGCAGTGCCAACCGCACATTGGAGCATCGTGGTTCGGTGCCCGACGCATTGCCATCCAGTGGCACGACCATTGTGGTTCCGAACGGAAGCCACGTCACCATCGGCTAGGCGATGGATTGCCGGAGTGCAACAATTTTGATGAGCTGCTGATTGGCATTCGACGTCGTTTGCTGTGGTTCAGGATCTCAGAATTGCCTCGAGCAATATATTGACTGGAATTGGCAGAATCGGTGGCTGACTCCTTCAGCTGTGGTGCATTGCCACTCGTCACGACGTGATGTTGCTTCCATGTGGCATTGTACAGTCTTTTGAGCCGGATTCTTGCAGATTTACATTGCAGTTCCGATGTGCAAAAAGGATTTGAGCCTGAGCAGTTGAGTCGTGTCCTATTGTTGCTTCTTTTGAATGAATGATGTTGATATATTTTGGATGGAGTTTGAATTGTTTCGAGAATCTGACCTGATGCGAATTTCCTCTCCACGTGGGAGGAAGAGGAGCCAACTGAGAGGTCCATGGTGATGCCGGAGGCGATGATCAGAGCAGCTGTCACAGTTTCTTTGATGTGGGGTTGGCCGCTTTTCGCTGCTACTTTACTGCTGGGTTTTCATGGCCTCCTCAGGCCAGGCGAGTTTCTGTACTTGACCAGGGAAGAGCTGATCCTGCCCAGGGACTTGCTCACCTCGACCCAGCTGGCATTTGTACGCATTACGGACGGCAAGACTCGGCGCTTTATGCGTCGGCAACATGCTCGCATCTCTGATCACAAGACGGTAATGTTTCTGGATGCGCTTTTCGGGCATCTACCTCCCGGCGCTTCCCTCTTCAACTGCTCACGTGAAGTGCATCGTACCCGTTGGAATGCCGTCTTCTCCCACCTGCATGTGGCCACCTCTGAAGCTGATAAGGGTGTCATTCCGAAAACTTTGCGAGGCTCAGGAGCGACATGGCTCTATCAAAGAACAGAAGACGTTGAAAAGATTCAGTGGCGTGGCCGGTGGCAACAACGCAAGACGCTTGAGTATTACCTACAGGACGTGGCCGGGCAATTATTGCTCGCAAAGCTGACACAGAGTCAGCGGCTCCAGGTCATGCGCCTGGCCTCTTTCTCTGAAGCTGTTCTTGACTGCTTTCTGAAAGCCCCTAGGGCTCGCTGTTCTGGCTCTGCTAGCGGCGACAGCTACGTAACATGATTGGAATGGAGCTCCAGTGTTTGAAGATGGGCCTGAGAGCCTACCTCCTGCTCCTTTCGACGTTTGTGCAGTCTGCCAAGTTCGGCGATCATGCAAAGCAGCTCGCCTGCGCACTCGGGATACTTGTTAGCTCGCCTGCGCACTCGGGATACTTGTTAGCAGCAGAGCGAAAGTGACGAGCCATCTTTGGCTTGCTAAAGATTGTGAAGAAGCGATGCCTGTTGCTTGTAGCTTTTGGGGCCCACCCAGCCCGCCCGGAATGGAGCTCCAGTGTTTGAAGATGGGCCTGAGAGCCTACCTCCTGCTCCTTTCGACGTTTGTGCAGTCTGCCAAGTTCGGCGATCATGCAAAGCAGCTCGCCTGCGCACTCGGGATACTTGTTAGCAGCAGAGCAAAAGTGACGAGCCATCTTTGTCATGGTTCGCCTTTGTAGTAAACCTGGCTGTGGTAGCCCTGGCCTTCGGCAGGTAAGAAGTATAAGGAATCGGAGTGAAGTCGCCTTGTGGGGCTATAAGTTCAGCCTGAAAGGCTTTGACGAGATGCAGAGCACAGTCGCGGGCAGGAGGAAAATCACGGAAATACTGCATGAAGGTGCCATCATGATTAGCTGCATACTGTCGGCAGATTTTGAGGGAAACCTGCGAGGGCTCACAATAGAATTCTGCGCCTGCGGATCAAAAGTATTGAGGAGAGTCCTGAGTGCAGGGTGCACTTCTCTGGCATTTTGGAGAGAAGCTGATGACGCTCCATTGAGTCTTTCTCTCTCTCTCTCTCTCTCTCTCTCTCTCTCTCTCTCTCTCTCTCTCTCTCTCTCGTGGAGTTGACAGCAATGATCGAAGGGAGTTGTGCGCAAAGGCTGCGTGCAAGGCGTTTGGATAAAAGCTGTCGCCAACAATGGATGCCAGGCACATTTCATTCACAAAGGAAAGGACTTCGGTGAGCCAGTGCTCAGGTTCGGCATCACGCAGCATGTCTTTACAATGGGCAACCCTAAACCGGGGCACACCATCATTGCCACGCAAAAGTGCATTGTCAGCACTTCGTAAGCCAAAAGCTTGTTCTGCATGGCGATCGAGGTATGTACTCTTCTGTTGGATATTTTGAAAAGTGAGGTCTTGGACAGCACGAAAGAAAGCCTCAGCAGCAAATTCCGAGACGAGACAAGACTCCGTCCTGAGAACCAAGGGTCTGGTCTTGCCTCAGTGCGCCTATCCAATTGAACCTTGTAAAGAAATGCCTGTTGCGTTCAACCTATCCGAAAGTTGAGCCCGTCAATAATGAACATGACAGCGTTGTTCTGGGATTTCAAAGATGCACCGAATGAAATTCTTGTGCAAGAGTGTCGTATACCTGGCATTTTCCAACACAACATGGAACACAGGCAAGCAATCCCGAGCAATCCCGCGTCGAAGTTTCCTATGGCCAGAAGGATAGCATAGATGGTTAAAATATGTTGTGATCTATCTCGAACAAGTCCTAAGAGACCAAAGCTGGAGCCAGCACATGTCGAGTCCTGAGGAGTGCCAGCGGGTATGAGAATGGCTGCAGTTTGTGGGTTAACATTAGCGAAAGAATACCAACGTTTTCCTTAAGAGCAGTCAGAGGCAGTCATCTTGCAGGAGTTGCCATACATCGCGAATGGCAAGTGAAGAAACTCCAAGTGCATGTTGCGCCCATTGTCCGTTCTTAGCGTAGTCTCTGACACAGAATGGCATGCAGGACAGCATCTTGTTCGGCTGAAGTCGCTGCAACAGGCTGCTGCAGCATCGCATCTACAACAATAGAACGAGAAGTGCCACATCCATCAAGGAGGTTAAGATGACACAGTGATCAATCTGAAGCTTTTGTTTGATGCCCACATCTTGTGGCACACTGCGTGTGTCTTTTTTAGTGTCGTGTGCTTTCGTTTTCGACAGTCCTTTCGAGAGTCAGGTCACTAAGTCACTAGGCTTTGGCCTCTTCACGTTGGGGCTGCAGTCGCCATCCCCACCTTAAGCTTTATGCGCATTGCCACCTCTGGAACGACGTGTGGCTCTTCAATGTTGCAAGAGCGGCTACTCCTAGATGGTTTTGCAGTGACACAATGGTATTAGAAGGTTTGGCGTCTGGTGCCCGACTATCACCTTGGTGGATTCTGCATTGTTAGGGCCCGCAGAGTGCTGTGCATAAAGTAAAGGCTTTGTTGATATGTTTTTACACGTTGCGACGTTTTCGGGACACATGCACCAGAGCCAATACCTTCTGCAGTGACTCCTTTAGCACCTTCACTGGGAATCTCGTTTCTTGAAACCGGTGGCATGGGCACATCGTCATCAACTTGAGTAGGCGGGTAGGGAAGGGGTTGTGGTACCTCTTTCGTATCTTGCTGCACAGTTTGAGGGGTTGCATGATGGGCAATGCTTTGCGGCAGAGTGCTTATAAGCGTCTGCGAGGGATAGTGATTTTTGACCTGCGCACGCCCTGTACGGATTGCCTCAACGACAAGGTTCTTGTTCCTTACGAGTTGCTGCCAGCAGTCAATGTGCTGGACTCCACCTACGGAGTCGAAGAGAAAGAAAACATCTCCTAGACTGTTCTTTTGATGATGTGCAACAATGTCATGTTTGGCTTGTGTGTCGAGCAGAACAACTGCCAGGATGACGAAAGGGTGTTCAACAATATCAACAGTGGTTCCCACAAAATTTGCAAGGCCTGTGGAGCTTCAACATACCCTTTCAAACACAACCTGTTTAGGTTGTTGTATGAGGAAGCATAGATTGCTGGGAATCTGCATATCATCAATGTCGCATACTTCCTTTCTTGGCCTGAGGCTTTCTTCGGAATGCGCAATGGAGAGAGTTGCATATTCTCCAAAGGAGGAGAGAAGCTTGTTGGCAAGTTCCCCATCCTCTTCTTGCGGAAAGGGGGGGGGGCTTGCAACAACAGGCAGCGGTTGAAGACAATCTCCACACTTGCATTTGATACGGAAAAGGATACAAAAACGATTGGTTTTCGTTTGTGCCAAACATGATGACTACATCCATGGACAAACATGTAAATCTACGTATATTTCTTCGCAGACAGTGCCAAATACGTTGATTTGCAAAACTGTTCGTGTTTTTCAAAAAAAGAAAGCACCGAAGTCCCACATTAAATTTCCCCAAATTGTTCTCGTATGCCATCTCCCCATCCCCATCCCCATCCCCATCCCCATCCTATTTCATGCATGTAGGTTGGTTCAGAGACCGCCAGGGAATGGTGTCGCGCTGTGATTGCCTGCTTCCATAACGATAATTTTTGTGCACCTAGTGTCGTATCTGATTTGTAGTCTCAGTTGGCCCAAGTTATATTTTTGGCCGCAGCTGCCGGTTCAGCTTTGGTGTGTGCGAGATGGAAGCTGCAAAGCAGCTTGCCGTGTTCGTCACCCAGCGTTCTTTCGAACAGCAGTCGGCTCCTCACACAGTGATTTCTTCTGCGTGCGATCGTGCCAAGGTCGTGATGACAGTGTCGTCGCCCGGTTCAGCGGCCAAGGTTCAGTGGGATGTAGCAGCTGAGGGTTCAGCCTTTTGCATGTGTGCCGCCGCGGCGCCAAATTTGGATTCCTGAAAAATCGGCTGGCTTGTTGCACTTTGAGGACGTGTATCAGTTGAATCAGTTGCAGCTTACGTGTGGCAAGCTGTTAGGTCCACCCGCCTTCCTATCAATGTACAGGTCATTGGTGGAGGTTCACAAACTATGTCGCCGACGATGGCGGGCAACGCGCCCCCGAATGCAGTCACGAACTCATCAACAAGTCACTCAAGTAGGCTTTTAGCTGTGATTGCACATTCAACATGCATGAGACAGTCTATTGACCATGCAATGTCGGCGGTTGTTTGGTTCAAAGGGGGCCTTGTGCCTGAACTTCACTGTTTGGCTACCCGAGCACGTTTTCCGCGGAAGCGTGCCAGCCATCATGCACGTGCCTGCAGCAGCAGCCGCTGCCGGCACGGCCTACACAGGCAAATGGCTCTTCGACTACAACCGCGCGAACTTTCAGTATGACGTTCCCCAGCGCTTTGGGCGTTTCATGACATCTCGTGGGATGCTGAACGCACAAGTGGGCCAGTACCGCCAGGACGTCCACGGAATCGCAGAGTTGACAGCGTCCAAGATGGACACCGTTCAAGCCATGATGACCCTGGTGCTTTGTGTTTGCGCTGCTCTCTCGGATGCGGGACGCATTGGGATGCATGGCTGCGCTCCTCCCCAGTGGCTTTGCGGACTTTACTCAGGCCACAACAGTTAGGGGCTATCAAGAAGTGGCCAAATGTTTAATTCGCTGACCTAGACATTGCAGTTATTCAGGCCACATCTACACATCGATCTTGTACTGCGGTACCGCGCTTTGGCTTGGCATGCATGGATCACTCCGTGCCCAGCAGCTTGGATGCACTCGTTGAAGTGATTCAGCTGACATTCCTACAAGATCCTACAAGTATGTGGCGTATTTGGGGACCAAGGTGTGCCATGACGTCCTTGCTCACGCGAAAGGTCAGGCTGCCAATTCCGTCGATGGCGCAGCTTGATGCTGCCCGATCGTTTGGTTCCGCCTTTGAGCAGCAGAAGTTCGGCGATATTTTCCGAGCCGCGGCCTTAGTATGGAGAGCTGTTCTCCGGTATATGCAGGTGCAGGTGTGATTGTTTGCAGATGTGCCATTTTTGTTTAGTGATCGTGCGTGCATGACGTGCGCAGTCGGCTTGAATCTGCATGAAGGAACTGAATGCCAGAAGCATGCTGTGAGGTTCCATTCATGCGCCATCCAGAAGATGCCCCAGAACTTCCGGCTGCTGATCCTGGCGACTCTGGGGAGGTCCAGCCACGCTTTCTTCAGTCGATCCGTGCAAGGTATCTGGTACCACTATCAAGAGAGGGGTGAGGTTGCAAGTTTACAAGCTGATCATTGCACAGGAGGACGAGGAGACGAAGGAGAAAGGGGGCAAGGATGGCAAGAAGTCTGGAAAGAAGAAGGCATCAAAGGTGCATGACTGAGTGTCGTTTCGGCATCATGAAGCGGTAGACTTGCGCATTTATTGCTGCCAGACCAGGTACATCTGCCTGATCCAAGAACGGAGTTCAGCAGCACTGCCCGCGACACGGTTCCTTCATGGATCCGCGATGAGCAGGCGCTCCAGACTAGCATTTGTCGTGCTTGGTGTCTGCTGCTGCTGCTGCTGCTGCTGCTGCTGCTAGCTGTAGTGTCATTCTTGCAGTATGTTTCTCAGCTTCACGCTGGGGGGCAGCTGTTGCGAAAATCGTTCGCTTGTGGATCTTTAACTTGAGAACTTCTTGTCGCGAGCGTAAAGTTCGTTAAAGCTTCATACACCCACTTACGGTGGGTGTTGTAGATCGTCGGCATGGTCGCTGCATGCAGGTGGTTGACAAAGGCGGCGGACTTGCGGGGTGCCGCCGGCTGCAATTTTTGACAGGGTCTCATCAGACTCAGAGCAGACACAAGCCTTTGACCTGAGGTTGCCCACTCGCGATGACTTCGAACCCCACGAGACTCCTGAACACTTCAAGATGTTGCTTACAGCGCGGCCCCTGCATTTGTCTGGGTAAAGTGCAAAAGGTAGTGTAAATGCAAATGCCTATGTAAGACTAAGTATGGTGTTACTGTCATGCCAAGGCCCAAGAGGAATGGTGGCAGTACGACGTCTATGCACGAGTCCTCATGTTGTACGGATCTTGCCAATTCTTGTACGCTGCTGCTTGCCTGAAAACTGCTAGGCGTGGCTTGTGCAAGAAAGGGTTTAGGGTTTAGGGTTCCAAGCTGCGAAGAGACGGTGAGGTTTGCTATTATTGTATTGGCACCACTACGGCAGAGCTGCGTGGCTTTTGGATCTCCTGGTCCATGCCCATGTTGTTTATGGCTGCCCAAGTACTGATCCTCCGCCTGGATGTGGTCCGCACCTCCGGAAATCACATGCTGCCAAATGCGGAGTGGATTGGACACCTTGCACCATACTTTGCGGTCACAGCCACGACGCTTGAGTACCGACACCTTTATTCACCTACCACGGTCATTCTCACGTGGATCTTCGTTTTCTTGACGTACTTTGCACACTTTGTTATGGTCCCGATCTCAGCTGGGTACTTGGACCCGGCGTAGAAACATTATGTTGACTTTTTGTTGAGGCGTTGCGCTTCCTGGATTTGGCGTGGCCAGATTGGAATCGGGCAACGGACATGCCGGATGAGCCAGGGAAGCCATGGTGGCCTTCTTCCTGGAAAGTCTGCAGCCTTAAGGGTCTGGCAAGGAAGCATTTGTTGCTTTGGCTTGCCTTTCATTGCCGGAAGCAAACCTCAGAATTTCAGGTCCCCTCCGCATTTCGCAACGCCTTGTGGCTCCTGGCTCCACCCAAGAAGCTTGAACCGGGCCAGCACGACTTGCTTCATGAAGCCGAGGCAGGGGCTGCACTCACTGTACTCACTGTACTCGCTGTACCCACTGCACTTTGTGCATGTTCTCTGCAGGTTCGAAGAAGCTCTGTGAACATGTTCAAACTCCTTCCAACTCACGCTCTGAGCTGCTCAGGGTTTGCAAAGTGCTGGTGGCGGAGTGGAGATCCGACGCCGAGGTGGCAAGGCCGATCAGCATTCTGAGGTTCCGTATACCCTTTCACTTTATTAGTGTTCCACACGTGAACAGGAGAAGAAAGGTAAGTCGGGTGGCAAAGTCAAAGAGGCCAGTGCATGCCGTTGAGTTCAGTAGAAGGGCTCATAAGAGGTCCATGCAGACTCAGCAAATCAGCAAATGTGGAGTGCTTTCTCAGGTAGGAGAAGGACTGGTGTCCGACGAAGCTCCAGGTGAGACGTCTCCAACAACTTACCGCGGCGAGGCACCTGCTCACATTCAGATAGATCAATCAGAGCAGATGTTTGCAGTTCATGGCCATACAGCTTCCTACCCCGCGTGACTACACTTTTGAATGAAAAGTTGGCTTAGACCACTGGAAAGTGCAACAACACCTCGATCAACTCAAGCATTCGCTGTACTGATGACAGCATGTCCTGCTTCTCGCATTGCTCTTCTGGGAGGGAGGCTCAGCTCCTGTACATATTTCTCGGTTATGAACTGGACGATACCTTCAAGTTGCGTTTGAATTCCTTCGATTTCCGCATGACGACCCAAGAGGCAAGTCAGTCCCGATTTCTGCGCAGAAGGGTTCCCCGATGTGACCCTGCGGTTCAGCTCGGAGTTCAGGAGTTGCCTCATGCAGCTGCGCGAATGCATAATTCGTTGCAGCATTTGCACAAACTGATGCCAGGAGTCAGCTCCTTTGCGTTTTAAGGTAAGCGCGGCTGGGGTGGGCAGGGAGGGTCGGGAGCCAAGGGCGTTAGGAGGGAAGGCCACCAGCCAGTCCCGCACAGGGGTCAAGGGCCACCTAGCCAAGGCCGGGCCAGAAAACCAGGTGAGGGGCAGGAGTCAGGCGGGCGCGATCAGGCATTTAGGAAGGTCTGCAGGGTTTTGGAGCAACGGGTCTAGGGTTTAGGGTTCAGGGTTTAGGGTTGAGGGTTTAGGGTTTAGGGCTGCCGAGGCGAAGAATTGTGTGTGCAAACTTGTGCAAACTCTTGGGAGGTCCTGCGCTTTGCTGCTTCGTGATAATGCTCAACTGCATGGAGCCCCGATTCAACAAAGTTTGTCCTACTGGAATCAGTGATGCTGCTCAGTGAACCCGACAAGTAAACAAATCGAAAGTGTTCTTCGTGCCGTGGTCGCATCTTGGACTTCCCGACGGGGGTGCCATGAGGTCATGCAGAAGATGACACACCAGCATGTTGCACATTGAGATATGTTCTTGATTTCGATGTTGCTCTGATTGTCTGGTTGCCCAAATGCTGGCTTGCATTTTCAGGCTTGCCGCTGCGTAACCATGTTCTAGCGTGCAAATTCCAGTGCCATTCTGTAATCTTGCACTTTCAGCTTGCGAATCCTAAGCTCGCTGCATTCCTGGTGAAACCTCGAGCGCGTGCTTTTTGGCCTTCTGTTCCCGCGTGGCTCCTCCCCACACTGGTCCTTGCGAACCTTATGCCACCATCACAGCGAGCAATGTAAGCAGCTCCAAGTGAAAGAAGTGGACGGTAAGAGTGGCCGCCTCGCTAATATGGCGGGTGGGAAGGAGTAACCGAGAGAGATGAGGTTTGACTTGTGACTTCAAATGCCAACGAAGCCAATTCTTTGCAAGTCTTTGCTACAAGTCATGACTAAAGGTTGCTTGGCATAGGCATGCATTGGCCAAGAAACGATTGTGCGATCATTTGCGAATTCGCTGTGACCAATGTCTGTTTGTAGTTTCTGTGCAGGCAGAAGGAGCTTACACCGGACGATCGCCATTCAGGGCCTTCGCTGAAGCTCGATCACCGGACCACCAGACTTTGCATTCGTGTTGCCTTGCATTGTGGCAAACTGCGCCGAGATGCAGCATGTGCCACGGATGCCGACCTGTGATGCGACTGCTATCAGGACCTTCCATGGCAGCTGGCTCGTGTGGCAATTTGCACTGTGGGTTTCCTTTGGTGTGGGCCCTGGCTGTGTTTGGAGAGTTTCAATTCGATTTGCCTGAGATCCTGGCAGGAGAGGCACGGTATTCAGTTGACTTGAGGTTGTACATGGCCGTTGCGCTCTTTGTTGACGGGCTCTCAGCCTTGCAGTCTGTCATGCCGAACATTTTAGCAAGGCCTGCAGGAAAAATGTGGTTGTGATGAGGAGATGAACGTCGGGCCAGATACGCTGATGAAGCCTCCGGGAGAGCCTCCATGGATTCGTGATCAGAAGTCTCGGCCCCAGATCTTGAAAGGTGCTGGAAGTTTCGCCGTGCCAGGTTTCCGCACTCCCGTGGTGTCCTTCTCAGGATGAAAACCGTCTGGGTCCCCAAGGGATGGCACATGAGCAGTGAGCCGCTACCCAGCAACTCGGCCTGTATCAAGCATCATGGAATACCTCCCCGGTCTCTCCTCCAACATGTACCAAAGTGCACAGGTGACTACAGGCTGGAGTCTTCGACCTTGGCCAAATATGAAGATAGTTCGGTTGGTGGTGTTAACCTCAGTGCCTTCTGCGGCTTGCTGCCATTAGCAGGTTAGCCGGTTAGCCTTGGTCGCGCTTGTATGTTGAAAGCGCAAAAGGCTTCAATCCAGACGATATCCATTCTCCTGGAGTGGGGGAGAGCGGCGTACAGGAGTCCCATGGTGGTTCCGAGCACGCAGGCTAGGGTTTTGCCGTCTTGGGCAAGTTTATCACAGGATCTTGAACGGTGTCAGTCGGGCTCTTTCAGCCATTGTAGCTCATTCGGTGTTGCCACATGAAGTCACACGCAATCCCTGGACGTGAGCCGCGCTGTACCACGTAGAAACATGAAGGTGCGGGACATTCTGGCGGAGACAGTCATTCTGCGCACCGGCGACTGGCAGGCGGTGAAACTTAGCACGATATGTGATGATTCATTTTTTGCCGGTGCCTCAAAGCCTGGGGCCAGGTGCAGATGGCCAGCTGCTACGTGACCTATTGAAGGCGACAGATGGCCTCACTTGGCTGCACGACTCACTTCAAGAGATGGAGGCCACATCTCAGAAAAGCTGAGAAATGTGTTTGCTTGTGCGGCACGGTTTTGTAGCAACCGTGTGCACAGGCACACCAAGCATCTCCTTTGTACGAGCTGCCGCCATCACCAGCTGCTCCCTCTTTTATGGCACCAACGACGGTGAATGCCAAGCAGGCCCAGGGCAGAGCAGCACCTGGTGAGCGATGTCACAGTTCCGGTTCCAGGTGAATTGGCCGGCTCTCTTTGAACCGCATCATCTACTGTGCAGGCCAGTCTCCCCTGCAAAACAAGCTGCAAAGTTTCTGGCAGTCATGTTCTTGGGAGGGGATCCCAACTTATGGCACTGACATCCCGTGGATTTGGCGCGCATCTTCACGATGTTGAAACCGAAAAGGCAGGCTTCTTATTGGACATTGTGCTGCCGCTGGTACAAATGGTCCACTTGTGAACCTTGTGAACTTTGTGAATTCCTACCTTTCTACCGTGACAGGTTGACGCTACACCCTTTGCTCTCGAGGGTCTTGGAGCCGTCCGCTCGCTTGTGGGGGGGGCTTGGCTGGATGAGGGCCTGCAGCTCGTTACGAAGGCCCCTTCTGCGGGCACAAGGTCGAGTCTGACATGAACATACATGAACATTCCCGGCCTCGGTCAGGTTGGAGAGCTCTTCGACTGTCCTGGCGTGATGCCGGTGAAAGGCCGCGGAGCTTAAGGAGGCTTGTACCATGATGTTGTTCTCAATGCTGAAATGCTTGTGAGGCCGCTGGGCGTGCAAGCGCTCGAGCACAAAGCTTCCGCTTCCACATGGATCGCAGCTTCTTGCAGCTGCAATTTCGAAGCCGGAGGCGCATAGTTGTGTGTATTGCTGGTGGCTTCTAGATTCTAGTGTGGCTGCTCTCTAGAAGCCGGACCTTTGAGGACTCCGGCCGTCTTGTTGCTCTACTCTTTGAAAACGCTCCCACCATCGTGAACCTCTTCCATGGTGATGCTGCCAGCTGGACATCAGCGGGTGAGGTTCGGCCCGGGAGCTTACAGCTTTGTACATAGCTTGACACAGCTTTAGATACATGAAACCTCGAGAGGTGCATCTGCCTTCCGATGCGGGCCATGTTGGTCTCTCCATCTCTGGCAAGGACATGTGTTGTGGCAGATCGGTAGATCACACGAGATGAAGAGGTTCATGAAGCCGCATGTTGCATGGCTGTCAGGATATCCTTGCACTTCTGGGCACCGGTGCGGTACTCCGACGCAACTTTCACGAAGGACATAAGTGGCTCTTACATGGCTCTCTTTCTCGCCGGTTGAATGGGTTGACCTCCCTTGGAGACTTGTTTTGTTGGCTGTTTGGATGTCTGGGTTGCAGTCAGCTGGGGGTCCCATTTTTTGGCTACTTTGTGTCCATGATGAAGATGTGGACGGCAGTTCTTGCATTGTTTTTTGAGTGTTTTTGGGTTGCTTCACCATAGTGTGCTAACTTAGATCATCTTAGATCCCAAACCAGCCTGCAGGAGCTACAACATGGCATCCCCCACCACCAGCAACGCAGCTGCCCAGGGAGTACCGAGGAGCATGCGACAAGGACGGCCTGTGTGACAAGGTGATTTATCTTGCAGATGTCGTATGTTGTCATCGGGTGAGGACGACCCGGGAGTAGGTGGATTGTTTCGTCTTGCCCTTCGACAAGCCGCACCAAAGACGGAGGCAGGGAATGCAAGGACGTTCTGAAAGTTCGCTTAAATTTCGAAGAACATCCTGCTCAGAACTGAGTAGTCGTGAGGCTTGGCTTCCAGAGCTTTCCCTGGACTGACGAACAGTGTGCCATCTGAGCACCTTCTTCTGTTTGCCGTGAAGGGGTTTACGCCAGTGGTTTGCCGGGTTTGAAAGCTGTGTGATCAAGTTGTCAAGCCTGGTATCTTCAGTTGAAGCTCATATATGGCCCCTCATTCGCAAACACCTTGTCACTTCAACCTGCTGGGGATGTGCGCTGCAGCAGCCAATCTTGTGATTCTACTTGTTCAATATGTACAGTCTGATACAGGTCTTCATTCTCTGCATGTAATGTTCGTTTTCAGCATGACCTGTGAATCAATGCTGGTTCTTCTGGTGCCTCACATACCACAGCAACGCAGAGCCTCCTGCCCCAAAGCAGGGTTCGAGAGTTGATGTTCTTCCGCAATGGACATTGTGGCTTTTCTGCACTGTGTCCTGTGGCAGTTGCGTCAGTTCGCCATGGATTGGATGTCTGTCACCTCTGTTGTGCAGCATCCTTTGTATTCCTGAATGTCACGGCAGGATGTTGATCATCTCGTGTTTCGCTACGCGTCACTGCACCTGCTTTATCTGCACGCTCCGTTTTTTGGGTGTATGCCGTTACCTGCCGCGGGCAAGTCGCCTCCAAGTCTCCATTGGGGCACAGCATGGCACAGCTATGCCACCTTAGCGTGCGTCTCGCATTGTGCGTCTCGCATTGTGCGTCTCGCATGGTTGGAGATGGGCACAATTCTCGAAGACCCATGGATTACTTGCAGACATTTGCAGACCAAAAAAGGTGTGGATGCGTTGCGCTCTTCTGCGGGGCATCTGGGTCGGTGTATTTTTTTGATGAAAAGGTCTCACCTGCAACAGCCTCACGGCAACCAGCTCGGGCCTTGGCCAAAGTAAGACGGCTCCGGAACCTGTTTTGAGCCCTGCTAGCATGAGGTGGAATACGAAGAGGAGGACCTGGAACCTGAGCGCCACGCCTGTTTTGAGGAGCACAGGTAGCTGCAACTTTGCAGTCCTCGGGTTTTCACCGGCTCGTAGCAGGTTGCTGTGCAACTGGCACTAAGGTACGTGGAACGGATTGTAGAAGTTCCGCGGGTGCGGGTGGACCACGTTGAAAGGATTGTGGAGGCTGTCTCCTGCAGTAGATTTTGAAATACTTTGAAGCTTTGATGTGGGAAAGCTGTGAAGGTGCCGGAGATCCAGATGGTGGATAGAATTGTGGAGGTTCCACAAGTCCGAGATGCCAGAGCCTGAGTTGCCTCTTGTTGCCTTCCAAGGTATCATAATCTGCTCCAGATGCCACCAGTTCATGAAGAGGTCATGGAAGCTGATGGTAGATATGGAGGCACCAGCTTGTGAAGTCACCATGTGCACGGTCTTTTGAATCTTCTGCTCCAAAGGAGGTGGCCGTGGCGGAGGACCTGGTTACGGACCCGGCTATGGACCCGGCTATGGTGGGGGAGGCTGTGGTCCTGGAGGTTTTGGCTCTGGAGGTTTTGGCCCTGGCGGCGGCCCTGGCGGCGGCCCTGGCGGCGGCCCTGGCGGCGGCCCTGGCGGCGGCCCTGGCGGCGGCCCTGGTGGTGGTTTGGGTGGCGGCCCGGGTGGCGGCCCCGGTGGCGGCCCTGGCGGTGGCTGTGGTGGTCCTGGTGGTGGCCCTGGTGGGTTTGGTGGTGCGGGTTACGGGCCTGGAGGAAACTACGGGCCTGGTGGGTGTGGGTTTGGCAGCGGAGGTGGCTATGGACCAGGGGCTGATGGTCTTGACGGTCCTGGGTTTGGCAGTGGCGGTGGGTATGGTCCTGGTGGTTGTGGGCCTGGTGGTGGCTGCGGGCCTGGTGGCGGGTGTGGGCCTGGCGGTGCATGGGGGCCAGGTGGGTTCGGGCGTGGCGGCTGCGGAGGTGGCGACGGAAGCGTTGCTTTCACAGGTGGTGCTTTTGATGCCGGCTCATCCACTGGCAAGTATCCATACTATGGAGATGAAGGCTCGTGTGCTTTGTATGTCCCAGGCTGCATGCAGTACTGTCGCACTTGCTCAGGTGGTCTTGCTCTATCTGGACGGGGTGGTGGTGGCTGCGGTGGCTGTGGTGGTGGTGGCTACGGCGGCAGGTATGGTGGCGGCTATGGTGGCGGCTGCGGTGGTGGCTATGGCGATGGCTGTGGTGGTGGCTGTGGCGGTGGCTGCGGTGGCGGGTATGGCGGTGGCTATGGCGGCTGTGGTGGCTGCGGAGGCGGTGGCTGTGGTGGCGGGTATGGTGGTGGCTATGGCGGCGGCTATGGCAGCGGCGGCGGCTATGGCGATGGCTATGGTGATGGCTGTGGCGGTGGCTATGGTAGTGGCAATGGAGGCTGCGGTGATGGCAATGGTTTTGCTGGTGATGGCTGGGGAGGTGGCGGTGGACCTGGTGGCTGTGGTATGGGGGGCTATGGGCCTGGCAATCGTAGACCAGGTCCTCGAGGCTGGGTTTGGTTCCTTTGTTTGCTTTGGGCTTCTTGGGAGGTTCATGTCACTGACGGCCCACAGACGCCACACGTGGTGTTGCAGGCACTGGTGGCCGAGGCAACGTGCCAGTCAAGGTGATCACTCGGGAGGCCGCTCCCTTGATGAGAATTGCAGTAGTTTCTACCCAGTAATCGCTGCAGAACCACAAGCTGCAAAAACATGATTTTGATTTGCTCTCGACTTGCGCGCTGCAGGTGCCCAAAGTGGAAGTCAAGCAAGTGGAAAGAGTCGTGGAAGTGTGTCACTCAAACATCCTGAAACAATCCTTGGGCAATGTATGCAATGTATACAATGTGTTTTTCCTGTTGTGAACTTGAGTTACATTGGTTTACGTGCTTCTTGCCTTCGTGAAGCTCCAAGGTTCCCAACATCGAGTACGAAGATCGTCTTGTCGAAGTTCGCGAGGCTTGAACTCTGATGGAATCGAATGGGGATTTTCTCAAAGCCAAATTGGGTGCCCCTGACTTCGGGCATTTTGCAGTCACTGTGGCCCCACAGTCTCAAGAAGTTCCTCCCACTTTCTACGACTTTCCCATCCTCGTAAAGGTCTTTGGTACGTCCCACTATTTGTGATCAAAAAGCTTGAGATTCGCGCAGCGCAACAAGCGCATCTTGTGTTCCTGCAGAGCTCCTACAAGACTTTAAGACTTCGCTTCTCAATCCTCTTATTTTGCGATCACATGCTGGCACCGATGGCACCGATGGCACCGATAACACCGATCCAAAGATCATGAGCAGGCTGATAACACGTTATAGTAAATTATGGTAACTGATTGATGCGGGCTTTTGGGTGGATGCGGAAGGTCCGTGAATGGGGATTTGCGGCAGTTTGGGATTTTGCTTTAGGGCCTTTGGCAGTCTGTGTGGTCAACCAAGTGCCACTGCAAGACCCAACTACCTACGTGCGCGTTGCGGAGCACATGGCTCGTGCTCGGACCTTGGCAGCAAAACTGGGAGGCAGCTCAAGTCATCTGGTCTGGAATCCCACACAACATGCAGAGTGGAACTGAAGCAAATTCTATGGCCGAGTTGCAACCGCAAAATCGGACCCCACGATCCAGGTTTGTGAGTCTGGGGGAGAGCCACTTTCTATTTTGAGTGGGTGGGTGGGTGGGTGGGTGGTGTCCCGTCGGCATATGGCTGATAAAGCCCATTCCAAGATTGTCATGCAAAAGCAGGGGCTTTCTTGCGCTGGTCATTGAAAGGTGCGCGAGGTGGTTCGACGAGTCCCTCGCATCGAAGTTCGAGAAATTCCCATTGAGAGAGTGATTCAGGCACGGCGTGCCCTGTCTCCGGAAAGTTCTCCAAACGACAGGATCGAAGCTTCCAGGTACCAAAGAAGATTGTCCAGGAGGTGGAGCAGCCCGTCTACCGTCCAGTGCCACATCTGGCGCCCTTCCTATATTATTTGCGGCTCAGACTGAAGGTTTCAGCCTCGCCACAACACCGAGGTCAAGCAACAGGTGGAGCGGGAGATCCCCGTGCCAAAGCCGTACACACAGACACTGGAGGTTGTGAAGCAGGCGAAGCTGTGAGCGAGTACTTCCTTGAGTCGGTGTTGTGGGTTACTGCACGTTACTGCACTGATTGAACGGGAGGAAGAGCCCAAACTTTTCCCAGACACATTCCATTCACCAGAGTAGGGGCTGCTCTTCCTGAGGAGCATGATCACATCTCGGCACTCTTTACCCGAAGATATTACATAAGCGTGACAGCACATCTGAGTCTTTGACCCGGGAAGGTGTCAGTGCCCACCAACGAATCTGGTGCTGTCTTGCCACAGTCGGTGGTAGCGCCACAAACAGCACCGACTTCTGGGACTTCGCCCGTGGTGGTGCATGCACCAAGTCACAGCAGAACTTACGCGTTGCCTCCTGTCCCCAGCACGGGTCCCACGGGCACGGGTCCCATGGGTCCTACGGGTCCCGCGGGTCCCATGGGTCCCACGGGTCCCACGAGTCCCACGGGCTTCACAGGTCCTACAGGTCCCACGGGTCCAATGGGCCCAACGGGTCCCATGGGTCCCACGAGTCCCACAGGCCTCACAGGTCCTACAGGTCCCACGGGTCCAATGGGCCCAACGGGCCCCATGGGCTCCATGGGTCCGACGGGTCCAACATCAGCATCTCGGCTGCAGCATCAGATAAGGCGATTTTCGAAAGAGCCGCGAAGAGCAGAGTGGCGGTAACATCCCTCCAGAAGCATTTTGAGGCTGGCACGGGACCTTCGCGGACGGCACCTGTGCAGGGAGCGAGCTTTCCTTCCCAGGCCTGGCATCCGTTGTGAAAGCACCGTGTTTCTGCAGTCTTGACGAGTAGACGGACGGTGACAGGTTTTGCATGCACGGTACAGAAGATAAGGTGCCTCCAGGCGGTGTTGGTGCCGCCACACCGCCAGCAATGTACCCTTCTTCAAACGCGGGCGCTGGCATGTTTAGCTGTTTAGCTGAACAGCTCAAATCATTGAACACACTCACAGTGTTGAAAGCTCCAGCAACTATTGGCTTGTGCCAGGTATCCATACCTGCACCCTCGCCGCCTTCCTCACAGACTTTCCAAACCAACGTGATACCGGGGGGTTCTCCTTCACAGCGTATGGTCGTGCCTGTGGCTTCTTATTTCGTTTTTAAACAGACCTATATAAGGCCTAGAGAGCATTGATTGCTTGTGCCAGGCGCCCAGCGCTATTCCCGGTGGTTCAGGCGGTTCAGGCTCTCCTCTGCCACCCATGGTCGTGCCTCCGGCTTTTTTTCGAGGTTTGCGGTTCGCAGGCGTTAACCCAAGCGCATCTTGCCAACACCAGGCACCCGGCACAGTACCGGGTGGCTCAGGCGGTTCAGGCGCTTCTTTGCCGCCCATGGTCGTGCCTCCGGCTTCTTAACGGGGCTGTGACGAGGACTAAGCCCCAACGAATCTGGAAAATGAAGGGGTTCGGAGGCTTCAGGCCTAGACCGCATTGATTGCTTATGCCAGGCGCCCAGCGGTGGTTCAGGCGGTCCAGGCTCTCCTTTGCAACCCATGGTCGTGCCTCCGGCGTTTTAATGAGGTTTGAGATAAGGAGGATTGAACATTGGTTGCGTATGCCAGGCGCCCAGCACGATACCGGGGGGTTCAGGCTCCCCTTCGCAGCGTATGGTCGTGCCTCCGTCTTCTTTACGGGGTTCAGCAGGTCGTGCCTCTTCTGAATTGGGGCCTTAGCTAAGGCTTAGGGAGTTTTGATTGCGTTTGCCAGGCGCCCGGCGCGATACCCGGACCCGGTGGTTCAGGCAGTCCAGGCTCTCCTTTGCAACCCATGGTGGTGCCTCCGGCTTTTTACTGGGGGTTTGCTGCAAGGAGGCCTCAGCCCAGTTGCATCTTGCCAACACTAGGCACCCGGCATGGTACCGGGTGGTTCAGGCGGAGCACCCATGGTTGTGCCTCCGGCTGCTTAATTGTGCTGGCTATAAGGAGGCTTAGGATGCCTAACGAGCATTGACAGCTTATGCCAGGCACCGAGCATGGGAAGTCGCATGTATGCCGGGGCCCTCTTGTGTGTATACGCTGATACGGTGTTGTGCACTGTGTACCTCTTTCCTGCGCCCGAGACCTCGATCGGCTCCATGGGACCTGGGGCTCCACCTGGCAGCATGCCGACCGGCACCGCAGTGCTCCAGGGGACAGGCTGTGACCGCAAGCTCGCAAGCTCCTGTCATACTGGCGAACTGTCGAGCCTCGCCGCATACAGGTAGCTTCTCCCAGCAAGGAAATCCCTTTGCCACGGTGCTGCTGACTCGGCTGACTACCGGCATCAAGATCCCAATGTGTCAGAATCCGTTTCCATGTATCACAGTGTTGCCGAGGCAAGGAGGACCCATGCAGGCCGGAGAGCCATCTCATGTTTGTACGAGCTGTGGCGCTCAAAGCTGCAAGTGACTGTACGATTGGGGCACATGTACACAGCCCTACCCGGCCCTACCGTTATGGTGCCATCAAGCAGCCCATTGCTGAATGTTACTGCCCTTCATTGTCCTACCAGTACGTCATGTTGTGGGCACTAAACCTTCTGGTTTTGGATCAGGCCGGCAGTGACCTGTTCAGCAGACTCGACACTGATGGCAGCGGCACCATCACTCGGGAGGAGTTCGCCAAGGCATGTCGTCATTGCTCGATTTTGTAGTCGAGTGACCCTGTTCTCCGCAGTTAGCGGGATCCGGCGGTCGCGGAATGTATGCTTGGCCCTTGGTCGGGGCAAGCGGCCAAGGTCGGAGGTTTGTAGGTGAACATCACCTTGCTGGGATGAGGCGTCGATCGGCTCCATGGCACCAGGCACCGTGCCGACAGGCACCGTGGCACCTGGTACCGGGGCGCCGGGCTTCGTGCGGCACCCAAGAGTGAGTTGCAAGGTGCAATCTGCTGGGGAAGATGTCGAGGTCCAGACTGGCTCGATGCAAATCCCTGGGGCACCTCTACCGAGCATGACCAATGCTTCGGCACTCTATGCCCCATGGATGTGATTGAGACCGTCACTTGCCGAAAGATGCTCGGAGTGCAGATCACATGAGGCTTCAATGGCGGCGCCTGCAGTGCCATCGCAGTCGGTCCAGACATACGCACAGGGAAGCGCTGCCTACCCATCAGTCACCTTCGTCACCCTGGCACGGGCTGCTGACTGCCGACGTTTTTGTATTCTGCTGCACTACCGTGGCCAGGGATCGGCTGCTAGCGTTGGCAGCGGTCGTGCTCCTGCTGGACCCTCAGGTTCTGTGACCTAACTAGAGAGAATATGACGGAACCTCGTATCATGCAGAAGCACAGTGGCCAAGGCTGGTGCCTCGACTCCACCCATGTAACGTCTGCATGTATTCGCTTGTGCATACCTTTGCTTCGTATTTCAAGTGCTAAGTGCTGCCGCATGGCAGGGCACCAAGCACCGCGGTGCTCCAGGGGACAGGCTGTGACCGCAAGCTCGCAAGCTCCTGTCATACTGGCGAACTGTCGAGCCTCGCCGCATACAGGTAGCTTCTCCCAGCAAGGAAATCCCTTTGCCACGGTGCTGCTGACTCGGCTGACTACCGGCATCAAGATCCCAATGTGTCAGAATCCGTTTCCATGTATCACAGTGTTGCCGAGGCAAGGAGGACCCATGCAGGCCGGAGAGCCATCTCATGTTTGTACGAGCTGTGGCGCTCAAAGCTGCAAGTGACTGTACGATTGGGGCACATGTACACAGCCCTACCCGGCCCTACCGTTATGGTGCCATCAAGCAGCCCATTGCTGAATGTTACTGCCCTTCATTGTCCTACCAGTACGTCATGTTGTGGGCACTAAACCTTCTGGTTTTGGATCAGGCCGGCAGTGACCTGTTCAGCAGACTCGACACTGATGGCAGCGGCACCATCACTCGGGAGGAGTTCGCCAAGGCATGTCGTCATTGCTCGATTTTGTAGTCGAGTGACCCTGTTCTCCGCAGTTAGCGGGATCCGGCGGTCGCGGAATGTATGCTTGGCCCTTGGTCGGGGCAAGCGGCCAAGGTCGGAGGTTTGTAGGTGAACATCACCTTGCTGGGATGAGGCGTCGATCGGCTCCATGGCACCAGGCACCGTGCCGACAGGCACCGTGGCACCTGGTACCGGGGCGCCGGGCTTCGTGCGGCACCCAAGAGCGAGTTGCAAGGTGCAATCTGCTGGGGAAGATGTCGAGGTCCAGACTGGCTCGATGCAAGTCCCTGGGGCACCTCTACCGAGCATGACCAATGCTTCGGCACTCTATGCCCCATGGATGTGATTGAGACCGTCACTTGCCGAAAGATGCTCGGAGTGCAGATCACGTGAGGCTTCAATGGCGGCGCCTGCAGTGCCATCGCAGTCGGTCCAGACATACGCACAGGGAAGCGCTGCCTACCCATCAGTCACCTTCGTCACCCTGGCACGGGCTGCTGACTGCCGACGTTTTTGTATTCTGCTGCACTACCGTGGCCAGGGATCGGCTGCTAGCGTTGGCAGCGGTCGTGCTCCTGCCGGACCCTCAGGTTCTGTGACCTAACTAGAGAGAACATGACGGAACCTCGTATCATGCAGAAGCACAGTGGCCAAGGCTGGTGCCTCGACTCCACCCATGTAACGTCTGCATGTATTCGCTTGTGCATACCTTTGCTTCGTATTTCAAGTGCTAAGTGCTGCCGCATGGCAGGGCACCAAGCACCGCGGTGCTCCAGGGGACAGGCTGTGACCGCAAGCTCGCAAGCTCCTGTCATACTGGCGAACTGTCGAGCCTCGCCGCATACAGGTAGCTTCTCCCAGCAAGGAAATCCCTTTGCCACGGTGCTGCTGACTCGGCTGACTACCGGCATCAAGATCCCAATGTGTCAGAATCCGTTTCCATGTATCACAGTGTTGCCGAGGCAAGGAGGACCCATGCAGGCCGGAGAGCCATCTCATGTTTGTACGAGCTGTGGCGCTCAAAGCTGCAAGTGACTGTACGATTGGGGCACATGTACACAGCCGCAGCCCATTGCCGCATGTTACTGCCCTTCATTTGTCCTACCAGTTCGGGCACTAAACCTTCTGTGCTGGATCAGGCCAGCACTGACCTGTTCAGCAGACTCGACACTGATGGCAGCGGCACCATCACACGGGAGGAGTTCGAGAAGGCATGTCGTGGTGTCGCTTTTTGTCGATTGCTCGCAGTCATGGCAATATTGTTACCGTCGCATGCGCCCAGCAGCGTAGGAGCTTCATGCTCACAAGTGGCAAAAAACAAAAGCTGATGCGGATCGATGAACATCAAGCGAAAAACTTACACAAATCTTGCTCTTGCAAGCACTGACGGTTCTGCCATGGTGGAGACTGGCGAAGCTGCACAGATCCTCGGCATGCATTCCGCATTCCGGTTTTCTGTGTTTACTTTTCTTCGTTTACTTCTAGTTTTCTGGTTGTCTTCGTCGCCGAGGAAGCGGCCCAAAAAGAGCAATCCTACGGTTCTTCTCGGGTCTTCGAGCAAGTGGCGGAGAGCGATTTTCGCGTGGACCCAGCTGAGTTGGCATTCCACAGTACAGCCTTCAGCACAGCTCACGTTTGGAGAGAGGAACATCTGCGAGATCTAGAGGCAGCACTTTCCGGAGTGTGGCTCGGAGTATCTTGTTCCCGATGTCGATGAGAAGGCCTCTGCCCAGACTTGCTGTGCTTTGGGAGCACATGTGGTACATTGTGGTACTATTGAAGCCAGTGGCTGCAGGCCATTCGAGCTGACAGGCCGGAGGAGATGTGCATGGCCATTGCCAGGGCGAAGGCATTTACCAGTGAGAGCGAATGATGAGGTTTGTTGAGGTTGTTGCAGGTTGTCAAGAGCGGCACGTGCCAGGCGGATGCCCTCGCTCCGAAAGTCATTGGCAGAGATGTGCTACTGGTGTGCATGGACCAGGCGAATCGCTGTTGACTGCTTCTTGCTGTGTCGGAATCATTTTGAACGACATGCCGAAGCGGACTTGAGGTGGTCAGTTGTGATGGACAGATCAGAGAGAAGCCAGAGACGGAAGCCGAGGTGGGCCTTGATGCGCTGGCTGCAAACACACGCAGAGCATCAAGTGTATATCAAGTGTAGAGCACCAAGTAGAGCACCATGTCGAGCACGAGGGAAGGGAATAGCAATAGCATCGCATCAATTTGGAAGCTTTGTTTGGAAGCGAACTTGCCAACTTGCCACTTGACCAGGCGCGGCAGTTCTGGGAGTCCTACAGGTTCCACGGCAGCAGTGCTGCAATGCCGGCATGCTGGTGTCTGTGGTGGTCTGTGTTTGGGACTCAGGCAGGGCAAGCACGCCAGCTTCATCAATGGAATGGTTGTCCTGAACGCAGCAACTTCTAGGCCTGGGATGCCTGGGCCAAAGGAATACAAACAATTGAAGTTAGAAGATGCAAAGCCGTGATGACGTGATGTGGCTTGACTTCCCCTCTGTGGCTTGACTATTGACGTGCCGGTCCTCTTTGACAGGCGTGCATCGTCAATAAACTCATCGAAGGCATGCTTCAACCATGTTCCAGATGAGGCACGACCGTAGTGTGTGGGTGTCAGTGTGTCAGCCGCCGAGCCTCGTTGTCACCCTTTTCACTCAAAATCCCAAGGTGATTGATCGGTTGATCAAGAAGGGTGATCTGTTCACCTGCGCTGGTGGAGTAGTGGCACTGTACTCATGACAGTCCAAGCTGTGACGGGCATCTGGTAGTTACTTTCCAAATTAAATTTCATCCCAGGTTGAAGATGAGCTGCTTCAACCATTCCTGGCTCGGGTAGAGGCAGCGATGGCAGCAGCACACTTGTCGTAGCCTTTGGGAGCCTGCAAATGCTTGAAAATGCGGCCTTTGCCAGGGAACGATGGACTCCGTGCAGGGTCTGCCTCTGAAGCCTTTACGCATGCTGCTCGCACGGGTGCAAGCTCCAGCGCGGGCCTCATGTTGCACATTGCACTGCCAGGATTTGTCTTTGCCGGCCGGTGGTGCTTGCAGTTTTGTACTCGCAGGCTGTGAGTCACGTCATCTTCGACATGGATGGCTTGCTCTTGGACACAGAAAGCCAGCACCTGTCGCCGCAGCTTCAGTTCGAACATTGAGAATGCACATTGCCAAAGGCTCCTACAGTGTGGCTCAGCAAGAGATCCTGGACCGGTGGAACAGGTGCAATTTGCAAATTCAGAAGCAGCACGTTGTAGGCCCTGTAGGCATTGTACTCGTGGTCTCGTGCTCCTTCATGCCGGCTTCTGCATGCTTATGCAGGAAGTTCACGTGGGACTTAAAGGCGAAAATGATGGGCAAGAAGGCTGCCCGCAACATACTCGAGTGCTGTGGCATGTCTCAAACAACAGAGTCCGATGTGATGTTTTCCAGTCAGTCCTTGGGAGTCGCTCACGCAGCTTTTGGCCCATCGCACAGAAAGCAGAGTAGAGTAGAGTTGCTAGAGTTGCAGCAACATCCCAACTAGATGGTTTGACGTCTCGTTGAATGGTGTCTTCAGGAGAAGTTTTGATGTACGAAGCCCTTTGTGCGAGTGGCCTGATTTGACAGTCATGCTTTATAGGCAAAAGCTACAGCAAATCAACTGCAATGCAACTCCCACATGAGCTCAATGATTCATTGAGCTGAAGTCCTCGGAGATTGCCCTGGCGCTGGGGCAGGTCCCAGGCCACTGTGGTACAAGAAGAGGACGGGACACATGCAGAATGTGCTTGATGCTGTCTGTTGAGGACACGAGCCATGGAAAGCTATGGCCTTCCCAGCATGGAGTACCATCAGGTCCGTTTTCATCCCATGATTTTTTTGACGCGTAAAGACAAAGTCCGTGTTTCTGCTGTCAGCATGAGATGCTGACAGGTTGCTGGACTTGTTCTTCTTGTGCCACTTCTGCTTGCTGTAGCTCTTTATGCTAGGAGGCGCGGAGAAGCCTTCGCTGTAAGTTTTACAGAAGCGCTGATGTCCAAGCAGGTCACTGCCGGGCAGATTGAAACCTCGAGGAAGCTTTGAACATGAGGCAGCAGACGTGGAAGTGACAAGACATGTTTTTGCTGAGTCTTGCACTTTGCCATGTTGAGTTGCCTCTCGCTAGTGTTGGCATCGGTGCGCCATGATGCTGCGGCCTCTGCAGGACCCTGCAAACGCACAGTCCATGTCGGAACGGCGGAGGGACTTCTGCCGAATTGTTGCAACAAAGAGGGTGCCTGGCTTGATTTGGCTTGTGCAGAACAGTCATCATTCGGTCAGCTATGGTAGCTTGGCGGAAGCCTTGACAAGCTGACCACAAATGCAACCGTTTTTCGTGAAGCTCCTTTGTTCCCGAATGCGAAGCAGCAGAAGGGTTCCCAGGTTAAAGGTTGGGTTATCAGGGGTCCGGGGGCCCGGCATGGTTCGTTTTTGCGTCCGTGGGGCATTCGCGAGACATTCACGAAGTGTCCGCAATTGATGAAGTGCGCCGTTGTCATTTTGGAGCTTCGCTCAGCGTGAACGGCACCCCTGTGCCATCCTCGTATCTGTCGTCACTTCTTGGTTTCCAAAAGTACAGACGGCTCCGAGGATGAGGCACCCGGGGTGCGCCATGCTTGTATCTGTCCTGGCTTTTGGAGATTCGTTTTGTGTTTGACACAGCAAAGGTGACGACACCTGGGGTGCGCCACCCTCGTAGCCAACCGTCAGCACTTGTCATGCTTCGTGGGGAAGGATGTATGCTGATGAGTCGGTGGTGGGCGGGGTGCGGGAGGAGCCAAAAACTTGCCCATATTGGCCCACAATAACTTGTTGGCAGGAGAGACAGAGAGGAGAGGAGGGAGAGAGAGAGAGAGTGACAAGGTGCGCGGAGGGGTCCGTTAGCACTCCTTCAAGAAGCAGAAGAAGCAGAAGAAGCAGAAGCAGAAGCAGAAGAAGAAGAAGAAGAAGAAGAAGAAGAAGAAGAAGAAGAAGAAGAAGAAGAAGAAGAAGAAGAAGAAGAAGAAGAAGAAGAAGAAGAAGAAGAAGAAGAAGAAGAAGATAAGGGGTGATAGCTGGAAAGGAGTAAGGAAGGGGCGCAGGTGGCACTCTGGCAAGGCTAAACTCAGCCAATCGCGGGATGTACGGGTTGCAGAGGACGCGGGATCGGGGCAAACAGGGTGCGCGGGGACTCTTCGGGGGTTCGTCTCCTCAAGGCCCTACTATTCGATGGTTCACGTCCCACCCTGCAGGCAAGGAATTTGCCAGCTCCCTCTGGGATGGGCACTCAGGGACAGTGTGGGATTTTGTCGGGATCCTTTGGGGTTGGGCGCTCCAGGATTCTCTGGTGATGCTCTGAGGTTGGGCACTCCAGTCACTCTCTGATACTCTAGGGCTGGGCACTCCAGCGATTCTGGATACTCTGGATCGTACACTCCAGGGACTCTCTGGGGATACTCTGGGATTCTCTGATACTTGGGAATAGTTTGGGGGGTTGGGCACTCCAGGGCGTTTCGTGGGGATACTATGACGTTGGAACTCCAGAGACTCTCCGACTCCTCCAAAGAGCGAGCATCGCTCTCTCTCTCTCTCTCTCACTTTCTCTCTCCCTCCTCGTTGAGCTAGCAACTTCCACTTGTTGAATGTCGCCCATGCTCTTCATGAAAAGTCTTGGCTTCCTTCAGAGTAGTAACGACTCCACCGCAGCATCTGCTCCTCGCCAAAACGCCAGGAACTTGCTGGCCAGACTCTCGTCCGCGTAGCATCACCCCAAATATCCCCAGAGACTTTTCTGGAGTGCCCAACCCCAAAGTGTCCCTACAGAGTCCCTCACTTGCCGCAGGGTATCCCCACAGTGGCCCCACAGAGTCTCTGAGTGGCCTAAAGTCTGGAAAGAAGAGATGTCGCATTCGGGTTCGTGGCTTCCGAAAGTAGGAAAACCTCAAAGCGCGAAGCTGTGTGTTTCGCATTTGGGAGGGTGCAGGGTGTGTGGCTGAGGACCTTTGGGTCTTCACAGTGGAGGAGCGACAAGCCGGCCGTTTCCTGCCAATTGACTTCCCTCCGGGCATGAGCCCCGAGTCTGGAGATGGAGCTGCCGAAAAGGCGGAGACAACGACACCTTTCACGGTCTGCTCGTGATGTTCAGAAGAAGCTCTAGCTGCTCTAGCTTGCCAGGTGTGCTACCAGAAATTGAAGTGGCGCTGCCCCAAGAATGACAAAGGCAGTAGGGGTGTCGCTTTGGCCTATGCCATGGCACAAGTTTTTCGCTAGGTGGTTGCAGCAAGAGCTCGGCCGCATCCCTGGGGCCATCGACCTTGGAATGACGTCGCAGTGGGCCGTGGTGGATCGAATCATGTACTTCATCAGTGCTAGTCCTGGCTTCGACTTTGTGATGCAGCACAAAGTCCCACCTCGGATCCTGCAGCCGAAGTACTTAGTACTTGTGTCGAAGGCACGATACTGTCTGTGTGGCAAGATGTGTCATGATTGTTCCAAGATTCAATAGGTTGCATGAATGCACATGAATGTGCAACGGTGAATAAAGTAGCTTGTTGCCTGCGCAGGGTGGTCAAGTTCGTGTCGCTTGGTTTGCCTTCGTGAGCAACAATCCTGAACCGGGTGCTACCGCCGGGCCTTTTGTTGTGAAGCTCGTCAGCGAAGACCTTCGGTCGGCTGACCGAGATGCCAGGACGTTTTCCAAGTTTTCATACACGGCGGCAGCTGCCCGAAGTACAGACATGGAAAAGATAATTTCAGGCATGGTGCCTCAGATGTTGCAAGGGATTGACTCGGACAGATGGAGTGCTTTTGAAAAAGCTTAAGGCACAAGGCAGATGCAGTTGAGGCAGCCAACCAGTCTGACTCCATGCCGAGCCCTTGAAGGGCAAGCCTACGCCATGTAAAAGGGCGGAACGCCTTGTGCCGTGAGCTGTGCGTGTCTTGAGATACATCTTCTTGGCGACACGTTACACGCAAAAGATGTGTCATTGTGTGGTTGTCAGGCACTGGATGCCTGCCAGATCTGCATTGATGAGTTGGAGCCGATCCCAGCCTTTTGTAGTTTGTGGTCATTGTGGTAGCTGTGTGTTGAGTATGGGCCTGTGGGCTAATTGCATTGATGTCAATATAGCGAATGTAGCGTCAGGAGCTGACCGACATCTCGGCTGAAGATTTTCTGGCCGAAAGAGAGAAGAGGTTGGCCAATGAAATTTTCAATGACTTTGAGCGATGGCAGCATTGCAAAATGTGGGGCGCCAGGCTGGAGGTTCTCTTTGCAAAAGCAGCCCTGCTACCTGGAGTTGAGCGTCTCCTGCGACACCTTCACAGGCCCCAGAGTCCCGCCAAACGTCTCTACGTTCGAGCCTGACAGTTTTGCAGGAACGGAGTGCCGATGGCAGTGGCAACATCCTCCCATCGTCGGCACTTTGACCTGAAGACATCTCTGCATCGAGACCTTTTCGGTTTGATGCATCATGTTGTAACAGGGGACCAGGCGAGACAGGGGTTGACTCAGTTGACAACTGAACTGCTGGACTGCTGGACTCTGAAGCAGATCTAAATGATCTAAACATGTGCTCGTGGCAGGTGAGCAAATCCAAGCCCGATCCGCAAATATTCTGCCATGCTGCCAGCTTGTTCGATGGAGCCCCAGCAGCGGATCGGATCCTGGTCTTCGAGGTTCCAACTGGTTTGGAATGTGTTTTTAAGGGGACGGCTTGGGGACGTCTGTGTTCAGGGATGTCGAATGTGCAGTTCTTCATGGGCCTTGGAGGATGCTCCAAGTGGTGTAGAAGCTGGCCTCGCTGCAGGGATGCAAGCCAGCTCCTCAACGGAGCTGCTCTCAACTTTTTAACAGATTCAGTGCCAAACAGCTGTGAGGTCTGCCATGTTCCCGACATTAACCTGAGTCGCGACTTATGTGGACAAGCCCACTGCGAGCTACTGTCCTTAGAGGACGGCGTGATGCACAGAGTTGACCTTGACACCGTGGCACAGCTGTGAAGCACAAGGACTTCTGTCCAGAAGAGTGGGGCCTTCCACCCTTCTGAGGATTCATCATCTTTCGACCGTATCAGCGGACGGATCAAAACATAGACGCTTGATGTCTGGAGTTTGAGTTGTAGTGCGCAGAGTCTTGTGAAAGGATGCTTGAGTTTGGGAATCTTCGTCCTGACGGCAGGCCATTCGGCAGGGCATGGTCAGCTGAATCCCCGCACAAATCTGCGGCCGGTGCTCAGAAATCCCTCTCTGGGCTCAGGTCGAGGTGTTTCACTGCTCTGGGCATTGCCTGCGAGCCACGACACATCAACAACTAATCTGCATTCGGTAAGCGCCAGGAACTGCGCAGCTGCGCCAAGCGTTCGAAAGTGTGACGAAGTCCCGACGTTTTGCCGTTGCATTGTTAATAGAACAATGCTGAAGAGAAGGCAGCAAGCGAGATCAAGCGAGCAATCGATTCAAGCACTAATGAGGCGGCCTCATCTGCAAGAAAAGCTGCCAAAGCTGCCAAACCCCGGGAACCCCTGAGTAGTCGAAAGACTGACAAAACCTGCGATTCTTTGCTTAGCGGCTTAGCATACGCATTGCGGATTGCATTGCGGGAGCTTGTCGGAGTCATCGGTGGCATCCAGGTGCTCCAAAGCATCCCTGCGCACTGCCTCTGTTTTGCCGTCGCACAAAGGCACAAATGAAGCGCTTCGTACGCATAGTTTTTGTAGCTGCCTCTGCATCGCAGCACCTGTCATCAATTTTTCTTTGCTTCAGGGGCAAGACAGCACATGCTACTCTTGAGGGTAAGGCTTTTATCATGACTGTGGTGGAAAATGCACGCTAAAGGGCTCAATATGGGCTCAATCATCACATATTGAAGCCCTAAACCCTCAAATATTTGTCTCTCTGAAGCGCATGGCAAATGTTGGCGCTGCCAGCACCGGGCGATGGAGATGATGCGGCCAAGCCGAGGATGATCAGAGCAATGCAAAGGGTAAAGTCTTGCAATGTGTTGCTTTTGGCAAAAGTCTGTAATTTCAGCTCCGGGCAGTCTCCAGACAAGGCATGTTCGATCATGTTCGTCATAAGGTGGCACAGGTCTGTTGCGGCATTCTCCTGCGTTCGCTCATGTCTCAGTTTGAATTGCGGTATGGGAAGCATATGGCTTCTTGCGACGTACGATCAAGGCGAAGACTGGAGCCGGCAGGTCATGCGTTTCATGCTGTCCACGAGAAACCGAACATCAAGGCACCTCCTGCAGCCTTTTTTTTTTTTTTTGCACTGAAGACATTCCAGTATTTCTCAGTTGAAGTATCCAAATTTTGCCTCCAATGTCCTGAGAGTGTCCCGAGCAGGCTCCGAAGCATCATGGCAACCGGCAGAAGGCCGTGCTTCTTCTGCAAAGCCCTGCACGCCCTACGTCGTTCTATGTTGCTCTCGTCGTTTAAGGATGCCGCCAGTGACGATGACTCACCACCAGATTCCTGGAGGTCAGCTCTGTTCGAAGTGTGCAGCTTTCGTGACAGCAGGCGGTCACAGCCTCTCACAGGAAGAAGAAAAAGGAAGCCGGTGGACGGACAGGTGCGCTGAGGCTGAGCCCACTCTTGACTGGCAAGGTGCTCGGTTCAGTCGGAGCAACATCTCTTCTGCTCAAATATCATATATATATATATATGCATATGCAGGTGTCTGGTGCCCTGGGGTGAGGGGTGGGGCGGGGAGGGGAGGGTACACAATTAATCTGAAACCTGCCAAGACCCCATTGAACCCCTACCTAGGCACATTGTTGAACCAGCCTAAACACGACAGAAACCTGGTAAAATCTTACCCGGACCCGGAAACCTTACCTGAAACCTGTCACATGAGTTCAGCGGTGCCTACCTGCACCCAACCACAACCTCCTGCTGTACCCGAATCCCCGAACCCTCCCTAAATCCTGATGGACTTAGACCTTACATGGTCTGATATTTTGCCGGTCCGCGCACCCAACACCCCAAACCACAGAAGAAGGGACAATCCCGCGCGCGCGCGTGCTCCTCGGTGCTTCCCCACTGTTCTTTGGACTGCATGATGCTCCCCCGTGCTCTCGACACGATACTTCGAAGCAGCTTGGTCTATTGCGAAAGCGCACAGGCACCCACAGCCCGTCCACCCCCTCTTCTCATGAGAGACTTTCTATTTTTTTGCCTTTGTAGGAGATTGCCCACACGTTCCCTCTTCATATTCTCGAGAGAGCTTGTACCCAGAGATAAATAGTCAACACCAGATGCAGCAAGAACATTGTTATCTCAGTCTCAAGGCAAACGAGAAGAACATTGTTATCTCAGTCTCAAGGCAAACGAGACAGGTTGTGTTTAAGAGAAATGTAAAAGGTCTTTCTTCCTTGTTAATCGCAAGACAACCCTTACCAACTAGAAGACCTATGCTAAGCTCTTCATGGAAATAAGTGAAATAAGAAGCCCCTCTTCATCAGTTTCTTCCTTGAAGGAGAACCGCCCCTCTGGAGGGACCTACGCTTTTCATTGTTTTGTTTTGTGATGAAGTTTCTCTTGCCGTACCTTGCCATCATTTTCCGACACTCAGAACGAAACCCAAGCCAATCGTAGACTTATGTGTGTCGTCCCCCCTTGCAATGAAAACCCAAACTCTTGGTAGACCAGCCTTAAACTCAAACCCACAAGACCTTGTTGATTGCCTTTCTGATCTCGCCGCCATTCCAGAGAATGAAGCCACTCAGCTCATGTGTGGGAGCTGCAAGATGTCGATGCCCGGGCTGCAGAAGCTACAGCAGCAACTAAGGAAAGAGAAGCGCAAAGACCTTGTTGATTTTTCATGAAACCAATGCCGTGCTCTCTATTTCCGCGTAGACATAGACATGCAATACCTTGCAGTACGCACACATAGAACATCTGCGCAGATACTTACTAGCCGCGAATCCACTAGTGCCCCAGCCCAATGATAATGTTCGAAGACATGTCGTCGTGAAAACCTGACCAGCATTACCTGAACCTCAACCCGAACCCGAACCGGCAGTGGCCCGGGTTCGGGGGTGGGGGGGGGGACTTGCTGCTGACCAGAAAGTAATGGCTCCTTCGTGTTTACCCGCTGAAAAGCGAAGGATAGCTACGAGCCAACCGCGATGCAGCTGTAAGCTTTCTCCTATTCATTAACTTACTCATTGTCAAGTCACAGGCTGTAAGTAAGATGTAGACTTACATCCAGTCGTGGTGACGTAGCGATCTCGGAAGTCAGAATCAAGACCTGTAAATTAAGCTCCGTTCTCTTACGGACAATTTCTGCGGCTGTCAGCTCATTAAAGCCAAGCCTCAAAACAAAACTTCATTCGTTCGCTACTTGCAGTGTTGCGAGTAGCGGCCTATGCGAGCAAAACGGATACAGAATGACATCAGCTTGCTATGGATACATGAGTATCAGCTTACACAAGGTACCATACCTAGGCTTTACTTTCCTTTTTTAATGAGAAGCCGGGGCAAATCGAGGGTTTGAAGCTTGTAAATTCCTGGGAAGTGTTTCTGGGATTCTTCGATTTTCGATCCTCGGTTTGGCCAGGATGTCCGGAAGGTTGGACTTGATTGGATTTCAACATATGTGGATTTGAACTGGATGTTAAGATTCGAGTTAGGTTCTTCGGAGGCTTGATTTTAAGTGGGTCTCGGGGGTTGCCACGTACATGTGGTGGCTGGAATCACATGTGGGAATAGTGTCGCTGCGACGCAGTACGATGGGAGATCCGTGTACGACATCACTTCTCGGGGGGCCGGGTCGAGGGTTGCTTAAGACATGGTTTTCTTGTTGAGTTGGCTTTGCTCCCAACATGCGCAACATGGCCAGGCTCACTGCCTCAAGCTTTTGAAGACAAGCATACATGTTTGCTGCAGTGGTTCGCGAAGCGCTGCTCGACACTGAGGTGAGAATCTATACACGTTGCTTGAAGTCAGTGAGGCAGCCTCGGTGGAGGCCTCGAGTCCTCGTTTGCTGTCGTGCATTTTTTTTTTAGACTCAGACATCTGGCCCTGTTCAGCAAATCAAGAAGCAGTACCGCAAGCTGGCCCTTCAATACCACCCTGACAAGCAAGACAAGCAAGGCGAGGTTGATCTCTTGGTGGTGGCTTTTAGCGCCTTGTTACGCTGCTAAGACCAGGAGAAACGGAAGAAAAGTCCAGCGGCCTCAGTGAGAAGGAGAGAAGCTGCACCTTTTGAGTGCAGCTATGTGCAGCTGTTGCTGCGCTGCTGCGACTTGCTGTGCATCTCAGGATCAGCACTTCATCAAGATTCAGGAGGCCTACGAGGCCAAGCCGTCGTCGGCTACGCAACAAGGATAAGAACACAAACGCACGCACCCACACACGTACACACACACACACACAGAGCACACGACAACACATAAATTGAACGGACCAGAAACACGAGCAGCACATTGCAAAGGTGACGCTTTTTTTGTAATGCAGGCTTTGTATTTCGTGCCTTTCCAACCACTGTTTCTGTCAGACATGTCCAGAATTGTGAGAAGACATGTCAAGTGTGCATGCATACTCCTTCAAGCTTTAGTGAGCTGTTCCGCAGTGTTCGCACCATCTGCTTACCCTTCAAACTATATGTGAGTTGTGCTGGACCTGCAGGTGTTATCGGACCAGGCGAAGCGACGCCAGTGAGGGACCTGTGCCAGACACCCAGCGGTGCAATCATAGCGTGTTTGCCGTCTTTGCCTAGGTATGACTCCACGCTTGACTTTGACGACGCTGTTCCGGACGAGGTGAGCATCTGGGCGAGCATTTGCACCTGCACGTTGATGTCCAGTGGGGTGTTGGAGGTCGACGAAGACGGCTTCTATGAAACGTTTGGGCCCGTCTTCAGGCGGAACGCTCGCTGGAGCACGAGGCGAGACTCAGATTGTGAGTGCTTGCGGCTTCGTGCCATACAGTGGTCCCTGGATGAACGTACGGGCAGATTTGGTAAACGCTCCGTGTCGACAGACGTTGAGGGGTTGTTATCTACATTTATCTACAATTCGTTCCACACTCCTCCAGGCCCTGTCAAAGACCATTGCGGACCAACTACAAGCAAATTCAGAGAGCACTCCGGATCAATCGGGTTCCTGAGGGGTTATTAGAGGGTCGGCCCACGCCTGCCCTGTTGCGCTGACCGCCCGCAACGCGCCCACAGCAAGTGACGCGCCCACCGTGCACGATGCGCTCGCCCTCCACACCCATCGCGCGCTGCGCCCGCCGCACCTGGAGAAAGATCTGGCCCTCGGTGGATTCGAAAGTCAAAAGGAATGGAAGGTGGCCAGGTCTACATTGCATTGGTGTGTTTGAGCGGTGTCCAAGTGGTGGTTTTGAATGTGAATGGACGGAGCTCAACAACCGCACGCACGAACATTTGTGAGCAGTGCTTCCTGGCTGGTACTCGCATGGCAAAGCTCGAGCTGTCTCTGAGTTTCTCGCCCTTGGCCCGCGGGCGGGCATCTGCTTGGTTTGGTGGTTTCGCCCTGAAGGCAGTCAGGACAGTGCCACATTTACAGTCAAACAGGTCCTATCCCGTCAGTCAGTCTATGACAGCATAGACCCCAATAAACAGCATAAGACACCTCAAGACCACGCCAAGATCACTCCCAGACCACTCCAAGGGGGCTAGACTGTCGGAGGCATGCGGGTTACGCGCGCTCTGGCCGAGGCTCAAGGCTGAGTATGCATGACATGTAGAGTTTGCGGAGGTTCCCTGTACCAGAAATCGGCGATGAGCAGACCGATATGGTAAAGGTCCGCAAGGCTGCCTTCTCATGCGTTGTTGGATGTTCTGGTGTTTGCATGGTATGTCATGTTGTGTGGCATTGATGGCTTAGTAGAGCGTTGAAAGAGTTTATGTGCTATGCAAGTGCGTGAGTTCTACGACTTCTGGCTGTCCTTCGATTCGTGGAGAGATTTCTCAATGCATGATGAGTGCCCATGCCCATTCGCCTGCTGCGATAAAGTTTCGTAAAGCTTCTCTTGTGCTGGTCATCGAGAATGGAGAGAGCATCCCGGTTTCTGTCAGAGGTACAATCTCGATGATGCGGAGTTTCGGGAGGCTGTCGCGCCAACTTTGCGCAACCGGCGCAACCTACAGTCTACTTCCTGTACCGGCGAGCATTCTGCCATCGATGTAGTTGTCTTTTCGAAAGAGCTGGTGGAACGTGCGCATGTCATGCATGCCTACTGTCAATGTCATGGCCGACAGCTCCAGCACACATCTGCAAAGTGATGTCACGCCCGAGATCAGCTACGTTGATGCTGCGTTTGTGTCAGGAACGAAGGTGGATGGAAAGGCAGAATCAGCGAATCCGGAAGAAGTGCCTCCTCTGGTTCGAGCTAGTCTCGAGCTAGCTTTCTATGCCTTTCCTCAGCAGCTTCCAGTAGCCGTCAGGTATGTTGAGGCTGAGCGAAAGAGAATTATGCGACTTGTGGAAAATGTGAGGCGCTTGGAAGGTGTTTTTGTTTGGTAGTGATTCAATTGTGCAACGTGCTTCGCGTGTCTAAGGCAGAAAGGTTTGATCCTCGAATACGAGCTGAAAGAGAGGCAGTGGACTTTTCGTTCATCTTGCGCTCGGTGTGCCGATCTTGGGGCCGGCATTTCAGGCACGTGAGAAGAAGAAGCGAGAGGAAAAGGCCCGCCTTGGTATGGCGGCAACAACAATGCAATGCTGAACCTTGTGCAATGCATCACTGCATTGAGAATCACATCCTCCATGTGCTCGCGTGTTGTTTCAATCCAGATGGGGCTGACAGTGCAGCCGTTTCATGGAACAAGAGTTTGACATGAAAGTGTTGGAGTTGTCCAATCTTGAGGAGAAGAGAGCTCGAGCGAAGCAGGAGGAGCTTGAAGCAAAGCAAAGGGAGGAGGAGGAGCCATCAAGTATGTTTCCAAATCGGTCTTTGAGTTCATGCAGTATGGTCTCACTCTGGCGGAGGAGAAGCGAAGGAAGGCTGAACAGGAAGAGGCCGAACGGGTGGAGAAGGTTGGGTGCTGAGCCATGCTGAGACAGCTTTGCTTAAGTTGTGAAGTGTCATGTCACCATTGCACGCATTGCACCACGTGAATGCTGGCGCTTCGCCCCTGTATGAGTGTGAGTGCATCGAGGAGCGCTTGCTGCGTGAGCAGAGGAAGCAGGACAAGCAGGTGGGCAGAAGGGGTAGGCCAGTCGTAGGCCAGTCGTGCCCGAATGCAGCCGAGGTGGCAAAGACCCTACGACAACGTTTTAAAAAGATCGTGCAAGGAAAATGCACGCTACAGCAGCTGGAGCTCGAGGACTGTCCTTTGTGGCTGAGGAAGCCCTCCCAAGCCGATTTCCAAAGCCGATTATATTTTTTGGATACCATTCCTCCCACGCGCCGCTCGCGGCCACCATCAAAAGTGCTGTTATAGGGTACGGCCATAAACTTGAGAGCCTGCATAGGGTTTGGTTTCGGCTTGGCATCAGGATGTGTAGGAGAATAGGCCACATGTGTCTGAGAGAGGCTTGCTGAGTCGCTGAGTGTGATTCATGGAAAGGCAACCGAGCTAAGATGTGTGGTGAAAAAAGACCAATAGCTCGTGAACTACTTCTTAAAGGACAAAGATGGCTTTACTCAGGAGCTTCAAGACTTCTGCCTCGTGATGGATTCAGAGAAGCTCCAAGATCTGTGTGATCGTCTTGAGGTGCGCTAGTAGTGTGCCGACATATGCTGACATCTATTATGGCCGTGCTGCTTGGTGCAGGTAAATGTTCGTGAACTAAAGTTCGCAGTACGGACGTCAAGCGGAACATCTGTGTAGTGACAGACACTGTCCTGACAGGGAATATCGGATGCCAAAGAATCAGAGGCGTTTGTTCGGTCGGAGCTTTGTGAGGCGAGGTCATTGTGTTGCAGATACTTCACGAGAATGCCTTGGCGGTTTCTATGTATCTTATTGCATGCCTCCAAGTATATGAGGGAGTACAGTGAAAGGCTTCCCCCCACATCTGGCATGAGCAATGGTCTTCTAGCATTTTACGGTTGAGACAGGGGTTCGCAGAGATTTGACTCTCTTGCTTTGGGTAGGTTTTTCGTTGGTGGCTTCAGGTTACTTGGTTGGTCGGCACCGGATGTAATGTGCACCTGTCCCAATCCTTTGCAGACCATGCAGTTCCGGCGCCAGTTGCGGTGGTTTTGTTCTGGATACCCCCCCTCCCTTGTTTGGAACTTGAGGTAAGAGTGCACCTACTGAGCTGCAAAAGTTACATGCCAAAACACAGAAGACTTTGAGCCAACATCACTGGAAACACGTTTTGTCAGGTTGTCAGGTGCGGTTGGTTTGTAGGCAACGTCCGAGAACTCTCTGCTACCAGGTTGGACCACAACATGAGAAGGTGGGTTCTCCAAGCATAAAATGTTCCACAACATGTTTGCCAGAAACGTTTGTTCCACCTCTTCAGTCTCAGGCCCGACTCGCCTAGGGCACTCATGTTCGAAAGGCTCTATGCGCCACCAGGTTTTTGGGATCTGGAAGCATTCTGTTTGAGTCCATGTTGTAGCTAGAACATCTGGGTGGGAACAGCGGAAAATCGCGGAGCATGTGGTCAGTTCTCTAAACTATCGAGACAGCCTCGCTTATGAAGGGGGTTCAAATTCTCTCAGATTCGATATCGTTTCCGCAGCTGAAGCAGCTTGGGTACAACTTGCCGCAAGTTCCAGTTTAACAGCTACAGTTACCTGTGATACTCATGCAGCATCACGTTCATCGAGAATGAACTCTTTTTGCCAACATGTTTTTTTGCTATGGTACAGCCTCTATTGAAACGGCTAAGTGCCATACTTCGTTCAAGTATTGTATACAGATTTCATACTGTATTCAATCCCCCGCGGGCATGCTTTTTATCAGTAGATACCCGATCAGTGCTGCGACTGGTACCACATGGCACGAGTATGCCACTCACTTGTTGTGACGGTTACCGAAGTTTTTTCAATCGTTCTACAGGCGTTTGTTTAGTTCGACTCACTGGAAATCTTTTCCGAGTGAAGGCAGGGGCCGCATGTGCCCTGGCTCAGAGGCCTTGGTGTTCCTTTTTGTGTTTTTTTTTTTTTTTTTAAAGTCTTGTGCTTCTCCATGGTCGTTTGAGTGTTGTTGCTTTTTTCGTCGGAATTTGGGAAACAACCGACGACCGCTGCTTGGATTCTACCTACTTCCTTGGGGCGACTGGCGACTCACCGCAGGCGCGCAAGCGGCGTGCGGAAGAGGAGCGGCAACGGCAGGAAAGGCCGAAGCGCCGCGAACTAATGCTTGTCGGTGCTCAGACCTCAGCCTTTACCTGGAAAACTGGAGCCAGGCAGAAGCAGGAGGCAAAGAGGCGTGAGGAGGAGAAGGCCACAGAATCAAAGGCCTGTGCGACGTCATGCCTGTTGCAAGTGGTCTGCCGACAAGTGAGACACTGCACTGGCAGGAGTCTACGCCGTGGACGACCGATGAGCTCGGGGTTTTGGCAAAGGGTCTGCAAAAGTCATTGACCTGGCGAAGTATTTCATGGCACGTCTGACCCTGTCTGGTCGTTCTTCTGTTGCATGGTGTTCGGGCACAGATTGCAGATGCATTCTCAGGTTTCCTGGGGGAATGGGTGGCCGCTGGAACTTGATCACGTCGCCCACCCCAGCGTTTCAACAGATCTTTGCTGGCACATTGCCACAGCAGCTTTTGCAAGTTCCTCGTTTGGCTAATTCAGCCGGTCTGGAGTAGGATGTTCAGATGAGATGGCTCCACTGCAAATCATGGCAGGAAGTTGCTGAATGACAGCGGGTACCCTCGGGCAGAGAAGGAAGTGGTTGAGAAGACCAAGGATGCACGTTAATGCAAATGCACTGCACAAAAATTTGAACTTCGAGAAGTTTTCGTTTTTAAGAGTGCGCTCGTGATTTCTTTGAGGAGCTGTCCGAAGGTCAGTCGCTACGGTCCATGGGGTCTAAGATCTCGCAGGACTTTCAGGCGCTGTGGTGCACCAACTTAGCAGTAGATTCTGAGATATTCTCAGTACCTTAGTGCTGCCAGGCGCCCAGTGCAAAAGCAAAGGCCAAGGCGCGATGCACACTTGAGATAATAAGCTCTCCGGAGGAGTGTAGCGTCAAGTGTGACTCTCCGTTCTCGCTGCCTTTTTGGACATCTCTGTCATTGTACCAGAAACAGTACGAAAGAACCGCTGTCAAAAATATCACACGGTGTGGTCCTTTCACAGATTTTCACAGCTTTGCAGAGGGCTCTTTCTCTTCGTCTTGCCTGCTAAATGCTGCGCGGCTGACACTGTGAGCGGTGCCCACGTAGAAGAGGGCACGCGCGACAGCAGTGCAATGGTGCCTTCGTGGCCCTCAAGAAGGGAATCTCTCAAGATTCTAAGAACCGATGGGCAGGACACCAGGCCATACGTTGTGGCATAAGCTGTGACAACTTCTGCTCCAAATCCAAACCTCTTGAAGATGGAGAGCAGGAGTTGTCAAATCTGAAGAGTAGGTGATAGTGGGTTGGCAGACTAGATGCGAAACTCTCATGAAAGGAAGTACGGAGTCGACAACTCAAATCTTTGAAGACCCTTCACAAGAGACTCCAAAAGTTTATAACGTAATATCTACAGCCGCACATCCTGGGGGAGGTGACACGTCCAGGACAAGAGGGCCAATTGAGCAGTCGCAAACTCTGAAAACGAAAGCCGTATGCGCGAGTGATCACCAAAGTGATCCGCATCCCACGCCGGAATGCTCGGCAACATGGTACTACTGTTGAGATAGGTAGACAGCAGCTGGCAGCAAGCAGCATTGCTCCACTTTCTGAGTTTCCATGCAGAGGCTGCTCCAAACGAGGCGCGCACCGTCACCCAAAGTGCTTGAGAAGCGCCCTGCGCTTCGCTGAAATTCTGCCAAGGCGGAGAAGGCAGAGAAGGCGGAGCCTAAGGCGGAGAAGGTGGAGACGAAGGCCGCTGACAGCATGGAGATGCACTGTTACAGATATTGGCAGAAATTCTCTCTCTCTCTCTCTCTCTCTCTCTCTCCCTCCCCTCTGTTGAACTTTTTCAGGACATGGACTGGACCGCGGAGCAACAGCAGGCGCTCGAGAAAGCACTCCAAAGGCGGCAAGAGGGAAGGGCTTGCAGCTTGCAGCTGTTGCAAGGGGTCCGCATCGACGATTTTCAGGCACCCTGCAACTCTGGATAAGAACGAGCGCTGGAAGCTGATCGCAGCTGACGCCCGCTGCCGAGTTTGTGGTTGGCGCTTTTCGCATTGCTCCTCCCTTAAACGATGCTCAAGGTCCCGGGCAAAACAAAAGCCCAATGCGTGGAGCGGTTCAAGTTTTTGCGAGAGCAGCTCAGCAAGGCTTGACTGCAGGATTCGTGTTGGATTTGTGTTGGAGCATGGATCTGCAGTCCCGACCTGTCCCGACCTGTGCCTCACTGCGAGGCCAAGAGTTGAGTCAATCCAATCAAGAAGCACCAGATCAACGAAGCCATCTCGATCATCCCGAACGCTTTGCTCATTGCCGGCGGGTCGAAGGAGCATCGGAGATTTCTCTGGCACTGCGTCATGGAGCACGGCTGTATTGGACATTATTGGACGTTCTGATATGGCATGAAGGGCTCTTGAGAGGACCGCGGATAGATTTGTAGAGCTCAGAAGGCCCTCGCAAAAGCTTGAGCGCCTGCCCAGGGAGGAAAGATCGACTCCGCCAGGGGGTTCAGGGGCATCTGCTTCTTTCGCTGAAGTTTTGTGGAGTGTGGGGTTGTGTTTCTTCGGCTCAATCCTAGCAGACAGACATTAGCGACATTGGTGCAGAAGGATCGCTTGCTGCCACCGCTGAAGATAGATAGTTCCGGGCAGTTACTCTTTTAGACCTTTCGTAATCTTCGTGCATTTTGCAAAGACCAGGGCTTTCTTGGACTTGCAATGCTAGTCCACCAACATGAAGAGCTGGGCCGTGCGGCAGCTGGCTTCGGCCTTGTGTGAGGCTTAGGCTTAGGTGATGCGACATGAAAGTGAGAGTTGCCTTTCTGCAGCTCTGATGCATTCACATACCACATTCACATGCTCATGGGCCCTTCCCAGTTCCAAGCAGCCACACACAGTACTGTTGAGATTTTCGAATCACAGGTCCGACTACGTTGATGGCATCTCCCCGGAGACAGTGCAAGCTAGTCTTGGTCGAGATATCGGCGTGTTGGAGCTCAACGGTGCCAGGGTCAGTGCGCAGGCCATGCTGAGGAGTCGAGCACAAGGGTGGAGGTTTGGTGCACGGAGTGCAGATGAGTGCAGACTGCAGGCCGTCGAGAAGTACGGACTTGAGTTGCTGAATAGCGAGCTGAGCATCGATGTTCGGCGCTCAGTTCATGTGACCATGTTTGACCCCTGTGCCACATCATTGCACTGGGGATCATGAGGCCAGAGTCCCATGGCGCCACCTGAGCTCCCAGCCGACGACACTTTCTGTGCGCTCCGTTCGCTTAGAGCTTCGCCTGCGCTCCAAGCAGCGACCTGGCATATTTCTAAGTCAGCCTTCTTGCATTTCCTGCAAAGCAAGGCAGTGGGCTAGTTTTCGCTGCAGGAGTATCGACTTGCTTGCTCCGTTAAACCTCAGCACTGGGAACAGTGTGAGAATGTCAGTTCTGTGGGCAAAGCATTCGGTGGAATCAAGTGAGAACTTCACGGCGCAAGGGCATCCGGCTTCTGGCAGGTGCAAGGCAGTTTAGTCAGTGGAATCAGTGAAATCTTTCCTCGCAGCCTGAGTGCTCAACAAAGCAAGTGAACTGTTGGATTCTTTTGGAAGCTGTTGGTACGTTTCGAGAAATTTCTAAGGATACCAACTGCTGGACAGCCAAAGGAGAGCAAGGAAGCTGAGGCATCTGCGGGCTTCTATAGCTTCTATACTGTGCTTCGACATCCCCACTGTGCCCGAAGGTTAAAAAGATTGAGGAGCAAATGCTAGCTGAAGCCGATTCGGCTCCGGCCTCATGTCGAGAAGGAGCAGCGCTTCTTGTTTGGGGACGCAGTGAAGCACTCACCATGTCGCAGAGGCTCACGGAAGCTCCTCGGGATTCGTACTGGGACGAGTTGCACGAGTGTCTCATGCAATCTTGCGACAACTGCGGGTGACCTTAGGGAAGCTGGAGGCTTGCACCGTCACCCATGCCATTTGTTACTCGCAATGCCTGTTTAGACACTGCTTCTTCTGCGCATGCATGGGCAGGCACACGTGCATCATGAACTTCCGGAGAAGGCTGCGTTAAAACTTGATCTCGCACACATATACACATATATGGACGAGTATGTATGTATGTATGTATGTATGTATGTATGTATGTATGTATGTATGTATGTATGTATGTATGTATGTATGTATGTATGTATGTATGTATTATGTAAATGAAAGTACTTATTTTGTGTTTGCACATACAAAAATATATATATATATATATATATGTGTGTGTGTGTGTGTATTTACATATATACACCGACACCGATTTTTGTTTTCATATCGCTACAGCTTTTCCATGTGAGGCGCCTCTGTCACTCTCCTTGGGAGAGTCCCGATTGGAAAGCGTGGGCAGTGACTGGACGAGCCTGCCACTTCTAGAGGAGTCCACTTTGCGCAAGGCTACTCGGCCATGTGGATGTATGTAGTTCGCCAATCGTGCGGTGGCGGAACATTCCCATGGTTATGAGGCAACCCTTCACAGCATGCGCAGACACGCAGAAAGTCGTGCAAGCTTCGTGCAGGTCCTGAGCTTTTCTGGATTTGAACTACGGCTGGGAGGTGCGCTCACGGTGGGCTGCTGCTGATTGAGACGCGATGTATCTATGCGAAGAAACATGCGGCTGATGTTGTCACTAGCCCGTTCGCGTTAGTAGTCGCAGCATAACATGTTTCTAGCCGCAGTGAGGCTGCCTCTGCTTCGCATTTACCATAGGGGCAGAAGGGGCGGGCAGTGCAAGAGCAATTAAGTGAGGCCTCATGTGCTCGTGGGCACGCATAGCGGATGAGTTCTTAGGCTCTGTTGCGGGCTGCATCCGGAGTTGCAGGCCAGGAGCTCTTCGGTCCACTGTCGCTGCAAGCGAAGTTGCTGCACTCTCCGGAAGAGGCCCTTGCAAAGCTTTGGCTGGAGCTTCCGCAGGACCACAAGACACATCAAGTTGACATCAAAGAGCACCAGCAAGGATATGAACAAATACGTCTCTCTCTCACTCTCTCTCTCTCTCTCTCCTCCAATTTGTGCAGCATACATGTTTATGGATTTGTCTTTTCGTTTTCCCTGGCTTCCAATGACATGTCAAAGCATTAAAGGGCTTTGGCAGTTTCTGCAAACCTCAACATGCAATGAGATGCTTCGAGCAGTTTGTGGAAGAAGAGGAGGCGGGCTCAGATTAGATCTCGACACAATTCAAACACATAGCGATGCAACGCCAAAGCGTGAACGGAAACAATACAAGCCGGCCGCAGTCAGCACTGAAGACAGCAGTCGAACTAGCTGCAATCTCAGCCGCAACCAAGCAAGAACAAGACCAGCAGCGGCGACGGCGACGGCAACGCAGCCGCAGCCGCAGCCGCAGCAGCAGCAGGAGGAGGTACAGTACCAATAACCACAACAGCAACACAAATCGACAGCCACAACCTCACCGACATCGGTTGCTACTCTGCCATCAGATAAGGTTAGCTGTACCATGCAGAGTCACGTGCCATTGCGAAACCTTGCGGATGCAAGGGAGTTGCCAGAGTTTCTTGTTGGCTAGTGACTAGTGGTCATTCCTACACACGTATGTCATCATGATGTCCTGTGCCTTTAGGGCTTGGATGGTCCTGTACTGCATTGTATAAAGTATGCAGGAGGCAGATGCGGCTTTCCGCATTTCTGCAACGATGCTCAAAGAGCTGCGAAGCTGGTTTGACTGGGCCGTGCGACGGTATTTAACAACGTACTGCAGCGACGGACGGGAGCTGTCAGAGGCAGCAGGTCAAAAGTATGCGCTATTGTACTCACAAAAGACAGCAGGAGCTTCTTATGATGAGGGGCTTCTTCAAAGACTGGAAGAAGCTGCAACTGCCAGATGGTTGGCAAAGTGGAGGAGCCAGAGCCGTCTCGTCTCTAAGTCGGAGTCGGCACAATCAAGCGGCAGTCAATGGCAGTGGTGGAACTGGGCGAGTGGTGCATATGGCTATGACGGCTATGGACCCGCTGTCGAAGGCGAAGTGCCCGAAGTAAGAGAAGCATGGATGGAGCCTGACAGTGTCCCTTCCGTCAGAGCATTCCTAGATGAGGTTGGTTCAGATGAGCCGCTGCCTGAGCTCGCAACGCCGACTCGCCTAGAAGTGGACATGCTGATACCGCAATACACAGCCCTTTGCACTGCCTCAGGCACAGTGTTTGCATGAACATATATGAACATCAGTAGTTCGTTTTTTTGTTTTGTTCAAGTTGTGATTTTCCGTCCCTGAGCAGGTGGCCTGCTGACTGCATCCGTGGGAGGCGTGGCCTTTTCGCTGGGTGTCACTGCGGAAGCAGATGGTTCAGGTTCCGCATCCTTGAAACGACGCATCTCATCGACTGTCAAGATCTCGTCAATGGAAGTGTGCTTGGACAAGCAGCCTTTCGTACAGCTTTTGCAGAGGCCAGGCACTCGGTCGCAGAGAAGATCTTTCGAGACAGAGCAACAATCTCACAGGCATGGGTTCGCCCAAACGCATGCGCAAGACATGTGCAAGTCATGGCAAGACAACAGGCGCGTGTTAGGGATGTACTACGATGTACTGTACAGTAAGATGCGTGTGACAACACGTGTGCTGCGTCAGCCTCTAGAATGTGAAGATTGTGAAGGCTGGAAGCTGGAGATGGAATGCAACTGCGTCTTTTGGCAGAGGAGAAGCCAGCCACTCCGTGGGATGTGTCAATATCCCTGTTGGGTGAGCCAGTGCAGGTCTGGCAGGGCATGATAGTGATGGGCAGTGCAGTTTTTTTTTCAGTATCACGTTCCACTAAGATTGGGGCTTTGCGATTCGAGAAACATTGCATGCATTAAACACAAAGCTTCGCCAAACAACCTGACAGGTTCAGCTTGCCCCTTGGAGTTTGCATGGCGCCCTGCGGACGGCGCATGATGTGTGGAAAGCCTGGAGGGGCGACACTGCGCGTGCCATAGAAGTCCCGCGTGTGAGCGATGTGAGCGACCTGAGCGTCGACACGGACTTGAGGGAGACTGAAGCGACCGAAGCGACTGAAGCGGTGGCTGCATCAGCGACCGGGGCCTCCGGCTTGGAAGGGCTCGAGTCGCTCGAGTCGCTGGAGTCTCGGTTCTGTTTTCGGGTTGAGGTGGAGGCACCTATTCTGCGTTTGCAGGCTTGGGAAGATGGAGCTTCTCTTGAGCTACATCTCGGCCGCTTCTTCAGCAGGTCCTTGGAAAAGCAAAGGCTGAAGCTCGACGCAGCATGCAAGTCTTCACTGACAGCTCTTGTCGAGCAAGCTGCCGAATCCGTAAAGCCTGCAAACTTGGCCTTGCTTTGCGAGCTGCGCGATACCAGGCTGACACTAATAGAGCCAGGGAAAGAGGATCGCACGCCATACGAGCCTTCGACCATCGTTTTCGGTGCCTTCCTTGACGAAGGCATCCAATTGCACACCGAGGCCACCGAGATACGTTTGCACATTGACCCAGGCTTGCTTCGTTTGCTCGGACAGATCCATGGTGGCCTAGACTTTGCAGTGGCACCATTGTCAAGGGACTTTGTGGAATCGTCATCTCCTGTGTGGAGGCCTCGCAAGCCCAAGAAGGCCTCAACCTTGACGGGTGTTCCGTTGAGTTTCACTTTGAACACGAGTAGCTTCGACATCATTTGGGATCCCGAGGGCGGCCGGGGATTCCACGAAGGATCCGTGAAAGGACATGTTGCTGGATTCCGGATTGGCCTCAATGCAGATGCTGCTGGAGTTAATCTTGTTAGTGCAGCGCAAGATCTTCGACTCGACTGTGGAGATCGGAGGTTTCTCTCCAGTCTAGGACACCTGGACATCACGGCAAACTATTCGTTGGAGACGGTCCGTCAAGTTCGTCTCCAAATCTCTGCTCCACCCTTGGAGCTTCGCTGGGCAGCAGAATCGATGATAAAAGCGCAGTCAGCTTGGGACACCATCCAGAAGCAGATGCAGAATGGACAGACCGATGCATTGCGACGGTGTGGCTCACAGGAGGTTTTTGTGTCCCGTGCCCTCTGGGATCGCTTTGTGGCGGAGAGGACCGAGGAGCTGCGCGACGCGTGGGACCAGGCCTTGTCCAACTTGAGCGGGCCGTCCGGGCCATCGGCATCGCCGACTTCGTGGGACAATCGGGACAGCGCAGCTCTGTCTGTGGATCTGTGCCTGAGAAGCCAGGAGCTGAGGGCCGTCTTGTTGCGGCCATCTCGGTCTTCCCGTCACGATACCGAGGAGGTGCGCGCCACGATTCTTGGTCTGGAGTGTCGTCTCAGACGGGATGAAAAGCTGCAGCTCACTTCGACCCTTACCAGCTTGGAGCTTTGGCTGGGTCCACGGCTTCTCTTGGCCCCACGGAAACCCGATTTACCTCTCCTTCACGCAACAGTTTCACGCCTCCATCAGGGCCGCTTGGACGTAGACGTGACTTGGGCGCAGATTGCGCTCGTCTATCGCCAGCGTGACTTCGAACGAATTGCAAGCTTGTGTCAGCAGCAGATTTCAGACATTTCCGCGGCGGGGAACTTGGCTGAAACGAGCAAGACATCGCCTGGAGAGTCTGTCTATGATGAGGCTACTTCACCGGTTGGGAAGCCTGAGGCGGAAGTGCAGTCAAAGACATCCGTGAAGTACTGCTTCAACATCGACGCTCCACTTCTTTTCCTACCAGCCAGCACCGGAAAGAACTGCGACGTGGGGGTGCTGCCTCCAGACGACCTCCGAGGTGGTCTAAGCATGGAAGACCCCATTCTTGCTGAGCGGACTTTCCTGCCACTGCCCGATGAAGGATTTGGTGTTGTGGACCTCGGCAATTGTTTGGTTGAGAATGACACTGAGAATGCAACTGACACGACGGTACGTGTTCTGCTGCGACGGTTACAGATCTTTTCTGTTGCCTCGCATGATATGGACACTGACCAGGTCTGGAACCAAGTCTTGATGCCTGTAACCGCGGAAGTGGAAGCACGCAGCGGTGCCAACTCCTTGGACATCCTGGTACAGGTCCCGCTCCATAAATCGGAGAGTCGGTCCGGAACCCATGAGTCAAGTTCACCCGACCCATCCGACCCATCCAATATTAGCTTGACGCGTGCTCAAGCTACTCAGCTCTTCGACGTTTTGTACCTCAACCTGACATATGCTTCTGCTGAGGAGGCACGGCGGCTGAACAACACTCTAGCTTAAGGTCATGTTGGGTTTGGGAAGCACATGGTTAATCATGTGGACACACTGTGCCTCTCAGGTGGAAAGACTGAAAGCGAACCTCAAGTCGCGTCTGCAACAGCAGCTAGCGGAGCGCCTGACGCAGTCGGGTAGAGGCTTCCGATTCAGACTTGAATGGACAGGGTCGCTTGTGGTCGACGCGGGGTTTACCTCATCATCACCTTTGGCCCGCATGGAGATGGCGAATGGTTTTTTTGAATTCTGCCGGCCATTCTCCGATGGCGAGAGCGTCGAGCGCTACATCGAGTTTGTTTGTGAAGGGGGTTGTGTCAAGGATGCTCGGAATGGACAGTCGCGTATGCTGATTGACCTGCCACGTCTTCCACGACGTGGTCTTCATGTCTCAGCAAAGCTGCCGGCTGAGCAGGATGGTGTCACCTCCATGGATGTCAAGCTGCACCAGTGCTGGTCTCAGTTGACATGTTCCGGCGTAGGCTTACCTTAGCAGAGGAAGGGTTTTAGGACGTTTAGGACAGCAACTCAGCAAGCTGCAGCAGTTTGTTCTGGAGGCCCAATCTGTGGCTGTTGCCGCAGCTGTGGACAGACCTCCTCACATGGGCCACATCGATCTATCAGCAGAGTGCACAAGCTGACTACAGTGCAGCTCCCGATGAGGGATCCAGAGCTCAAGCAATTGAGGCATCGCCATTTGTCGGGCTAGAAGCTTAGTGAGGCATGTATGTTGTATCTCGTTTACAGCTTACTGGCTTTTGCTGTGACCTGACGTTCTTGCATCTTATGTTCTGGGCCGGTACAACGCTTTGCTTGGACTAACTCTGTGCCAGAAATGAAAATTGGGCAGGGTGAAGGTTTCTGACAATTCTCTTCAAGCATTGTCAATTGTCCTTGTCGGCAGGTACATGTTCAAGATGGTGCCGTGAGACTTCCGATTGCCTGGGGCACCGAGCACTTTGCGCTGGTTGGAGATGTACTGGTCTCGATGAAGTCTTCTGGAGACAAGCTGAACTTCGAGCGACTTGAACTGCCTAATGTTCGAATCCTCCGTGTTGCCGACGCTGCGACTGACTCGGCTGACGCGGCTGATGCAGCCGATGCAGCTGATGCAGCTGACACTCCAAGTCGACTACTCTGTGAAGATGCGACATTCTTTGCAAAAATCTCTAGCGAGAAACGGTCGGCTGCAGGTGTCAGGCTCAGTGCCTATTCGGCAGAGATTGTCAAGCTGGGGCAGATTGAGCTTAGAATAACTCTGCAAGATGTTCTGGAAGTATCAGAGATGCTAAATGCAATGGCGGCAATGGAGGCAGACACCTCAGAGCCCGAAGAAGAGATCCGAAGAAGAGATCCGCAGTCCTTAGTCCAACGCCAGAAGATCAGCGTTGATGCGTCCATTGAGGTCGATGGAATCCAGTTGCGAGTGCTTGCGCCCCGACCAGTCGTGGAGTTTGCCTTGGGATGTCCACTGATGCAAGTGCACCTGCAGTGGGCCCAGGGGCAAATGCCTGCTGGATCGATTCTGCTGCAAAGTTTGTGGCTTCGCACATCAGCTTTGAACGAGCGGCTGGCGGCGTGGGAGCCCATACTGGGCAAATGCACGTGGAACGTGGACTTCTCCAGCGCAGTTTCTGGCCACCGCCCAGAGGCTAAAATGGAGCTTCACGCTGCACCGTGCTCCCCAATCCAGTTGGCGGTAACGGTCCCAGCAATTCGCGCCTGTTCTCGGCTGGTACAGAGCTTCGACGATACAGCGCGAGCCCGGAAATTGAAAGGCAAACGGCGTGAAGTGGCTGGGAGAAGTGAGCGCGTGAAAGAGAGATTTGAGGACACAGTGTTCGGGCTCAACTTGACTGGCTTGAAATGTCTGGTTTCTCGTGCCGGCATCCATGACATGCAGTCATTTCTGAGTTCTGATGGGCCTTCATCCCAAGCATTGACCCTGAATGCTGAGCCGCAGGGTCTAGATGCCCTCTTGTTCTCAAAGAACTCAAGCGGCAAGTCACATATGCTCAGCGCGTTGCATCTGCAACTTCCCGGCCTCCCTAGCCGCAGCAAAGAAGTCAGGGTGAAGGCGGGTGAGACGACACTTTGGCAGACAAGCGTTGGATGCTTGGTGGTGCGAGTGCTGGTCACCTGCCCTCCGCAATTGCTTCTTATCGTTTCTTCCCCTTTCATGCTGGTGAACCGTACTCTTCTAGATATCAATGTTCGACTGCTTAAGTGCAGTCAAGGATGTGACGGTCATGACACCAGTGCTGGTGGGCTGTGGCCGCCGTTCTGCATTCCGACAAGTCTGCTGGAACCGAGCGGCCCAACTGTGCCCTTGGGCGAGGAGACTACATACAGCCAGGAGTCCACCGACAATTCTTTGTTCTTGCCTTCCAATTTTTGCCTCGCCTTGCCGCCTGAAGTTCTGACGATTGCATCAGGATGCTTTCAGCTTCGGCCATCCGCATCTTCGGTAGGCGGGGTGTCCTTCTCCTGGAGTGCCCCGATCCATCCAAGTCACTTTGACGATGCGCCAGCAATATACTCACGGTCGGTCGCTTCGGACTTCACCTTGCCGGCCTATGGCCTCCGGTTGGCTGTAGACCGCCAAGCACCTGGTGCTTCAATGGAAGGGGTGTACCAGGTGGACATACGACCCCCCTTCAGCCTCTGCAATGCCTGCCCTGTGGATTTGTGCTATGAATTGCGATGGCTATCGACACAAGACGGCTCTTGGGCACCACGCGAATTGCAGCGCGCAGCAGATTCGTGTGATGCGAACGAAGTCCTTCACATTCATGACGGCTATGGTGGAGTTTGGGATGTGCCTCCGAATGGATTCGTTCTTGTCGCGCCCTTACTCACGCGCCATCGAAGCTTCCAGTGGTGGGCCGGAAGCCGCAAGGAGCAGCAGGACTGTCCCAAAGGAACAAACATGTTGGAGGTGAAGCGCTCTGGGCAGCGAGTGGAGTGGCACTTCTGTGGGGCTCAGCGGGGAAAGGTGCAAAAGCATCAGATGCGGCTTCCACCAGGGGATGAGGTTCCGATCTACGAGTTGCCAGAGCAGTTCGGTGCAGTCCAGTCTGGTGGCGTGCTGCGACAGGCTCTCCATCGAAACGAGACAAACTTGCCCCCATTGCTGATGGCCGTCGCCCTGATCGACAAGAACACAGGCAAAAAGTCAACATGGTCCTTAGTCATTCCGGTTCTTGTTGAGGGAACAATGGCCAGCGTCCCTCTGGACATGGGCAAAGGGCTCTGGCTGCGATGTGCCCGACAAACAGGACTCTGCCAGGCTACAGTGTTTGCAAATTCTTGGTTCAATGATGCCACTGGCCTGGGGGCTGTTATGTTAAGAGGGAGGCAGCCTCTGCCCGTCTTCAACAACTTGGCCATTGTGGACCCAGAAGCCTGGGGTGATGAGGATGAGGATGATAAGTCATTCGACGTTACTCTTTCCAGCAGCCACCGTCCTGTCCCAGTGCCTTGCAAGAGCCCCCAGGCCCGAGCCCGAATAGCGAGACCTACGATTACATGCAGCTTCGGTTTTTCCCCATCCTCGGTGTGGGGTTGCTAGATTTTCCTGAAGTGCCCAACCCCAAAGTGTCCCTGGAGTGCCCAACCCCAGAGTATCTCTACCCAGAGAGGGTGGGGATGTTCGAAGTATAATGCATTCTCCAACTACCAGCTTGATCTTCAGAAACATCGTGATTGCTTCCAAGGTACCATTCGTCGGATTGGGGCAGTCTGTGAAGCTGTGGCTGACAGATTTGCACAGTTGCATTTTGAAGAGTGAGCTGATTAGCCTGTCGACGTCCCATGCTGCGAACCCTACGTGGGGCTCTACTTTACTTACTCTCTTACCCGCCGTTCTCGTTTTCAACACTTTAGAATGCGATTTCGGCATCAGGCAGGAGAATGCTTTGAACATCACGTGGTTGGCACCAGGCTCTCGAGCTTCGTTCTATTGGGATGCGCAAAGTACGCCTCGCCGTGTACAGGTGGCTCTGCGCAGCACTGGAGATGTGAAGGGCCTTCGTGCTGAACCGAGTGAGCTGATGTGGTCTGCTTCCTTCGATGTCTCGGAGCACGGGCTTGGGGCTTTCCCAGTAATTCTCTCGGACACGAGGTTCAAAGAGTATCTTTTCTGCCTACAGGTCAGCCAATGCTCTGGACAGCTTATCACGATAACTGCTGCAGGTTCTCACGCTTGCCATCAGTTGCTAAATCGGCATCCTTGCCTCATGGTTGACATTTCTTTTGACGAGATTATAGATGCAACAGACTGCACGTCTCGCTTTGTGGCACTGCACGGGACCAGAGTGGCCTTCGGTTCCTCCGGAGTCCATCCCTTCCAAACTGTCCAAACTATCACGTTAATGATGGTTGACATCCAGAGCCAGAAGACATCGCACCTCAATCTGAGACTAGATTGCCCTGTGAGTCAGACTTTGGAGCCTGGTGCGCTACCGATACCAGTTGCTGTGCGCTTAGACGTATCTGAGCGGGTGGCTCACATATCAATTTCTCCTGTCAGCATCTTGGGAAGCCTTGGTGCGGAGACCTCTCCAACCTCGTGGATGCTGGATGTGGACGTCCGCATCCCTGCCCTTGAGATTGGCATTATGAGCAGCCGGTCTACGCATGAAGAGACTTTGCGATGTGACCTATCAAATTTGACGTTGAAGTGCAGCCAGAAAAATGGAACTCGCACCTCCATCATTGAACTCGTTGCTTTGCAGGTCGACCATCATCCCAAAGGAAGGCGGAAGGGGCCTCGAGCAGCCGTAGTCATGGCATCCTTAGACCAAGGCCATCCGTGGCGAATGCGCATTGAACGTGAGAAGTTGAATGGAACTGATGTCACAATACGATCAGTGGGCCTTGAGTTCTTCCCTGCCCAGCAGAATGAAGAGGTGGTCTTAGAATGCACCGCGTCTGAAGAGCTGCTGGGAGAGCTCAAAGATTTGGTTCGCGAGGCAACCCCACCGCAGCTTGAAGGTATGTGCCTGTTTGATGTCGTTCGTGTGGCGGGCCACGCCTACCACACCACCTTGACGGAGCAGCCCCAGCCGGCGAGAAAGTACATTCTGCACAATATCCAATGTGGGGAGTTCAAGATTGGTGTCTGGTGCAAGCTGAGCAGTGCCAGCTTACCGAGCGTCATCAGCACCATGCTCAAGGTTAGCAGCTTCTCACACACGCTTGAAATTGGGGGCGCTCGCATCAAGCTGCCCAGGCAGAGTCTCTTCAGCAGTGGACGCCCCTTTGAGGGCTCGATGGAGGCACTGGCAAACTGTCTCGTGGAGAAGTACAAGCCCTTCGTTTCCAAGTCGTGGCGGTCGATTCTGAACAACTCGAACGCAGTGCTAGGGGGGTTATTCAGTCGCTACACGTGGGCTCCGCGTCAGCGCAGAATCGACTCACCGAAGCCAGCTTCCATGCTGCTGCTGCACAATGGCATTGTGAAATTGCGAGAAGAGGCTGGAGCACAGGCTGGAGCACAGGGACACCTCCGCGAAGTTCGCGATGTCCGCAAAACACCTGAGGATCTCCACCTGGACGACACGGGCCTTGCGTGCGCCTTGCAAAGTCGCAGTTCGAAGCAGGTCGAAGAGTTCGTAAGGCGCCTGATCCACGAGAGAAGGTACTCGTACGTTTTCGTGTTTTTGCAATCCTTCTTCGCTGTCAGTCTCACTGGAATTTCATTGTCATGACTTTTATGGGTTCTTTTGCTTGACCGATGTACCATACGACACAGGGCACTCGTGGAGATGCTTGGTGCACGAGTGCGTGACGAGCATCGCTTCGCCCAGTATTGCAAGTCTTTGCTAGGCAAGGTTCCAGATGCTTGCCGCTGAGCACTGCTTGCATGACTTGCATTAGTTGCATTACTTGCATTATTGCATTTCTTGCATTGCTGGAATTGCAGCCGAGTCTTGCTTTGCCAAGCAGGCGCGAGAGAAGCGAGTCTGGCAGACGTGGTGGCGTTCCTCACATCCGAGTCAAGCATGAGCGCAGGAGTGGTAAAGCAGCATTAAAGTTCATTAAAGTCTTAACTTAATAGTCTTAACTCAGATGATTGTAAAGCAAAGGTTGCTTGCCAGCTCCTAAGGAGCTGTCAGCAGGGGCAAGCAACTTGTACATACTGCCTGCGAGACTTTGCGTTACGCAAGTGGACAATAACTGGATTAGAACTTGCAAGATGCGTGAGGAAGGTGGCGCTTGTCAGCCGTAGCCGCTACAGGCTGGACATGGTTTTGATGCTTCTTCCTTGTTCTTCGTCTAAGGACTTCCATGCCAATGCCGACAATCTTGCAAGTTCTGCCGGTGTTCATAGCAATCACATGCTCGACCAAAAGCCATGCTGAGGGTCCGCTGGATGTTTCATCTGGCAATATGTGCTTTTTGCGTGTCGTGTTGCGTTGCAACTTTTTGCTTCATTGTTTGCATGTGGACCGATGCCAGCCGCTATGGCCCAAGTATGGTCAGCCAGGGCCAAAGTACACCTGCTGACCTAGCGACATGGGAGATTGGGGTGGACCGGGTGGGCCCCCCTGGGGTCAGAATCCCGGCTGGGGTCCGAACCCCGGCTGGGGTCCGAACCCCGAATATGGTGAAGGCCCAGGCTTTGGTGGCTACCCTCCTTACGGCGGAGGCGGCCCTCCTTACGGCGGGGGCGGAGGTTACTTTGGAGGAGGACTGTCTCTGAACTGAACTCTCTCCTCAGCAGCATGTTGTGATTTGTAGTATGCGGCAGTATGCGTAGTGAAGTTTTGTGAAGTTTAGTAAATGGCGTATCATGTCGACTTCTAACAACTTGACAGGAGATGTCGAGGTAAGGCAGGACACCCGCGCTGGGAAGATGTCGGCGCTCCTTGCTCTGATCTTGCACGGAAGTCTGTCATGAGTCATAAGTCCTTCATAGTCTGCCTTTGATTCTGCTTCGGCCTCTGACATCCCCCCTATAACAGCATTGCCAGTCCGCGATGACTTCGATGTGCATGGGAATGGTTCTTTTTCCTTTGTCGCTGGCACTCCTCGGGTGCCCGCCTCAGGTAGAAGCCGCGTCTTGAGGAACACGAGTGTCACCGCGATTTCTTCGAGTGTCAACAGAAATCCCAGGTGGAACGAGCAGCAGTACGTGTGCACACACAAGAACATTCTCTACGCGCAAAAGATGGCCGAGGCAACAGCTCGCAGATGTACGCTGTGTTCTTCATGCGCGCCTTGCAACTGTCAGCAGAGGTCATAAGCTGCAACGAGCAGCAAAGCTTTTTCCCGGTGCCTTCTTCAGAGCACGGCATCGAGGTTTGTGAAACTTTCCACTGCGTTAGCTGCAGCTCTAGCGCTTGGACAACCTTACGGCCAAGGATATGGTCGTGTACATGGCTTGTCCCATCCACCAGGAGAATGGCCGTAACACGTGGCAGACTCTAGACGACATATGCTGTTGCAAACGTTACGCATGGTAACTTACTGTCAGTTTTTGTCCAGCGCTTGGTAATTTTGTGCCGTTGCAGGACAGCCTGAAGATTTACACTCCAGCAACATTTGGTTCCCTCGGCCTGGGTGAGTCCATCACCTTCAGGCCGGAGTTGTGTCAGATTTCGCAGCTCGCGAGTTCGGTCGTGTGGCTTTGCGCTGTGATGTTACGTGGCTTTGATTCGTCCATGGCCCAGCTGTGCAGGTCGGCAGCAGGCGCCCAGGTCGCTGAGATGTTTCAGTGCGCGTGGCCGGCATTTTGAACTCCCACAGTGTTGCAAACCCCGTTCGCGGCACTGGCAACGATAAAAAGGATGGCATGTATTCCGCATCCTATCACCATGCCTGTCCTCGGATCGACTGCACTGTAGCCAGGTGGAGAGCTCAAGAGACGAAGAAGGGCGCAATAAGGACGAGACAATACGAGTGGACAGCACAGCCGATGGTTTTCTGCATTATTCGATTTGGTCTTGTGGTTTAGATGAGTCAAAACGAATGAGGTCTACAGCTACAAAATGGAATGGCTACGCCATCCTGTGGATGCGAGTACGTTTGCAATGTCGCGCCGCTGGCAGGTTTACGACGGTTGAGACTATCTTTATGATTGAAGACAGTCCTGAAGACGGTTGTTCGAGGTCCCTATCTCTAGTGTTGTATACATTCGCCGTGGCTTCCCAAAAGTCGAAAATCGAGGATGACCGGGGTGAATATAGTCGGAATAAGGTCCTCGTCCTCCAGTCCTCTTTATCAGCCACGCCTTGAGCTGTCTGAAATGCCATCTCGGACCTCGCCGTCCAATTCCTGGTTTTTTGTCATTCCGATCTCCCAGCAATCTCTTCAATGTTCAGTTGAACTGAACAGAAGCCTGAAGCAGCTTAAACTCGCAAACTTAAGATGCCGAAGTAGTTGGTGCAACATGTTTAGTTTGCAGAAGTGCAAGATACAACGTCTTTGCTTTTCTGGGGTTCATGGGGCGACATGTGACACTCAATATCACTCGTAGCAGAGTGGCACAGCGCCGAAGGCGATTTTATGTTGCCTCTTTGTCTGTGGGCAGCTTGTTTCTTGACCTTCTATGCATCCTGCTTTCTTGAGACACGTCCTTGCTGAAGCCCCATGCTGCTGCTTCATTTTTCCCCCGTTTCCACACTGTTCTTTTTCGGGGAACTGTTTGCAGTGTGCACCACCTTGCCCACATTCACCCTTTTGCTGCTTTGTGCAATGCGGCGTAGTGCACGCCGTCGCGGCACTAGCACCGCCCTGCAACACGATGCTAGCACCCTGCTCGCAACGCGGCGCTGCTTGCATGCTCCTTCGCAGTCGCGTGCTTCCGCGTCCAAGCTTTGATGAGCAGGGTGTCGTCCTCCATTTCTACACGCCCGCACACGGGGAAGTCGCTTCGATCCCCCAGTACTCTCTGCCGCTCACAGCCGAAGCAATCCCGACCAAGCCAAAGTCTTTCTTTTCAGAATGCAGGTGTTTCTCGAATCTGAACGTGCGGTTATTCATTCGTTCGTTCGTGGTCTGTTCACTCTCACTCTCTCCCTCTCCCTCTCTCCCTCTCTCTCCCTCTCTCTGCCTCTCTCTCCCTCTCTCTCTCTCCCTCTCTCTCCTCCTCTCTGCCTCTCCCTCCCTCTCTCTCCCTCTCTCTCTCTCTCTCCCTCTCTCTCCCTCTCTCGGCCTCTCTCTCCCTGTCTCTCTCCCTCTCTCTCTTTCCTCTCTACCTCTCTCTACCTCTGTCTACCTTTGTCTACCTTTCTCTACCTCTCTCTACCTCTCTCTACCTCTCTCTACCTCTCTCTACCTCTCTCGACCTCTCTCTCGAGACCTCTCTCGACCTCTCTCGACCTCTCTCTACCTCGCTCTATTTCTCTCTCCTTTCTCTACCTCTCTCTACCTCCTTCTCTCTACCTCTGACTACCTCTGACTACCTCTCTCTACCTCTCTCTACCTCTCTCTACCTCTCTCTACCTCTCTCTACTTCTCTCTACCTCTCTCTACCTCTCTCTACCACTTTCTACCTCTCTCTACCTCTCTCTACGTCTCTCTACCTCTCTCTACCTCTTTCTACCTCTCTACCTTTCTCCACCTCTTTCTACCTTTTTCTAACTTTCTCTACCTCTCTCCACCTCTCTCCACCTCTCTCCTCTTTCTCCTCTCTCTCCTCTATCTCTCCTCCCTCTCCCTCTCCCCCTCTCCCTCTCCCTCTCCCTCTCCCTCTCCCTCTCCCTCTCCCTGTCCCTGTCCCTCTCCCTCTCCCTCTCCCTCTCCCTATCCCTCTCTCCCTCCCCTCTCCCTCTCCCTCCTCCCTCTCCCTCTCCCTCGCCCTCTCCCTCTCCCTCTCCCTCTCCCTCTCCCTCTCCCTCTCCCTCTCCCTCTCCCTCTCCCTCTCCCTCTCCCTCTCCCTCTCTCTCTCTTTCTCTCTCTCTCTCTTTCTCTGCTTGCGCTCAGCCGTGAAGCCAAACAAGGCAAGCCAAAGCCAACACAAACAGGTCGAGCATGCGCCGCGCACATCTTTGCCTCGGCTGCACCATCCCCACACGCAGACATGCAACTACAACATTCCTCTTTCACCGGTGCGAAAAGAAAAGCCTGGGGGATCAAAAACTCAGCACACTGCTGCATGCTCTGCTGCTTGCCCCGCCGCTTGCTCCTCATTGGTGAATTTGGCTGCAAGCTGGTTTCTTCCACTTGCTCCAATTGTTTTTTCACCCACCCTAGCTGTGTCGTGTCGTGCGCACGCGGAGGAGCCAGATACGACCAATTTTATGTACTGACCTCCCGGTGTCATTCGTGCCAGGGGCCAGGCTCAACAAGCCAGGCAGAGTGGCTGCCCTGGTTTTCAAGGTGCGGGACTCGAGTCCGAGAGGTCCCATCGAGTCAAAATTGTTGCACTACGTGTGCCAAAGCTGTCGAGGCAATCCACCTTGGCCGCATGATGTGCTCCCATCGATTGAAACTGATGTGGCCAAAGCCTCGAGCGGCCTTGACATAGCCATGTCTTGCAGAGCCCTCCCGAATCGAACAGCCAAGGCAGAATCCATCCGTGCGGGTCCGGTGACCATCAGCAAGAGCCTGCTCAAAGGATGCTGTGAGCAGCGCTGTTCCACAGCCTATCAAATTTGATTTAGGGAAGAGACAACATGAGACCACTGCCCAACTTTGGCAAGGAGGTAACAGTGACTTCTTTGGGCTCAGTCCTAAGCAAGAGTCGGCCGTGTCGGTGCGAACTGCACAGTCAGGTCAAAAACTTCTCAGCCGAGGCTAGAACCCGACATGACTCGGCCAGTTCAGCTTTCCAGCTTTGCCAACAATTTCCTCCCGATCCACATGCTGCCCATGATGCCGCCGCGCCCGCACCCCAGAGATCCCCTAGATCCCAGACGAACCCCAGCCTCACGCGAGCCTCATTAGCCTGAGCCTCTCCAGTTCTTTCCAGTTGCCAAACACACCGAAGAGCGCACAACAGGCGGAGGGTTCTCCTCCGTCACGCCGCGGACTGCAGTCCGGGGCTACAGGGACGAGTCAGCAGACTGCAGATGTTGATCTCGGGTGCTGTACCGAAGTTGTACTGAGGCCATTGATGCTTCAGGAACTCAGATTCTCACTTGCGCGCAGCCTAGGCGTGGATGTATGACATGTGTCTGAGCAGGTCTAGTTTCCTTTTTGCACTTCCGTCGGATGCACGACAGCAGCGGTTGAATAGCAAAGCGCACCGTGCAGGGTTGGCTGCCTGCGGTTCAAGTATTACCAAAACTGGGACTCCTCCGTCTCCCTAGTGAGCAAAGTTGAAGGAGGCGTGGGTCGCGCAACCAATAGAGCCACAAAGAGACCAGGATTGCATGATACTTGGGCAGGCTACACGGTGCCCATGCAAGTTCCCGAGAGCTGGGGTGTGGTTCCAAGTTGTCTTCGCAGTGCTCTCGATGACTTTTCTCCTGGTTTTCTGTCTGGGAGGCTGCTCGCTGGCTCCCTTCGATGCCTTGCCCGTCCCTCAACCACGGTGCTGTGAACCGCAGAGACACTGAGAGTTTCATGTTGTACAAGTTGTAGTGTATACCGGGTTATGCCATGGCGCACTTGGCATGCTCGAAAGGACTGCCGGCTCAATGGACTTGCCGACGTTCAGTGCCAGATTGGAAGATGCTAACTCTGCAGGGCCCTTGGTGGCTCGGGCTTCGTGAAACTGGGTAACCCTCGAGGCAGACCTTGGTTTCTTTACCCCGCTACGAACGGCATTGTCTTGAGGGTGTGTCTGCAAATGCTCATTTCCCGCTGGCCTCCGGGATTCTGAGGGAAACTTTGAGATCGTGAAGCTGGGGTTGCCAAGGTGGCTTGTGTCTCGAGGAGCTTTGCACTTTGTGCTAGAAGGACCCTGCTTCCAACCCCTTTCTCCAAGGGCCCTATTCTCATGCATTCATATGGCTTCCATGCTCGTATGCTCGTCGGCTTGCGCTGTCATTGCCTACGAGTACTCGTAGTTACTAGTCGCGTGTAGACCGTGGTCTCTGGTGCCCGGGGTTGGCGGACAGCAGAAGGGGCCTGTGGTAGCTCGCGGCCTCCAGAGAGCGTAGAATGCGCAAGGGACACTCAGAACGTCTGTATTAGAGTCTGTCTCTTTTGTGAATTGCATTGAGCTGCTGGACATTTCCCGCTTCCCGCTGAGACCAAAACTTGGATTGTGCGTCTCTCGGGGCTGATCTTCGCCTGGCTGACAGTGTCGAGCTGCCCTTTCTTGAGCTGCCTTTTCGTGAGGTCTTATGAACTGTTGGGCATGTCGATGTGCCAGGTACTGCTGCTTTCAGCCATGCCCTTGGCTAGCACAGTATGACCGTGCTGCTAGGATCGCTGCACTGCTCAGGCGGGCTACTTGTGGCTGGCTAGGTATCCCTGCCATGTCTCAGGCCAATATCTGCCGCCGCAGATATTGTGGGTGATTGCATGACTCTCAGATCTTCTCAGATCTCCTCGGGCCCTAGGCATTTTGCATGCGATTTCACGTGCTGTTTCTCCGAGTTCTTCGATGCATCCCATGCGTTGGAGACTTCATGGAGGACTTGCTGGAAGGCGGGCGGCAGCGACTTGTAAAACCATTGGGATGGGATCATTTGCATGGAGGCTGCCATGAAGAGGCTGCTATTCGGACTGTCAGGTATGGTCGACACGCTGCTTTGCATGGTATCCTGCGGAGTTGGCTGTTCCTGTGGGCTGCTCGTGATCGGCATTGTGTGGCTGTTCATGAGACCACTGTGCTGCTGACCTGATTGAAAACACAAGATGGATCGCAGAGAAGCCGAAGCATCGTGCATATTGCAGCCAATTGCAAAGCATTGCTACAACTCGTCTGTTCGTTGAATGCCAGGATCGGTGGCGGTTTGTTACTCATCTGCCTGGTGCTCGGGATCTGTGCGTATGCGATCGCACACCAACACAAGGCGGGGCCGGGTCACAACAAAAGAGTCCCAATCACTCCTTTATCGTCCTCTCAAGCCTTCAGTCAGTCTCAGTCAGTCTCAGTCAGTCTCAGTCAGTCTCAGTCACTCTCAGCCTCTCCTCTCTCTTTCTCTTCTCTTTGTATCGCTTTCTTTCTCTTTCTGTCTCTATCATTCTCCTTCTTTGTATTTCTTTCTGCTTTTTTTATCCTTCTTTCTGTTTGTTCGCACATACGTTCGGCTGCAACATGCTGCTTCTCAGGCACAGAAAGACATCCAAGAACACTCCGTCCAATTGAAGAAGATGAATGATATGGAGAAGAATAAGATGACTGACTCGGAGGAGGATTCGCCCTGAGGGCGTATCTGATGATTACTAATGGTTCCATAAAGGACATGCCAATGCTTTGCAATTGATTTGAGTAAAATACACCAGGCGAGAAAATGTTGGCAGTTCCAGTGTTCGAGTCTGGATTTGGGTTGGAAAGGCAAGGTGCAGCTGACCACTCTTGCTGATCAAACCATTTTGTCATTGGACGCTTCTGGCCATGCAGTTGTTGTGCTCAAACCTGGGCGTTGCATCGCCACATATCCCTCGGCTTCATCAAGGAGCTTCGAGAGGCCTTGTCAGTGCGAATGCATCCATGGTCTGATGGGCTTTCGATCCTCATAAATTGTGCAAAGTTTGAGGGGGCAAATCGGTTTCATGGTCTCATTAGGTTTCGTCTCCTTCTGCGATTGATAAGTTTTGAGAAGTTTCTGCTGAGTTTCTTTTGAAGTCATTGAAGGTCAGTGTCGCCGGTCCCTAGAAAGCTTCGGCGACCCTTCAGCAAACCTTCTGTAACCCTTCTGCAACATTCTGCAACATGCAGGTTCGGCATCATGGCCGAAGAAGGAGGCTGCAACTCCTTTTTGTCGCTTGTCCTTCGGGCTTCTGCTCTATGCACCACGCAGTTTGGAAGGCAAGATGATGGTAACTCAAGAAAGCAACTGAAAACTGCAACGCCCACACTTGGAACTGGGGCTGGAGTCATGATCCTTCAAGTATGCATGGATCACGTTGCACAAGTTAGCCAGTCTCTAGCTTGCCTTGCGCTGTTTTACGGTTGCTGGGGATGTGATAAAAGGGTAGGACTTGGTGTCCGTGTTGGCATGAGTTGTGGAATGTTGTGGATAGGGTCAGGATGTTCTTTGTGCCAGGAGGAGGGGAGCCGAGCTTCCTCGCCAAGATGGGGGCGAAGCTTGCCTGTCTGCACAGAGTGAAGATCTCAGAAGCCATCAAGATGGTCCTGATTCTCCCTCGCCAGGGCTCCTTTCAGACGATGTGCCTGGGCATGGTCCTCTTTCCGGTATCGCTCCTTCTTATCGGGTGCCCCGGGACTGTTCTTGGAGCCGGTTTCGTGTGCGACTTACCTCTTTCTGCTTCCTTGAACTTTTTCAGCGGTCCCTTGATAAAGGAGTGGGACGCCGCTACTACTTTCCTGCTGCGTGTATTTCCAGTCCAGGACGTTCTCGTCAAGGGTGGGTATATAAGTGCGGGAGTGTTCGAATGTGCGGCAGCGCGCGCGGCGGGCGATAAAAGAGCTCCCGCCCATTATTTGTTCACATCTGTGGCGAATTGCGACCGCATGTGGTGTGGCAGGTACAACGAGAAGAGCTACATGTGTGTCCACAAGAACATCCTGTATGCATCTGAAAAGGCTGAGGCAGCATTGGCATGAACATTATGCCTAGTTGCACGCTTTCCGGCAGATTGTGCACTTCCCTGTCGGCAGAGGTGCTGAACTGCCATGACAAGGGGCATTTCATACCGGCCTCTGCCCCATTTGCGATTTGCAGAAACAACAAGCCCTGCACGCCAAGTCAAGCGAGAATTGAGTGTGCAAAGCAAGGACATGGTCGCTTACGTGGCCTGTCCAATCAAGGAGGCCTGGGTCGACGGGTTCTGTACGGCAGAGCGGAACCGGGCATTGAACTGCAGAGCAAGCTTCGTGTGTGTGAGCAGCGGAAGCAAAAGCGACGTAAGCAACGTGCAGGACAGCCTTATGCACTTTACGCCTGACTCATTTGGCTCAGCGTCCCTGGGAGACTCAATCCAGTTCAGGCCACCTTGCCTTGCACGTGCTTTGCACGACTTTTGCATTGAGGCGAAGCATTGCACTGGCAGGTCAGTTGCAGGAGCTCAAAAAGCAGAGATGTTCCAGTGCGTAGACCTGGCGTGATTGCGCACATTGCGCATCATTGTGTCCTAAAAGGCTCATTCTTTTCAATCTTCATAATGGTCTCCTGAGAGGTGCAGTCAGTGAGAGAGGAGGTGCAAAAGGACAAGACGAAGATCAAGGCACGAGAATGGGGGGGGGGTGCCAGCGTTGTGTTCACTTAGCTTGCAAAGGTCTATAGCTATCGCGCCGAATGGCGAAGCTCCCACGTTGACTCCAGCGGCTTCGCAACAACGTGCCCAGCTTGTTTGTGCTGCTCTTGAGTTTGTCGCGGAAGCCGCTGCTTCACTGCTTGGCTGCTTCCCACACAGTTTTTTTCACTTCCGACGTCACGCGTGAGGCCACAAGCCATGCACGCGAAGCGACAAGGCTGCCCAGGTTTTACACGTACTCGCCTTGATTTTCTCATCTTGGCTGCATATGGGCAGAGTTTCAGATGTGGAGCAAGCACTTGCTGAGACAATCCAGCGTGGCCACAAGATGTACCTGAACATGTATCGGGTGCGATGGCGGGACCCTCAGAGACTCTCTCACACCTCCAAGACGTCCCAAGATGGTGTGCATGCGATGCACATCGATGACACGCAAGGCGCACTCGATCCAACTGGGTCCACTGACGGTCGGCAAAGACCTTCTTTCAGGCTTGATACCATGCACTGCCCGGCTGAAGGTATCTACTGACGCTACCTCCACCTGCCTTCGCACTCTACCGCAGAATCTTGAAGTTTTCACTGGAACCAAAGTCCCATTCAAATCACTACAAGCATAAGCATAAGCCTGATCAGTTCTACTTTGAAGCACCACATTTATCCAAAACATCAACATGCCGAACGAAGGACGACCATGTTTGATACTTCCTCCCTGGTGGAATGTTCTCAATCTGAGCTGTGTGTGGGGCATTTGAACTGGAATCATGGGTGGCCATAAGGACAAGATCTGATCAATGGACCGTTCCCCGGGAAATGTGGGCGGGGCGGGGGATGTATGCGTGCGAGAGGTAAGGGATGCTGGGCAATGCTGGGAGCCCAAAAGCCTACCGCGACAGCCAAACGCGGATTCACATGACTGCGAACCCTGTGCTTCGTTTTGCTGTGCTTTGTGGTTTGCGCCGCGGTGGCCCGTCTCACACCCGGCTTCCCGGTCTTCCCGGTCTTCCCGGTCTTCCCGGTCTTCCCGGTCTTCCCGGTCTTCCCGGTCCTCCCCGGCAAACCCATTCCAGGGGGGCCAGTGCAGAGGACTCAGAGGACCCATCTCCGGTACAGGCATTGAGGGAGCGGATTGGGGAGCCACAAGGTCCATCAAGGCATCAAAGGCCTTCCCACCCGGGAGTCATGAAGAGCACAAATGGAGAACGGTATTGTGCCTTTCAGTGGGGATGCCAGGTGGTGGATCCGGCTTTGGTGGGCGCGATGCTGAGCACAACTGCTTTCTGCTTCTTGTCACATCCGCAGCACCCGCACAAGTTGATCAACAGGTTGCATGCCGATATGAGTCGGCCGATTCCCCTGCAGAGCTTCGCTCACAAGTTCAAAGCTGTACATACTTTGAAAAGTCTGCAGCTCAGCAAGTTCGCGCGCAATGAGAGGTTTTATGGGTATGTTTCGAGGCCCGCCAGTGCATGGCTATGCCTCCATCGCGCCGCACAACACAGCAACTTCGACCAAGTTAGTTTCGATATGTTTCGATGACATGTGCTTGAATGATCTTGAATGCATGTTGAACGTCAATGGATTTGGCAAGCAAGATTTTGCTAGTGTCCATGTTCAAGATGCATGTGGCGCCGAGGCAATTGGAACAACGGGGTCGTACATCATCACGTGCAGTGATCAGAGGACATGGTGCGAGCGGTGCCTGCATCGGGTGCTTGCAGCCATATGCTCCCGGAAGAAGGATTGGCTGTGTGCGTATCAGCTACTACAAGAACTGGGACACCGGGGCATCTGTGATCAGTGCAGTGCAAGGAGGCCTAAGAAGTGTGCGGGAGCGGTGTGTTACGGTGTGTCTGTTTGGGTTTTGTTCATCTGCAGAAGGTCAATCTGTGCCAGTAGACGTCCCCGCCAGCTGGGGCCTGCTTCTCAGTTCGTATGACAGGCAGAATAGCAACAACCCAAGAGTACTTAAGCTCCGTGCAGCAAGATCAAAAAGGATCACAGAGGCTTCACAAGCACGACGCTGCCCACTATGTTGGCTGCAGTCAGAAGAACTCTACGCCCTAAGCAATTCTATACACCGAGTTTAGCCTTGTAGCGATGCTCAACCAGGCTAAGAGAGGGTTTGCCCCAAAAGAATGCCGTGCATCCTTAAACCATCTCAAACCAGGGGTCAAATCTGCGACCCGAAGTAGGAGTGGTTGCAACGGGCGACCTGCATGCCTGTACCCTCGAGGTTGCTCCGCAGATAAGTATGATGCGCTGCTGGAGCCTCAGCAATGGTGTAAGCCTTCACGACCGCCTCTTTTGTGAGCAACAGTCGCTAGTGTGCAAAGAAGCACAACGAAGCTCAGGAGTGGGGGAGTGCAGACCTTGCAAGCCTTTTCCACTGCCTTAGAGGAAGCCAACACCGTGGTAGACCAAGCAACTGATGGTATTTGTCCGTTTGCGAGTCACTCTTTTCAAGTGGCTTGGCATCACTAAGACGAGCACATGGATCATGCGCTTCGTTGGCCTCTGCTTTGCCTGGATAACGGTGTAATCCTGGCTCGGTTATCAGTCAGAGTTCTCCGTGTTGCTTGTGCTTTTGGCCGCGCAGCGCACATCTCGCACAGGTATTGCTGCTTTCAGCCCATTGCTGCCGCAGCTGATGGAGTTGGAGACTGCCCCTCGATGTTTTGGTTCCGAAACGTTCCTTGTTGTGTGGCCGCTGTTGCTGTCACATGGCTAAACACGCAATCTCGCCTCGGCCGGGGCTCGTGGCCGCGACAGCGGCGAGGCAAGGTCGCCACTTCTAGACTTCCAGGAAAGCTTTTGGGAGGTACGGTGGAGCGGGGACAAGCCGAGGAGTGAGCAAAGGGAGGGGGGGGGGGGGGGGGGTTTGTAGGGGGGGGGGGGGGGGGCAGAGAATGCCAAATTGGGTCCTAGAGTGTAGAGGACAAACATGAAACCTGCATTGTGCGAATAAGAAGCGCTGTGGCTGCAGGCAGATGAGAGGTTTCTAAAACTGCCGAGGAGAAAAGGTTGGGGATCTACTAAAAGCGGCTTCAGAAGGGGTCCATAGGGCCATGGGCCATCCAGGGGATCCTTAGACGAAAGCTGAGGAGGCGCGAAGGGCCTCCGAAGTTAAGCGGAAGGGGGCTCGTCCCACGGCCCCACGCCTGCTCAGGGGTCCATAGTCCATAGGGGGAAGGCCCAAATGATGCGTTTTCATTCATTTATGTCAATTTATGTGTCGTATAGCGGCACATGATGCGACATTGTCAGGCGTACTTGCAGTGATTGAACGTGCAGGTCTGAGGATGATTCCGTGTGCTGGCATGTGTTTGGAAGATATGCTAGAGGGCCGCGCTCTTAGTCGATTCGCGCGTTTTTTTATTGCTGTTGGTTTCTATGTGCAATGCCATGTTGTGAACAGCACGACGATGTTTCAAAGCCTAAGGCGTTGTAGGGGCGGTGCTGTGCGTGGTCTCCTGCTGCTTTGGCTGCTCCTGTGGGCTGCTCGTCTTGGGCATCGTCTGGCTCGTCATGCGGCCCCTGCCCGGCTCCTATTTTTGCTCGCTTACTTGAGCAATCTTTAGCAATCTTTAGCAACTGTGGCCCCTTTGAAAACAACACAGCTCCCCTTTCGATCGTTTCTGCTTCGCCAGGATCGGGAGCGCCATGGTGCTGATCTGTGGCTTGCTCTGTGCGGGGGCGTACTTCTTGGCCAAACAGAGCAAGACCAACAACAAGGCGAATGATGCCGAGGAACCCAAGCTCGGTAAGCTCTCTGCATCTCGCTGCGCTCGCTTTTGTTTAACTGGCAGCATGGTGCAAAATGCAAAGCCCCTGTGAGGGGGAGCGGGAGCTGCTGCCTACAAATGGTCCAGAAGGGGCATGAACGAGTGACGAAAGTGAGCAGAAAGTAGCAGTCTTGAAAGCACTGTGATCTTGCTTGGAGAGCGCTCGACAAGAGGGTGGCGCCCAAGTTTGCGCAAAGCGCACGACTTGTATGCTATCGGCTGCAAAGGAGTACACTGGAACTCTAGCATGGCTGTCGACTCTAGGCTCAAAGTAGCTGAAGTCGTGGCACACTTCGCCTGTGGTTCAAAACAATGAGCGGCAGCGAGGCCGATTCCATGAGAGTGGAAGCTGAAGATCCAGAAGATCCAGCCTTCGTTCATGTCTGTCGGTTTTCATGGTCTCGGGATGTCTCGGGTCGCCTCACAGACCTCTGCGTGCAGAGGGATCGCCCAAAGACAACAGCTTCTTCATTCTTGGAAATTGTGCTGCGCAGCATGGCCGAGCCATGATTTCGTCCATCCTCCCAGTGCATCCGTCGACCATTGACCAGGGCGTGAATCCACGGAAGCCGTGATTTCGTGTGTGTTCCCCGTGCATCCAATGACCAGAGCATCCACGGAAGCCGTGATTTCGCCCATGCTCTCAGTGCATCCAGTGTCGATTGCATTCAGAAAAGCCGAGACAGTGCAAAGAGAAGTAGAACCTGATGTGTTGCTGCTGGATCAGCATTGAGCTCCGCGCACTGTACCTTCCAATGAACAACGTGTTGTTTTGTTGCAGTTCTTTAGCCCAATCTGAGCTCAAGTTTCTGGGACTGCTGCACTTGCTTAACGTTCACGTGGAAGCGTCGAGCTGTTGGTGCTTTTTGCATGAAGCATCTACATATCTACGCACTTTCCGATGCAAGCAAGATGCTGCTTCGATAGGCGCAGCCATGCTTGTCGATGCCTGAAACATAAAGTGGCGCAGATGAGAGCTCCTTCAGTGTGTAGTGGCCGTAGGTGACTGTGTGTAGTAGACATGCACTTGTGGCAGATGCGCTGCCTCCCCTCGTGCAGGCGGTGGTGTCCACTTAGCTCCGACAGCAATGTTTCACACAGGATCATTGGTTTATGCATTCTGCCAGGCAATGTGGCAGCCATGGGGTAGAGTGCAAATGCTGCTCATGAGCCTGCAGGTGGGCTGCGTGGCTTGGGTGTGCGTTATGTGCGAGTTCAAACGTTCCCATGCAGGTGATGGGAGGACCAGGATCAAGCCAGTGCAACACCAGCAATGTGGACAGGGCTTGGCCTTTCTTCCGGTTCTGCCCAGAGGCACTTGCCTCAGTCGCCTGCCTGAGACTTGAGAGGAGCGACTCTCATTGACTCTCTGCTTTCCAGGTGCTACTCTCAGGCGAGGGCTGTGAGGCACCGGATCTCTTGAACCTCTAAGTTTATCTGAATAGGAAGTAAGCGCAAGATTCGTCAGCAACAGAACACCTGCAAACAGCACCCGCCTTGTTGATACCTGCCAAGCACTATCTGGCACCCACCTGGGCAAACGTGCAGATCTACGGAGAGCGGCATTCACAAGACTGACGACGGTTGGGTGTGTGTGGCATTGTGCGGTGTTGTCGTGACGTGGGAGGCATTGTGTGGACCAGGGCTTCTGGCCTCGTCGAGAATTCGCTGCCAGGAGAATACTTACATGGACTGAAATCTTGAAAAAGTGCAATTCCTGTTGATTGGAAAGCTGCAGGAGGGAAACCTGCATCTGCCGCGATGCTTGGGTGAAAACTTGACCTGGTCAAACTTTTCCGAAGATGCCGATACTGCCAGCGACAACGTCAGCGACAATACCAGCACAACATCCACCACGTGGACCTCAACGGACACTACCAGTGCTGTCGCCACTGTCGATCCTTACGTGACTTGGAACGACAGCCAAAATGGAAGCGTCGCCAATGCCAATACCTCAGAAATGCTGGGATTGAATGCTTCTGCGACTGCGAGCACGACCAGTACCCTTAACATTTCCGAATTCAGCAGCAGCACAGACACTACCACCACAGCAAGCACGACCAACACGACCGCAAGCACGACCAACACGACTGCAAGCACAACCAGTACAGCAAGCACGGCCAGCACGACCAAAAGCACGACCACAACTTCCCCGACCAGCAGCAGTACCAGCACCAGCAGCAGCCGCAGTAGCAGCACCACCAGCATCAGCACCAGGACCGGCACTAACACCAGCACCAGCACCAGCAGCATCACCAGCACTAGCACCAGCACTAACACCAGCACCAGCACCAGCATCAGTACCAGCACGAGCTACAGCAGCAGCAGCACAAGCAGTCTGTCTCAGAGGCCGGTTAGCACCAGCAGCAGCACCAGCAGCTCTGGAACAGCAAGTACCACGACCAGCTCGACCACCACCTTTACCACCAATACAACTACATCCACAAGCTCTACCCGCCCACGGAAGCCCACAATATCAACAATATCTTCCACATCCTCCTCTGCCTTCACATCTTTCTCCGACGACAACGGGACGCTCAACACAACTTTGACCAGCACAACTGTCACTGAAATGTGCGCCTCTCAGATTGTGGCGTAGCGGACGTGTGGCAGATAGCGAACCCAATTTTCAACCAAGTACCGCGCGTGTTGACAAATTGGGATTCTCAATGTTCTTAGGTTCCCATCTCTTCACAGTAGACGATGCGTTTGTAAGTATTGGGGACACTGTCTTCTCCAACTTCACAATCAAGAAAACTCAGAAAACTCTCACTGCGCCCTTCTGGTGGGCCAGATGCCTGCATTGTAGCCGCTAAAGTGCCCCCGTGTGTGTATGCCGCTGTATGCCCTCCATATTCGTCCAACGATTTGTAGCAGCAGTCTTGCAGATGCGCAGCACATTGATGCTGAGGCTCTTTTTGTCCCTAAACGCCTCAACCCTAAGCATCCCTAAACCCTAAGGCTCCAAGGGATTCCTTTTTTGTTGTTATTATATTATTAGTAGTGCTATTCAATGACGCATATTGTTGTTGTTATTATTACGTTTATTGGTTTTATCTTCCTGCGCCTCTGTGGCCTTCTTCTCCCAGGTATCCGGGCTGTGCCCTCGTCGACAAAGGCTGGAGTTCCTGCCCTAGGCAGGATCTCTCAGATATCAACGGTCTCCGGTTTTTTCTAACGAGTTTTTGCTTCAAAGAGTCTTTACAATGTTGAGCTTCCTTTTTTGAGTTCTCTTTGAGTTGTCTTTTGAGTTTACTTGATGCTTCATGCTGGGAGATGCCTGAGAATGGCAGGTATATGTTTCCACTGGAGCGCTGTGCTGCAATATGTCCACAGCCCGCAGCTGAAGCACGGAAGACTGTGGAAGATGGTCAAAGATTGCTCGCGATCGGCCTGCAGAGGTCCACGCCTGCTGGCGTGTTCATTTGCATTGACGGCCGCTTCTTCGGAAGCTCAGGATGCTTGCAGCAGGAGAACGGGGGAACAAAACGAAGCCGCAGGGGTTTCTCTTCATATGTCTTCTCCATCTCCTCTCGGCTTCCGGTCCGGAGCCTTCTCCAGGCTGAAAGCAGCCAGTGGCGAGGTCCTTTACTGGCCACAGCTATGCGTGCGGGCCACATGCTCAGATGCCCTCATGACTCATCTGAAGCAGCTGCATGCACAGAAATGGAGTCAGAATCTCCCTGGACAGAACAAGTACTTGTTGTGTTGAAAGGAGTCATTGCGCACGGACGCGTGGCATCATGCAAAGCGGATCAACTGTGCCCTCCTGCTGGTTCCTTTCCTTCAAGTCTCATTTCACTTTCCAGCCTGGGACCCCTGAGCTTTCTTGCTGAGCTTCTTGCCTTGCGCAGAGGTACATTGTGTGTGTGTGCGCGCGTGCACGTATGCTTTGGGTATTTTGGGTGTGGGCTGCCGAGACCGCTTTCCAGTCTGGTGAGTGTGCTCCTTCGAGCCTGTAACTTTGCAGTATTTTGCAGTATCATCCCTCATTAGGCAGGAGCCCACCATTCACTAGACGAGCATGGAAACCAGAAATTGAGAGCCGGGTACATTTGGAGCTCACCAACGTGCGCTTGACACGACACGCTTAAGCAACCCGTCCCTGCAGGCTTGAGCTGGACGGATCGGCCCTCTTCGTTGCAAGAAACATTGAGGCTCGCCAATCCATTTGTCCTTGGCTATATCTGCCATCATTATGCTTTCTGCCTGTCATGCGGCTCATGGCTATCTCGTGATATGGCTGATGCACAGGGGTCATGCGGCAGAGGTCACCCATAGGTCACTTCTCTCTCATCTACGTGCTTTATTTTGGGGCTAGGCTGTCCCTCTCAGGCGTGCCCTGGCGGTGAGTCTCGGCACCATGCCTTCCCAGATCGTTCGCCTGCACGTTGTGTCCGAGACAAGGGAAGAAGGTGCAAGCTTGTGTGCATGTTGTGCGTACGGCGTATGCCGTGACTCAGCTCTTCTGTGACACATGTTCAGGTGTGGAGCTCCACGAGGCTGGCTTGGGCGTTCACACCTTTTTGGTTGTGTGCAGTGCGTTGCCCTCTGTCGAGAACTCTCTTCCTTGCTTCCCTTTATCTTACAATATACAACCATTAGTTTACTTGGCTCTCTTGCTTTTCGTATTTCAGTAGAGGCTTACATGGAGCTTGAAAAAAGTAAGTGCCTAAGTTATGCTGCTGCCAAGCGGCCTGCTGCTGCACACTATCCATCGTCGTGTACGACGAGTAGTTTCATGGTGTTAGTGTACTCAGCTGCTGCTGATGTTTTTGACAATTTTTGATGCTTTTGGAGCCTTCTGATAGCTGCAGGTTGCTTTGGTGAGGGTCGGGAGTGGTTGGAACCGCACTCTTGAACGCCCCAATTCTTTCCAGGCTTATGCAAAGCTCCTTAGAAAGTTTGAGGAGTTGCTTGTCAACACATTGCCTTCCGCCGTGGCTGTCAGATGCATGCCCTGCTTGCAGCGGCATCAGGTAAGCGCCTATATTGTGGAGTGGGAGTTCGAGGCCAGCTCTGAGTTGTGATTGTCTTTGAACTCCTTACACTTCGGTCGACTGTCAGTGACTGATGTGACAGGTTCGCCTGAGCGAAGAGTATTCGTTTGACGAGGTTGCCTTGGCCAGCCATGCTGAGCATTTATGTACCATGGGGCAGTGCCAAGGTTTCCTCCAGCTTGGATGGAGTGGGAGATGCGCTGGTATCCCAAGCCAATATCAAGCCACACCAGTCTCTTGAAGTCGGGTCGTGGTTCCCGGAACACTGAGCTGCAACAAGAGCATTTAGTATAAGGTCCAGCTCAGTGAACGTGCTCTTTCGGAATGTCCTGAAGGCCGGCAGTGCTGGGACTTGTCAATACACTGGTTCATGTCGACCCGCGAGCAAATGACAGAAAAGAGAAAGCAAAAGGCACAAAAGCCTTTGAATTCCGTGCAATATTCTTCAATATCCGGGAAATCAGATGAAAAGAACATTTGGCGCAGCTCACTAATGTCGATTGAGGGTTTTGCGCACTTTTTTTAATCGGTCATTTACGAGCCTGATATCTTTAACTGGCTGGCGTGGTCAATAGCAATATCAATCATAGCAACGACTATGATACCATTTCCAAGACCAACGCCAAGGCCCATGCCCATGCCCATGCCAATGCCAATGCCAATGCTAATGCTTGACGATTCAGGAAACTACCCGATTCAGGAAGCTGGCCTCGCGATTCAGGAAACCGCATTTCACGAAACCACGCGATTCAGGAAGGGAAGCTGGTTATCATCTGAAGGGTTTGCGTGCTAATGCGATGGCGAACGAGAAATCCAAGAAACACGCGAACACTGTGTGTTTGGGTTTCTTACCATCCATGTTGTTTATTTCGTTCGCATGCCAGTCCCAGAACTATGGGAAAAAACAGTGGCCATTGACAGGATTTGAAATTATTAAGATGCCCCTATTGTAGTTCTCTTGTGAGGTCAAGAAAAACCCGAAAACCCAGTTAAACCGTTGAGCTCGTGTTTTCTTCACTCTGGACTCGGTGCAATGCGGTTCTCATATACTGCTGCTATGTCGGGTCGTTTGTGAATGCACTCACTTCGCTCGGCTTTTAGAAGTCCTGCCCGTTTTTAGCTGTGTACAGTTCTGAACTCGACTCAGGTACGCGTGTTGAGCTAGAGGTAGAGCGGCATCTCTGTGACCAGACATGACCAGGTTGTGACCAGGTTGTGACCAGGTTGTGACCAGGTTGTGACCCGGCTTTGCCTTCTCAACCCTGGTCTGAAAGATCACACGGATTATGCAAGCTATTCCTGCGCAACTTGACTGATGCCAATCCCTGCCAGGGACTCTCGCAAGTCACGTTAAGATGGGTGAAGCTTGCTATGGCGCCAGGGCCTCTTTGGATGATGGACAGCAATGATAGTGCCGCACGCCTGCCTGAAATCCAGGCCGACAGAATACAACGGATCCATTGTGAACCTGACAACGATTCCAGGCGTTGGAGCTGCTATACTTTCAACCTGAGGGCAGTTGCTGCTGGTGAGTGCATGCCTAGGCCCGCCGTCAGACCCAACAGACGGTTCTCATGATGACAAGCTGGTGATCCTGGCAATTTTCCATAAGCCTGAGCCGCAAGCACCTGGCAGCTTAGCACTGGCAGGAGCCTGACAACTCGGCTCTGGTATCCTCGGTTCTCCTTTCGTTCATGGCTTTTCCTGTGCTGGCAACGGAGCTCAGAATGATGCATTTCCACGTCCGAAGGAAAATGGAAATTGCACCAAGCTCTCGATGCTTCGAGGCTTCGATTTTGCACTTCATCTCTGCAGATGGACGTGTGCCACGTGTGCCACGTGTGCACTCACCGCTTCCAGGACTTTCGGTTGCGCGAAAGTGACTTGCAGATTGTGAGTGGCACATAGTGGCACAGTGCGAGAATTTCGGAGAGGGTCACCAGAAGCCTTCTGATCCCTACTCGTAAGCAGGCCTCAAAGGAAGCCTACACAGGGTTACTCGCGCAACAGTTCAAGCCTGCTTCTAGAAGCCATCGTACCCGGCGACACGTGTAGTGTTTGGCCCGGCCTAGGAAGCCCAAACTGCGAGCACCATACGACAGAACTTCCACCCCCGCGCAGAGTCAGAGTCCTGACGGCAGCATGCCCTGCCCATTAGAGTCATTGCCATGCCCATTAGAAGGGCATCAAGGCATCAAGGACATGTAAAATTCAAAGCGGTATCTTACGAAGCCTGACATCCTTGTTTGAAGCTTTTCGCTTCTCGAAAACGAGCACATGACCGCCGTGAGCAAAAAGGGCAGCCGACAACACAACGGTACAGAAATGCCCCCAGGCCGCTTCAAGGCCGACTTTACTATTGCCTCCCGCTTGACAATACTTTTGGCGGCATCTTCCGTCCGTTGCAGGGCGTCGCGCTGTTTTTTACGATCCTGCTTCATTCTAAGACCCGGGTCGTGCAAGTCGCAGTGGATCCTATGGACAGGCAAAGTATGGCAAAGTGGACATGAGCGTTTCAGAGCCGGATCGGCCCCGCAGCTAGCGAGATCTAGTGAACTCTCGACCTGTTCTTGGTTTGATGGATGAAGACGTCTATTTGCATGCCCCTGCCGGTCTAGACCTCCCCCTGAGTACTTGTAATACGAGGTAACCAAAACAGCACAACACACCCTGGGACCAAGCCGTCCCGGGCAACCGTTCTTCAAGTCATCCTTTCGTACATCTTGCGCAGCCTCTCCGTACCGTTTCAGATCCTACATTTGTCGCCCCCTGCTTTTCTGGAAGTTGAGCCGATTCCTTGCCGCTGTTTTGAAGTGCAGCAAAAGCACATCACCGACACCACCGACGACAACAACAACATCCGGCAGCGGCAGCGGCAAGGGCAGCGGCAGTGTGCAGTACTTGTGCAGTCAAAAGATGTGGTGTGGAGATGACTCTTGAGGTGACTGGAGGTCCTGAGAAGCGCCTAATTCTTTCGTTTTTTTGGGGGCCAAACCTGGGTGGTATTGGTAATGTAAGGCGGTTGGTATCGGATCTCCTCTTATCACAAAGGACTCTCCAGACTATCCCCAAGAAGCGTGGCGAAGTAAACCCCTGATGTAAGAAGCGGATAGGACCGGATTGAAAGCAATACTCACGTCTGGTTACCAGCTTTAGCGCCCCAGAAGCCTGAAAGTCGAATTTGAGAGTGCGCAACCAGCGAAAAGCCAATACAGGCAAGCAAGCTTGATCCTCATAGGCGTGCTGCACCACGTCTGCGCGCACGTGTACTGTAGAGATTTGACTCGGTGTTTGCCATGCGCCAGGATTCGACCCTGCAAATGCGCCGGAGCTGCCGAGCATTCAACGTCGAAGCAAGGCGAAAGCAACCCGATCCTCTTACCGGGACTAGCCTTTTCTAGGGTCTCCTAGGTGTCAGACGTCCCTGGGTTTTCCTGCCATCCGGCAGAGTGTACATAACTGACATGGAGTCTGCGAGCATCCGATTCCCTGCCAAAGGCGCAGGCTAATCCCAACGAAGACCGGGGATTAGATCGCACGTTTTCTCTGTAACGAGCTCTACAGGCTTTGCATATATTCACTTCTTGCACGAGAAAGGAGGATGTGCTGCTGGAGTGGTACGCTTGACACCGGGTGGGTGATTGCCTCGTGCACGCTGTTCACCGATGCCGATGTGACTTGCAGCTAATGAAGACATGGAAAGCAATTCCACGCAGCAGACAGTCATGACTTTCGACATTTCTCCTGCAGAGATGCTGACACTTCACATGAAATTAGCTGAAGAGCTTTTGAGACAGATGGCTGTGATGGCTTTCTGAACCTGTGTGGAGATGGCATTGGTCAACAACTCCGAGGCGCGTGCAGATGCAGCCCAGATGCAGCCAGATGCACTGCAGTCCAATTTAGTGTCCAACATTGTCTGGCTTCTTTTCCGTTCCAAGCGTACTTTCTCAGGGATGCTCATGATTGTTGTTGTCTCGTGAGCAGTGCAGTCAAAACGATAGGTGCTAAGTCTGTCAGCATCGCTCGGCAGGTTCAGTCTGAACTGGCTACGCTGGTGCAGGATGCGCTGAGGAGCTCTCACAGCAAGTTCGTGCTGTTCTGTCATATCGAGAAATGCAAGGCATGCGACGTGGTCGTTCAGCATAGCCTGACCAGTTCTGACCAGAGGTTGGAAACGCAATTGCAAAATGCTCGCGGAGGGCGTGGAGTGCTAGAGTCACCACCAGTTGGCTGTGCCACCTCTGACGAGATCTGCGAGAAGTCGGAGAGAAGTAGTGCTCTTCATGCTGCCTGGCACGAACACGCGGTCATTCTGGGTGTTGGATAAACCTGAACTGCTGGTCATTGTCAAAGCAAACTCCCTGGAGCTCTCGATGTACTGTTGGCCGTATTTTATGCCGTTTCCCACCTTGCTGCACCGCCCCCTCTGACATGACGGTCGCCTGGCAGGTTCAGTCTCAACTGGCTACGCTGGTGCAGGATGTGCGGAGGAGCTCCCACAGCAAGTTCGTGCTGTTCTGTCATAGCGAGATATGCAAGTCATGCGTCGTGGTCGTTCAGCATAGCTTGACCAGTTCCCACCAGAGGTTGGAAGCACAATTGCAAAATGCTCGCGGAGGGCGTGGAGGGCTAGAGCCACCACCAGTTGGCTGTGCCCCTGACGAGTCGGAGAAAGGTAGTACTTTTCATGCTGCTTGGCGCAAACACGTGGTGTCGGACAGAACTGATGCCGGTACTTGTCACGAACGTAGGCTTTCTATCGCTCTCGCGATCCTTTCCGTACATCCCAAAACTGTTACGGCATTTTCTTGATCCCCCCTTTCTTTTGAGGTTTGAATGCAGCGGAGTGTATGGGGTTGGCATGCTCCACCAAGAGGTTTCTGGGTTTTTTCATCTTTCGAGGGGTATGGCACATGCATCGAAAGCTGCACAGCCCAGGTATTTCAAGGTTGGCTGCAGCAGGAGCTGCACGCTCACGAAGAACGTCTCAGGAACGGATTCATCGAGGATCTGTCCCAGTTTTTCAGGTGGACCCTCTTTTGATCTGCTCGGTTCTTCTAGAGGCCTTTGTGTTCATACTCGAACCGAGAAGCTGCTTCACTGCAGGCAAGGGCCTTTGCAATTGGCCCTGCCAGAGTCGGAGTGCCAGGCAGGCAAATTCACAGCATTTATGCAATGTGTCATGTCATGGAGGGTTTAACACGCGGGAATGTGCACCATGCGCCAGAACTGCAGTTGTACTGCATTTCACGAACCAGACATCATGCCCATGCAGCCGAAGTACACCAGTGTGCCAGTTGACCGGCTCTTTCCAGTTTGCAGCACTTTCCCGGATAGACTTATTTGACAGGCTGCATGTGTGGAAGAAGGCGGAAATCGAAACTCAAAAAGAAACAGCCCCGCGAACACATCTCAGATCGGCACCATGATTTGCCTTTTCATCCACCGCAACTTGCAGCCGTTTGCTGATTGTGCCCCTCAAGCGAGAGGTCGGCTGGTTCAAGTCTTCGGCAACCCCAAGCCAGTTCCACCCCAATACAATACCCTCCACCAAGGCCAGAGCGAATTTTTCCATGAGCTTTCTGACAGGATGAGCTCGAGACTGCAAGCCCACACAGGCAGCCGCTGTCGACACCACTGGAATGAGCTGAAAGTGTTGAAATGTTCGTTTCTAGTTTATTCTTTATTTCGAGGCCGAAAGCTGCACCTTCAACGGCGTTGCCAGCCAAGCTGGCACCGCTCGATGATGAGCAACGAGAGGCCGAGCCCGACAAGGAAGCGGTCTGTGAGCGTCTTAGGCTACACATCAGGGATGGATGGCACTGTATGCGCATCAGGAGACGAAACTGCCGGGTATGGTGCCTGATGAGATGGGCGCCCCGAAGCTTGAAGCTCAGATCCCTAAGATTTCTTGCTGAGCATTGCGTTGCCTTGCCAAGCGCTGCTCTGCCATTTCACGTCTACTACTCTTGCCTGAAATTCACCAGGTATAGCCATATAGCTTTGCACATGAGGGTCACGCGACCCCAGAGCCCTTTGAAAACCTGTAACACTCCTGTAACCTTCAGACAGCGGAGAGCCACACTAACTTCCACCATGCGCATCTTCATCTTCAAGTGCACTCGATTTGCGTAGATCAGGTCAAGGAAGTCCCGCTTCGCCGGACCAAATGTAGCCGAGGGTCGCAAGTCTCTCAAGTCCATGGCGCGCGGGGCAGCTTTTGGAGGTGCCTGTGCCAGGTTGAGACATCGGCAGTTTCGCACATTCTTCTGCCAGGCGTCGAGAACATCGCCCCATGCCCTGTTGTACCAGACGCAGACCCGAAGCCCCTGCAGCCAGAGGAGGCGCAGGCAACAGTGTTGGCAGCTAGAAAATTGGAGCAGCTTTGCCCGAAAATTGCCTCTCATACTCTGCTTTTGCAGGACTCATCTGACTTATCTGCAGCAATGAGCGTGTTACACAGACTGCGCGAGTTTGTGCGTCGCAGCTTTGTGGAGAATACTTGCTTTGGCTATGTTATTATTGCTTTCATTGTGTTGAACGCGGTGATGATGGGCATCCAAGCTGACTGGATGGTTTCAAACATCGGCCAAACAGCGCCAGAGATTTTCGATATCTTTGAGAACATTTTTGCGTTCATTTTCACTTGCGAGCTGATAATGCGCATCTTTGTCTACCACATCAATTTTTTCCGCACAACGGAATGGAAGTGGAACTTATTCGATTCAGTTGTCGTCGGCCTACAGCTAGTTGACATTATCTCAACACTGGCTGTTGGGGACGAGAATGTGTCGACAGAGACTGGCAATCTGTCATTCATGAGAATCATCCGCTTGATGCGCCTACTCCGGATTCTCCGCCTTATGCGTCTGCTACGCTTCGTCCAAGAGCTGCGATCAATGGTGATGTCCATCGTAGCTTCGCTGAAGTCGCTGATGTGGACGATCATCTTATTGGCATTCTTGATGTACGGCGTCGGAGTCTGCTTGACGCAGATGATTGCTGACAAAGGCTTGGAGGAGCCCCAGATCATGGTGCTCGCTCCGCAGATGAAGAGCTACTACGGATCGCTGCCTCAAGCTTTGGTCTCCCTTTTTGCTGGCATTACGGGCGGCATTGATTGGGCTGATCTTCTGGAACCCTTGGAAGAACAAATTTCGCCGTGGCTGGCAGTTGTTTTCGTTCTTTATATTGCTTTTGCTGTGCTGGCGATGATGAACGTGGTAACAGGCACATTCCGGCACAGTCTGCAGAGTCTGGCGCAGTGGCAAGTTAGAAGACATGGACACTCAATCCGCTTTGCTGTCACCCGCTAGCAGAGCACAAGTCTAAACTGAGTACCTCGCTCCTTTGCAGGTATCTTCGTCGAATCAGCCTTGCAGTCCACTAGGGAAGATGAGGAGAAGGAAGTCCGGGCACAGCTCGATGAGATGTTCAAGCATCTAGGCGGCAGGCATGCTCTTCGTGGACCCAGATGTATCTCTGCAAAAGCCATGCTGTTTTGCCTCGCCATACTGCCGGGTTTTAACTGGTCCTCTGCCCAGACATTGAGGGCAAGAGGTTAATGATCAAGGACGTCAGTCTATCGTGGTTTGTTTGGGAAAACGCTGCTTGTCTTTCATTTCCAAGGCATGTGGACAAAGAGAAGAATGGAACCATATCTTGGCAGGACACTGCCGCGTGTTGCAGCATACCGCTGACAAGGAGTAAGGCGCTCTAGGGCCCTAGGGCGAGCCTCTTGTGATGCTAGGAATTCGTCCAGAAGCTGGTCTGCAGTTCACGTCCACCATGAAACGGGGCTTGTCAAGCGCAGGAGCTGCACACCAGATCCAGTTGACAACTGAGGTCGCTGGAAAACCCTGACATGAAGAGATGCTTCGAGAGCTTAGGCTTTGACATGGAAGAGGCGAGGGTTTCTGTTTCTGTGGTTTTGCCTGAGATGCTTGACCTTCCTGCCACATTGTCACATTGTGTCCGTTTGCGCCTCCTTTCGGCTGCTGTGGAGACTTTGTCTCTGGATTCTGCATTCGCCACTGGTCATGTATTTCGCCCGCACAGATTTTCAGCACACGCAGCAAGCGGTTGGGGAGCTTATCGACTGGGTTCGTGAGACAGACATGAGCACCCAAGATTCTAAGATGAGCGTTAAGTCCAGCGAGCACTCATGCGCACCGCAGAGTTTTCAGCACAGGCTTGGGCACAGGTTTTGCCTCTAGGAGGCTCGTCTACTCGCGTTAAACTCCGAAATGGAAGAACGTGCAGCAGCGCGAAGGGCCGGATCGGCTGTAGGGGGCAGAGACTGCCCCTGCCGGTGCTCCCCCGCCTCGCGTGGCCCATCTCGTTTAACGACGGCATCGCGCGCCGACCAGTGATGGCACCCGGCCCCAGCCGTCGGCAAGCACCTTGGAGAGATCTCTCCGGGACACAACGTCCGACATGTTCCCTGTAGAGCTTATAGACATCGAGTTATCCTTCCATGTGGGCCGCCTTGACGCCGCCATCTGATAGATGGCCCAGGACGGCCCAGCCGCGTGAGCCGGATGAGTGAGGCAGGGAGCCCCCGGCCTTACCAAACGGCCCGGCTTTGCGTGGCGTGCTAGCACAGGATGTGCCATGATGCGGCCCAATTGCGGCAACCAGTTCGGGTTCGCCTCTTGCATCTCCCTGGTCATCGCACTCCCACAGCCTCTAGCAGGGAGCCATGACAGCCAATGCCGCCTGCAGTGACCACTAATGCCGCCGAAGATGCGCTGGCTGGCTGGCTGGCTGGCTGGCTGGCTGGCGAAGACATGGTTCAGAGGCAGAGAAAGCCGCCTCTAAGGCGGAAACTGGGCTTAGACCAAAATGCCCGATGCTCGGGTTGGCTGGACGAGCTGCGTGTGAATGATAGCAAAACATTTAGTATCAAAGGCGCATGTCAGAAGGTGAGACAATGGCAGTGATGTCCCACAGAGTGGGGCAGGCCTTCGAAGTTTGTGGCTTCCATTTCTGTTGGACTGGGCACAAGGTTGACACAAATGAGGTGCTGCCTGTCCGCAAGGTGCCTCGAAACACGTTGTACAGCCTCCGTCAGTTTCTTGGGATGAAAAATTACCGATGTCCTGCAGCGCAATGAGTTTGAGCGGTTCGATACCAAACTTCGCGAAGCCTCGTCTTTTGCTCAGCATAGCATGGCATGGAGCCACGGTAGAGCGTGAAGCTCTGATTCCAGTACAAGCTCCAAGGGCGGCAGCCAGCATGGGCTTTTCCAAAGGGATCGCCGATGAAAAGAATTACAGCACTCGAGACGTTTGGCCCAATGTCAATCCCGTTTGGCAGTGACAACCAAGGGAATGTTGCTCCATGTTGAAAGATGACATTCAAAGAAGATGCCGACGATCCTTGTGGAACCCCGGCTACAACTCCACAAAGAAGGGCTGCAAGTCACCCCGCAACAACAGATTTTGAATTAATTGCGCCTGCGAGACGCCTCGACGTACAAGGTGTCCGGCGGGCTTTCTGGTCGGCACCGTACCCATTTGGATCTGACTTTTGCGAGGGTACCCATGCTGAGGATAGGATACAGCCCCTCCAGGGTGTGCCGGGTGTGCCGGCTGTGCACGGTAGGTGCCTTCGGCCTTGGAAGCACGATCATCCGTCCGGACGATTAGCGGAATGCAGCCACCGATAGTTCAAAAAGGCAGAGCGGGTAGAATTCCTGCTCCGACAAGCTGGGATGGTTTGTTTTGGTGGGAAGGCCCCCCACCTCGACTCGCGACATTAGTGGAGAATCCAATCCTTTGTTTCCAGTCGGCCACAAACCTTATGCCTGAAACGCAATCTTTCGGGTCTCGGGTTGTGGGTTCAAGGACAACAGAGCGGGGACGATCGAATCAACGCTTCGTAAGCATGCCAAGCATCAAATCGGGCTTCGGAAAAGTGGGCAACGTACGTGAGTCATGTACTTTAGTGTGGAGGATTGTTCGGCGCTCTTCCGGGTACTCGATGACGGCGACGGCGAGTGTACGCTGGACGAGTTCATCGGCGGGATTCTCCGGTGCAAAGGCCAGATTGTGGGATTTAGGGATTGGGGCTCAGATCCTCATTGGTTCTTGGGGGCACACACAGCGGTTTGGAAAAAATGACATGCTACCATGGCCGACCCTGTTTCACATGCTTAGTAGGTGGTCTTGCTCCAGGGTTCGGGGATCCAGATCATCTGGTCCTGCATGTTTCATAGTTTCGCAATGTTTCGTATCCGGAGACATGGGCTTTGGGCTTGGAGGGCTTTCTGCCACACAACGACAACATTTTATGGGGTAATTAGGCGCGTGGACGGAGACTGCTTGGCCAACGCCTAAGGTCCAGGAAAGGTAAGACGATCAGGGTGGGAGTCTAGGGTTCCAACCACAAGGTTTTCAGCGTCAAGGCTTCGAATCCACGGCGTCCAGTTTAAGATGTTGAGGGTTGGGGGGTTTTGGCTTAGGGCGTTAGTTTTGCCTTCGAAGCTGTTCGAACCATTCCCGTGAACAGTTCAGAACTCCTGAAGTTGGCGACCCGAACGCGCCAATATAGAAGGCGACACGAATTTTTCAGGGCTCTGTTCATGGGCTTTGAATTCACCTCTGGATGTTTTGATCAGGTCCTGCACGGGCATTCGATCAGATGGCAATGCAGGCCATGATGAAGCAGCTGGACCACAAGGTGCTCGCCGGAGTTAGCAGATTGGGGGCAGGGGGGGGGGGGGTGGAGGGAGTCGTTCAAGTAAGTTCTTTTTGAGAACTTACTTTATCTTTATTCTTGCTCCTCCCCGCTTTCTCCCCTTTACATAGGGCTGCATGGCATACCGCTGGCTCCAATGCACCACCCTGGCACACGCCCGCCTCACACCAGAAGTTCGAGCGTGTCTTGCTGCGCAGCATACTGATGCGGGCAGCATGCTCCTCACACAGCTGTCAGACTGTCAGTTCATAGGACCGTATCCCGTGCAATATGCTTGCAATTGCTGCGTCGAGCATCTCGAATGTCCTGCTGCCAAGATACCGGGAGTTTGCCTGCTCACTCATTACTCACTAGAAGATGCTGACTGATCACAACACGTAATTAGACGTAATTGCAACTTGCGCCAGGGGACGTAGGTGCAAGCAGAGTCAAAGCACATGTACCAGCTCCAAACCCCGCACGCCTAAGGCATCTAAGGCATCTATAGGGCTGCTGCCTCTGCCAGGTTTCGAGAATCATGAAGTCAATGGTCGATCTTGGATGCACGAACTCCATCAAACCACAGGGCTCCGAGGCACCTGCTCAGGGTCTTGTGTTTCTCATCTTTGAAAGTTGAGTAGATCTAGGAATCTAGGGTCATAGGAGAACATCGGGCGTGGGCTTCGGATGGGGTTTAGGGTTTGGGTTGTTACAGCCTTTACGGGTGTTCAGACTTTGGGATGCTGTGGGTCGAGAGCCGGATCTCTCTCTGCAGATCGCATTGGGGAACTCAGGAAGCGGCCTTCGTTGTTCTTTTTTCAAGACAAGTTCAGGGTTGCTTTTTGAAACCACCGCTTGCCTTGGAGTTGGGTTTTTGGTCTCTTTGGTCGCGGGTGCCGGGCCGCGCTCTCATCAAGGTCCCGTGCACGTTCCGTACTCGCTGTTCTCGCCTGACTCCCGCGGCACTCTTTGAGGCTTCCGCGCCATTCGTGTTGCGATCATCTGGAAAAGGGTCTGCGCTTTGTGCATTTTGGGCCCCATACGCCTCCAAGTCTGCTCTCGGACACCTCTCGGCTCGGAAGTGTACCCATTCCAAGCAGAAAAGTACCGCGTAGGGACGCGACCTGTGGGAAGGTATGAAGGGGGTTACATGCTTTGTGCTACCCAGACACTTATGGCCCCAGGCTTCGGCAGATTTTCCACAGTTCACGAACCCTGAAGTCTTGAGATCAGGCCTAGGATTTTAGGAGTTTGTATAATGTGTCAAGTCTTGTTAAGTCACTGTAGGATGCTAAGTTCTCGGGTCCGGTGAACTGATCCTTGCCCAGGGCTCAAAGACGAGAAGTGGCGAGTAACATACGTCAGGGCCCCACTCGTTCAGTCTTAGCAAGTTGAGAACGTTCTCGACTTGTGGGGTTCGGAGCGAAGGGTTTGGGTGGCTTCGCATGGCAATGGCCTTTTTCACATGTCGGACATGCATGTTGCGCCCTGTGTGCGTCAGCTATGACAGGCTGACCGGTAACCAGTTCCAGCCTCACATAATTGTAGACGCTTGCGCGCGCCGCCTCGGCAGCCGGGCCGACCCGAAAAGGGGGGGTCGGTCCCAGGTAGGGTGAGGGTGGTTGAGGAGACCGGATCCTGGTCTGCTTGTTCTCAAGACCTCTCGGCAGGAAGCCGAGGCGAATTTGAGCTGTTGTTGCAGTCAAGACAGGTCTTGCAAACAAAACACTCTGCAAGCAAATCAGCTAAACTAACCTAAACTACAAGCTCGGCCCCTTACATCCTCTGGATACTCCGTTGGCTCTCTGCGCTGCAGCTTTCCTCCGTATGTGTGTGTGTGTGTGCGCCGAGGTTGGATCCGCATCGATTCGTCTTCCGCGACGTGTTTCAGCGCGAGACTGCTTTTGTGTGGGTGCTGTTTGACGCTTTGAGATGCGATGCTGAGCCAGGCATCCTTCGCGTGAGTTGATTTGCTTGCTCCAGCCGCCGCCGAAGGGTGATGGGAGAGGGCAAGAATGGATGCATCGCATATCGGCATATCGTCGATGTCACAGTTTGATGCAAGGATGCAGCACTATAGTCTCTATAGAGGGTGTGACCTTGTTGATAAGATAGCTTTGGCACTGTTGTATTGGTAGAAAGCATGATCCTTGATTGCAAGGATCTTTTTGGCCCCGCCTGCGGGCCGACAGTTTCACGCAATTTTCAGATACATGCCAGAGGCATATACAGAATAGCTTTGGGCTTTTGGGCCCCCAAAGTGATCGCAAGTGTTCTGCGGCAATCTTTAAGAAAGACGAGGGGGGATGTGCGCAGTACCCATTGTGCTTTGCCATCTACATGGCATTGCTGCTGGAAGTCTGCTGGAGATCTCTTCCCCTGCAGCAACTCTTTTGGATCTTGAAAGACTTGGGAGAGGATGGGTGGCCAGCAGTCTGCTGCGAAGGCCGGAGCAACTCGCATTTGGCCCCAAGTGAGCTCCGAAACCCGAGGATGCGGCTGGCCAACCGCCAGGAGGTGTGTCAGTCTGCGCATAGGTACGGAATCGTAACATGTCCCAGGATTCCTTTCGGTGCAACCGAGGAGATGCCACGAGTTCCAGCCACGGGAAGGGCCGCGCGGCTAACAACCAGGCACCGTGAAAAGCATCGTTGCTACATGGTTGCCTATAGCCATCTATAGCCCACTTGTTGCCCACTCCTGTTGCCTATTAGTGAAGCATCTACACGAAGACAGGTGCAGCTCGCAGTCTCTCCGCTTGGAGGAGTCCCTGGGGTGGAGCTGGCTTGTCGTGTCGGCCAGTTCATGTATTCATGTTGCGTGAAAAAGCCTGTTCTGCATTTCGCCAGGCAACAGCATATCACTCCTCTGTAGTTGTGAACGGTGATGTTCCTGTCTCAGCAGCAGCATCAATGAGACGCTGGATCTTCCTTCCCTCATGCCTGTTTCAGATTGCCGAGGAATACTTTTTCAGCGACGGTGGCATTTCATTCGGAAGTGGACTGCTCTCGCACAAGAACCCCCAGAATCCAGACTCGAAGCCCGAGGCAGGAAGTGCACCACACGGGGTGTTGCAGCGACGGTCTGTGACGGTGAAGTGGTCAGGTGTTCGACATGGGGATGTCCCCATACACGGGCACACAGATGAAAGCAGCATTGGAACGCTTCTTCCATTCTGGTACGTGCGCCGAATCAGCCAGTTGCGAATCTAGGTCTGGGACGATCCAGCTGGTCCAGCTTGTGTCGCTCGCACATGACAAGTTCTTGTTCGTTGATTGCTAGTCTGTGTCTGGCAAGGTATGACCTGCGCGGGGCTCAGAAATCTGTGGACTGGTGTTTCCGCGATTTCGGTATGCCTGGGCCATGTCCCGAAGGCTTCGCAAGAATTGCAATTCGTTTTCGGACTGTGCTCTTTTCTACCTTCTCCACAGGTTATGCTGGCATGGTTCTCTGCCTTTGTGATCTATGATGATGATGATGATGATGGTGATGCCACCCTTGTCATGTGTGAGACAAGCAGGAACCCTACACAAGGATGACACGCAAGCTGTATGGCCCTTCACAATGACACTTGCCAAGACATGGGCAGTGCAACACAGTAATGTGGAATTGGGCTTCTGTTTGTTGTTGGGAGTGGGACGAATTGGGTTTGTGATGGGTTTTAAGTGGTTGATAAGACTGGAGTCTAGATGGCGTCTGTTGTGGTTCTTGTAGGCGTCTTCAACTGTATCATCACAGCTCCCTCACCACCAACCCTCCTTCACCCTCAAAGCCAACACCACGTGCCAGACGCCTGGACAAGAAGTACCGGGCAATGGAGAAGCTAGGTGCTTTCCATTTGCCCATGATATTTGCACACACGATTAGCATGTCTGCTCTTTGGTGTGCTTGTGAATTCTCGGGTCTGCAGCGTTCGCTCTCAACGTCGGGGTAATCCCATGCTGTGTGTTTAGAGATGGATGGCTTCTCAAGCAAGAAGCGCGCGGAGGTGGCAGAGATGGTGCGGTGACTAGGATGACCGCTTGCTGCTGTTGAGCTCCGGGCAGGATGGCATTTGTCGCCTGAGTTTGGATGCGCCGCATAGGCTCTGGGCAAAAGTGGTCGTGCTGAGAGCCTCAAGATGTTTTTGAAGCTTTCAAGGCTCCAGCAGCGGTCCGTCTCCGCCTCCAAGCTCGAGAGCATGAAGCAGGAGCCGTGCGCTGCGGGCACGGGGCAACCTGGATTCAAGCGTTTTCCTCTCAGGAGGCCGAAATGGCCAAAGAGTGGGGCAAGCAGGTCAAAGCAGACCTTTATCATCAGCAAGGCACTGTTTTTTGCAGCTTTCCAAGTTTTAGCTGAGCTGCTTTCCACGGTCCGGCGCATCACTTGCCGACTTGCCGACTTGGTTACTTTCCAACAGCGCCAGGAAATGCTAAAGCGCTGAATAAGGTGAGACCCTCAGACTCACACTCACCAGCCAGCTCAATCGTCCATGTACGTACAAGGACACACTGGCCAGCCGATCGTGGGGAGGTCCGAAGTACAGGCTCTAGCAGCCTTTGACTATGCTCGAGCTTGCTGCGAAGCAGATGCATGCGTCCCACCGGCCTATTACTCATGCAGGCATGTGCCTCCCCACGAAGGGCAGAGCGCCGAGTACCAGAAGAGCATGCGCAACATGCAAAGCGTCGCAAGCGAGATTGCCGCGAAGCAGGCACACTTAAGTTCATACCAGTCATGACTGCTAATGAGCATTGACCCCCACGCAGGCGACTGTAGACAAAGCCATGCAAGATGACTACAGGAGCCAGATGGTGCCAGTGAAAGTTATATCGCGTGTCCCACTGTGTCCTGCTTTGAGTGGTGAGCCTTATGATTGCTAGGATGGTGAGAAATACTCGGGCTGACACGAGTGTGCACTCCTTGGGAGCCTGGTTGGAAAAGTATGGCAAGCCCACTCGCCAGCCTGAGCAGCAGGCCCTGACATGCCGCACACGTACACGTACACGTACACACACACACACACACACACACTGCAAAGGGTTCATGAAAATGCATGAGCATCCATGATTATGTCGAGTGTTCAACATGTTTGCTGTTCCTGTTCAGGAACGGTTTCGAACAGTTCCTTTCAAGCAGAGGAGGCGACATCACCTGGTCTGGAGCAGTTCTCCACCCAGTGACCCCAGTGTCTGCCAGGATACCGTTCCTGGGCGTCTCGGAAGCCAAGACCCTTCGGCTTGGAGCAGGCGAGGGAATGTACACCCAACATCGGCTTTGCGAATTTGGAGCTGAGCTGGGCAGGTATCTGGGCACAGCGAAGCGAGACTGACCTCCTTGGCACATACAACTTCCGCAGCGTTGGCCGCTGATGCGTGACAGACGAAGCCTGGTCATGACATGCCCTGGTGCCGGTCGGGCAAACGTGCAAGTAAAGTACAGAAACGTTAATTGCCATCAGCCTTGCAGTGTCTAGGAATCTAGTGGTGCGAGCCAGGAACATTGACCTGCCACGGAAGGCAACATGAAACTTGCACAGGCATGAGGCATGACAAGCAGACGCATGGCTGCATGAAGAAGTTGCGCCGGCGTTTTTCCATTTTGATTTTATGTGATTGTGACGTCTTTAGCGCCAAAGGTGCTGGAGCTTGCATGGGGCAGTGCGTTAAGCGCCACGCCCATCAATCCTAGATTTGTAGTCAGTATGCTAGGATGTAGGATCGAATCGCCACCCCATCGGCAGCAGCAGCAGCAGGTGCGAAGCACTCTGCACGTCTGTTTCTCTGCTTTCATATGTACCTATGCAATGCTGAAAGGAGCAAGGGCGTGTTCCCTATTTTTACCGGCGACGCGTTCTGGCAAGCGAGTTCGCACACCTTGTATACCTGGCAGGGGCATCGGCGATGGGGATCGTGCAGGCGGGGAGTGACGAGCACGGTGAATGCCAAAATCGACGAAGCATATTGTGTACTGGACTCCGGGAACCGACTTGTGCGCCGAACTTTAGGTTTTAGGCGAGAGGGTTGAGATCTCTTGAGAGAATTGAGATGCATAGCTGCATAGCTGTCAATAGTCCTACGATGTGCTACGCGAGATTCCGTGAGATTCCGTGAGCTTGCAGGCCGCATCCGGGGGCCAGTACCAGCCAAATCCCAAGGAGCGATGCCATGCGCTACTTCGCGGATGCCTGCCCATGCTTGTGAGCGCAGGCGGAAGGCTTTGATGTGGAGAAGGTTTGCGAAGAGATAGATCCTGACAAAGTCTGGAAGACCCCTGGGCAGGCAGTTTGCCCAGGGCAACTGAACTTGGAAGCTTGCCTCTGACCATACGCAACATTTTCCAGGCGACGGGGGGCTCAACTGTCACATCTGCAGAGGTGGGGATGCCTTCTCCATTGGCACAAAGAGCATTCTACACTCTCGTCGGCCTGCGGGGCCTGAAGACTTGCACATTGTTAGCGTTGTTAGCTTTGGAGGCCATGCGGGCTGCACGCCTGGCCCGTCTTGGAGGAGGCGCCGCACCCGGAGGCCCCGCAGGCCCCGGAGGCCCCGGAGGCTCTGCTGGCGGATACGGCGAAGGCGCGGGGAATGACGCGAATGCTTTGAATGTCGCAGCGTCGTAGAGAAGGAGCCGCTGGAGCTAGGTGCAAGTCCGCCTCCCAGCGCGCCTTCTTGAAAGAGTGAACTCGCAAATTGAGAAGCATGCAAATTGGCAAAGGCCAGTGTCAGTGGTTTCACCTGTGCACAGCTTACCTCAAAGCTCGGAGTGGTCAGAAGCTATCGAGCCATACACAAGTTTGAGCTTGCAGCAAAAGAGCCGTTCATGACATTCCTTCTTGCAATGTGACAGCGTTGCCCTCCTGGCTCCGTGCGATGCTATGCGAGATTCGTAAACTCATTCGGGCGACACTTGTGAATTTTGGCTTGTCACAACCGCTGCCGAGCAGTCCAAGTTGAAGGGGCGGCGACCAGCTTCCTCAGCTGAGCCACGATTGCTTGTCTTCATGAAGGTCTGCACTGAATCACAAGCCCAATTTTGACTTTATCAATATTCGCTTCGGAAGCTTTACAGGCTTGGCCGCTGTGTTGTCTTCTTGTGGAGCTGACGTTGGCAGTCGCGTCCTCGCCTACTCTGTCTTGTGTGCAGCAGATGCGCATAATCACACTCGTTTGCAGCCTTCACGCATCTGAATGGCAAGGCAGCCGACAGCGTAGCCTCACAGGGCCCGAGGACTGAAAGCTTGTCGGCCCATCACAGTTTTCCGACCTACACATGCAAACCTTTGCTGGTGCAGGATAAGGCTGTCATGGGAGGCCTCCCCCGCATCTCTGATTAGCTGTCTGTGTGTGTGTGTGTGTGTGTGTGTGTGTCTGTCTCTGTGTGTGTGTGTGTGTGTGTGGAGTGTGTTTGGTGTGTTTGGTGTCCGTGCGGTTCATTTGTGTTCCCCTTGCTCTTCTGGTGTGTCGGCCCAAGCTGCGCGGCCGAGTGCTGAGAGCAGCTGAGCAGATGAGAGCTCTTGCAGCTGCCATGTGGAACCATATGGCAGATGAGCGAGATGAGATGATGCTTTTCTACTGAGCTGCTTTTCTTATGTTTACCAACAAGAGCTTCAGCAACGTCGGGCGGAAGACCGCGCAGAGTATCGACACCCTGAAGAAGAGACTAGCGCTCGATGACGCATCCGCTGATGGGACACTTCCGTCAAGTCCTGCGCGCTCTCTGTCTGAGACCTCACTGCAGAAAGGCCTGTGGCCTGAGCCCGTTATTGCCCGTTATCAGTCATTTTCTATGACTTCATGTATCTTCGTGTTTCATGCCCTCAACAGCGAAAAGCCCAAAGTCCGAACCTGAACGTGCTCACAGGTGATTTTGACAGCATTTCACCTTTATGAGCCTTCTTGGCGTTGGTCTGAACATGTCTAAACTCTTTTGGAAAGTTCCTGGCAAGCCTCCCTTTTTCGAAGCTTTGCTTGCGTCGGTACCGGTTGTGCACACGGGGCTTCCCGAAAGCGGGCGTTCATGGCAATCCCGATGGCAATGCAGGCTCGACGCAAGACCTCATACAGCGATTTTCGCGAAGGAAGGTCAAGGCCTTGGAGCCAAAGCAGGAGCAGTGCCGGAACTTGAACATGTTCTTTGTCAAGTTGTTACCATGTGGAGTCGAGGTACCCACTAGCAGTAGAATGCACACAGATGCCGCACGGCAAGTCTTGTGAGATGTCGTGGGGTCAGTTTGGTTTTTGGCCAGGAGGAGGAGCCTATGGAAGAGGCGTTGTCCATTCCAAGGCATGTAAAACAGGCGGGAGTCAATAGTTGAGCTACGTTGAGCTTGTAGGGAAGGAGGGAGAGGGATATTTTTAGAGACGAATGATCTTGAGGCAGCCCCTTTGCAGAGCAGCAGCGTTTTCCGTTGTCTTGGCCGGGAGGACCATAAATCCTTGCCAGAACCATGACCCCACCAAGGATGGGACGGTCTTCTTTAATATCTCTAAGACCCTTGGAGGACTTGGACAAGCGCCTGAAGAATGATGAAGTGCCACCCGTGGGTCCACTGCTCAGTGGGCCGGTAATCTGAGGCCTTGGCCTATCTAACTATCTCGGCCTTAATCTCGCCATGTCTTGTCTGCTTCTCTCGCAAGGTAGTTACTCTCCAAAGGACGACTGCACAGCGGCTTTGAGCAGGGTTCGGGCCCCACCCGCTTTTGGGTTCCTTCAGCAGAATCCCGGAAAGGGCCAAGGGCCGCTGCCTCAGGTGAAACATCCGCCCCCCCGCAGCTGCAGCTTCGCAGCTCGGGAGATTACGCGCAGCCGCAAAGTTGTCCTAGCGGAGCGACTTCGCGAGCAAGGCAACGCACAAAAGAACCGCAAATAGAAGCGTTTCCAGTCTTTGAACGTGGTGAACCGCTTTGAAAAGTATTGAAAAGTACAAACTTAGCCAGGTCAGCCATATGAGCATCTGCTGGAAAAGCCTGGACGTGAGCTTCCAGAGCTACCAGAGAACCCCTTGGCCCGGAAGAAGCAGATCGTATTCGCCCCTCTGCGAATATGGTGATGCGTGCATATACGTGCCTTTTTTCACCTCACTTTCGTGCGTGCAGAATCCTGTGAGTCAGGTAGACATGTCGAAGCAGCTTCCGCGACCAGACCTACTGCAGTCTCGTAGCATCGTATCCCATGAAACCATCGCGATTTCTTCGTCTGGCTTCGAGGAAGCGCACAAGAAGTGTGCCAAGTTTGGAAAGTTCTACAGGCAGCCATGTTATGCAATTTCACAGCTACCGCGATCGGAGAAGACACAGGAGTCTTTTACTCAGCCTGGCGAGTTCAACGTTAACTTGGACTTTGTGAGGCCTCGGCTACAGGTAGTTAACGTGGACTTCCAGAAGAGACCTGGCCGAAAGGACATTCTCGAGTAGGGCAGCGTACGCCACATCCGCCACATGTCAGATCAGCCATGAATCGTTTTTGTTTCTTGCGGAGCCGCTCTGCGGCGTCACTTTGGAACAGCTTGATTCCGGGCGTTTACGCCTTGCCTTGTAAGATAGCTCTGCGAGATTACATTTGCCACTTACGTATGTTTTGAGCAACTTCCGAAGGAAGGAGTGCTCACGCATGCTCACACAAACGCATGCTGAATAAGGAAAAGGCTAGTCTCCCATGTTGGCGTGGAAAGATGGGTTGTGAGATCAGCTATGCCAGTGCTAAGCCAGCGGGCTGTCAGGCAGACTTGCGAGGAGAGGAGAAATCCTTTTCCCGGGGCCTGGCAACTCATTCGTTCAGTCGCCTCGAGCCAGGCCCGACCCGCTTGGCAGGGTCGAATCAGGGTCGAAATGCTTGGAGCTTCAAGCCTGCAGAGGCCCAATGGCAAAGGTCTTACAGCCCGTGTACTTCAAGTTCCGCGAACACCACGGCCACTTTGTGGAAGACAGGTGAGTTTTCGCGCAGTCTAAGAATCCAAAAAGCCTAGGGCTGGCATCATGATATGCCATGATGTGTGGGTTTGTCGGCATGGACAGCACGGAGCAAGCATAGTTACTCGTATTTTGATGTAGATGCAAACCTTGCTAGACAGAACCGGTTGTGCGGCGTTTCTTGGGCCTCCCAGGCCGGACGCTGCCTTTGCCACAAGATTTTCGACGCTGGGGAGGGACTGCAGTGATCTTAGCGCAGTTCTGCAGCCCACGAAGACAAAAGCTTAATTCAAGAAACTTTGAAGGAAGCCATGGCTGACACTGAGGTTAGGTCGTGTGTGGCTGAGTTAAGCCAACGCGGAGCCGAGGAGTGCTCTGCTTAGTCTGAGCCTTGCGCCTGCAGCGCTTTTCAAGTGCAGCTGCCTTTGAATACAACTTGCATATCGGTGCTTTTCAACAGTCGACTCGACTGTGCACCCCTTCTGTTGAAGAAGGCCACGGCTTTGTTGACAGCTGAAGTCGAGCTAGTGCAGAAATGCAAGCCGACGCTTCACGCTCCAGGCCCTCCTCCAGCCATCTCCAGCCCATAAGCCCCTCCGTCACATGAGATCAGCCATAAACACACATGCGGTCAGATACATCGTGGGTTTATGTTCGAGAGATGTAACATAGTATCTTTGTGTGTACTGGTGGTGAGCGATGTAGCCCTGCTTCTTGTTGGCAGAGTATGCCGGCATTGCAGCACAATGTGGCTGCCTGCGGTTGTGTCGTTGCTACCACTGAAAGTGCTCACCAATCCTCTGAGACATCTCCTGCAAACCGACAGTGAGAAATTTTTGTGGCGATAATACCATCAACCTCTAGCGGGACAGCAGCAGGAGTAGCCGATCATTTTTGGCCGCATGCGGCTCCTGTGGGCTGCGTGGACCACTGAAGACCCAGGTCAAGACAATGTCAATATCAGGAATGTGCATGGGGAGATATGGGCAGTGAAAGCCCAGATGCAGAAAGACTCTGAGCCGGTCTTCAGTTAAGGTGATTGCGCGCCTCAGTGTAGCCGCTTGTAGACATCATGCCAATCTGCATGCCCGTCTCACCCCTCAGCTATGAGGGGAAGTGCAACAAATCATGCATGCCAAGCATGAAGGCAAAATGCCGGCTGAAAGGTACGGGCAGAGACCAAACCTTGCTTCTCCATGGCAAAGCCTGGGGAACCTGCCACATGCAGGCAATGAATTTAAAACCAGTCCACACGACACTCGACAGAGGCACGTGCTCCGTTCACACGAGCTATGTGACTTGGTCGTAGCAAAGTGGCCCAGGGAACAGCAATGCTCCCACCAACATGCACTAGCAGCAGTGCCAAGCAAAAAGCCATGACGTGCCTTGCTGCTAGCCTTTGCTGAAGAGAGAGTTTTCGGCACAACTCCTACTTGTAAGGATGGCCCAAAGGCGGACTATGGAAAGGCTCCCCCAATGTCAAACTAGAAAGGCTGAAATCAAAGTACATCGAAGCCGACATGTGAATCACCTTCTATGAAGATCAGGGCGTGTGTCTGTGTGCGCGTGCTGGCAGTATCATTGGCAGATGGCCCCTAGCTGCACAACACACAAGAGCGGCACCCCTTTGTGACAAGATTTGCCAGCCCTATGGATCACGCATGGAGTCCCTGCCTGGCATCGGTCCAAGTTTTCCTGTGCATTGCAGTGCAAACTGGCAAGCTGGAAGTTTACGCGATTCGTCTTGAGAGCTTTTCCATGACAGAATTCGATGAAGCTGGCTTGGCTGAAGTTGCTTTCGACTCGGAGTGGCAAATTGAGCCTCCGGACGACACCATCTCACACCATCTCTTCGACTCTCCGGCCGAGGTCGCGGAACTGGATGAGAGCGATGCAGATCTGTGGAGGCGTGCAGCTTTGTCAGTCAGCACAACTTACCGTATCAGCTCGAATGGCAGTTGGTTTCCAGCGTGGTACATGAGCCGACTTGAAATCAAAGTCGCAAGCACAAAAGGCAGATTTTTTCACCCGTGCCTGAGCAGTACATGAATTTTGGAGTTGATGGCCGCTAGCATAGAAGTCCGACCTTCGACTTTCGGCCCATGCGAAATGCCCGCTGCTTTGCAGGAGCGTGACTTTCAACAACGACACGCCCACAACTTCACAGCGAGCGCCGAGAGAACGTCCATCACCAAAAAGCCCACCGAACGAATCAGCTGGGCCGTGTCCCTTGCTAAGTATGTCCAGGCTTTATCCTCGGCAGTCCTTGCGCAGCAAGAATCGTTGCGGGCGTCATCGTGCCAAGACTCTCTAGGGTTCAATTGTCCGGGCGGTGTCTCCGCTGCCCGTACGCCCGCCTGCCCTCCTTGTCCTGACTATGACCGACTACGTGTCTCAGCATGTCGCAGCAATTGAAGAGATGCACTCTTTAGAGAGGAAAACCAAGACAAAAAGCCTTTTTCGTGTACAACGTCCCATGAGATGAACTTGCCATCGGAAAATCATGTTCTAGGGTCAGCAAATTCGCCGCATGTTCGGCTTTCCGTCGCCTCGTGCAGCCGGGTTGGCGAAAAGTTGGGCGCTTGAATTCGCAACAGCTAGCCTGATGCCCTCAAGACCCCTCAAATCCCCTCACTGGCGGCCTCCTGGCATGCCCCGCTGCGTCTTTGAGGTGCTAAGCTAGGGCCTTGGCAACTTTGACCTTCACATATCCTGTGCAGAGGCAGTTACGCCGGAAGCGGGACTTCGAGCTGCGAGTCGACGAAAAGAGCCTGCAGCTACAGGCTGCCTCCTTGGGAGCGCGGACAAATAGTTTCGATCTACTGCATCTCCTTGGTAAATTTGGTAAGTTGCAGTATGTTGCAGTCCAGAGTTGAGGAGCATATCTCGCGGCGGCAGAATGGGCATGTGGCGCTGACACAGGAGAACCCGGGGAGAACCCGGGGAGAACCCGGGGAGAACCCAGGGAGAGCCTGGTCCAAGCCTCATGGCGGTACACCTTCGAAGAGCCACCCCGCGCAGGCCAGTGTTTCGGTCGAACTTCTGCAGCAGGAGGCAGCGCACGCGTTGTGTGTTTGTCAGGGCAGTGCAATGCCCGCAATACAATGACAGGCCAAGTTCGTCAAAGATCAGCACAGGGAGCTTGAGCATGATTTGATGGTTCTGAAGGACTTGCTTGACACTTGCCGATGTCAGTTTGTTTTACGTGCTTCGCGGGAGCCGATGCGTCGAAGGAGTCTAACCGAATTCTCCAGCAAACCTTCCAGGCTTCGCAGAGCTTCAAACTTGTCCGAGTTTCAGAAGGCTTCTTCCCTGAGAACCAGGTCTCTTCATCCCAAGGACATGAGCGAAGCCTTCCCAGAAGCAAGGATATCCTTCGGGGAGTCTTTGTGGTAAACGTTGGAAGGAGAGCACACCTTCGTGAGGATTTTCTTGCCGAAGAACGAGCTCGCGTTGAGTCACTCCAGGCCGCGTGAGGCTACATTATGGAAGATGGAGTGGGCAACCTCATTTATCTTGTATCTTGTTGCCAGGTGCAGCAAGAACAGGTTGAACACCTTCGGATGCCGCCGGACTAGTGACAAAGTGACTCACAGACATGCCGCGTTCATTGTTGAACGGCGGAGGGCTTCCCGTCCCCAAGGCACATCGAAAGCCTCCGTGTGGAAAAGCAAAGCCTGCAACAGAATCAGCAGGTTTGGCACCCGACAAGAGACACGAAGAAACACACGGTACTTGTCGAAGATGAGATGCACAGATGATTGTGATTCGCTACTGAGAGGTGCTTTTCCAGAAGCAGCGAAATGCGGAGCAGGATCGAAACCGCCTGCTGGGAGCCCTGCAGGCCTTGGATAAGTTTGGCACATGCACCTGCGACATCCACATGTTTGAATGTTATCCCGTGTTGGGCATTGTTCAAGTGCAGTACGATTGTGGGGCAGCTTTTGCCGATGCAAGGACGACAGGAACAGTCTGAACGATCTACGCGCAGAGCGCATCAAGCCAGCCTGCCAGATCCCACCAGCATGAAGTATTCACATATTTTCGCATGCAAGAATCATCCACTGCCCTTTCGCTTACCTTTGTGCAATTGTCAGCAGTTCTCAGAGGCTTCTTGAACAGCGCACATCTGTGGAGAAGCAGATTGCGAACATTGTCAGCCAAGCCTCTCGCCGAAGTTTAGACACAGCCTACGTAATGTACGGAGCAGAGTGAAGCACAGTGACCTCCGAGCCGAGCTGTCGGCAGCTGTCAGCAGCTGTCAGCTGTTTTTTGCAGGTTCATGGCGACGCTGACGGGCAGCCATCCAATCGGCTGGGACAAAGGTAGCGGAGCTGCATGTGGCACATAGGAAGTCGTTTAGTAACCTATCTCAGTAGATCTCAACCAGAGGAGGCTTGCGCAGACTGAGGCATTCCCGGTCGCCGGAAGAGGTGCCTTCCACCAGAAAGCAAAGAAGCAGTTCTCGCTGCTGAGCGCTTGCTACGACTCTTTGCAGATGCAGAGATCCCCAACACATCCCTAACACCATACTCAAAGTCAGCAAAGATGCCGAGAATCTTACTCAAATCGATGAGTTCCGTTTCAGGCTGCCAGAACCTTGTACAAGATGCCCGGATCTTCGGGTGGAGTACGAGGAAATTTCACAGCAATGTCGCGGGAAAGGTACATTGGTACCTGATGCCGGTGGCCAGTGCGAGGGTTCTGGATTTGGTATGGATTTGATCCATGCAGGACATGTTCCCCATGACGCGCCTTTGCGCGAATCCCGGAGTGAACGTTTTTGCGTCGGAGCTCCCTGCAGTATTTCCAAACATTCAGGCCGCAGTCCTGGTTTGCTTCGAGTACGCCTTCTCAGGCAGAGACAAGCCTCTGCAGTACTGACTTGTGGCATTTGATTGCTGTAGTTTTTTGTAGTGTGCCTGCAAGGAGATGCAGCGCACGCGCTGGACTGTATTCGAGAAGACAGATGGCACCTCCCTTCCCGCATCTCAAAACAAGGACACCGGAATCGCACAGAACCTGATGCCTCTGGGAGGAGCTTATGCGAGTGACGCTTGCAGGCTGAGTCGCCTTCATTCGGGGGACACGTGATCGATCCTTTCCAGGCCCGCACTGTGTCACACGAGTGTTCCACAAATCTGCGCGCCTATTCGGCAGCCGTCGCCGTTCAGCAGTCCGGCTTTGCAGGCTTAACGTGGCTCAACGTGGCTCAACGTGGCTCAACATGCTATACGTCCTCTGCGGCATCTGATGATAACGGAAAAAGCCGAACCGGAGATTTGTGAAGAACCAAGTCTCTGCTTGAAGATTTATACACCACGGCAGAACTTGTTACATAGTTGCAAGTGCACGTGTTTAGTTTTTATGTCCAGATCTGGACCGAGTCATGTCTTGGTTCCATCATGCGTATGAAGCGAGTCCTGTACACAGCTCGGTTCAAGGATTGTGGCAGCTCAGCTCAGCTATTTAGAACAGACCTCAATTAGCTTGTATCCGCATGTCCAACATACCGTTCTCGAGGTTCATTAGCCTGTAGATACCATGGTTGTCATGACTACTTGCATCTGAAGATGGAGCTGCTGTCTGATGGAAGGAGTCCTTCTGCTACCAGTACGGATTCAGTTTGTGATTGCGTCGGCCTTTCGTCAGGAGGCTATGCTGACGGGAGACAGCAAGCACCCCCAGTGTGCGTGACTATGCATGTCATTGTTGACGGTGTGTGTTGCTTCACTTCTATCAGTCTTAGGCTTTCAAGCATTGGCGGCGACTTCGCTGCTTTTCGAAGTGCCTGTCCCTTGAAGAAGTTCAGCCCTCGGCATACCGTGGGAGTAGCATTAGCACTGGCATCTCGTGCCTCACCGTGGGGCTGCCTTGGCCGCCGTGACCGAGCCTAGAGGGACGAAACGGAGCGGAAAATAACACAGCGCGCGGGCCGAGCACTCGTCAACTCCGACTCACGAGAGCCCATCAGAAAGCTACGTAAGCTTGTCTAAGCCTAACTTTAATCTATTTAAGGCCCCTTGGGCTCCCGGCCTTTTGTTACAGCCTTCAGCTGCTTTCAAGAGTCTGAGCACCACTCGTACTGAGGACGGAGTTGCGCAGTATATTCACGGGTGTTTTTACAGGTTGTTTGGTCACAATTGGGGGGGCGCGTGGCCACCAGAACTCCCTTGGACTCCTTACACTAAGACGGTGTCAAAATTCCATGTGTCATATTGATAGAAAGTGCCAATGGGTGGGAGATTTCTCCCCCAGTCGAGGCTGGAAAACACTTCTATCGAGCTCTCCATCTCGACCAGCTACTTTGAACATGGTTAAGGTCTCTTTCCTGTTTTAGTCGCTTCACTAAGTCACTTAGGATGGCGAACATATTCCATCCCGCATGCCTCCCACAGACAGGGGTGAGTCGAATTCCAAGCCGTGCAGTGTGCTCTGAACCCTAACATCTCAACCCTGATCCCGGCCACGAACCCAATGCGTAAGTCCTAAGCCTTCCCAACTACTTGCTTGAATGCTTAAGACTGGGGAATTCGGTTGCAACATCGTTCCGCCAATCGAAGTTACCTTGTCCTTTAATTTTCCCCCCCCCCCCCAGCCTGGGCAACAAGTCAAGCTTGTGCACCGAAGTCTTCAGAAGTTTGACAGCTGTTCCGGCCAAGCATCTTGCTTTTCCGACATTCGGGTCCCCGTTACTCTCCAAGGTTATCTTAGAGTTGCAAGTTCTGCTCCCAGGTTCGCTCAACCACACTCGCAGCTGGAGTGGTCATACTACCAGGTTGATCACTTACTTATCCGGGTACAACTTGTCATGCATGAAGTGATCCCGGAGGCCGGCCCAGCAAATGACACCAATCCACTCGTGTGCCTTGCTTAGGTTTGGTTGTGGGACGGTTGTTGATTGCAGTGAAAGGGCTTTGTTTCCACTGGGCATAGCCTGATTGATTGCAGGTTCTTGCACGGGACGAGCAGCACTGCAGCTGCTTTCTTCTACCAGGACAGTGTTTGCACTATTGTGCTCAATGGTGAACTTCTGATGTCCAACTTTGCTGAGTGAAGGTGATGTCTCTCAGTGACAAGGGGTACTGTGTACGACGCTTAGCAACCTGGTTGCTTGCCACTTGGACCATACTGTATCAGATGGCAGTACATCGCGAAGAGGGCAAAGGGCTGCTGCCTGTTGCCAGGTCGTAAGTGCACAGTACCCGGCATACGCTGGTCCAGATGAGTGGTGCAAGGACACGCGCCCGGCACAGTATATTTTGTGTCTCACTGCTTGTCTCCGTTGGTCCGAGGCCGTGTGCCGCGCGAGTACCCTTTATCAGCTGTTTCTCGCTCAGGGCTTCGACCTCTTCTTGGATTCTCTGCGGCACCCTGCCAGCAGTCTCCAGGCATGTCAATGGCAAGGCCATGGCAATGGCATGTGTGTCTGGGAGTTGCCTGAGCACGCTCGAAGGGACAGCTCCGAGGTACCGCGCGGTTCACCTCGTGGGTGCTGGGCTGGGCCGCTGGGATTCGACCGATCCGCTTTAAACGGGCAGAACTGGGACCAGAGCTACAGAGAGCGGGAGAGAGAGATAAAGAAGAGTGAGACAACATGCAGAAGAGAGAGCGAGAGAGGCTGCGCCATTTTGGCTCAAGCCACGAGCGGCTCGAGCCCCAGCCCGCCGTCCTGTGGGCAAACAATCAAAAACTCTGTAGTTGATTGAGAGAGAGAGAAGGGGGGGGGGAGAGAGAGGGAGGCCTCCGCTGTCAGACAGCTGCCCCCGTGCCTGCATAGCATCGCCCGCTCTACTACCAGGGGGGCCAACTACGCGTCTTCCCGCCGGGGGTTCTGACCACCATTGCCGGGGGGAACGAAGCTCAACGGCAACCGCTGCTGGCCGTGCTCCTGCATTACCTGAGGCGTGCGGGGGACACTGAGTACCACTATAACACCGTGATCGGCGGCCTTTGCGACCTGGAGGGGGGCGACCAGATTCTGAGCGGCGTCTACCTCGCCAGGGGGAAGTTCGCGGTAACGGACGTGACTTGGCAGGGACACCGAGAACGCCATGACCACACTACTCCAGACGATGGGGGCAGGAGGGGCAGGACAAGCTGTGAACCCAGACGGTTCCCCGGGGGCGAAAAGAAAGATGGACAGGGAGGATCTGTCCTTGGATGCTATCAGAGCAGCCATCAAAGAAGAGTTGAGGTCCGAGAGGCGGGAGCTCAAGATGGAAATCCTGGGGGAAGTCCGCTCTGAGGTACGAGGACAAATGGGGGACACCGCCCGCATCCTCCAAGAACTTCAAGCTCTACATGCGGCACAGTCTCAAACCATCCACCGCATTGACCAGGCCCAACAACAGCAGCAGACCGCCACGGACGAGATCACTCAAGAACAGGAACGACTCAAGGAGAGACTGGCCCTCCTGGAGGGGAAGTTCGGACAGCTGAATGGAGGGGCCTTGGGGGGAGGAGCATCAGGAGCATCCTCGGGGGAAGAAGAACGCCGCCAGCCTGCGCTTATTATGGGGGGATGGCCCGAAGACACACCGGCCTCGGAGACCCTTCACAACGCGCAGAACACAGCGAGTCAATTGAGGCTCGACATCGATATGGGGGCGGCCTTTGTCCCAGGAATTCGGAGGGGGTATGCCATCATCCCGATACGCCCCAAAGACGACGAAAGTGAAGAACAACACCGCCAACGCATTCAGAATGCCCTCCAGAAGGTCCGCAACGCCAATCTCATCCTGGGGGCGAAAGCAGACGGGGGGCACCAGAAGCTTTGGCTAGCCTTAAGTCAAAGTCCACAACGCCGAGCCAAAGCCAAACTTGCTGGCAAAGCCAAACGACTTGCGCTGGAACACGGAGGAGATCCCCGGCGAGTAGAAGCAGAGTTCGCAACAGGCACAGTGTGGCTCAATGGGGTCAAAATTGCCTCGGCCACCGCCTCTGCGCCTCCCAACACCACGACCGCGGGGGCCGGATGGATCCATCTCCAAGAAGTAGCGCGACTTCTTCGCGAAGAACCCACAACGGTGCAGAGCACCTGGGAGAGGATCCGCCAAGGCCTATGACTGGGGGCTCCAAAGTTTCACCGAAGCAGACACCGAGCAGATGGGGGCCAACATGTGCTCGCATCATGGAATGTGGGGGGACTGCAAGTGCCACATATACTTGACCTCTGTGAAACACTCACGGGGGCACCATCCCTAAGGGATCTGCATGTCCTCCTGGTCCAAGAGGTGATCTGTGATGCCGGACTGCGCAGGAGTTCACCTCACCGAGAAGCGACACGTCGGAGGAAGGGCGAACGATAACACATGGGGGACTACAACGCCGCGGCTCCCAACTACCCGATCACGACTCTAGACGCCGAAGAACACATGAAGGGGCAAGCAGTGATTAGAATAGAACCAACAACGCCGGCCAGAAAGGGGACATAGAGTGGGGGACCTCAAGTGTGGTGTGTTTGTAGGATGCCGTCAAAACTTCCCCCTTTACTACTGGTTTGCAACGAGGAAAGCCACAACCCCTAGCCAGGCGGAGTAGACGAGCAGGGTAGTCAAGGAACAACTCTGCCGCGTACAGAAGGCATAGACTGCACAGGAAGTACAGAGTGGGAAACCTCAACAAGTTGGGGAATTGCGGGGGGATTGGGGTTTGAAGGATTCAGGTTTCTTCAGGTTCACACACCGGGTAACATGAGGGGCACCACATTCCTGTGACACGTTTGGTGGGCCACGAATACCGTGGGCCTTCCGTTCAGACGGACCCTTGGACGTCGCGCGCCTCTCGGGGCGGCCTTCCCTTCGGGGGGGGCTATGCGTGCAGGAGAGAGAGAGAGAGAGAGAGAGAGAGAGAGAGAGAGAGAGAGAGAGAGAGAGAGAGAGAGAGAGAGGCTGCGCTGTCAGCGTTCGCTCAAGAGTTTGCTGAGGGGTAGGGAACATGACAGTACACTCCATTATTTAGCTGTTTCTGCAGCTGTTCCAACAGAAAGTCACAAGTCATGCCCCTAAGTGTAACCTACCGCCATGAAAACGTTGGCGCAGCCACCAGCGCAAACACCACAACCCAGGGCGACAGAACAATGGCAATCACGTAAGGCCACATATCACTCCACTGCTCTGACCACTCATAATCGCAGCGGGAGCTTCCGAGTGTAGCTGCACAGCCACGCCCATCCCTAAAGCCGAGAACCACTGCGAGTTTGACCCCTAGGAGGTCGCCACCCAGGAAATCAACTGCTTCTCCCGCACAACCGCAGGTCGCCACACGCAGTGCAGGCTCAACTGTTGAGTGCATGCTGGCAGGGTAAAAGGGCAGCTTGCATCCTGCACATCGTCGGCGTAATTAGAGAACATGATGGGCTTGAATGGAGGCCGAATCGTATAGAGAGCAAGTAAGAGCATGAAGGGCCTGTAAGCACGTGAACTCTGGCGAGTGCGGGGAAAATAAGTCATCGTTCCCATGCCTGATGCATTGAAAACAGTTTTGGGGCCGGGGCGGGCGAACCTGGTTGGGGGCCTTATGCGGCCTTGGTCTGCTAGCCCTACGGTCCAATGGACAGATAGATAGAGAGACACTTAGAATCACTTAGACAGACTACAGCAAGACCCTGTTGACCTCCCGGACCCCTTTTGGCTCTTGACCCTTTTCAGAGCGAGGTGGCTTCCTCGCGCAGCACTTCGCCTGCAAGCACCGGAGCCGCGTCAGGCCGAAGCGGAAGCTAGAGGAGTCCGAGAGGAGATTGCGAGCATTGGGAAGGTCCCTGGTGCTGTGCAATTCCTTTGCATCAACCCATGCCTTCGCCATGCGGGCAGGAACGCACTCTTCTTAGTTCCCCCGCGTGGAAATCGGCACAATCATGATAGATCAAGATAGTCACGTGAGTGCATAGGCTTTTCACAACTGGAACGCAAGGTGGGGAAGTCTCATCTCCCTCATGCCGACAGCATTTCTGCGCCAGGCAGATGTGCGAGAAAAATTGAAAGACACCCATTTCCTCATAGTGGTACAGTATGTTACAATATGTTATATTGGGCTACCCTACTTCTCTGATGTTTTCGTATGAGAGATGGTCTCCATGGATCCACAAGTCGCCTCGCAAAATCACGTTTGTTTTTGAATATTTTGATTTTGTATCATTTTTCTGCTTTAGTGAGACTTGTGTGGCTCTTTACCGCGGCAGGCAATGCAAGACACGCTGCCGCAGGCCCTTCTTCAAGACGTGGTCCCAACCGTACCGTACCTGTGTATTATGCATCATTCTGAATCATTCTGCTACCCCCCCCCCCCCCCCCCCCCCGCCCACACTTCTTGGTTGCCTTGACTAGGCTAGCTTGTTGCTTTGTTGGCGCAGGCTGGGTTCATGGAGATGAGAGCGAAGCAAGCTGTTGATTGGGTTGGGCAGCAGGCAAGGAAGCCCAGAAGGGTGCCCAGGCTTCCATTTCCGGACATTTCCCCGACAGCCCTTCTGAACCCACGCTTGGACCCACATGTGGCCTGTTGGGAGCACATAGATCGAAGATCTTCGCCCCTGCTCACTCCGGTCAGTTAAACGACCTCAGTGGCGACGACTTGGCCAGCAGGCGTGAGTCAAGCGTCAAGGGTGAGTCACTTGGTGACTTAGTGGGATGGTTCAAAAGCGATGTTTGCACACCAAAGCTCTCCGCAGTTAACTTGGGAATGTCGCTGCATGGGGCTGCTCGCAGGTTGAATCTCAATGTCAATGGCAACCAGGTTGGGCCACTACACTTCGAAAACCATGAGGCAGATCTTTTGGCCGTGCGTTCTCTGCTTCAGCTTTTCATGGGCAGAAGTACGCATTGCAGCCAAGGGGATGGCTCGTATCAGCCAAAACAGTGACACAGTAGTGATGTTGTCTGCAGCTGCTGAAGGGAAGGAGGGGGGGTGGGCGACTCGCACTACATTTTCTGATGATGCTGTGTGTTGTGAGATGCCATGATTCAGAAGGCTGTGAGGGTTGCGACGGCCGTCTGTTATGCGGGATGTCGGATCGTGGTGTATGCCTTGCTCGTGTGCAGCTGCGTAAAGATGGGTGTCGGGCAGGTTGAGAGAGATGTAAGGGCTGGTGGCTGGTGGTTGTAGCCGCTGTACCCTTGCGATCTACACTTTAAGCGTATGACCTGGCGCACGGGAATGATCGTTGAGTTGTCTACGAGACACAGCTGCTGGCTTCACCGGCCACGGCACTATTGGCTTACAAATGGGTCGGGCCGCTCAGCAAGCAGACGTGGCAGGTAACGGTTCTGGAGTCCAGTGGAGACACAATGGTGCCAGAAGAATTGCGACAACAGCTCAAGATTCTGTGCCTCCCGCATGTTGACATGTGCTCACTCAGAATGTAGCGGTTTCATCTGACTGTGTTAATCAGCTGTTGAACTTGAGGTACAAGGGTGCCAGCTTTGCCGAACTGAAGTCCAGAGGTGACTTTCCCTACCTGTCGAGACCAGATGAGGCAGTTGCAAGAACTCCTATTCTTGTCGCCAAGTCCGCACTTTGTGAATGACAGGTTACACTTTTTGTGGAGGTTCACATGCGGCGATTTGGTGCATTTGCACAAGGCCGAGCTATTGCCGCAACCCTTCTCACGAGAAGTTTTCTCACACCTGTCGTGGATCAGTTACGTTGCCGGTGCTAGGACGACCAATGCCTCACCTGGAAGCAGATGTGGAGACACAAATTCCCCGGCACTTAGGCCAGCTGTCCGTCCTTGAGAGCATGTGCCGTGCTTAAAGGATTGAGGATCTGGGTTCCGCGGCCCAAACTTAAGCATAGGATTCAAGGCTCCGGGGCCTCTCTGGCCCTTCTTAAACATTGGCTTTTCAGTCTTGGACCGGTAACCTAGGACTTGCAAACAAAAAGGAGCGCACGGAAAAGAACCTCTGTTCGCCTAAGCCTTGTATTGCGTTTTCATATTTGGGCGATGATGAATGTCTTAGGCTCGCATAATTTAAGGAGTGGGCGGAAAGGAAACTCTACCCTGAAGGCCTCGCCCCTAAACCTGTGCTTCTGCATTGGACTGGTGCTTCTTTCAAATTGCAAGAAACTTAAAGAATCACACCGAGAAATCATTTTTAACATGATTGAAAAAGCCTGAACCTCGTGCACACCACAACACGCCCCGTGTGATGGTGTGCGCGGATCATCAGCAAGCTCTAAACCAAGCCCTCAACCCCGACTCAACACCCCAGACAGCCCTAGACCCTAGACCCCAGACCTGCACTCTAGACTCTAAACCTTAGCATACTATACCTAAACCCTAAGCCGAAACTAACCGTAAGCCCTGAGAAAAGGAGCAACGAAACATGGGGGGGGGCAAAAAAAATCCGCCCCCAAATGAGAAGTGCCGGCCCCTTGAGCCCCCAGCCTGTCCAGGGGATGCCTGGGCAGACGCTGCAAAGCCCCAGCGTCAGGCCGTGTTCCCGAGTTCTGCCAATCGCAACTTTGTGGAAACATATGCAGGAAGCACGAAGCATGAGCCAGGAATGGAAAAACCCATTTGAGGACACTGTGCTCCATACTGTTGCTCAGTGATCGTTACCAATGTGACCGTCACCAATGTGCCTAAATATCATGACAGTGGCAGGATGACGACCTCTTGTAGCGCTGGTAGCATCTGGCAGCCGGTAACACGCGGCAAGATTGTCTGCTTGTACATAGACGTGTCCAATCAACCTTGGACAGTACCAGAGATAGATAGTGGGAGAAACGCCGCCCAGCTCACACATGTGAACGCAGACGCTCGTTTCTCTCAGGTTTCGACTTACTGTGCCTGCGCCTTTTTATGTTCAAGCTGCAGATTTGTAGCATCACGGTAGTTCGCACTTATGCGGGGCAGCCCCCGTATACGCAAACAGTTCAAGAAAGCTCATGTGTCTGCGTGTGTCTATGCCAGCAGTTATGCCAGAACAGAGAACCCCGGAGTCGTACTGTAGCCGACAATACAATGACTCGACTGGTTTCCAATGACGCATCGCTGGACGCCAGCCACAGCGCTTTTCTCAGTCAGCAAGGATTTGTGGACAGCTTTTCTCAAGACATGCGGATCTGAGCCAAGGGAAAGCGGATGCTTTGCAAATGCGCTTGTGACTGAGACATGGGCTACTATCACGACGAAAGCTGGCATTCTGGCATCCTTGCAGCACTAGCAGCACCAAGCCAATGCGTTTTGCGCCGCACCTTGTACCTGCTTTGGGGCTTGGAGCTTGGGATCGGCATGTTGTCCGATTCTGTTGCGAAGTAACTCAGAGCAGTTTGCAACACTTCGCAACAGTGTAAAGGTCTGGAGCTTGTGGTGTAAAATGCTGTCCGGCAACTGTGGCCAATCCTCGTCGAAGTCTGTCAACTTTGCCTGCTGCAGAAGTATGTTGGAACGTCGAGTGTCTTTACTTTGAAAAGATGCACCCCCAGCAATAAGAGCTCGCGAAGTTTAGGAACAGGACGAGACGGTTCTGTAAGGTCCGGAACCCGATGGAACCCGCCTGCTGTGTCGGACAGGCCACGCATGGCAGGAACATCCGACGTGGGCGTGGCATGAAGGCAAGCAGGGAATTCCGTTGAAAGCGAAATTACGATTAGTTGAAGCAATTTCTGTGATATCCGCTGTGAATCGCTGTGAGCTGTCATTCCAACCTTCTCCAAGAACTTCAACAAGGCATTGCAAGGCAGGTGTTCGTGCTTTCGCGCAACATTCGAAGAATTTGACAATGCAGGCGCCTGGGACCCTGGATGGGAAGCGGTCGGCCCCGAGCCGAGAACGTCGAGAGGTATTCTTCAAGACGAGGTTGCTCAGGATCACCCGATTTGAGTCTGCCTGCGTTGTGGTTCGAGTACAAATGAAATGGGAAAACAATGAACATCTCCCCCTGTTGTTGTGCCGGCTAGCATCCGTAGAGTTACCGGGCAAGTTAACGTTGAAGACATTTCATATTCGGATTTTTACAGCTGGAACAAGACATAAACGGAGCGATGCCTTGCCTGATGGTGGACGTGCTCGATTCCAGCCTGATAGCTGCCGTGGACTATTTAGGTTTTTCGGATTTGGCTGCCTGCATTGCCTGCTCACAACGGCTCTTGAATAATGGAACATCACCTTTGCTATGGGATAGATGCACCTCCTGGCGTATGAAACAGTTGGAAGGGTCCATTCCGGCGCACGCGCGGTGGCGCCCTGCTGAAGATCCTGAGCTTGTGAATCAATCCGAACCTTGGAAACATCTCCGTGCGGGTGCAAGCACTTTTCACTTTGCCAGGGGGCTGCAGCTTTACGAGCAGAAGAAGTTCGAAGAGGCCGAGGACCATTTGCGGGCCCTCATCCAGCTTCTGCCTGGACGGCCCTTAGCGTTGTGCCGTTTGGCAGACACGCTCTACGGCCGAGCCGTGTCTCTGCTAACACACCAGCGTCAACCAGAGCACCGCTCTCACAGTTCAACGCCTCCTGTCATTGAAGCCTTTGACGACGAAGAGGAAGAACAGCCGGCCATGCTTCTTTCTCGTTCGCCCATGTCCCCTACAAACCGTCCGCCTCCAGCTACCGTCAACACTGTCAACGCTGTGGAGGACGAAGTTGCGGATGTTGTGAGCACGCTAGACGACGTCCCTTCAACTGGAAGCGCTCCAAGCGCTCAATCGGAACGTGGCGGCCAAGGTTATCAAGGGCCCTCGGCCGTTTCCAGTTCGCCCCGTCTTCACATCCCTGACAGCTTGGGCACACCACCCCGTGAAGCCAGCTCGGATCGGGAGGCGCGCGAGTCATCATGAAGCCAGTCTGAGCTCGTGAGCATGTGAAGCAAAGACGATGTCTTCTGTGATGCTGTTTGCACTTTGGACAAGTCCACAATTGTAGGCTCCGCCCGGTGAGCAGGAAGTGCTGGCACCCAGGCTCCTTACTTTCGCGTATTTTCGCTTGGTTGGCGTGTGGTGCACTTCTTTTATTTGGTGAGTGTCCCTTCAGGTTTCTTTTCAGTTGGTTGGTCTTGTTGTGTCCTTGTGCCTGGCCGGTGCGCGGTGCACTTCTTTCACGTGGTTGATGGGGCACCTCTTTCCATTGGTTGGTGTGAGGTCCTGTGAGGTGCACTCGTTTCACGTATCTTTGACTTCATTTGTTGAAGCTGACAAGAGTGCCAGGAGATACAACGATGTTGAAGGAGACGATCGGCACATGCCAAACCCACGCAGGTGCCACACAGCCGCAGTTGCAGATCTCTAGATTCAGAAAGCGCGTCATTTGAAAAGCCACGAATGGCTTGCCGAAGGTCTGTTGAAGCTGAAGAGGCGCTGCCTTCTCTGCTTTTTCGTGAGGAGAACATTTGAAGGCCTTTTGGCCATTTTGAGCAAAGTGAGGTGGCAAGTGCGTCCAGAATCGAAGCTTTGCGCGAACGGCTGCTGGCAGAGGCCCAGGAGCTGATGTGAACATCTGCTCATATTTGCTCAACCCACCTGCACATGTTGCGTCAACACATTCGCGCAGCACAGGCAGACTCATTATCTGTTATGTTCGCAGCACAAGAGAGTAGATGCTGCGCCGGAACAGGTGAGCAAGCAAGAAAGCGCTTGTTGAGTGTGCATAAGGGCAAGTGTTGCCAGGTATGTCTGTAAAGCCTCGGTTTGATGTTTTGCAAGGCCAAAGACCTTTACCAGCAAGCCCATCGCCAGTGTCCGGGCTGTTCATATGCAGTTGGGAGCTCGAATCTCGATCACATGGCCGGTCAACTGCATCTTGCATGTGTAGTCTGGAGAGGTCAATGGTCTGACATTATTTGTCCATGTCAGGTGGGAGCTGTGTCCCGCAGTGCCCTGAATAGTATATTTTGGCATATGTCGCTCAGCTTTTGCGGGTCTTCAGATCCGAGAAGATTGAGCTGCTGGAGCGGGCCATTGAGTTGGATGGCGAGTGACGGGAACCTGTTTTGTCGGCACTCTGACTGGGGCCTTTGAGTGGAACCAGTGCATGTTAGCCCTGCGTGCCAGGAATCCATATGCCCTTGCAAATCTGGGAGCTGAGCTTTTTGGAGAGGAGCTGAGCTCAGAGAACTTTTTCTGTGCAGTGAAGCACCAGCTAGTCAGCCGTTGGAGCCTGCCCTTTTTACGGCGCTGCGCACTGCAGACACTTGACACACTTGTGGATAGCTGGCCGTCACTGGTGCGAGTACTCCCAGTTCTTGCAACCTTTGGCGTTTTTGCATAATCGCGGGCACCCATGATCACCCATGCAATGGGTTCCCTGAGTATTTTCTCGAAGCATGATTCGGGCCTTCGTCAAACAGAGCGCAACAATGCCGGAACGTGCCAGCAGAGCCCAAGAACAGTTGTGTAAAGGCAGTGAATGGATTGTGCATTGTGCGCTCTTCGGGATGCTTCAGCCATGTTCGAAAACATGATTAACTACGGGTTTTCACGGCTTTCTTCTGCCCAATGACTTCGTCCGGAATGGCCCTAAAGCTGAGGACGATCAGCGTGCGCTGGGTCTGCTGGAGAACGCCCTCCAGTGGTGTTCTCAGATCCTCAGATCCCAGACGACTCTCAGGATTTGCCGATGCTGGAGGGCAACCTTTCGCACTTTACAACCTCCGGGAAGCAATCTAGAGTCCAGATCGGTCAAGGGTGGTGCGCACCAGCCTAGGATCTGCTCAGCAAGAGTTGACCAAGGATCAATCCTCGCCTTTTCTATGCTCGTCTCTGCAAAAGCAAGGCTTGCTTCGCTGGGTCTTGCAAGAGTGCGCATCAATTTATGGGCACATGCCACCTCGCCTCTTGGTGCGAAGTAGGTCCTCTTACGCCTCGGCAACCTTCCTGCAGCGGTGGATGCAGCTTCTCAGCCTGAGCTAGACACAACATCAGTACATTATGCTCATCCTTGCCACTCCTTTGTACATAAGGCGCGGTCCCAGCTGGAGTGGCAGCCATGCGACGCGCAGCACTGACATGAATTTAGGACGTACGGGACACAAGAGTAAGCCAGTGTCTGTCAATGAGATGTGCGAGGCCCCCACAGCAAGTGATGAGGGTGATTGATGGTTCGTGATGGACAATGGAGTGGTGATAGTTGATGATTTACGACGATTTGTTGATGATGGTTGATTGCTTGATTGCTTGATTGCTTGGGTGCTCGATGGCTCGATTGATTGGTTGGTTAGTTGATTGGTTGGTTGACTGACTGGTTGTATGGATGGATGCATGGTTATGGTCACGGTGATGGTGGTGACGTTGATCATGTATCGCTGATGACATGAAGCCAGCACGATGATGGCGACGACGGCGGCGACAATGACGACGACGACGATCATGATATTAGTAACATGGTGATAAAAAACTAAGAAGATGATGACAAAGACCATTGAGAATGACACTGTGATATGTTGTTGGCCTGTGTGGTGGCGATGACGCCGACGGCAGTGATGACGATACTGAAAACGTCGATGGCAGTGATGGTGATGATGATGATGATGATGATCATGACGATGATGATGGCGAGTAGTGGTACAGGGCAGTGAGACGCGGGGCGTTGAGTTCCGAACTCTTTCCAACAAAACCCTGTGCCAACCTGCAGTGTCTAAGTTGCAGACATATGATTGCCTTGTTTATCATAGTAGCTCTGCGCCTTCGCCAGGATGGCTGTGCGCTTTCTGTCTCAGCTTGAGTTCCGGCTGGAGGTTGTGCTGATGCCTCGATGGATCTTAATCAGTACCAGCTTTGCCTTTTGTGCGATGCCACGCCAAGGCGAAGGAGGATGTTGATTGTTTAATGAACGCGCCAACACCTGACTGTCTCACAAGTCGTACCATTGGACTGTTTCGCTTTATGGGTGAATGGTTTCGGAATTGGCATTTGACCGTGCCATCTACCGTGCCTTTGCTTCTCTTCTGGTGTGGACGCCTCGCCGACTACCAAGTCGACGTGTTGGCGCAGCATATGCAAGTTTCAATGCGCATTCAAATGGCGGATTGGCACGACCAATGACACTAATGTCATGCCGACTCACCATTTCAGACATGGAATCAAAAGAATACAGCTGGCAGCATGGAGCATCTAGATGCAGTAAGAGCATGCTGGGAAGATATTGGTGGTAGTTGAAGTGGAGTTATGTGTCAGACATGTCGAGATTGGCGTCTACTATGCGACTGCCCTCCTGTTTTGTAGTGACTTGTAAGGGCAACAAGCAATGTTGCAACGCCTTTTTTGTGTGTGAGAGTGTGAGTGTGTGTGTGTGTACAACATTGCCTTGAGACATTCCGAAACTTCTAGTCTTGGCGTGAAGCTACCCGCTGTGTCAATTTTTCTGCGTGCCATGCGCTTGCATGAACTTCAGCGAATCAGCTGCATGGCCTAGGTGCTTCTTGGGATGGATCCTGGTGGGGTTGCGAAGGAACTGCGGGTCTGACGGAGGCTTCGTTGGAATTCGCACGCAAGCTCCTGTGCATTTCAGGCAATCCATTCAACAGGACAGGACCTTCCGTCCCACCTTGATCAGGATGGGGAGGCCTTCGCCTGGCAAGCGTCGCAGGCACGAAGCCTTTCTGCCGGTGTGGTCTTCCAAGCGCACAAAGTCCCAGCACCAGTGCAGCTGGCTCCAACTTCTGCTCACGAACTCGCGATGCACCATTTTGGCCCGAACGAGGTTAGACTGCGGGCCGGGTGTGGCCGGGTATAGGGGCCTAAAAGGGCCCAAAGGGCATGATGCAACTCTTTGCAAGGACTTCTGCCATCTGCACATCTGCAAACTGCTATGGGGATCAGCGGTGCCCGGTCCCGCACCTGTTTAATCACCAGTACTGAGGAAGGGGATGATCCCAGTATCATGCCGCCACCAGGACAATTGCCGGTGACTCCGTGGCGCTCCATGTGGAGGCGCGGTGGTCAGACGGAGTCAGACGTGGCATGACGTTGTGAAGCTTGATTGCTGGAACTGTCCACTCGAAGCGTCAAGAGTCTCAAGAGTGTGATTCTAGTTACCATTCGGCTGAAAAGCTCGCTTGACGTGGTGTTGTGCAGCAAACCATCCAGAAAGGAGAACAGCTCCGTCCTTGAGGTGAAGGTTCCACGCTCATACATGTGAATGGCACACTTTCAGCACCTTTCGCATTCCAGTGTTGGTCTTGTATGACGTCATCGCATGTTTCATACAAGGCAACTTTGGGAATCCAAAATGAAGGCCTTTGCTTTGGAGGCCAGTGTGGATCTCAGAAGCGGTCTCGAGTGCTTTCCATTCTCCAGTGCTTGACAGACCTCTCGAGTCATGTCCTTAGCATCCTGTACGAAGCCGAGGTGGTTAGAAGACGATGTGATGCTGAACGCATACCAGGCCCCAGTTTTTTTTTGCGCATCCTCGAGACTGAGCTTCGGTGCTTTCGTGTGCTTCTCACTATCCCACGAGTGCCACCTCCAGAAGCGCTTTGTCACACTTACAGCGTCTCTTGATTCTTTTTCATCTGAAGCTGTCGTGGCACGGTGCAAGCACTCCTCAGCGGCACCAAGCAGCAGCGTCCCCCGCTGTTACCATCAGTTGCCCGCCAACCCTCACAGCTGCCGACGATTCCAGACGGGGTTCCTGACGAGCCCCTCGTGCATGAATCCTTCGGTCCCTATAAGTTCTATGCTATTCGCTCTTGCTGCTTGCCAAGCGTCCAAGCATATTCCGCGCTGAGACACCGTGAAGGGCACTGAGAGATATGAGAGATGTCTGAAAGCTCCTCTGCCTGTCGGCGAGGTGACTGAGGGCTCGACTCTCATGGTGCTAGCCTTGCAATTGCAGGCTTGTGCAGACAAAAGCAAGAGAGGCTTCTTGCTTCCCAGGTCATGGCGCGCTTGCCCGGAGGAGCGGCACTTACTGCGCGTGCTGCTTCCTTCATTTCCAAGCAGCTTGCTTGCTCTGAACTAGTTCAGGAACTGCTGAAGAGCACATTAAACCGCTCAAGACTTTGTCAGAGTCTTACCATGTGTCTTGTTAGGTGGAGACGGCACGCCCGCAATGGGCAAGCGCCACAAGAAGCACTCGACTTAGGAGCGCCAGGGCTCAGGTCAGCCTTGTTGCACATGCAGTCCTTAAGGACACACTCCTTGTGCCCCCGGTGTGGGAAGCGCTCCTACCACACGCAGAACAAGAAATGCGTGCTGTGGCCGCAATTCTGCAATGCTGGGGAGTCACCGAGGAGGACTTGAGAGGTTGATCTTTAGCTCGTGATGGCAGGAGCCTTGCAGTCAACTTAATGTCTATACATTTTCACACCAAAGACAGTCTTCAATGTTCACGAGGCAAAAGACGCTGAATTAATGAGACGTTTTGCTGGTCTACTGCTCGCGGAGCATAGTGGTAAGTACAGCGGCTTGCGTAGCGGCTTGCGTCGCGGCTTGCATAGCCACACTCTCCGCAGTCCCCAGCCTGCGATAACCTGCGATTGCAGCATGAAAAAGCAGTGGCTACCAAGGCTGCATGCGGATACCCTGCAGCCAAGATCCGCTCTTATGAATGGTCGAAGAAGGCAGATGGCCAAGCGGGCTTCCATGATGCAGTTGTGCAGTTGCACAGCTTGTCCATCGTGTAGACATGAACCACATCGGCCAACGCTCCAGTCCAAGCGTCGACGAGCTCCAGGCACAGGACGGATGAGGTCTGGCAATGCTGGGGGTATGTTGCTTTGGTATGCTTTGGTGCCTTCTGTTGCCTTCCGCATTTTGCCGAAATCACAGAACACGTCGCAACCCAAATGCCCTGGGACATCGCACTCCAGATATCCAAGTACGCGAAGCAATGACAAGCTTCAAGAAGAACCGAACGCATGCAGACGACCACTGAACAGGCCGGATGATGGCGCCCGCCATGCACTTTTGTTGAGCAACTTCAAACTACAACACGCCCAGCAATCATAGCGGACCTTCGGGCAATCATGGCAATCTCAAACAAGATCGAACAGGTGTCACGCCGTCTTTCCAACGAGAAGGGGGTCGTTCACCGAATTCAGCATCACGCTTCATGTACAGTAGCTGCATCCAAGAGTTGTTCATGACAGGTATGTGAAGCACATCGCCCGACGCTTCAAGAACGGCTTCCGCGAGGTGCCTTTTTTGCCGCCTCGTGTTCTCTCAGCTCTGCGCACGTAATGCTCTAAATCATGTACATCCTCTGCGAACACAAGGGAAGCTCGTAGAAGCTGTTCGAAACGGCAGCAGACTTCAAATTTAGTCTGAGGAGGAGCTTAAATTAGGAGCTTTCGGACTTTAGGAGATTATGACAATTTGGTGTTTTCTGAGGGTGGAGTTGCGCCCGCTCGCAAGAAGCGCGTGGACCTCAGAGAAGAAGGGCAGGTGCTGTCGGTGCCGCATGTGTTGACTTCAATGTTCGTACTCCATCGCACTTCATGGTCCCCTTTTGGCTCACTATGTGCTGAGCTGTCGGCCTGTGCAGAATCTGAAGGGTAGCATGTCCTCTCGAGCACTTAAGGTTCGTCTGGAAACTGAGTGGCTTTGCTGACCCGACCCGCAGATGAAAAGATGAGCGGCTTGAAGTGCCCCCAATGCGTCCTGCTGCAAGCTGTCACCCTCACCAATTGTTAAGCTCGAAGAATGCCAGAACCTGATCTGGTGAGGCTAGCTACAGCAGAGACCACCTTGGTCCCAAATCCGTGGCAGACGAGCGCACGGCTGCTCTCTCAGTTCTGCCACCCTTGTCGGGGCTGACACTGCAGATGGCGATGTCGCCGACCATAGGATAGGGAGGGCACGTGGAATATGCTGGATCACCAACCGTGCGCTGTGCCTTTTCGATGTAGACGATCGACATGAGCATGGACTAGCACTAGCATGCATGCGACGGGGCATGCTGACTGCTGCCACGGTTGTGAGGCAACTGAGAGCGCGGCATGGTAGGTCGATTCCTGCTGAACATGCGAACGCAAAGAAAGGGTAAACAGGCAATCCATTCAACAGGACAGGACCTTCCGTCCCACCTTGATCAGGATGGGGAGGCCTTCGCCTGGCAAGCGTCGCAGGCACGAAGCCTTTCTGCCGGTGTGGTCTTCCAAGCGCACAAAGTCCCAGCACCAGTGCAGCTGGCTCCAACTTCTGCTCACGAACTCGCGATGCACCATTTTGGCCCGAACGAGGTTAGACTGCGGGCCGGGTGTGGCCGGGTATAGGGGCCTAAAAGGGCCCAAAGGGCATGATGCAACTCTTTGCAAGGACTTCTGCCATCTGCACATCTGCAAACTGCTATGGGGATCAGCGGTGCCCGGTCCCGCACCTGTTTAATCACCAATACTGAGGAAGGGGATGATCCCAGTATCATGCCGCCACCAGGACAATTGCCGGTGACTCCGTGGCGCTCCATGTGGAGGCGCGGTGGTCAGACGGAGTCAGACGTGGCATGACGTTGTGAAGCTTGATTGCTGGAACTGTCCACTCGAAGCGTCAAGAGTCTCAAGAGTGTGATTCTAGTTACCATTCGGCTGGAAAGCTCGCTTGACGTGGTGTTGTGCAGCAAACCATCCAGAAAGGAGAACAGCTCCGTCCTTGAGGTGAAGGTTCCACGCTCATACATGTGAATGGCACACTTTCAGCACCTTTCGCATTCCAGTGTTGGTCTTGTATGACGTCATCGCATGTTTCATACAAGGCAACTTTGGGAATCCAAAATGAAGGCCTTTGCTTTGGAGGCCAGTGTGGATCTCAGAAGCGGTCTCGAGTGCTTTCCATTCTCCAGTGCTTGACAGACCTCTCGAGTCATGTCCTTAGCATCCTGTACGAAGCCGAGGTGGTTAGAAGACGATGTGATGCTGAACGCATACCAGGCCCCAGTTTTTTTTTGCGCATCCTCGAGACTGAGCTTCGGTGCTTTCGTGTGCTTCTCACTATCCCACGAGTGCCACCTCCAGAAGCGCTTTGTCACACTTACAGCGTCTCTTGATTCTTTTTCATCTGAAGCTGTCGTGGCACGGTGCAAGCACTCCTCAGCGGCACCAAGCAGCAGCGTCCCCCGCTGTTACCATCAGTTGCCCGCCAACCCTCACAGCTGCCGACGATTCCAGACGGGGTTCCTGACGAGCCCCTCGTGCATGAATCCTTCGGTCCCTATAAGTTCTATGCTATTCGCTCTTGCTGCTTGCCAAGCGTCCAAGCATATTCCGCGCTGAGACACCGTGAAGGGCACTGAGAGATATGAGAGATGTCTGAAAGCTCCTCTGCCTGTCGGCGAGGTGACTGAGGGCTCGACTCTCATGGTGCTAGCCTTGCAATTGCAGGCTTGTGCAGACAAAAGCAAGAGAGGCTTCTTGCTTCCCAGGTCATGGCGCGCTTGCCCGGAGGAGCGGCACTTACTGCGCGTGCTGCTTCCTTCATTTCCAAGCAGCTTGCTTGCTCTGAACTAGTTCAGGAACTGCTGAAGAGCACATAAAACCGCTCAAGACTTCGTCAGAGTCTTACCATGTGTCTTGTTAGGTGGAGACGGCACGCCCGCAATGGGCAAGCGCCACAAGAAGCACTCGACTTAGGAGCGCCAGGGCTCAGGTCAGCCTTGTTGCACATGCAGTCCTTAAGGACACACTCCTTGTGCCCCCGGTGTGGGAAGCGCTCCTACCACACGCAGAACAAGAAATGCGTGCTGTGGCCGCAATTCTGCAATGCTGGGGAGTCACTGAGGAGGACTTGAGAGGTTGATCTTTAGCTCGTGATGGCAGGAGCCTTGCAGTCAACTTAATGTCTATACATTTTCACAATCATTTTCACACCAAAGACAGTCTTCAATGTTCACGAGGCAAAAGACGCTGAATTAATGAGACGTTTTGCTGGTCTACTGCTCGCGGAGCATAGTGGTAAGTACAGCGGCTTGCGTAGCGGCTTGCGTCGCGGCTTGCGTAGCCACACTCTCCGCAGTCCCCAGCCTGCGATAACCTGCGATTGCAGCATGAAAAAGCAGTGGCTGCCAAGGCTGCATGCGGATACCCTGCAGCCAAGATCCGCTCTTATGAATGGTCGAAGAAGGCAGATGGCCAAGCGGGCTTCCATGATGCAGTTGTGCAGTTGCACAGCTTGTCCATCGTGTAGACATGATCCACATCGGCCAACGCTCCAGTCCAAGCGTCGACGAGCTCCAGGCACAGGACGGATGAGGTCTGGCAATGCTGGGGGTATGTTGCTTTGGTATGCTTTGGTGCCTTCTGTTGCCTTCCGCATTTTGCCGAAATCACAGAACACGTCGCAACCCAAATGCCCTGGGACATCGCACTCCAGATATCCAAGTACGCGAAGCAATGACAAGCTTCAAGAAGAACCGAACGCATGCAGACGACCACTGAACAGGCCGGATGATGGCGCCCGCCATGCACTTTTGTTGAGCAACTTCAAACTACAACACGCCCAGCAATCATAGCGGACCTTCGGGCAATCATGGCAATCTCAAACAAGATCGAACAGGTGTCACGCCGTCTTTCCAACGAGAAGGGGGTCGTTCACCGAATTCAGCATCACGCTTCATGTACAGTAGCTGCATCCAAGAGTTGTTCATGACAGGTATGTGAAGCACATCGCCCGACGCTTCAAGAACGGCTTCCGCGAGGTGCCTTTTTTGCCGCCTCGTGTTCTCTCAGCTCTGCGCACGTAATGCTCTAAATCATGTACATCCTCTGCGAACACAAGGGAAGCTCGTAGAAGCTGTTCGAAACGGCAGCAGACTTCAAAATTAGTCTGAGGAGGAGCTTAAATTAGGAGCTTTCGGACTTTAGGAGATTTTGACAATAAGGGGTTTTCTGAGGGTGGAGTTGCGCCCGCTCGCAAGAAGCGCGTGGACCTCAGAGAAGAAGGGCAGGTGCTGTCGGTGCCGCATGTGTTGAATTCAATGTTCGTACTCCATCGCACTTCATGGTCCCCTTTTGGCTCACTACGTGCTGAGCTGTCGGCCTGTGCAGAATCTGAAGGGTAGCATGTCCTCTCGAGCACTTAAGGTTCGTCTGGAAACTGAGTGGCTTTGCTGACCCGACCCGCAGATGAAAAGATGAGCGGCTTGAAGTGCCCCCAATGCGTCCTGCTGCAAGCTGTCACCCTCACCAATTGTTAAGCTCGAAGAATGCCAGAACCTGATCTGGTGAGGCTAGCTACAGCAGAGGCCACCTTGGTCCCAAATCCGTGGCAGACGAGCGCACGGCTGCTCTCTCAGTTCTGCCACCCTTGTCGGGGCTGACACTGCAGATGGCGATGTCGCCGACCATAGGATAGGGAGGGCACGTGGAATATGCTGGATCACCAACCGTGCGGTGCCTCTTCGATGTAGACAGGGTCTCGCCTTGATCATAACAAATTATCAAAAGTCCAGACATTGTGGCATTGGGCTGCGTGGCGTTGCACTGCGCTGCACATCGTTGCACTGCTCAGCAAGGCCCAGATTCACTTTGCAAAGACTTACCAGGCAGGGTCAAAAGTGGCTAAAGCACCATGGACAGTTGCGTTCTGATTAAGTAAAGTGATGTCACATGCATCTTTTGGTCCTGGAGGTGCTCTGTGAGGCGATCGAGAAGCATCCTGCTGCCTTCAGAGACATATTGTCGTTTCTGGACACATGCATGACGCGATGCGAGTGATGCGAAATGATGCAAACGATGTGAAGACATGGACATGTTTGGGAACCTGAAAACGAGGATTTGGGCTGCGCGCCCGGTGGCTTTTCGCAGCGGATGCTCGAGGAATCCTTGCCTTGGTGGGCCTTCTTGGCGTAGGATGCCGTCATGGCCCGGCTCAGCGAAACGCGGGTCTTGCGTGAATGCTGATGCTGCAGATGTTTCTGCTCGACTCGAAAATCGCCTCACTGTAGTGGTGACAGAGTCCCAGAAACAGATTAGCCATGCATCAGCAAAGGCTGCAGCTTTGCACTTTTTGTGGCATCTTGTGGCCATGGGCTGCTGGCTCTCAGCTCGTCTTGTGCCGCTCGGCCACCGGCATGCTAGCGTTGGATAGCGTTGGCCCTTGTGTGACGGGCGAAGATGTGAGGCCTATCGTTTTTCTTACATTGCTGGCGGAGGACTCTTTTGCTGAAATCAAAAAGCTTCCGTGAGCCTAGAGGGAGGGTGGGTCAGCCCCAGCACGGCGCCTTCTTGCAATCGAGGATGCTGCTGGGCAAGATGGCAGCACATTGCAGGTACGCCTGCAACTTTGATGAGCCTGTGCTACTGAACGGGTGAGCATGCACGTGCCATCGGCAAACCCACACGAGTTTTGGAGTGAGGCCGAGTTGAGGCCTTATAAGAGCTGGTACAGTGACACAGACCTGTACAGCTCAGCGTGCTCAAGTTCAGGTACCCCGCATGTTGGACTGCGAGGGCGAAGGCTGGCCTAAGGACCACTGGGCTTGGCAGTATGGACATTGTGTCATTGTGTGAAACGTTGGGTGTCGTTTGCCGCCGAAGGAGTGGCGCTATTTTCGGCTGGCCGCGACAGAGGCTGTTGCTATCTGGTAGTGGAAGCAGCAACATTCTGGACCGTTTGCTCGGACAGAGCGCTTCTGCTGTTCTGCTGGAGAGTCCGTCAAAAGCTGATGTTGTAAGCAGTTGCCGTAAGCCGTAAGCATCATATCTTGCAATGCCGCCAGGCGGTGGCTAATGGTTTCGAACGCTCAACAGCCTTGGAGTCAATGGCTGCAAAGATAGAGGAGCGAGAGGAGTGAAGAGGAATGGAGAGCCATGTCGAGCCCCCTTAGGCTCTCAGTTCTCAAGCTTCAATTTTTTTTAAATTTTGAGTTTTTCCCAGAGGAGCAGTGGCATCACTGGGTCTGCCCGAGAGCTCGGTTTGGTCGTGGGCTCATGTGAGGGGTCCTGTCGCGGTACCAGCACACACTTGCCACAGAGCACGTGGACTGAGCTCTGTCACAAGTCACAACGTTGAGAAACGGCAAAGGCCGATTGCGGCCGTGAGCGAGCAGCACATCGCATGAGTTCGCTGAGGAGACGAGTGCCTCAGCAGCTCGGAGCTTGGCTTCGATTTCGTTGCTGAACTACACAGAGACTGCGTCGGCCTGAGCTGCTCATGCATGCTCATGCTGATGGCGATGACCTCCGCGTACAGCTTCCGAGACACCTTGAGGGGCTGGAACTGGTGACTCGTTTATATGTTAATTGTTGGACTCAGCTTCTTACCTACCCTGTCAAGGCGGCAGACTCGGGAATGCCTCACAGGGAGGCTACAAGTTGCCTGTAGTAAGTCAGAAAAAAGGCCAAGCCAGGAACCCCAAAACAATCCGAATTACAAAGAGTGCCGGAATGAAATCCCCACGTTTAAAGTCCGTTCCACATGCGCATGTTGTAGATTAGATCGAATACCATGATGCAGGTAGTTGATTATTTGACGCGAAAAAGCCATCTCACAGCCCGCGTGATCCCCTCCGGCTCTGTCCTCCCGGCTGACGCGCACAGATGGACACAGCGCTTCTGCACCGCAGACGCGTGGCACATGCGCTCTCGCGCCCACCCTCCTTCTCTGTCCTCCCGGCTCACGGACACAGCTCTCCCCTCTGCCCGCGCCATCCCCGCAGACACGCCGTAGACGATCCGCGTTTCGTTTCATCCCCGTCGTTTTGATCTCCGCGTTCCCATCCCCGTTTCGTTCATCCTCGCTTCCTTGTGATCCCCGTTTCGTTTACATCCCCGCGGGTCGCACGCACGCACGCAGGCACGCACGCACTTGCGCTTGAATCTGAGACGCTTGCAACATCTTCATGTCTGGAAGCTAGGCCGTGACTCGAACAACTTTGAGTACACGCCTCAGGTGTTGTTGTTGTTGATGCCACTAAGTAGACAGTGCTGTATGGTTGAATCTTAAGCATGCTGGTCTTGATTCATAGCAAAGCCAGGCGCTACCTCATCAGACACTACTTTGAGAATACCAAGACAGAATACCAAGCGCTTCAGGTGCTCAGGTTGTTGCATCTGTCACAGGCCTCAGCATGAGTTCACAGCTTCTGGAAGGCACCGTCCGGCTTCTGCTTGTACGGATATTTGACCGCTTTGATGGTGCTTGCCTGGCACAAGCTTCCGGAGCATGTGCAGTGCTCAGACACGCTCAAAATTCCAGTCGCAGATCTGTCCCGTTCATTGCACTCGCTGCAGTTTAGCTACTGCGTATGGTTGCACTGGAATGCACCCAGTGAGGTGGCAGACGCTCTGCGCCATGTCTACACAGCTCGGCACCTTCTGGGCGCTTGAGCAGCGCTTTGTCCATGTGAGCCAAATGTTTTAGCATGCTTGTTCCTCAACAAGTCACCGGCAAGTCGTTTAAGGCCACTACCACTCCTTTGATTTTGTGGAATCCTCATCTTGGCCCGTATCCTCATTCCTCGTGCTGGATGCTTGTCGGCAGAACGGCTGTCAATTTCAAGGAGGCAGCTGACATGGTAGGGGAACACGGGGCGATTGATAGCGGTATTAGCGGTATAGCATGGTAGAATCATGGTAGTGCTGACTTGAGGTAAACTTCCATGCCGGTGGCACTTGGATCCCGCTGAATGCTGCTCCAGACTATGCGCATCCCGGGCAGCTTGGTTCAGCCTTCTATTACGCCCGCTGTCCGCAATTCGAAGCAGGCCCTCCAGGTCTCAGGTATCGCCAAACGGCACTGAACAAAATGCAAGCCAAAGTAACAAGAAGCAAAAGCAAGGCAACAGACAAAAGCAAAGCACTGCATATCACCGCATCTTTCTCAAGGAGCGGCTGGCCTGGCGTGAGACCGTCGAGGCGGCGAAGCCTGCACCTGGTGCCGCCCCGTTCTTTCTACTCCCGGGGGAAGGCCAGCTCAGCTGCAACGACAGATACGACAGTTTTGTGGGAAGGCATGGAAAACTTTCTGTTGACGACAGGGTAGCTTCAGTCTCCCCACGGTTGAGATGGTGGCTGCCTTACGAGGTCCGCCGGGCGAATGGCGCGGCCTTGGGGCCCAAGTGAGTCAGCGACATCTGATTGTATGGCAGTTTTGTATCCACACCTCGACAGCTGGCGAAGCTGTTACGATGATTAGCCGCAGCTTGTCCAAAAAAGAAATATGACTGTTCATTCTGCCTTGAGACTGGTATCTGCAAGTCGCAGGTTTCAATGCATTGTCTGAGGCTTCCTTCGTGACGACTACAGCATTGAGTTCCGTGGAAACTCACTTGCTATGCAACTGTGCGCCAACTATCGGCCTTCCCTCTGCGCGTCTGGCAGAAACCGAGAGTACCTGGATTGGCTGCACCGGGCTTAGTATAGCGGAGCTTGAGTTGTCTTTCTGATGCTACTGTATGGGTGTTCTGAAGTCCCACAAGGTCCGCGCGACTTGAGGCCTCATGCTGCCATACGACTTTGCAGCATGTAGGGCATGGTTTTCCCTGACACGGTAGGCGGAGGATGCATCTTTCTCCGAACTGTCCAGCAGCTTTCGGCAAGAGATGATGCCGCAGCTTTCTGAAGCCGACGCGGGACTGAAGCTGTGCCATCGACAACGTCCAAGCACATATCACTGGGAGCGGGTGGAAAGGTCATACCATTCGGTGCAATTCATCATGTCTCTCCGGAGCAGAGATCTGAGGATGTGTGGATGTGCTCCATTCCTGCGGTGTGGTGTCGGCTCTTGTGGGATGCGGCCCAATGGTCCCGTGCCCGGCCAGCGATCTTCGCTTATTTAGGCCTCCGAGCATTGCGCCAACAGTAGAGCCGAGCCGAAGTTGGAGTGATGAGTGCAGGCCTACCTATACTGCAGTATGTCCATCGAGATGATCGCACGGCCTTCTTGAAAGCTTTCGTGCAGATGGGCAAGGATGAGAGAACCATCGTCGCAGCCAACAACGCATACCTGGCCGAGGAGGCTCGGACGTGCCCAGCGAAGTCGCTAAGTATGCTCCCTGTGGGAGTGCATCTTTGCACATCTTTGCACTTGAGAACCCTGTTTTGCGAACTTTTTCTTGCAGGTCGCATGGCAAACTGGTCTCAGGATTCCAACTCTTCGAATCCATGGCTTGCACACAAATGCCACATACTACCCGCTTCGCAATTCTGAGGCAGATTCTGCTGAGAATGCCGGACATCATGCAGCATATGATAGCACAAATGCAGCACCATTGTCCTGCATGCCAGGTTCTGGTCTCACGGCCAGGAACCAGCGGTGGATGGCAAGAGTGCGTTCTGGATCGTTTTGTGGATGTGAATCCTCAGTACCCGCTGCGCTTCGTGCAGTTCACGAATCTGCTGAAGCATGCCTGCTTTGGGCATGATCTGTTCTCACACCTTTCACGTGGTGCTTGCAATGTTTGCCATTTTATGCGTCGAGGAACCCGGACACAACCGAAGAGGCCTGGGGTTTGCTCTCACCGCGGAACTGCAATCTCAAATCAAGCGTGTGGACAGAGGTCTACAACAACACGCTCTCCTACCGATCGTTGGCGCAGTTCCGTGCGGTGGTCGGGACCTCAGTGACTCAACAGCCGGGCACATGCTGAGAGTCGCTGCCTTTTTCCGCTCTCAGCCTGTCCGCTTTCCGCAGCCACTCACAGATATGTCTCGCAGTATCTCGCAGTGGACCACTGAGGTGGGGTTCCCCTACGACACGTCGCTGATGTTCTTTTGGGAGTTCTACTCCATGAACATGCCAACCTTTGCTCCCCTGTCGGAAGTATGTAAGTCAACTGTGCTTTTCTCTTTTTGGTCATTTCTTAGCTCCCACTTTGTCCTTGCAGCTTGCAAGGTGCCATTCCAGCTGTGGCATTGGGGCGTGTTTGGCCGGGATCTTTGATTCCTTGGATGTCATAGATTCAAAACTTAAAGTGACTTCAAGGGGGTGACTTCCGCGAAGACGACTATTTCAATGTTTGGACAGGTCAGCACACACGGCCCGATTTGGAGCAGCCCAGACTCTTTCCCAGTGAAGGCCGACTGAAAACAGTTTGAAAAACTCTTAGAACCATGGAGTCAATCAGTGGCTAATTGCTTTGAGAAAGAAAGACGAGGCCCCGTGCTGTCGACACTGATCCCTGAAGAGGAGCATCCCAACATGCATGATGGCTTTTCAATCCAATTTCAGTGACGCCAGCGACCGAAGTACAGGATACCATTTAACTTTTAGTCTGAGTGTCCTTTGAGTGCAGGACCGATTTCCATACTCACCCTTCTTTGATGGCTTTGGCCCTCTTGACGTGGAGCCCGGACCCCGACCTTGGGAAGAAGTCATAGAGCGTCATAGAGTACTCGTGGCCAAGCAAGCGCCAAGCATTTGTCAGCTTAGGCGCTCCATCTTTTGGTCCAAGTACACCGACTGGGCGATGTTCCCTCATGTGCAGTACTTCAAGTCAGCCGCCAAGTCCTGTCTATAGGGGTCCTGGTCAGGTTCTGGTGATTCTGGTACGGGGATATTCGGGGGAGTGCTGTGGCAGAGCACAGCAAGGAAGCAGACATGAATCGACGTGCAGAGTCTTCCAAGGTCTGTGCCGGACCTCATGATCCAGCTCATCACGCTGGACTTACAGGCAAGATGCTACAAAGATGCTACAAGACAGTGAAGTGGACGGCTGCATCACCGACCTACTTGCGCCTCTGTTGCCAGTGTGCCTCCACTGCAAGGCGGTGTCTTCTGCAATGAAGAATTTCAATGAGGAGACCACGAAAGTGTGAACGTAAGCATGTTGCGACACCATTGAGAACGTCGAATGGTCAAGTGTTGAAGCGGCTTGCTGAGCTGTTGCAGGAGTGCCTTATGAAAAGTGTGGCAGCTTGGCGCTATGCAAGGAGCTTAAGTTCTGGTGCTCTTCGCATACCATCCAAGTCCCGTTCGTTTCATTTCGTTGGTGTCATCTGAACTTCTTGGCAGGTTGTGGCACGCTGGCTGGATCTGGAAACCCTCACAGACTGAACTTCGAGCCCCAAGAGATGAGATCTGCGTTTTCTGGCAGCCGGAAGACAAGCGTGTATGAGTAAATACTCTCTCAAGAGAAGATGCCGTGCTTCGAGAACTTTTTGCGGTTCTCACTGTCACATACTGTCACCATTACAACCTTGACGCCCTCAAACTTGCGCCGAGCCGCTGCACCCGAGCATCCCGAGCATCCCGAGCTTAGCGCGAGCGTGTGACGCTGTGTCGGCCGCAGACAAACCATCCCTCGCGTTCAGCTTCCGCACCTTCCACTCCAGCTTTCCGCCTTCGCTCGATGCGGTGCTGCAACCACTACAACCGGACCATGGCGATTCTCTCCTTGGACTCCGAGACTCCTCTCACACCTTAATGAGAAGGCGAGACAGCCGAGATAGCAGAGTTTATGAAGGAATCAGCGAGGCACAGCGGCCGATGGGGCCAAAGATCGTACTCAGAGGCATTTTGGGGAGGTACAAAGATTGTGTTGAGTTGTACAGTTGTAATATGCCATGATCGAGGCGGGGCACGTCTCGTGAAGAACATGCCAAGAGAAAAAAACTCAGCAGAGCGACTGTGCATTATTGCTGCAGTATGAAGCAGGTAGAGCTACCGTGTCATCGGTAGGAGCTGTGCGATGGCGGCATGGGCTACGGTGTCACTTTGCCGTTTGAGGTGGAGACATGCGGAGAGACCAGTAGTTCTGGGGTCAACGTGGGTCAACATGTGAGTCAGCGCTGTTCCAGGCGGGTGGCTTTCCACTATTGCTGAGCGACCTGCGGTTTCATGTTCAGGCAGGCAGCTGTTTTTCATGCTGATAGGGTCCTATCAGCCCGCTACAAATGTCAAGATAAGCGCCAGGTGTCCACCTTCAGATTATTGATAGAACTGCTAGGCATGTAACTTGATGGAGCTGCGGTCTCCAGAAGACCTGGAGTGCACGCTTCTCAGATCGTGTGGTGCAGACCGATGTCAAGCGCAGCATCTTTCATCGCAAGGTCCGAAGTTGGTGGACGTCATCATGGCAGATGCACAGGTCACGTTCCCGCGAACCATGTCGATTTGTTGATTTCATGTGCCGAATCGTTGGGCTGGACCTTGGACCTGGATTTATCTCGGCCTTGGGATCCTTGGGGCATCTTCGATTGAAGGGTTGGAGGTCTCCAAACGCATCTTCGCATGTCCCTGGGATCCTGGGAGTGAGACATGGGGAGGGACTGCTTCATGAAGGCCGCCCAGTCCCCAACCTCGTGGTAGTCGATGTCGAAGCACATGGATGCACTTCCTCATGATGATCATGATCCTGAAAGGTCCCTCATCGCTTTCGAAGCCCCCTCCCCTCCCTCCCCGCTCCCCTCCCTCCCCTCCCCCTTGCTCGATTCGTGGGATTGGAACGAGCAAGATCTGTAAGAGTCCAAATGGAATGTAGAACCTGAAGCCTTCAAGCCCGAGCAAGCTCCCGGCTGCAAGCAACGATCCCCACTCATTCGGACTAAGATTTATCATGACGATCACGTTCAGGACCTGGGAAGACGAAGTCCTGCAAACCAGCGTGCGGGCCTGAGGTCATTCACCCATCGTGAAAAGCCGCGGGATTCACCAAAGCGTGTCGAAGCCTTGGATGCAAGGCGAAGCTAAGCGCCGCAGTAAGACTTCGCGGAATGTCAAGCAAGGCAAGGTCTCAGCTTTCGTATGACCTGTGACCTGTATGGCTGCTGTAAAGGTTTGTTCCCCAAACAGTGCTTGCACAATGGGGTTCTTACGTTCAGAGTAAAAGAATTGGTTGCTGACCGCAACGGCGCGCGCGGCGGTGGGATGGGGCCTTGGTTTCGACGCTCCCGCTGTGGTTTCGCGCGAATTCCGTTGCGTTTCGATGCTCCCGCTGTGGTTTCGCGCGAATTCCGTTGTGCTCCCCCTGTGGTTTCCGAGAATTCCGGCCTCTCGTGGTCTCTTCAGGCCTCTTCTGGGGGGGGCCACTTAAGTTGCCAACGGCGCGCGCGGTGAGAGCCTTGGTTTCGACGCTCCCGCTGTGGTTTCGCGCGAATTCCGTTGCGTTTCGATGCTCCCACTGTGGTTTCGCGCGAATTCCGTTGTGCTCCCCCTGTGGTTTCCGAGAATTCCGGCCTCTCGTGGTCTCTTCAGGCCTCTTCTGGGGGGGGCCACTTAAGTTGCCAACGGCGCGCGCGGTGAGAGCCTTGGTTTCGACGCTCCCGCTGTGGTTTCGCGCGAATTCCGTTGCGTTTCGATGCTCCCACTGTGGTTTCGCGCGAATTCCGTTGCATTTCGATGCTCCCGCTGTGGTTTCGCGCGAATTCCGGCCTCTCGTGGCCTCTTCAGGCCTCTTCTGGGGGGGCCACTTAGGTTGCCGACCGCAATGGCGCGCGCGGTGGGACGGGTCCTTGGTTTCGATGCTGCCGCTGTGGTTTCGCGCGAATTCCGTTGCGTTTCGATGCTCCCGCTGTGGTTTCGTGCGAATTCCGTTGCACTTCGATGCTCCCGCTGTGGTTTCGCGCGAATTCCGGCCTCTCGTGGCCTCTTCAGGGGGTAGCGATTTTGGGGTTGAGCATCATGAGCATCAGCTGGGTCTTTTGGCCCCCAAGTTCCAGACGCGTGCAAAGCCGAATCTCCCAGGTTGGCGTCTTTTTGACCCCCAAGGGAATTCGGCCCCACGAACTTGTACTTTTTGTCTCCGGGAGTGTCGGTGCTCTTCTGGCCTTTTTGGCCTTTTCTGGCCCTCCTCACTGTTTGGGGTCTACGCCTGCATAATTTTGTTTAGAGTCCTTTGCCCGACGCATGTTGGGTTTTTGAGAGAGCAGGTTTGGGGCTAATGGTGACTTTGTTGCAATGCTACAAGCAAGATGCAGCATGCTTCAGAAAGTTGTGGACTTCCTGGACTTCCTATAAGCTTCTTAAACAAATCCAAGCCATCAGCTTCTGTGACCCTTTCGGGGGTCCCAGCAACTCTCGTACGTGGGGACAATCCCAGCTTGTGGCAACCGTTTTTGTTGAAGAACTGGTTGGAGCGCAGTGGAATCTGTATTCTCAAATGATCGCACCCTCGATACATGACGATACATGACATATGAGAATCATGAACCGTGAGAAGAGGATGCTTAGACCATAGGTTAGTCACTATCGGTTCACTGTCGGGTTTTTTCGCCATGTGCAACGATCCGGTTTTGGACTCACAGTGATGCCATGTCATCCGCATCACGGCCCGGCGCTGGCAAAACGAATCCAGATCAAAAAGCAAAACGTCTCTCCTTCCCTGACACGGCTGGTGTAGGCCCAGAAATCAGCTGGAGTCCTGTGTGACCCAGCTCCAACCGTACAAGCTGATGTAAGCTGCCAAAACGGCCGAGTCGAGGCCAAGGCTTTTGTGTGTTTGTTCGAGAGATTTCCACTCGCAAACTGTCTTCGAGAGTTCAAGCCTGGACATGGACCTGCATTCGTTGCACGAATGCCCGCTTTCCGGTCCTCATGGCTGGTACCATGGCCTGTTGTGGCCAGCTACGCACCATGATGAGCCATCACATACAGCCAGTCTGATGCGGCTGGCAAGGCGAAGAGTCCGAGGCGGCTGGGGTGGGTGCCACGTATTCCCTGCATGTTTTATCATGACAGCTGTGGGCTTGGGTTTGCGCTCCTGCCACCATCTGGAGGCAAGAGTTGCAGGACACCAATTCGATATTTAGATGACTCAGCCTCATGATCGAAAACCAAGCCCGATCGGCCTCATACAAGGTTCACCGGCTCTGCTACCCGGCAAACCAAGTCGCACGGTTCCACGAGGATTCGTTGGGATGTCGTGTGGCGGAATTAAATGACTACATCTCCACCCCAACATGCTACCCCCCCCCTCAAAGTAAAGTAAAGGCAGTGGCTGTAGTAAGCTTTCGCTTGACAAACGCAGTGTAAACGAAGAAGCTATGTTCATCTGTCCGGCTGGGGAAAGAAGTCATTGGAACGATGTTGGTCACGGCATGCCATGCCGTTGCTTCTTGTGCCAGGTGCGCGACACTGGGCATCTGGGCGTTGACCTTCCAGGACGATTTGTTCGGCTTTGTTCGGGGCAACTTTCAGACGCGTTGAACTTCGAGCCTGGTAGCTGCAAAGGAGATCCGTCTTGGTCTTGGCATGCTCAAGACAGGAGGCAAGGAGGCTGCCATGCTGTGGCAACACACATGCTTGTCCGTGTGAGGTACATTTTTCTTTCGATTTGGCTGGCGTGGGCGTGGAGATCAGGAAGAGCACTGGTACCGCGAGGCGCCTCGTGAAATTTTCTGGAGATCGATCAGACTTGATCTGAACTCTGTTCCTGCCGCTGGAGAGTCCGTGAGGCGATCATGCGCCTACTCGGGCTGGTGATCACTTTCTTTGATGAGGTGCACCTAGCTTCGTGATTCAGCGAGTCTTTCAATGGTGTCAGACTTTCTCCGGCCGACAAGTGCCAGCTGGAGTTGACACGCAAAACTATCCGCTTTAACATCAATGAGGTACAGTGAATAGGAAATAAAAGATCTGGCAAAATCGAGTGAAATCGGACGCAGCTCTTGCAAGCAGCACAAGAGCAAACATCGAGCAGCTGTACGGCCAGAAACAGTTTCATCCCTGTAAGCACGAGTCCACTAACTCGGTAAGCGCATGCAATTCTCTTTTTGGCGAAAACTGTCAAACCTGGGAACCTTGTGACGGTAAACGAATCAATGCTTGCAGTATGCAGGATAAATAGTGAAAACACTATTCGTGCATCATCTTCTTCTTCTTCTTCTCATTGACATTCCGAGGTCTTGAGTTATATCTGCCAAGCCACTGCTTTAGCGCATGCAGATGCGCTTTTGCCACCTTCCTGTTTGCCTGTACAAGGGGGGCATGGGAACAGTCATGCCCCTAGCCAACAGGAGTTCAAACAGCCGGCATCTCCACTCACACCGCAAGCACCAAACGGGGGCAAAGCCCATCCCAGAGCACAGGACCACCGTGACTCACTGAGCTATGGCCCTCACATGATTATCTTGTCGACGTTTTCGTAACAACGACTTTCCCCCAGAGATTTTGTACTCCAGGCATGCGTCAGCTGTTTGCATGCAAGCTTGGGGAGTTGCCAGGTCTTCCCCTTCAAGTCAGAGATCTATCACCAGGAGCGAGACTGGCAGACGAGAGCCTCGAAAGATGTCGGGAAGAGTGAGCGTCCGTTTCGCTTGTCCCTTCTTGGGTCAGGTGATAGCAGTGGGGTTGACATCTTTTGGTACATTGACAATTGTTAACGATCATGCGTCCGAATCGGGGAGAGAGTAGAAGCAAGCAAGACCTAATTAGATGTGGAATGGTCGAGTGCTTCTTTCAAACGTGGTTTTGGTTTTGGTACTTCGAGGCCAAAGTGTCAGACGTGGGGCTTGAAGGCTTTGGCTATGAAGGGAAAGTGTACACAGTGATCGCTTGGACTTTCGGATGATCTTCTTGCGAGTTTTCAGGCGGTAGCAGGTGAGCGGAAAGCGTGTCTTGACATGTAGGCATGTCATAGGCCTCGCATCTCCCACAGGCCCTCCTCCAAGAATGTTGTATGGGTTGGAGCAAGAAAGGCACATGGGGCTTGGGCATTGGCTCATAGCCCAAACGAGGCCCCGACGAGTTTGCTTAAGTAGCTGAACGTGGCGTAAGTTAAAGAGTTTTAACATTGTTTGACAGTTGTGCTGCCGACGCTGGCGAGGCAGATCCCTGCTTCTACGTCGTTGCCAAAGGCTTCCAACGACCAGGCCGGAGCAGCCGGAGCAGTGGCTGGAGAGAATCTGCAGGCTTTGCCAGGCTTCTCTTCGCCTCCCTTCATGTTCCTTCCTGTTCCCTCTTGTTGAGATTCTCATTCAATCCTTTCATTGAAGTTCACTGTTGTTTACTTTCTTATGTCCTCTACTATCTACTGCCCTCCGATATGTGCAAAAGCTTTCCGAGGACGGTGCAAATGTGTGAATATCTCAGGCTACGAGTCTGCGACTTTGGAAACGAGGCCAGCACTTGTGGACCTCTTAGGCTGCTGTAGAGCCCTCGCAGGCGTAGACTGCTGCGCTGTTTGGCACGTTGCGAACTCTTGCCAGGCTCAAGAGTGCAATCCAGAGCATTATTGCCTGTGAAGCAGTGGGCGATTTGCCGGAGTTCGGCCCTCATTCAACAACCCTCTGCTGACGATTGCTCAAGATCTGGATGTGTGCTGGAACTTCAGGTGCATCGAGACACTTGCGGAGTACTCCACCCCGGAGAACCATGAACGCATAGACGAGGTGTGGGCGCTGCAGCCGCTGACTCGCCTGACGGCAAGGCTTGACAATCACTTTATTCACAGAATCTTGCCAACTCTGGCAGCTCCTGGACACTGTGAGCCGTGTGCGTGCAATCGGCCTCTCCAGCCGAACTACTGTGGAGGTTCGGTCGGGGGGCATGAGTCTTGCGTTGAATGCATGTTTAAAGGCTTTTTCATGCCTGAAGAGATGTTTGTAATGGCTCACAGAAAGAAGGCCCAGTGACAGGGTCTCCATTGTAATTCCAGCACACTCGACCAGAAAGGCTGAGGAGCAAATCTGCAGTGATGCACGGTTTGGAACTGGCAGGCCGGTGGCAGAGAGAGCCCAGAGGCACAACTAGTCATACGACCTGCGGCGTGGTTGCAGTTTACACAGCAATTCAATTGTAGTGTGCCGGGTAGGATAAGGTACGTTTTCGGATGTCTGAGGCTGGGCGTGTAGGGCGGGTTTGTTGGTCTAACCTACCCCAGAGTAACCTACCCCAGAGTAACCTACCACAAAGCCCCATAACTATGTTTTACTATACACCTACCCAAAGCTACCGTCAACCCTACAAAGCCCTCTACGAAACCCTTTAAACCCTCCATAAACCCCAACTTGAACCCTCACCCCACAGTACGGGGTGGGTCACCCGGAACCACCCGAGAAAATCTGACCACCTGCCTGGCACAGCGATCTGTGTGGGAGAAAGTACAGGGTGGGGTCAGCAAATCAAGTGTTTGCAACATTTTCGAGCATTCTGCATCGGCACTGTGCACCTTTTTCAAGCTTGAATCGCTCTCGTGTCGCGAAGCATCGCGAAGCCCTAGCAGGGACGTGCTTTCCAGCCTCCCTTAGGTATGGCATGGCAACGTATGGCACAGTAGGTATTGTATGGTGCTAGGGGGTGTAGTCTGGTAGGTTTTAGGCTAGGCAGGCTCCTCTGAAACTCGAAGCTCCAAGCGGTGAGGAATATGATCGTGCGGCATTTGTTGAGGGGTAGAGACAGCCCTTCAGCACTTGGCCAAAGATGTGCAGACATGTTCTCGTGATGCCGAGGTACCCTATCACCTGACCATGCCGCGGCTGCGTGAACGCATGGAGTGTTACGGAAAGGCAGGGCCATGATATTGTGTCATCGCTTTCTGGTGTTTTCCTCCATCTGCCAAGTCCGTCTGCGTAAAGACTGCAGCCCTTTAGACCAGACTACTTTAGGCCTGTTTAAGCCTCCAGAATCCGCCGCAAGCCTGAATACTGTAGGGGACAAAGAACTTATCGCGTCGCCTGACAGCACTTGCTGCAAACCTGAGACAGACAGAGACATGGACTTGCTCCGAGAGACTGACCGCGAGACAGAGAGAGGCCCTGGAAAGAAAGATGGAAGGAAGGAATGAGGAAGGAGGGATAAACAACGAACAAAACAAAGAAAACAAAGAAAACAAACAACAACGAAGCAAAGACAGAACGAGACATGAAATAAGAACAAAACAGAGGGGGAGGGAGAGGAACGGAAGAACCAATAACGACTGTTGTGACTCCCGACGATGTCGATTTCATGCCCCAACCGATTCGCCAACAAGACCCCGAACTGGGGGGCGTGCAGCCTGAGAAAGCGGGAACAGTCGTGCCCCTAGGACGCGGAGCGAGGGGTAGGCCCGGTCTTCATGCCTGCAAGAAGAGAGATGGAGACAGCGACAGCGGGAGAGAGGGAGAAAGACACGTACACGACACTTCAGCGTGTGAAGGGCAAGTCCTTGCTCCACTGCAGAATGGGCCAGGAGTACCGACTGAAAAGGGTTCTACTTGCAGACGCATCAGATGTTTAACCACGTTTAACATTTTTCGGTACTGGTATAACATAAATGAATTTGTTGACACTGTGATAGATGACTCCACGGCTGCGCTCGCAGATCGCTTACATCCGACGGCGTTCTCATCCTGTGGGCGTGGGTGCAGACGCATTGATCCAGTTCGTCCAGCCAGCACATGCGAGAATGGCACTTGAGGTGAGGGCGGTGAGGGGGGGGCAACTTTGTGCCAGCTATGAACTGCTGTGATATGCACAGTTTTGCACAGTTTTTCACAGCCTTGCGAGTCACCTGTGAGGCTGTGAACGAGATGAAAGTTCTTGGAGGAACAGTTGTGGCGAGGTCTCCCTCTTGTCACACAGTTCGTTAAGTTCAAAGCATCGGCACGTTGTGCGGGAAGCACAACACACAAGCAGGCTGGGAAAGTCTGGGTGACCAGCAGCGAAGATAATGGAAAGTTCGACGCTCGATGAGTTGCATTGTCAAGTCTGCAGGTGACATGTATCCATGAATGTACAGAAGTATCTTGCAGTACATGGCTACAGATCAAAGGGTACCGGTCCCGAAAGGCATGAAGCGCCTGCAGATGCAGCTGCTTCCTGAGCACGCGCGCACGGCTCGGAAAATGCAGGCAGCGGCAGCCTCATGATACCTCAAAGTAGAGATCGAGCTCTCAAAGCACGATTGCAGTTTACATGTTGCTACCATCGCGGAAACCTTTTGGGCTCAAAAGGATTTGGGCCAATTGTAGCTTGGCCTGCGGCTGTTTTGCAGTGGCAGCACGCAGGCGTCGTGCATTGAGCTTGTGTTCTTGGGTGTAGAGACGCAGACTTGTGAGGCCTGGCCAACTAGGAAGAAGATGCCGCCGAAAGCGGGCGAGGTGCAATCCACACCGAGAACCTAGCGCTGCTGCTAATGTGTTCACCCGCCTGCTCTCAAGCTTTGGGCCCCGAGGGCACCCGCTTGCCAGTTGAATCGCATACAGTCCATACATGTAAATCGTAGACACCTTGTTGAGTCGCGCCCATGCTTTCTACTCCGCCGCTAGCATCCCTCATTCTCAAGCCCATGCTGTGAGCTTTCCGCAGATCAGCCAGTCGGTCGAAGAAAGCAACAAACTCCGCGAGTCGTCATCCCGGCTCCGGCTTGCGATGCGATTTCGCTGAGTTGGTATTTTATGTGGTGTTATTATGTGTTATTGGTGTTTTCTGGTTCTTTCGCCTTCGGATGCTCTTAAGGGAAACCAGTGGAATTCGTGCTGGAGCACGTGCTCTTGCCAGGCTGGGCATCCAAAAGCTCAGGGAAGACAAGCCAAAGAGTGTCCAACTAAGTTCACCAAGCTCACTGAGCATTTCAGAGTCGGACCCGAGATGCGGGGAATGATATGATGCCCCGTGTGGTCACTACAGCTTCTGAGCCAAGGTTCCCAAGGCAGCTCCAACGATCCTGCCAGAGCCCCAATCACGGCAAGCGCAACGGTCCCATGATGCTCACCCCTGGCCAAGTACAGCCGCTTGTACCGCTTCCACTTCAGCTACAAGTATGCTTCAGCTATCCTCTGTTGCTTTCAGCTTGGTAGCTTGCAAGTGGATGTCATGTCATGAGGCCCAGGGGCCAATTGCGACTTCGGATTCGTACTCCAGCATAATCAACTCTTTCCTCAGGCATTGAAGCAAAGGTGCGAGTCGCCACCTCCAACCTCCCAGCCCCCCCCCCCCCCCCCAAAAGAAAAAAGGCAAACAAAACACACATCTGCAGAACACTCAATGGGCTCTCATGCTTTGAGCCGACTACCCCTTTGAAAAGCAATCTTAAAACCAGGTTGTTTCAATAAGGTTCTCGGGCTGTCTGCATTTTCTTTTCTCGTCCAGGCTTTGGGCGAGTGCGGAAGTATTCCGTGCAGACAAGTTTCGCAACATTACCTTTACATTTTTCAGTTTGCAGGCCACAGCTCGCACTGTTCCAAGACCAAGTCTTGTGCTCGTCTGATGTTTTCCTCAAGCTCTCTCGGGATCCTGCAAGATGGCTCTTCGGCTCATTGCCTTGGGGGCCCCCTGCGTGATGATCGTCCTCCGTTCTTTACTACACCGGGTCTGAAGTTGCAACACCGAAAGCTGCCTTGGTTCCAATCCTGCCAATATGCTGACACTTAGAATGTTGCAGACCGGGCCCAAATTAAAGTTTCCATTCTTCCACGTCCTGAGCCTAGCAGCTAGCACGCCAATCCCAGCCGTCACTTGCTCTTGTTCTCAGGTTTTTGCTCCAGCGGATAAGAAAGCTGAAGATGCGAAAGACAAGGACAAAGAGTCAAAGCGCAAGGCAGGCGTCAAAGCGTCTTCGAGCATCTACGAACTCAACAAGTAGCCGTAAGGAGCCACGTATAGCTCTCGACACACGTTCTATGAGCTGGCTGAGTCCTTGCGTTGTTTCTCAAACGGTTGGCGAGTATAGGCTGCTGCAGCTAAGTCGAAGAAGGACCACGAGGACGCTTTTTGTAAGACCGTCGCCATGTGACAGATATTTCTGTGAGCCGAGAATGGCCAGCATGAACTTTGAAGCAGGACTTAGTGAAAGGCGCTGGCTTGGGTGACATCCTTGAGAAGGAGGCGAGGCGCACATGTGCTGAATGCCTGCATAACCAGTCTTCGTGCGGCTTCGCCAAGGAAGGCACTGGCACTGCGTCAGACTGGATCGCCAGGAATTGTGGTCAGGGTCGCTGAGTACTTGCCTGTGTTGCTGCTCCAACACATCGGCAGCCTAGTTGGCAGCCGTCCATTCGTCCTGGCAGGACAAGAGGTTCAGATGGCAGCATGAAAGGCGCGACAGCCAAGACAGATGATGGCAAGAAGAGGACTGGCCTGATCGTACTCATGTATTTAACACCGCGGTGAGTTGTAGTCAGACAGAAAGTTTGCAACATGGGCAGCATGAAAAAACGGTCGTCTTGATGTCAAGTGTATGTTGTTTCTGTTCCCAGTGATGTGCAGCAGGTTCCAAAAGTTTTCATACCGGCAGTGCTGCGGATGCTGTTTTTTTCGGGGAGATGCTGGGTGCTTTCTCTCCGCTCCGTTTGAAATCCTCTCGGTTTTGACTGCATGTTCTTCCCGACAACATGGCCTTCTGGCAAATGCCCAGTATGATCTTCTGCATAGAGGCCGTGCTCATGATGGCTTGCAAGGGGTCCCTGGCAGGAGCTTGGTAACACGATCGGCAATCTGTTTGTTATGGCTTGCAGTAGGCGCATGCAAGCGCAGGAACACATGGCCATTGGCTGGGCGCAAACCGGGGTTCGGGCAAAAGTTTTGCACATGGGCATCATCAGCCGGTTGCTAGGTTGCAATGCTGTAAAGATATTCCCCAAAAACTGTGCCAACACCAAGGGGTTTCAACGTGAAGAGTACGCGGGGGGTAGATGTTGGCGGGCAGTGCGCCCGCCCCGGAACCATGCGTTTTTCTCGGGCATGGCCATGCTCACCGTCCTCGAACTATCTCATTACTTTTGTACTTCTGTGCTCGCCAAATGCCAAACCGTCGAAGTCTGTGTTCGCTAAATGCCCCACTATCGTCGCTGTTCGACAGCTCTAGATGCACTCATATGTTATGGGGGGATACAAAACGTACTCTGCAATACTGTACGTGAGCAGGAAAGCGGCCCCTGGCGGAGATGCGTCTGCCGCGACCTTTGATCGACAGTCTCGCAGGCGTTCGAGTCTCCTCTCGATTGCTCTTGGGAAGGTTCCGAAGATGAAAGTGCGACACGACTCCGAAGCCTTGAAGGAGGGCGAGGCTCTGGTCCTTTCGCACAGCTCCCCTGTTCTTCTGGCCACAGATGACCTGATATACCTGATCGGTGCCGCCAGTCGATGGTGATGACCCTCAGCGACCAGCGGCTGATTGACAAGGATGGCAACCTCGTAGAGACGCCTGCCTCTCAAGATGCAGAGCCTTGGCACGGCTCTGCAGACGTGCAAGTTGCCATAGGCTGCCATTTGCGATCATGTGAGGCAGGATGAGCTGTCCAATGTCAATCTGTGCCTTTGCTTGTACTTGGTCAGCTAGAGAATGCTAAAGGATTCGGCTTTGTGGCAATGCAACGTCAAATCATGCCATTGCTTGCGACGTTGATGAGTTGGCATTGTCAGGCTGGATTCTGACAGGGCGAAGAAAAACGAAGCCATCAGGTGGCGCATGGTGGAGCATGGTGGCGCTTAGGCATGCATGTCGGCTGCATCCCAAGGTCGCAGGTGGAGTACGATCCCACCAAACAAGGGGCGGACATCCTCGACAAGTGACATTCGTCTTGCGAGTCGCCTGCGTCAGTGGAAGCATCCTTCAAAGCTCCACTTCGGATGCACAGCCGGATGAGGTACGATGATCCTTCCGTCGCACCCAGCGGCTTCATGATCGGTGGCGTGCCCACTGGAGTCATCGAAGAGAGGGATCCTGAGAAGAGGTGCATGCGCCACGTGCCGGATCCCAACTCGTATTTACCCATTCCTTCTAGCACCGAGCAGTCAGCATGAAATACCAGCTTCGGCAAATGTCGCCGTGACCTGGGCAGGCTGCAGATCTTGACAACCATGAGCGAGAACCAGACATTGGACTTCGGGGCACGCCCGAAGATCCGAGTGTAGCTCCTCTCACTATCTCACTATCCTGCTCTCATGTGACCATTGTGCAGAACAAGTTCCAGTCGGACTTCTACACGTCAGACGAAATGGCCAAGTTCAAGAAGCCGCTTGGCGAAGGTTGGTGGCAGCGAGCTCCGACTCAGAAGAGTCTGTTTCTGTATAGTCAGTTGCTGCGTCAGCCGTGCTTTTCTTGTGGATATTCTTGTGCATCTCCAAGGCCGACAAAGAAGCCCGCCAAGAAGAAGAACCGGGCAAAGGTGGATCACCTTCTGCTTTGCCCTCCTCACCATTTGCTCACCTTCGGAGATTAGTCACCGCTATGCTGACTTCATTGATTCGGAGGCTCGGAGGCCTTGGAAAAAACACAGCTGCATCCACGTGGCTCCAGCTGGTCAGGACTTCACCAAAGGTGAAGGTCTCCGCAGCACATGTATACCGAAGCACCGCTAGCCGACATCTGTTTGTACTAGTGGCAGAAGGTGCATCAACAAATCCGTTTGAGTGACATATAGTGACGTGAAACAGGGCATTTTGCCAGCATGGCCCTAGAATGAGGGTTACAACACGATGTAACATTGTGTAGCAGTCTCATGGTGAAGCAGGGCACTGGACTGGAACTTGCAATACTGGGCCCGTGATGGCGGGCCCGTGTGCAATGACACGTTCGAAGTATCTGGCCTCGACAGCCTGTGCAGCCTACGCATCCTTGATGCCCGAGGGGCCCTCGAGCATCCAGGTTCAGGGCAACGCTTGCAACATCTTGCAACTTTGTCTTTCACATTGAACATCTCTTGCAGGTGATGTGTGGCCTCCACCACACTGAGCTCTGCCTCATCATGCCAAAGGCAAGCTGGACAACTCAGGAGACCGCACCGACCCTAACTGATTAATGAACCATCGAACTCAGCATTTGCAGGACTTGGTGGATGCTGTCAGCCTTGAGACGTCCATTCCTGGTGCGCCCGACTCGTTGACTCTTTACACATGTTCAACGCTTTCCAACCAGAGCCCACCACTCCATCCATGCCATCCACCTCTACTCTGCCATCCTGTGAGAATCGCTATGCTAGAGTCACTGCTTTCATCTGGTTTCATTGGCTTCATTCAGAGTCTTTTGAGAGCGTCTTTTGTTTTCCGACGTCGACTCTTGAGGGGAGCTCTTTCGCCTGGTCTGGGCTGGGGCGGCGCTGGGCCCGGGGCCGCTGCCGAACGCCTTCAAGAAGAAGAGCTGCGAGCTCAATCTGCTCAATCACAGAGATATTGAAACACACTGAGCAAAAGAGAAAGCAGGAGTTGCGCCGCACGAATGTCCCTGCACGAGACTCCATTTCAGGATGTGATTCCTCGCTGTGTGCCGAAGTACGCGCCGAGGCGACCTTCCTCTCAAGCTCACCTTGGTCAGGCATACCGAGTGTGAACATGTGTGAAGATGTGTGAAGATGCGTGAAGATGTGAGGGGAATTGTGCAGAGTGTGGTGTGCGGGCGCGGTATAAGTGAAGTTGAAAAGATCTGTCAAGGATTTCAAGATGTTTCAAGATGTGCGTTCAAGCAGGAAGCACGGCGAAAGCACGGGCATGCCTTGACTAGGGAATTCCCTCACCCCACCGCATCTGGAAACAACATCACCACATCACATCGCATGCATCGGCCTTCTCAGGGTCCAGCCTGCCTGGACCGCAACTTTAGATCGTGCCACTCAGAAGCAGCTGCAAAGGTTTGATGCCCGCACTGTGCTCGCAGAACCCGCGCAGAGTCCAGAAGAGACTAAGGTTTTAGCAGGCCTCATTCCAGGCGCCGACTTTGATGCGATTTGTGATGGACGCGTGCTGCAACAACTAGGACCGACCTGTGGGCACCCTGCACTAGCCGGTTCCCTCTAAAGACCCCCCTCCCCCCCCGCCCTAGTGTTAAAACGCGGTAAGATGCAGTAAGGGATTAGTTTAGGGCTTAAGGTGTAGGGGTTTATAGGGTGAGTGATGAGAGGCATCTCGCGCATTCCGAATGAAGAACGCAATTCGTACCCATCATGTTTCGGATTTTCCTATGGCAATGGGAACGGAGGCCGAAACAAAACGCAAGTTGCACGCCTTTCCGGAGAGGCCGGAACATGTGGATGAGGGTTTTCCTGAAGCCCGCCCTATTTCAGTGATTTTGAACAAAGCTTCCAACCCATTACTAAAACACAACTCCTTGTGTGAGAAGACACTTCAGCTCCAGCTTGGAGCCCAAAAGAACTCTAAATCCTAAGCCCTCAACCCTGCTATAGAAACTAAAAGTTTCAATCCGAACAGCGAAATTCAGCACGAAGCCTCCATCCCTCATACTATAGGTCCCTGAATTGTTTTAGATTTAGCTTTTCAGTTTGATCCATTTTCTATTTCAATGTAGATTAAATAATGGCTTTCCTTATGAAGCACAGAGGAAAAAGAGGTGTCCCATGAAAAAAGATGAAATAGAGGTTAGAAAGAAAGAGTTACTGGAAGACAGAACGACAGAACGACAGAAAGAAAGCTGTAAAGAAAGGAAGAAAGAAAAAAAACTAAGTAACAAGGAACGAAATCAACATAAACAACGAAGTCAAGAAGCAAAGAATCACAGACATCAAGAACGAATTTCGCAACGACAGAAATACCAACCGAACAGCGACAGAAACACATGCTGAAATGTCAACAAAGCAAGAGCGGCAGCAATACCGACCGAACGACACGCAAAAGAAGAGGCGCACAATTCAGAAAACGAAACAAATACATAAATAACGCACGAACGAATGAAATAAAGACACAAACAAAGACATGCATACAAAAAGAAAGAACGAAGGAAGTGAAGACACACATATCAAGAAAGAAAGATGTAACTGAACGAGGAATTACATGAAACAAAACCAGACATGCAGCGCGCAAAGAACAATGACGAAAGCAAGAACGAAAAACAGTAAAGATTTTCAAAAATCTCTCAAGAAAGACGGAAGGACGGAAACGCACTAGAAACGCACAAGGGGTGCAGCCTCGCCCCGCCGTTTGAAAGCACGGTGCCAGCATGACAGGTTTGGAGAGGATTCGCACGTTGTCTTGACGCAAGTTTTCTCTATAGCAATCTATGGCATGATCTTCTGTAAAATTGCATGGCTTCTAAATCCATGAAGAGGGGGGGGGGGGAGGGGGTTGCGGCGGGGGTTGGGGCGGGGGTTGGCGCGGGGGTTGGGGCGGGAGTTTGGGCGAGGCGGGGGGGGGGGGGGGGGGGGGAAACGGCGAGGTGGGGATTTGCAAACACAATGCCAGATTTCACATGTGTTTTATCGCAAGTCCGTTTAGTGCATGATCTTCTTTACAAAGTCTTCAATTCTGCCTTTCTTTGGATAAAACTCTTAGTTTCATTATGTACGTACTTATTCTCTGTACTTCTGTGTGCTGTAAACCATTGTTCATATCGTTACTGCTGCATTTAGCTGATGGCTTAATTTTCGTATGCTCAGCTGTTGCTTGTCGCTGGTTCTTTCTCAGCGCATTTGTTTACGTATTTTGAAGGCTGGCAAGCTTGCTTCAGAAAGAAGATCATGCCATAAAGAGGGCTGGCGATCAAGCGCAGACCTGAATCCTTTCCAACCCCATCATGCGAGCATCTATGGAATGCAAACTTGCGTTGCAAAGAAGGTCATGCCGGGCAAAGAGGACGCGCGATAAAACACGTATTAATCGGACACCTCTATTTCCTGTGTACTTTGGTGGATACTAAACATCTATTTTCTCTGTACTTTGGAACCCTAGACCCCGCGCAAAAAACCCAAAACGCAAAAAATGTCCAACATATGTTCTCGCCCAATACTAAAGTTACTAATCCTGGAGTCCAGGGACGCTATGAACCCTGTAAGCCCACACCCACAGCCCTAGACCCCCATGAACACTACCTCCTGGCTGAAACTGCAGGCCTCATTCCTAAACCGAGAACAGTCCTAAATCTGAAGCTGGAACCTAAGGTTCAAGATGGTTCTGGGTAGTTCTTGGGGTTTTGGTGGTTTCGCTTTTCAGGCATGGATGTTAATTCCCCAAACTTCGAGCAGCGGTAAAGGAATGGCCCCCCGCATTTGTGGTTTATAAGCGTGAAGCTATTACCATGCAGAGCCCGCCAAGCATCTGCAAGATGCCAATGTCTGAAGATTTCTGAAGGAGAAGTTCGGGACTGCCTGCGACAAAACCGTGAACTGGCGCTTGCCGCAGTACAGCACTCCGGAAGCATGCTGATGCACTGCAGTGAAGAACTGCTGCTCGACAAGGCTGGCATCTATCGACCTTGCTTCTTTTGCTGCAAGCTGCAAAGTGTCTTTCATTGTCTTACCCTGTCTCTTCAGTTTTTGAGATTCGAGGAGCTGGTGCTCGCAGCACTCCACGAATGTGGAACTGCGCTGCGCTTTGTCCCACTCCCGCTACGCAGAGACCATGAGGTGCAGGATATTGCTAGATTACTGCATCCGGGTTGGATGTAATATGTTGCGATACGAAGGCCCAGGCAAAGCTGTTCGATGCCATGTGTGTTTGATTGCAGGTAGTTCGCACAGCCTTGAGCCCGGCAAGTGAGATCGCCAGAGAAGTATGCACATCTGGGGCCCAGACACGTCGGGACATGTCGGGACATGTCGGGCCTTGAGGCTCTGCGGAATGATGGTGAAGCCTTGGTCCATGCGCCTGCACAGCTGCAGGCAGATGTGTACCTCTCTTGTAGCAAAGTCACGAAAGCTAGCTCCTTGGAGCTCGCGAGAGTTGTCGTTTACAAGTCTTCTCTCCAGTGTTCAGCTGGGTCAAAAAGCGACCCCGACCCTTAAGTCCTTAAGTGGTATGAAAATCAAAGAGATAAACGGCTGCGGGGGGGGGGGTGGGGGGGGGGGGCCCCAGTCCCCCGCCCCCCATTCAGGGTCGCCTTTTCTGGGGAGGGGGGGGGGGCCCCCCCCTTTTGGACCCCCGCCCGCCCTTTTCACCCCCCCCCCCCCTTCCTTGGACGCTTAACGTCTATTCTGCGCGTGCTCTTTGTTTTCTTGGATTCCTCCGAAAACCAATTCTGAAATTGGGTTCTCGTTTGGAGCTTCAATGCGGAAGGCGTTCTATCGGATCGCTTCTTGGAGGAGGGTCGGACGGAATGAATTTTGACGGGAGGCCGCGGAGACGACACGGTCAGGGAGGGGGTTCGGAACATTTTGTTGGAGAGGGGCGTGGCGTGGGGGGGCGTGGACCATGCATGGAGGTTGACAGGCGGGTTCGGGGGGGAGCGGGGAGCGCGGAATAAAACCCATGCGTGACATTCGGTTGATGGGCAGGGGAGTGGGGACACGTGGATGCCCCTCCGCCCCCTCCGCGTTTGCAAGCCCTCCGCGCTCTCGGCGCGCTCCGCGCCCTCCGCGCCGTCGCGCCCTCCGCGCCCTCCGCGCGTAAAGCGCTTGTTTACAAGCAGCATAGCCTTTAAGTGTCGCGCCCGCACTTCTCCTGCCTGACTCAAAAAAAGCTTGCTTGTCAGCTTCAAGACTCTTGGCCGATGCGTGTCGTGCGACTTCGTTTTTGCTTTGCGCTCACGTGACAGCTGCGTCTCGCATAACCTCCAGTAGCTGTCTTGTCTTGATTTGACCTTTGAATGATCATGGTAATCCAATCCCGAAGTCTGTCCGAAGATCGGGGCACGTGCATTCTGAGCTTAGCTTGTGGCATCGGTGAGTTCCGCCAGGCAAACAAGGAGCTTGTAGCAGAAGCAGTAGCCCAAGCTGGGGAGGCACTCTTCATCCCTGTGTCTCGTCTCATGTGATTTGGTGTGCCATCACCGGCTTGAGAGGCTCTCCGACACGCCTCTCCGCTCCTAAAGCAGGCACTTGCTGGTTTCGCGAGCAAGCGCCTCGACGCGAAACGCTTCTTGACTCACGCCCAGGACAGATCATTTGTGCTGGAAGCAGTCCGACGGTGCAGCCTCAGTTTGCGAGGTGGTGCAAGCAACCGCACAGAGTGGCTGCCTGCGACAATGCAGGCGTGCCAAGTCCTTCCTCTACGCCGCGGCAACTCTACGAAATGACAAGGATGCCATTCCCGCGCATCACCAGAACCCAAGCATGACGAACATGGGCACAGTCCTTACAGTCATTGAACTGTTTTTTTTGCACAGGCGTTCGTCATCGCTGCCGTGCGGGTGGGCTGCCAATGGCATTCGCTGCCGAGTTCAGTGATGTTGCTTTTGAATAGCTACAAAGGTCAATGGCGATGTGCTAACCTACGTTCCGCAGGCATCCCCCACACATCATCACACATCCATGGCGATGTTTCACTCTGACGACGAATCCGGTGCAGGTTCTGCGCACCGATAAGGATGTGTGCATGGCGGCCATACCGCCCTGTTTCGACAAACCAAATTCTTTGCATCAGCTTTGTCTCGTGACTCCCAAGCTCAGCTTTGCTGCACACCACAGAGGAACCATTCGGCACAGTAGCTATGCAGGCCAGAGCATTTTGGGCTGGCGAAGGAGATGCGCCAGTGCACAATGACGGCTTGCTGCGGAAGGTGAGTGGGATGGACAGCTTGAATGCTTGAAGTGGAGCTTCGAATGCACTGCCCGATGAACAGCGCGCGGAGTTGATTCGAGCTTGTGGTGTCAGGGCCTGCTGTGGGAGCCCAGCGAGGATGCCAAGAGGGCTGCACAGCTTCTCGAAGGTTCACATGGCCACGCTTTTTCTCCACATTCCTTGTTCATGCTTGTTCGTGGGTAGAGTGGATGAACGCATGAAAGGTGCCGTTTGCACTAGCTCACTAGAGTCACTAGAGCCCGCCTGTCCTTGGCAGGCAGAATTGCATGACAAGGTGTCTCCGATGCGCGGAGCAAAAAAAGGGCTTCTTTGGAAGGCTTCTTTGGAAGGCTTCTTTGGAAGGCTGGCGTATGCTCTTGTGGCCAGGCGGCCCAGCAACACTCCTGCTCACAAGTATCAGCGTGTTTGTCACGCGTTTGCCATGTTCTGGTAAGGACATGGAGGCAACACCTGAGCGTCAGTCTTCTGGGAACTTGTTAATTTAATAGGTACGAGCAGTTAGTGCACAAGTGGAGACAACTCCTTGGCGACTGAGATGCACCATAGCCATGCGGAGTCATGCTGAGCCATGCTGAGCCAACGCCCTTGTTGGTGTGTCCGGCGCATCTCCACAGCCCCAGCCGCCACAGCCGCCACATCCTGGGGGACAGTTTCTGTGGGCGGCGTTCAAGCTCCGCTACGCCGTCACCCAGAGGACTCGACCCATGGCCTTCGATATCAAACCGTTCGAACAATTAGAAATCTTCATTTCGCTCTTCTCAGGGCAGCCATGTTTCGAAAGGTGGCTTTCCATTGCGGAGCTGTTTTAAGCTACGAAGTTCAGTGGAGGAGCCTTGCCTTCCCAGTCTCGTACCCCGCGGATTTCTTCGGCAGCTGCCCCTTGCACTTCGTCCAGCACTGAAGTGGCTGGCGCAGAAGGCCTGTTTGTCAAGAATGCACTCGAAGGCATTTGAAGGCATGGGCAAGTCTGGGCAATCAGCAGCTCAATTCGCATAATTCGTGTTTGCTTGAAGGACTCGCTGGCCCAAGATGCACTGCTACTGTCGTCGCCGGCCGAGCGTGCTCGAGCACGGCTGCTAGCGCTAGCGTACGCAGAGCTGGCTTCCAAGCGGCACTCCTCAAAGTTTCGGCAACATTCGGTACATGTGCCATTCCAGGTCCTTCGATGCCAAGCTTCTTCATAACATATCATGGCACATCCCCGCACAGTAGATGTCCCGGAAGCATTCCGGAGGCCCACGGGCCAAGCCGCTTTGTCGAGGGATGTCGAGACCGCAAAAATTTCGGGTTCAGGGAAGGATGCGCGTTTTTCAATTTCCAGTCAGGGCATGAGCCTCACCTTGTCCAACTTGACCTGCTTGTTGACGCAATTTCTATGGTCTTTGATGCTTTAGGCTTGATCGTTGGAAACTCGTAAGCAAAGCCAGTTCAGTAAACCAATGTAAGCAACCTTTCGGCGAAATCTGAGCACAGGTTTCTTCACTAGCATCATTCTTAGGTCGCACATGTCAAATAGAACATCCAGCTCAGCAACCTTTTGTAGGGGAATATTGGGAACATTGTAAGTTTCCTTTGTGGAGAGTCATCAAAACTTACCATCATTCAGGTTCATGCCGAGCTGGAGTACGTTGGGATTTCTGCCGACACGACCGAAGCAGACCTCAAGCAGTACAGCTCCCAGCCCCCAGCTACTGTACGGACAGCTACGGGAACCTCATGATGTAATTGGATTGTGTTTGGCGTGTGAGTGTGCACTACGGCAAGGCGGCGTGAGATCCTTAGCGGAGGAAGCGTGGCTTTTTCAGACTCGCCTCCAGTGAGGGCGGCACTGAAGGGCAGTATCCTGGTTCTCGCGACTTGGAGTGCAGTGGTGCAGTGAACTGCAGCTTCCAGCGCTTGCGCCCTGCTCCGACATGGGGATGCGGGCCTGCAAACGTCAGGATGGCCTAGAACGAGCAGAGCGGAACGTGCTCCCGACGTTGAACAATCTGAACCTCGTCCCGTTTCCCTTTGGTCCGCCTTTTTGTTCCTGGATCGCGTCGCAAGTTGAAATTGACGTGCCAAATTTACCAAAAGGCTGGAGAATAGGGAGATGTCCCTGGAAGATGGCCGCTTTCTGGTTCCAGCCGAGCGGTACGAACAGCTGGAGCCTGTGCTGACAAACAGGAGTCGATGCACGCAGCTTTTCCGAATTGTCGCAGCTCATTTCCAGAGCTGTCAGCAAAAGTGGAGCAGATGTAATTGGAGTCTTCGCTTGTGCGTCGCACTTCTTTGACTGAAGGAGTGCTGACGACCGCAGCAGCCACCTTGCTGCTGTTCACCGCCATTTTCGGGTCTTTGCCTTGGCGTCACCTTGTCCACCTTTCGATGGGCGGGCTCTGGACCCACCCCTACGCTCACGATTTCAATCGTTGCATGGCAGGACATGGCATAAGTTTGTGAGATTGGGTGTCGCTGCAGAATGACATAGTTTTTGACGTCCATATATGGCATTATGACAGTGCTCGCAAGCGCAGCCTTAGACACGGCTTTTGAGACGCCATGTCTGAGGCTTTTGATACCGTCGGCTCCTTCAGAGGAGTTGGTATCATCCTTGAGAGAGCATAGAGGGCTCAGCACTGCCGATGTGGAAAGCGTCACCACTGCGGCAGAAACGATTATGGCAGCTTGGGCCAGCAAGTTTGACAACTAGTCAACTAGTCTGGCATGTACTGCAGGGACTGCGGTCTAACTCGGCAGTGTCATGCAGTGTCTCAGGAGCTGGAGCGACAGTCCATCCATCACAACACGGCATTCTTCTCCTTCTCAAGCAGCGCTTTGCAGAGATACGCTTCACAGCAGCCCGCCATTGATGCCTCTCAATGTCCTGCTGTTCATGTTCTGTCACTTGGCACAGAGGGACTGGGTGGTGCTTGCGCAGTCTTGTGCATCACACCGAGCTGGGTTCAGGAATAGATTGACACGAGGCGACGAATCTACCCTCCTCTCTCTGATCTGTCGCCGGCCGCTGTGCAGGCCAAGAAGGCCTTTGGGAAACATCGGGATACAGCATCTGAGCCCTGCAATCATCTGAAGCAGTTCTCAACCGGTCGCGCCAGAGAGTGCAGAGCATTGCCTTGGGCTCGGGCGCTTGCAGAAGATTGCAAAGATTCGTTCGCATCATTTGCTTGATTTGAAGGCCCTGCTGCAGCTCGGTTTGGATTTCAGTGGCCCAGCCGCTAATGATGCCGGAGGTGGGCGGATGCATGCGGATGCTCAACTTGTTGCTCGTTGTTCGTGAGTCATTGTCCGGATTCGTCGAAAGTGACGTCGCCATGCCGCAGTACTGACTCGCCCTCTAGAGGAGTCCGATTGGTAGCTGGCCATTGTCGCACAGCTGCGCTGGACGCAGCTGCACATGCAATTCAGGCTTCTTGGCTTGATCAACCTTACCACAGAGAAAGCGCGCACCCTGCAGAAGAGCCAAGAGTCCTCAAGTGTCAATCAGCAGCCGCCAAAGTGGTAGGCTGACCTCGCTGCTGGCCAGAATGTTCTTCTCATAGCAGCCCGTGGTGCCGGCAAAAGTGCCCTCGTTCGGTGTCTACGGACGGAGACTTGGCACCTTGACAGCACTCTGCACGTCGCGCCATCGGCATTCCATGATGTGCCACGGTATGGCACATGCACTCCCTGTGTACAGAAGCTCCTTCTGCGAGGGGCATCAGAATGCTTAATTACTCTAGCAATTTTGTTAAAGTTCATTTTGTATTATGTATATATATGTATATATATATAAACATATATATATATATATACATGTAAATGTGTGTGTGTGTGTGAGTGTGCGTGTGTATGCGTGGCAGCCAAGCCGGCCCAAGCCGCTCCACGTGCCGATCCGCGGTCCAGGCGGTGCACCTCGCAGTTTCCGGTCCGCGCAGTCGGGCTGCAGATGCGGAAAGCGACCACGGGTCGAGGAACAAGCCACCGGCGAGAATTCGACCCATACTCCCGAACCATGAACCTGCAGCGTAAGTGAGCTTGGGGGCTGTTGTCGGCTTTCTCGAGGACCCCTGACTGCCTTAAACTTGCAGTATTCAGAGGCTTGCAGTGTCAGCAGGCGGTGCAAAGGTGTGACAAGGTCAAGTATGTCTGCCCGGCCACAGGCTGGCCCCCCCCCCCCCCCCCCCCCCAGCATCGGATTGCAGGTTTGGCAGCTCCCGCAGGCATTGGGCTGGGGGCGTGATCGGTGGAGTGCAGGGAAGGGTTGGAAATGCGCCTCTCAGCCGGAGGCCGAGGCAAACATATTGGCAGGTCGGAAGCATGCGGCGGCTTTGGCAATGTCTCGCAATCGGGCAGCTCCTTGTTGCTGGGCCATCACGCCGAAGGGAATTTGCGACTGATGGCCCCTAGCAAGTTGCCACTGCAGGCAGACGTTTAATCTTCATCGAGATCTAACAGCCCGAGATCTTCTCCAGAGGCGAGTGACCGATGAAACTTCAGGACCGCATAAAAATTTGCAGTGGTCCCTCAGTGATTTGATCAGCCCGGCGCACCATACAAGTTCTACAGACCCCGTGTATCAATGCAAACCAGGAGCATCTTCATGGGCAGACCAGCCAGTTGCCGCTGCAGCACGTACAGGCGGCGTTGTTGTTCTGGATGGGGCGCACCGGCTACCGCCAGGTGCCCTGGTGGCAGCTTTGAGCAGGCTTTGCACAGAGCGTGAACTGGATCTGCCAGATGGAACTCGCTTGGTGGACGATGCCCGCTGCGAGAGCGGTCGAGTACACAAGCTTGCACGCAGCTTTCGTCTCGTGGCGCTTGCAGAGCCAGGCAGCTGGTTGAGTCCCGAGGTTGCCGCCCTTTTCTCTACACACACCCTACCTGAGATGACGCTCTCAGAGTTAAGCTCTGCACTGCAATTGCTAGTCCCTTCGGCAACTGAAAAGTTGTGTGCAGACGTTGCAACGGTTTCTTCTGCGGCGCTCGGAGCGCAATCTGACTCCTCCTTCTCCCGAGCAGAACGCGATTTGCTGAGATTGTCTCTACGGGTTCTGCTTCGAATAGCACGTCATGCAGCTGGTAGTCCTGAAGGGCCGTGCCTCCACACGATCGTGCACGACGCCATGATGTCACGCTTCTTGCCGGTGCGGCTTCAGGAGGCTGTTGAAGGATGGCTTCAGTCGGTCGAAAAGAGCCCGGTGCCAAAGTCAGGCAAGCAGAGAAGGGAGCCTGCCGTCACAGTCGATGCCGACGACGTTGTTGTTGGGAGCCGGCGCATCGCACGACGCACACCACGACGATCAGAGTTAGTGCCCGCCCCGCGGAGTTTCTATGCGAGTGCTTCAGCCTTGTTACTTGGCTCATGACCTCTTTGTCAATCTTTGTTGTTTATGCTTTGTCAATATCCAAACCTGCAAGCTGATGCAATGTCAGCATCGGCCACAGAGAGTATCGCTGCTGACGGTCTTGCCTGTGTACTATTTAATTTTTTCTTCTGAGCCAAGGAACACGGTGCAAAGAATTCTTTTGTGCAACTCGTTTCGGTATGGTTCGACCTTGTTCGATCCTGTGCAGAGGATCCTGCGAGCATAGCATATGGTTGCAAGACCCAATCTTCAGAATCTTTCAGACATCTCACGCTTGAGGTGAAGAAGCTGGCGAGCATGCCGTGCTATTGCTGGGGAATCAAGGACGCTGACCGTCAAACAAGCCCCTGCCACCAATCACACCTACCGCGACATCTGCGACTGAACGCCCCCTTACACCAATCTCTCTGCAAATCCCGGCGAGGAGTCGGCAAGAATGTGGCAGCAGATCGTACGCTTCAGCTGCTCAGAGCAGAGCGTGAGTATGTACAGTTGCACCGCGACACGACAGCATCCTGACTGCGATTCGCATATTTCGCATCCCTGTCCTGTTCCATATGTAAGACTTAGTGCGTGGGCCGCCTGGGTATGCCTGGGTGTCATTGAGGTAAGCTCGCTGACTTTACGCCCAGTTTTGGAGAATGGCCGCCTGCTCTATGAAGATGCTCCACTGGTGCGGGCTGCAAAGAACGGAAGGGTTTGCGTGCTTTGACTTCATTTGGTAACTTCATGGTAACTTCATGGTGCATCATTTTCCTGAGCCATTTTAAATAGTAGAGACCTGTAAAGACCTTTGCTCTCTCAAGGTACTGGACGAAGCGGACAAAGCCCCGACAGAAGTTGTTATCATTTTGAAATCGCTCATTGAGGACGAGTACCTGTTGAAAGAGATGTGAATTCGTGGAGAGAGAAGCCTCGGAGAGAACCTCCCAAAAACTTGCAGAACCTGCTTGGCATTGTCGGGTCGCCCAGTCACAGGATGGAGAACTGCTTCTCGGAGATGGCCGTCGTCTCTGCCGCCAAGGCTCCGCTCCATCTTCCCTGACAAAAAAGGAACCGTCAGAAGTCAGCATCGCCCCCATATGCCACTGAGCAATCCAAGGCTGTCGTCCATCTGACATCCAGATCCATCCAGATTTCCGGCTTTGGGCCGGGTGCCAAGAGAACAGGCAACATAAGCAGCCGACACGCTACTGTGATTTGTCTACTCTTCTGCAGTGGGAGAAGTTCTTCAGCCACCGGCCATCACCGGCCCCTGGCAAGCATGCAGGTTTTAGCCAATCGTCCTGGATTTCCTTTTCACGGCAATCCCTTCTTCCGGGAGTGTGGAGATGTGTTCGCGACAGTCGTGCTGGACAATCCGGTCACGTGGCATCAACAAGTGCTAGCTGCCATCGGAGAACGATCATGAGCAAGAACGAGAGAGCAAGAGAGAGAGTGTGAGCCCCCCTGGGTTGTTGGTACCTTGTGCAAAGATCCGCGAAGGATCTCGCCTCGGAAATCGATCTCCTCCACCACATCGCTCCCACCTACCCCAAACGTATTTTGGACAAGCTGGCTCTGGCATTCGCCGAGCTAAGGACCACGGTTGTCATGACTCGACATGTCAGACATGGCCTTCTTTGCTGTTTTGCTGTGCTGTTTTGCTGTCTTGCTCGCATTTGCTCGCCCTGCAAGGACCCTCGCAGAGAACACTGCCATCTCGTATCCATACTCTTTGCGAGAGGCGATTGCTGTGGCCCGACATTTGGAGACTTTTCCCAAGGCCTCGAGGGAGAAGTGCTCAAGCCGCCATTCGTGTGCCATGGCGGGGCAGTCCAGGACTCTGTGGCGGATGCATTGAGCAACGTCCTCGCTTACGAAGCATTTGACCCTCCACTACGAAGGCTCTATTCGGAGTGCATGTTTGCTCAAAGGTTGTTCAAAAACCGCTCCCTTTTGTGGGAGGCAGCTCCTGCAGGTCTTTGATGCGCAGGCGCAACTGAGAGCATCTGAAGTGAAAAGTGGAAAAGTGAAAGGAAACTTTTTGCTCTCAGTCTCGAAATGTCTGGTGAGACTCAGTGAAGACGACGTTAGAGCTTCCTCTCAGCAGCGCCTCCGAGCCTCCGGATCTTCATTTGCGCTCTTGTAAGTAAGAGAGTGGGAACTCTGTCACAGTGATTCCGGTACCCGGTAGAGCTGACGCTGACACAGGGTCTCCAAGTGGATGAGTTGGAAGCTAACTTCGACACCGTCTCGGGTGGCTTGACTTCTGTCGGCTCGAGGAAATGCCATAAATGAACACTATCAATGCACACCATTACTGAACACCATTAATCGCAAGTAACATCATGAGAGCAGCAATCACAGTTTGCTGAGGTGGAAAAGGCAACCGCTCGCTGAAGGCTGCTGACGTTGAGATCAGGTACTATCCTGCGCATGGAGGACTGTTCCAACTGAAGAAGACATGCTTTCGGAGTCCAGATTGGAACGTGAACATTGACAAATCAACAGTCCACAGCATGTTGGACTCGATGAGACATGCAAAGTGGTCGTCCAGAGAGAGCGTGTTCGGATGAACAGTAATCGCATCTGCGTGGGAGATTCAGATGCATTGGTTGCCGCACATTGATTGCTTCAGATAAGGAAACGGTGCCGGTGAGGAAGGGTCGTGGGGTCTTGGGCTCGGTTCACTTGGGCTTCCGGTACAGTGTCCTGTGTTCCGAAGTCAAAGCTCTTGGATCCATTGCTAACTCATCTTCTTGCCGATGAGGTAGGAGAGAGAGAGACTGATGCACCCTGTCGTGACTTGTGGTTGCTTAGGGTTGGATATCAGAGGGTTTTCCTGCGATTGAACATATCCTTAGCAAAGGCACACATGAAGGTGTCCCAGAAAAGATGCCTTTCGCAGTCCTTCTTAGCCGCTACCTATGCAGCTCACCAGTCAACCCAGTTTTTGGATTTGGAATCCCCTTGCTCCCGCGTCCTTTCCCGTTGCCTCATGGGTTACTTCTGAAGGATCTGGTATCTCAGCCTTAGACACAGCATTCCCGATGAAAGTTTTTGCAAGAGTCATCAAACAAGAACCGACAGGCCGTGCGCCGTCTGAGGGGACATGACAGCACATTCTTCACTATAGCATCTGTAGCTCAGCAACCGCATCACATCCCAATCTAGATTGTATGCATCCTCGGCCACGCTTTGTCCAGGAGGGCGGAGCACGCCAAAGACTGCAATGAAAGGCCCCAAACACGGGGAGGCTGGACATTGCTCGCGATCGTAAGAGTTGCAGGTCTGACAGCATGGAAGATGGAGTGCGTGCTCGCAACAAGGTCGATCCAAGCGGAGCCCCGCACGTCGGAGGCCTTGTGGCGCTTCACGGCATGTCACGCCTCAGTTTGTCAAGACATGAGTCCTGTTGTGTTTCAGTACCGTGATGTACTGCATCGCTTGCGCAACTTTCCTTGCCTTTCCTTGCCTTACCTTGCCTTGCTTGCCTTGCCTTTGTGCCAAAGACAGGCAACCGCTGGGCCGGAGGAAGCGGCGGATCGGACACCGCAGGGTTGGGAGGTTGGGCTCGGACGAGTTGGACCAACCTGCTGTTGTTAGTGTTGTTTTTAGCGTTCTTAACGCTGTGTCCCGCAAATTTATCATGCTTCTGTTTCAGCACCTGCAGGCCGTGGAGGTCCATACCGATTATGGGATGGAAACCCAGCTTCCTGTCTGAATGGATGGGGTGGACTGGTTGGATTCGGTGGTTTCGTTGGTGCAGCCGTGCTTGCGATTCTTTTCGTTCTTTGCTCTCACCACTGTGTTGAGGTTTTCCAAGTGGATGATGCAGCAAAACAGGTTAGCGCGGAGTCTAAGAAACAGGCGAGAGCCTTGGCCCTCGAGGCAGGTCTCTTCTGACTCTGCCTCCGGTCGTCAAAACTTGAGAGGGTTCTACAACGTTCTATGCAGTTTTACGGTTTTGCCTGCGAATTTTACGCAGGCATGGCAGAGACGTTTGGCCGAGATCGAAAAGATGGATCCGAGCCTTGGTGTGCTCTCAAAGGGCAGTGCAGAACTAAATCTTTGAAGTGAAAAACGAGCATTTTCATGAGCCTGCGAGGGTTTCTGTGCCTATGTCGTTGGCAACTACTACAGTACTGTCATGAGACGTGTGTTCTGTCAGGAGCATGTGGGCTTTGTACCAGGACGTTCTCTCAAACGTGGAACCTCAAGTGGCCCAGTTGAGGGCTATATTTCGACACGCGCAAGACAAACGATCGGAGCGTGTGTGGAAGAGAAATTGCTCAGATGGTGAACTGGATGACACGCGATTGGTGGAGGGTATTTCCGGCGAACGTTATGTCTACAAGAAGCGCGCAGAAGCGGAGCCACAGAAACAGCAGGAGCAGCACAACAGAAGGCGGAACCCGAGCTTGTGCATGACTGACACATACGGGCACCTTCAAACAGAGAGTCGCTGTACTATGATGTAGCAGCATGCACTCGCATGCACATGTTTCACGAGTACGTGGTGAGATACTGTGAAATGCTGTGAGTTTCTGGGCCGTGCTGTGCGGATGCCGTGAGGCAGAAGCGGCGCCTTTGCTTCGTCATGGACTGCTCCGGCTCAATGTATCGCTTCAACAGTTTGGATGGACGGCTGAATCGCATGCTGGAGGCTACATGTCTGATCCTGGAGAGCATGGAGGGGCACACAGACAAATTTGTCTCTTGGCTGGGATGCTGATGTCAAGCCCCATCAGATTAGACGCAGCGCTGTTTTGTGAACGGTCTGTTTGCTGGTATATCTTCATGTCTTACATCTCTTAACTTTTGGACAACAATTCTAAATCTGAGATCTTATTATTATCTGACATTAAAGACTATCCCATTATTTCCTTGGGCTTTCTTGATTACAGCTTTCATGCTTTTATTAACATTACCAATCTTATCTGGTACACTTCTTTTAATATTGGGTGATCTTCAATACACTTTTCTTTGATCCTATATTTGGGGGAGATCCTATATTCTATCAACATTTATTTTGGTTTTTGGACATCCAGAAGTTTACATCTTAATAATTCCTGCATGAGGGATCATTTCCATAATAATTTCTGGGATTTTGCAATTAATAATCTTTGGTAACCAATCAATGATCTTTGCCATGTCATCTATTTCTCTTCTTGGAAGTCTTGTTTGGGGGCATGTATACTGTAGGTTTAGAAAGTGGTACAAGAGCTTATTTTACAGGAGTTACAATCTTAATATCCTTACCAACTCTTGATGTTGCTGAGGAGTTTGCTATACTGGGTCACTCTGGAGAGAGTGCATCCATTCCGTTTGTAAACTTCGGACAGCCTCCAGCAAATCGTGGGGACCTTACAGTTTCGGGCAGTGCCAGCTTTGCTGTCCGATGTCCTCCTGGAACACTTCTTTGCCAAAAGGCTCCTGATACCTTTCTTGAAGGTGGTGAGCGGCTGAAGATCCTGCAGCAGATGTTGGCGCACAGCCAATTCTGCTGGCCAGGGGACAACACCATCGAGGTGACGTCGAAAATCCCGAGGGCTTATCCTCTTACACACGATAATCTTAAGACCTTGAGCCCGAGCTGAGAGGTCCGCAATGCTAGGCCCTGAGTTTGGATGGTATTGAAAGGATTCATCTACTAGGGTTTAGGGCATGCTCGAAGCACAATGTGCACAATGTGCACAATGTGCACTACGATGCAAGTATCAAGTACCTTGCAGGCTACGGATGCAGCAGTTGAATACGCGCCGACCTCAGATGTCTGCCGATGTCGAGTGTTGTTGACCTGCGTCAATAAGATCTTTTCGAAACAGACCTGAACATCTAGTCTAGTGCCCATCGAAAGCAAAGACTAGCAAAGGACAGGTCCAGTCCTCTAACCCTACAATATCCTGTGATTCAAGCGCCGAGCGCCCCAGTATCCCCGTTTTTTGTGTGGAGATGATCTTTTGGATGTCACCATGCCATCACAGTGCGTCCACTAGGTGCTGCAAGACTTCTCCTTGGATCCAGATCCACAAAGGCAACACCGAAAGCAAGCCTTTGTCGTTGTCATCTCTGATGCGAACTTCAGGCTGGTGAACTAATTTGGATCAGTTGCTGAATTCTGCTCCTGTCTTTCCGGTGAAGTTGTACATGCACCGTTAGAATGGGAGCCTTGGCCGTTCCTGGTCAACTCATTCCACCATTCGGGCGTAAAGGTACAAGGTCCAGTGAATCTCAAGATGCCAAAAACAATGAGGGGCGGCCGGGAGGTTTAGGCCGGGCCTTGAAAGGACAATGGCTACACAAGGCACGCGCCACTCTGCGCCACTCCCAATTCCAGAGATTATTGAGATTGTACGAGGTTCTAGGTCCGTATTCCCGTCAACACTTGGAGTTCTCTAAGTGTATGTGTGTGTGGGTGTTTTGTACATATCGGCTAGTGCTCTGAGTTCCGAGTGCAACGGGAGTTGTCGGTGTCTTCAGTGCAAGACTTGCAAGTCAATGTCGAGTCTCTTGATCATCCTCCGCCTCGGATAGGCGCTATGGGATGGATCCTGTCTGGTGGAGCAATTCGCTGCAACGAAGCACTCAAGTGGACGGCCATGCCGCCTTTTGTCTGGCACAGTGCTTTTGCCTACCTGTTTACCTGGGACCTCCATATATAGTATGCACGCGTCTCCTTCAATATGCCCCTCCGCTACAATCCAGTCCGTTAAGGTTATGATTGGCTCGATCGGTGAGGAAGCAGCCAGGATTCAGGAAGCCCTACCACCAGGGAAAGGACATGTCGTGCTCGATACAGCATTGCTGCCAAGCGTCTTCAGGTACCCTGGGCTTTTGAATTAAGCTGCCGAGCACCTTCAGAGAATCCTCCCATATACTCTCGCATTCAGACGCATTCAAGTGTTTGCCGAGGTCAATCTTCGAACAAGCTGAGATGATTTGCGACGAACTGTGAAGCTGGTCTTGCAAGATGTGCTCGCCTGGAAGATCACCGGTTCCTCCGCTGAGATCACTGCAACGCTTGCTAATCATGATTCAGACAGAAAGGAACAGGGACATGTGTTAAACCTATTTCATTGAGAGAACTCTTTTGACCAGTTCTTCTTTCGTTTCGTCAGCCTTCCCGCTGCTGGCTCCAAGGCAGCAGATGGAAACTGCTTTGCCGGCTTTGCCGTGCGTGTTCTCGGCCACCGACCGCCGATGACTTCCATGCCGACTTGAACCTTTTCAGAGCAGCACTTCCAGGGGCACTTCCAGCGACCCTGGGCCCTGACAAGGAAGCTCGTGCTAAGAGTACATGGTGCAAAGAATGGTGAAGCTGCGAAAGCTCAAGCTCTATTCTCAGTGCTGGGTGTCTGCAACTTGGAGATACTTGGAGGACAGCATTCCAATGAACTCCTTCATGTTTGCCTTCGATCCTTCGGGTTCCTGCGTGATGCACGCGCGCTACGGCATATGTTGGCGTGCGGGTGCCCATATGAGCCTGTTGTCACTCCCAAGACTTCGTGGACCAAATTGTGGTGACGTTCGCACGAGTAGACAGGAGTTGTAGTGAATTGTTGGTGTTCCAAGCAGAAAATACTGGATCGCAAGCCAGCAGAATCCAGTGGGTAGATGTGGGTGTAGATTGCTTACGCTGTGTTGTCACGGCTCCTAAGTACTCAGAGCACCTCATGTTCCCACGTTGAAGCCGCGAGCCCTGCGTTGTTGATGGCATTTTCACTGGTTTCACTCAGACACTGAGTTTTGCGAACGTTGCAGGACCTGCTTACACAGCAAAAGTCACAAAAGAGTGCCAACTCACAGCGTTGCATAGCGTAATGTTCTCCTCCAGCACATGGCATGCGCAGGTGGCGGGAGACAAGGAAGATCAGATCGGTGACCCAAGCAAAGTTCACGTGAAAGGCCTGCAGTTCGTACTTGCATGTACTTGCTTGTGTAGTCTTGTGTCCTCATGTCGAACTGTCGATTCATATCATGACCTGACGTGTACTGGCTCTACGCCACCGGGGCAGCCCTTCATCAGAATACCCCGATGCTTATAGGCATGCCCGGACGATTTGGCCGGATGCAGCATTACAGATTACGCCAGTGACGCGGAATTCCATCCTGTGGATATCTCGACAAGGGCTGTAAGATGCAACTTCTTACAGCCCGTGTGATGATGAGAGATAGATGGACAGTGGTCCTCTTGCACGGGCGGCATGCAACTCTAGGATCAGTGATGCCGCTGCTGGGGCCCCATACGCCGTTGCTGTGCCCAAGCGAAGTGCACACAGCAAAAAGCAGCAGAGAAACGCACAAAGAAACGTGAAAAAAGAGCAGCTGATTCGGTGGACCCAAGCAGTCGCGTCGTGCAAGCGGTGGCCAGAAGCGGTCCTCACAGTCGCTGACTTTCAATCGCGGGGGTTTGAGACGGACATCGTCTTGGAGAACTCTGTACTCACCTCCTGCGGCCGAGGGCAACAGTGGCAGAAAGCATCGGCTTATCTTCGGAGGCTCAGCTGTGGGCAGTTGCAGCTCACCAGGATCTCGTTTAATTCAGCAGTCAATGCTTTTTCCATCAGTGCGAGATGGAGAGATGCAGCCAGTCTGTCAGAGCAGTCAAGCTGTGACATGACGAATGATGCCATTCTTCACAACAGCGTCATCTCAGCATTAGCAAAGCGCACATGTTGGATTGAGGCATTCGCCTTGTTGGCGCACATGACCAAGACTTCAGTAAAGTGCACCCTCATGACGCTGAGTGCGACCGTGACCGCTTGCGACAGGGTGGGACACTGGCAGGAAGCACTGCTCTTGTTGTCAGCCACTTCGGCATTGGGCATCCGACCTGATTCTGTCATGCAGACCTCATGTATCAACGTGTGCGAGAAGGGAGACCAGTGGCAACAAGCGTTGGTCACTCTCTCATCGTGCAAAGCATGTCGCTCCCGTGGAGCAGCCGTGAATGCTTACAATGCTGCAATCAGCGCCTGCGAGAGAAGTTCACAGTGGGAGCAAGCTTTGGCGGTGTTTTCGAGTCTCTTCGAACAGAACGTCAAGGCAGATGTCATAAGCTACAATGCAATGATAAGCGCTTGCAAACAGCACTGGAAGCTGTCCATGTTTTTCCTGGGATCCCTTCTGCAGAGCAAGTTGCAGCCAACGCTCATCACCTTCAATGCGGCACTGTCGGCTTTCGACAGCACAGGTCTCTGGATGGAGGCCTTGGGTGTGCTCGTCCAACTGCAAGACCACTGTCTTCTTCCAGACCTCATCACCTTTCATGCACTCCTTGCCTGCAACAAGACAGAGTGGCGACGTGCGTGCATGTGGCTAACAGAAGTTGATGGACGATACCTTCAGAGAGATCTCGTGACGCAAAGTGCTATTATCACCGCGTGTACCGCTGCCGAACAGTGGGAACTCTCATTGTTCTTAGGGTCTGGTGATGCTCACCGTGCCTCAGGTGCTGGCGATGCTCACACGGTCACTGACACCATTGTGGCCTGCGATCGGGGGGGCATGTGGGAGTCAACGCTATGGTTGCTGGAAAGCATGGCGGATGTTGCAGTGGAAGGTGACACCATTGCATGCAATGCTGCTATGGCTGCCTGTGCTAGTCAGGGCGCATGGTCGCAAGTGTTGTTTGGCTTGCGAGAACTACAGCTGAAGGAGCTATCAGCTCTCGCGTATGATGCTGCAGTCGTTGCATGCGCTAATGCCGAAAAAGCAAGCTTCTCGGAAGACGGCTCCCTCTCCTAGCAATCCGGATGAAACATGAATAAAGCACAGGAAGCCATCTCAGGGGAAGGTTTCTTTGGATTCTGGAGGTCCCTCTCGACCTGACGATGCTGGCTCTGACGAGGAGGCACTCAAACTTCAAGCTCTTAAGAGCTGCTGAGAACTGCGAATTTTTCGGTTGTTTCGTTCATTGAGGTTCCCAGTTGCCGTCCATTTTCTGTGTATTGGCGCGTTGTCCACAGGACCCGGAGCTGTATGAGCAGCTATCCAAGCAGCGCCGCCTCGTCAAACGTGCTGATACAGGCTTGCGCGTTAGGACGCTTTGCTGGCTTTCGCATGGGCAGCTTTGAATAGGATGCTTCATGATGTTCTATTTGGCTATGCTCAGCTGCAGATGCCAAACAGTAGATGTTGACATGTGCTGACGATGACTGATCTTTGGAGACACTCTCTCTCTCTCTCTCGCTCTCTCGCGCGCTCTATCTACATTATATGTACATATACATATATGTATGCTAGTAGCAGCTTGCGCGATGGCCGAGGTCAGGCCAAGAAGGGAGAGGCCGCACTCACGCAGGCGCCTCTCCATCGATTCGGTCTCATCTTGCGACGTTCTTTTGCGCAATGAAGGAATGACTTCTTCGTTCATGCTCAAGATCTTCATGCCAGCTTTGTTTGTTTTTGTAACTTGCAGAGCACTCTGTGCAGGTGTCCGAGCGCATCCAGGGCATGGCTGGTGAGGAGGTGCTGTGATTCATTGATGTTGTTGACTCTTGAATCACATTGAACTACTATCAGTTCGTCAGACTTAAGGACGAGGAGAAAGAGCAAAAGGAGAAAGGCCTGGCAGTCAGTATGTGAGGCTTTTGGTGTTGTCAGATCTAGCTCCCAAGTTTGCATCACGCTGCGGGCATGAAGCATGTTGTCAGAACTCAGCAACGTGGCGTTGACTGCCACCACAGAGCCTTCGGCCGAGTGTTAGCACATCCAGCAAATGTCTAGGGAACTTGAGTCAACTTGAGCTGATGTTTAGTGCAGTTTTCAAGGTTCTGCAACGTAGTGCAGACTCCGCTGGAGAAGATAGAAACGCTGAAGCACGAGAGCTTCCGCGGCTCTACTCTGTACAAGCAGCAGGCCTCCTATCAGCGCAGTGCCAGGCTACCACTTTTCAAGCGGCCGTGTTTTGCGTTGCTATAGGCGACCCAGCGAAAGGGCATCGCAGCGGGTGAGCGAAAAGCTCGCAAGGCTGGGCTGCCCGAGGAAGCACCTTGGCAGCCTTTGCGACCATGTGGCTACAGGTGCCTACTTTACTACAAGACTCCTACCCTTCTACCATGTTACACTTCTACCCACATTGGGGTACAAGTCACTGACGTCGACGGGTAATCGCATCCGTCTGCCTGGACTTTCGGAATTGCATACTCAGAGGTCCTGGCTGCTACGAAAGATGCAGAAGAAGATCTGGACACCCAACTGCAGAGTATGTTAATCGACGATTAGACGATCATTGAATCTTATCGTGCTTGCTACATGTCTGCAATTCTTCATTACCATTGCGATGCTTGAATCTCGTTATTGATGTCAGGAGCAAACGCTCATTGAGGAGTCTCTTGACCTTAGTTGTTTGCAGCCCAGATGGCGCCCCCTGAACAATCCAAGCTGTAGAAAGCTGCAAAGCGCAGACTCTCCTCCAGGTGCAAGTGGGCTTGAGTACCTGCGGGCGCGGTCACAGATTGGCTGTGATCAGGACAGGCCGCAGCAAGTGCCGTGTCTGGATATGTCTCGATGAGATCCTACCAGCCCGACTGCCACCGCAGACTGTGCGAAATTCTGCTAGGATTTCTGGATAGTTCAGGGTTGCCAAGCGGATTGTAAGAGGAACAGGAGACAGCCAACAGCACCTCATCTAGGTGCAACGTGAAAGGAGTGTTGAGGAGGTGAATGAGCCATCATTGCCCCATCGTCTAAGCAGGCAGGCAGAGGACTCAGCGATTTGCTAAGACTGCCCCGCTGCAGGACTCGCACAGGATCCGCAAGTTGGATAATCGTCCGCTAGAGATGTCCACGGTCGATGGCGATATCAAGCTTGAGTACCGAGACGATTTCGGCCGGGTAAGCCTCCCAGAGTTTTCCAGCAGGTAGAGACGGTAGAGAGCTGACCTTTATTAGTGGATTAGGATTGATTGGGATGTTAGAAGTTAGACAGTGCTGGAGGTCCAGACGCCGAAGGAAGCCTTCCGGTCCATTTCATGGAAGTTCCACGGCAAGGCACGTCAAAGAAGCCAGTCATTGCAACTGTGGAGGAAGCACAGGGAAGCACAGATTTGCTGTACTGTACTGACTTGCAGCTTTGGGGTGTCTGCGTTGTGCACCTGTGCTGAAGACTCCCATCAAGCCAACGCGCCCACCTTCGCATTGCATGCTTGCACTGACTGCACTGACACCTGCCTTTACCGGCCTCCTTGTCTCAGCAGGAGTGTAAGCATAGCAGTGGAGCTCTGCAGATGCACGGCTTCCTCCTAGACCCCAGCTCTGCGTCCCACAAACGATCAGCCCCGCGTTGGGGGCTGTGGGGGCGGCCTTTCTTGCCCTGCTGCGGGGTTTGGGATCCACGTGGGGGCTCTCTTCGCCGGAACGTGCGGGAAGGGTCCGCTTCAGAGCTCGTCGGAATGGAGCAGAAGTGATGTTGGGTTGCAAGGAAACATGCTTGGCTGGTTGTGCCTTGACGACATCTTGAAGACCTGAAGGTTCCTGGCCGAAAGAACATGGAGAGGCGACTCCTTCGCTTAGAGAATGAGATGAGATTGCCTTTTGGATGAATTCAGCGAGCAATGCCGGAACACTGTTGCCTTGTTGTGGGCTAGCTTCTCGTTGTGCCCCTCAGTGAAGATCTGAATTTGCAAGGAAGAGCATGAATGTCATCGAAGCTCTTCCTACCCTCAGGCACAGTTTCATGATGTCACAGATCTCGCCTCCAGCACAACTGCGTACCCTTGATCAGGGCGCTGCGACATGCACAGACAGCTGAAGCCAAGCCGTGCCCAGATGAAGACATATCTCGTGGCCAAGTAGGCTGCCAGGTCTTAACCTTTTGGACTGTTCTCTTGGCCTGTGATCCCGCCATGTGGTACCTCGTGGCCTAGTTATCATGATTAGGCCCGATTCGGCTCCCATGCAGTCCCGCTGCTTTCGGCACCTCATGCAAGTGTTCATGGCATTTCCTGATTTTGCAAGGTACATGGTCCTGAGTGGTGCCAACGAGAAGTGAGAGTTGCCAGCTCAAGCAAGGAAACTGTTCTCATAACTTTGAACCATACCGATACTGCTGCTACTGCTTCTGCTGCACTTTGTACATGTTGCATCCTTTGCCGCGCGTTCTCGACACGATCCTATGAGACAGCTCGACAAAAGCAGGCGCTGCTCACTTCTCTTGAGTTTCCATTCTGCAAGCATTCGGCATAGTTCAGGCCAGTTCAGCTTGGACTTTATGAGAAATACAGGGAAGTATATCTGAATCGCGCAACCCGAGTAGTGGAAGCGATTCCTTTCGCAATGGAAGGCAATGGAAGGAAGCAGGAACCGGAAGGGTGTTTGCTGAGCCCATGGCTTGGCTGAAATGCCCTGTTGTCGTTTTGGCACACTGTGAAGGGCTTAAGGCTGAAGGTCTGTAAGCGCTATGCTATGATGTCTGCCAGGTGGTAGTGTCATGGCTCTGCTCAGGCGTCCTATTGCCGTAGAAATGCGCTAGTACTCCGACAGCGCCGCATCCTTGCGCTGCATTCATAGCATGTCGCAAATCCACGTATCCCAGCACCATGTCAACGTCACATCACGACACGGCGATCAGCTGAAGTTGGGTGCTCTTGGCTAGGGCCTCTTTTCTTGCCATGTCGACCCGTGCTTTGTCATTGAAGGCCTGAGGAGCTGTTGCATGCAAAGGGCAATATCTTGATCTTGTACTTTTCCGGATATAGGCATCCTTAAGTAGATGCTTTGTCACTGAAGGCCACTCTGAGTCTGCACATTGCTGCCAAAAGACGCCTGACAGTCAACCTCCGTGCACAGCATCAAGAGCGGAAGCCGCAGAGGTACCAGAACAGGAGCTTGTACATTGACATGTCACGTGCCTTATTCTGGACAGCTGCACTTGTTCGGGTACGTTCTTCACCTTTGCAGGAACCAAAGATTCGGGTGCACTCGACAGCAGATCGAAAGCATCCGGCTCTGTCAAGAGCGACGAGCATCACATAGCCAAGGAAGGTTCGAATGCTTCAGACAAGTGCCCCACCTAGTCTTACATAGCCAGAGCCAAGATTAAGAAGTTACCAGTTCCCCACCTTGTTCGAGCTGAGGTTCGTGGTTGGGGTTATTGGAGCTTCGTTGATGGTCGTGCAGGCAAGAGCTTGCGGCGCACAGCTTTCTGAAACGCTTCAAGCAGGTTAATTGTGCCATTTTTGGACTAAGTGCTTTTCTCGTGTTCCTCTGCCTGTGCCTAAGAAAGCCCTCAGCCCTAAACGCTGAAATCTTGAACCCTAAGCCAAAGCGCAAGACGTGGATGGCCCCGAGTATGGCGTTTGCAGCTGTTCCGAAGCAGTTGGGCCCCTTTCCCCCTCGGAAGTGCCAATACCAGGAACGTGAGCATGATGTCCTGGTCGTTCTTGTTGTTGTGCATTCGACCGTTCTTGTGTGCCATGCCTCTCTCTATGGTTAAACATAGTTCGAGGCCTAATCAATCGTAGGACAGTTCCATTAGTTAGCACTTGTGAACTCTTTGGTTTGCCTTTAGGGTTGTGCCCTTTCAGTGGTGCAGGTGTTAGACATGGGTGGGCAACATGCGAACGTCATTTTGATTTTTTGGGTGCAGTCCGCCCGTTTCCCTGCCAACACCGGACCTCCATTCGGGATATTTCTTTGGCCATGACTCTCAACGACAGAGAGCAGGTTCCCTTACAAGCTTTGCGCCCTGATGTCTACCTACCCCCTGCTGATCCGGTCTGAACTCAGCCTTCAAACCCTGCCATACGATGCGCGGTGCCAATGGAAGTCAGTGCCAGTGCGAGGGGCAATGAGGGGCATCATGGGCCTCCTGGCCTTGTCCTAACTGGCTGATCTGACCGCGCCCAGTGCTCTCGGGAGTACCAATACCGGGAACATTTTGAGCATCATGGCGTCGTCTGATTTCCGAATGTGGCGAGAGTCTCAAAGCCTAGGGCCCCGCTGGTGCTCATGTTGCTGGGTGGGGGTTCAAGGTCTTGGGCCCATCGAGCGCCTGCAACGAACATTGTGCCTGAATTCATGACGTGCTCCTGCTCTTCGCATGCGGGTGCATGAAATAGGAAACGCAAGGCCTCAATGCTCATGTTCATGGGATTCACACTAGTGTGGGCACCGGCCATTTGTTCCTTGTATTGGCACTTCCGGGGGCACTGGCATCCGCCTTCCCCTTTAAAGCCGAAAGCCGAAAGCCCCTTAAATCCCTAAGCCCCAGCTCTAAGCCGCAAGCCCTAACACCCCTTCAGAAGCCCAAAGTGCATGCTCTGATGAGGGCAGTCATTAGGAAAATGAAACATCGCGCGCTTGGCCTCTGCAAGGTGGTGGTGCTAATCGCCGGTCTCACCTCATGGTTGAAGGTAGTGACTCTAGGCCGAAATTTTGTTGAAGTCGACTTTGCTGGTGTACTCCAGTTTCGTACATGACCAGACTCCCAGGAACACCGATCTGGCTGGCTTCCCAGTTTGACTGTGGTTTGTTGTTGAGGCCGTGCCGCTTTGACCTGAGCCATCTTCTACACCTGCCAGGATCAGGAGCTGCTGAAAGCTTCCATCGACACAGTCTGAAGGTTGATGCTCCACGATAATCCATCGGCCCTTGCCTTTCAACACGCTGATATCGTCAGAGTCAAAGAACTGAGCAGGGTTGGCTGGGCATCCTGTCCAGTTGTTACTAGCGGCGGTTTCTGCCAGATACACCCCCCCCCCCCTCCCCGCCCCCCCCCTCCCCGCCCCCCCCTCCCCGCCCCCCCCTCCCCGCCCCCCCCTCCCCCCCCCCCCCCCTCCCCGCCCCCCCCCCTCCCCGCCCCCCCCCCCCCCCAAGGTCAGGTCCAGATACACCCACCCAGATACACCCCTCCCAGGACCCCCCTCCCCCCCGGGGTTGTTGGGGCCGCAGAAACCGGCGCTGCCTTGTTGTTGATGTTGTTTTCGCTTGACGGTTGCCGGTGGCATTGAGATTTCTCTTGCTTTGATCTGCAGCCAAAACACCTCCGGTGTAGGCCCTAGTATTGCTGTGCTGTATGGTGTTTCCTAGCTGGTTAGTGCCGGAAGGCACAACTCATGATGTGTTCTAGTTGTTCACTGCGTTTGCCTCAAGAAAGCAGAGTTAACACAAGTCAAGTTAAACTACTACTCGGTGGCTGCTTAGCATTAAGCAGATGTGCTGGAGTATGCAAAAGCAAGCAGACAAACTAGAACTGCTTTCCAAAGACATCGTTTGAACCTCGGCGTGTGCTACGCGCACGTGTCGCCCCCGGTGGACAGTGGAGGCTTGACGCAGAAGTGTTGACTACATTTTCTAGTTGCAATGCATGTCTCATCGCGCTCCGTGCGCCTGAAAGGATGGGTCAGCTCCTGTGGAGCATTCTGCGGGACGCACTTGCCACTGCTGTGATCTGCAATGTCCACTTGTTCGTTGACTTCGAGAGCATTGCACATGATGCGTGCTGCAGGACTTGTACGTATTCTTGATCGTTGTGTTTCTCATCGAGCGCTTTCCGGGGAGCGATTTGATGCATGATGTCTTTCGAAAAACAGTCGGCTCCCAAGGAAGTTATCATCCAAGTTGGCTTGAAGCATGCTTGAGCGACAAATACTTCTACTGGCTACCAGTAGCAGCTCAGTTTCATGTGCAGGTGATTGCAGCCACGATTGCCGTGGTGATCTGGAAACTGTTTGGCGGAATGCTCTTCGAAACGTCATCTGTTGGAGGCCAGAGTCCGTCAGAGTCCGTTCCACTTGGGCTACGGGCTACTTTGACTTTGCGACCATCAGGCGCCCGAGTTGGGGGCCCTCTCAGGCAGAAGAAGACGGAAGGACTTCGGCCGCAGTATGCGTGTAGAGTGTAGAGCCATGTTCTTGTCTCTCGAGCGCGACCGTGTGTCGCCGCACGAACTGTCGGACCCTTGCAGGATATGGGTTGGGTCGGTTAGTACTTTTCCTTTTCTATCCTTTACGCTGGTCGAAATCTGAGTTCTGCTGATTGACTTGACGCGGAAATCAGTCCGGTGCCAGTCCGTGTCTGTCGTCACCAGGAGGCAATGGCCACGGCTTGGAGTGGGCGGTGTGCGAGATGCAAGGCTGGCGCGCCGCGATGGAGGCGTGAGAGGGTTGCCAGCAAACCAAGCTCTAGTAAACGTGTGTCATATCTTCCGTTTTCAGTCTGTTCCCCTTGTCAGGATGCCACTTGCATTGCTGCGACCTTGCCAGAGCCACTGGCTCACCAGGACGGGCTTGCGGAACGTTGAGCATGTGGACATCTCTCTGCATTTCGGTTCTCTCTCCTGTGAGCAGCGGTCGATTGGATTGGAGTTTAGGGGGCTGGGAGGCTGATGGAGGTTCTGTCCTTGTCGCGGCCAAGCATCCAAATGCCGCCTTGTCCCAAAAAGTTCGAAAAAGTAGCCTATGGTGCTGGAAGACCTAGGCTTCTACTGGCTCTAATGCTGATCTGGCGCAAGTAGCACTCGATGTTTTGCACTCTTGCACAACCTCCTGCGGCCATCGCACTGTAGCTTAACAGCCAGCTCAAGGCGTCCTTTTGTACAAATGGGCCGCCAGATTAGAGACAACTTTCGCGTAGGGTCTCCAAGGGCACTGCACCTCACTGCACCTCGCTGCACTTCACTGCACTGCACTGCACTGCACTGCACTGCACTGCACTGCACTGCACTGCACTGCACTGCACTTCATTGCACTTCACTTTACCCTTCCAAGCACTTAGTTGCTGAGTTTTGCTCTCTGTTCGTTTTGTTTGTTTACTGTAGTGTGGCGTGTCCCGATTTAGCGGGGGTACCTTCGAGGGCCCCCAAATAGTAGGATCCCCTTATAAGGACTCCAATAAGGTACCCCTAATGCGGAAACCACCATATGGGCTCAGCCGGCCACTGGCAATGGTTCTATGTGTCGCCATGCGTTCATTGACCTCTCATTCGAAGGGTCGCACCTCACAACAAATGCAAATGTAAGCCTGGTATGGACAAGCACGGAGAGGATCAATTTGTTTTCTCTACCGTGAGGGTATGTGCAGCATATATTATACTGCAGGGGCATGGAAGGCATCTTTGCGACTTTGCCACAACGAAGCTTAGCATGACAAGATCCTTCAAATGCTTCCAATCAAAGCCACTTGGTTGGGGCGGACTAGCAGTGACTAGCCGAACGTCAAGAGCATCATCTTCACGTAAGCCCCTTTCTTGCCCTGTTTGGAGGCACTTTTTGCCGTATTTGATGGCCACGGTGGGTCACAAGTGTCTCACATCGCTTCCAAAGAGTTTCCGAAGGCATGTCGAGAATGCACTGTTTTTTTGGGGGGGTCTCTTGCAGATACTTGCGGTAGGCTGTTGGAATGGTCTGTAGCAGCTCTAGCAAGCGGCATTTAGCAAGTGCAGAGTGCCCTGCACTCTGCTTGCAAAGAAGCTGTTGTCATTTGTGAAGGTGCTCCAAGTGTGTGCAAATAAGCTCCGCGACTCCAGCGACGAGGCCATGAACTGTCATCCTTTGAGAAGTAGCCCTTCCGCTGAAGTCTATAGCCCATGCACTGCAGATTTCAAGGACGACACATCTTCACAGCAGGCTGAGCTCACCGCAAACGGGTGTGACCCTGAGCCACAATCGCATCTATTTCCACTCACGAAGCAGTTTTCAAGCTCAAGTTGGGCTCTGGTGTGGCGTGCGGGTATTTCAGTGGGAGTTGCTCTTCACCCTCTCAGGAAGGTGGTAAAAAAATATGTGATACATGGTGCAGTATGTGGTTTCAGTGTTTCTTCTCCGTCCTTGATAGTTGGCGTTCCCGAACAGGGGGTAGGCAAGGCCCTCTGCAGTGGCGACAGAAACAGAGAGAGGCTGAGAGGCTGAGAGGCTGGACAGACGCTCAATTGTTCCAGAAGACCGTCGTCGAGCTGGTACTACAGTGGAAGGATGAAGATGGAGCAAGAAGAAAAGAATCAATACTCTCCACCACAAGACTATGAGGTCCAGTCCAGCAACAAAGTCGAAGCGTCGAAGCTTGCCCCGCGTCCAATGGATGCCAATTGCGACACCTCTCCCTGTCCCCCCGCCGGGCCCCCGCCGGGCCCCCCGGCACCCCCCCGGCGTGGCCCCCGACCCCCCTCCAAACCCCCCCCCCCCCCCGTTTTAACCCGTTTTCCCGGAGCTGCGACGGGTCGGAAGCCGATTGAGCAAGCTCGGGCAAAGAGAGTGAGATAGAGTGACTGTGAGGTCGCCTGTGGCTGCCAGCAGCTCCAAACCGCGAGCTGTGGAGGACATCATGCGCACCTTCTTGAGAAAGTGAACTTGTGCGTGCAGTCACTGCAGGGCGATTCGGCGATAAGTGACGAGCCTTGCACCAAGTAACCTGGTTGCCATGCCAAGTCAGAGCCGGATGACCATTGCGCTGCGGCAGGCCAGTTCCAAAGACAAATGGCGTCGAGGCAGGGAATACGCAGTTTCGCGTTGAACTTTATCGCACCATGGGAGGCATGGCATTCTGAGCGCTTGTGCCCGGGTGTACTATTGACGATTTGTTGGAAGGCTGGCAGTGCAAAGGAGGAGGGCGGGCTCTCGGGCAAAGCAAAGCGGCCACGCTTCCAGGGCACCTGCTGTTGATGCGAATTCGGACATGGTCGAAGTAGCATGTCGCGTTGGCAGCCGCAGCCGAGGTTCAATATTGGATTTCAGGAAGTAATAAGCCGAAACAAAGTCCAATCAAGTGAGTGCTGGGGGATGCTGGGGGGCCACGGGCAACCTGCATTGCTCTGGCTTCAGGGTTGAGTGGCTTCACTAATAAGGCTCTTGAAATCCGGGGATTGGGGTTGAAAGCTTCTAGAATTTCTCGGTCGACCCACGGTCGGACGGCCAAAATCAAACCTCAGAAATAGAACACGCTTCTGAAGCGACTCGAGCTGGGCTTACTACAAACTGGGCCAACAGATGACTTGATCGGGTCAGGCATGTGCCTTATGGCTGATTAAGGTTTGCACGGATGCAGTTGTGTCTCCTGACGTTGCTTAATCAGTGGCCTGGGAGGCGTTGAGGTATCAGGCTTGGTGGGCAATACGAGCACCGCATTGAGCGAAATCGCCCCTTGCCAGTCTCTTTCTATGAGCATGATTGCTATGGACGCTTTTCTTCGGCAGGTGTGGGCCCTAGGTTGCAAGACTTGCTGTGCATGTCTGCGCACTGTGTTCTTTCAGCTCTCTTTCAAAGCTTCGTCGGCATGTCTCTTCGTGACCAAGTTGGGCAATGGCCTCAACTCCAAAGGGAAGAACAGCTTGCTCCAACTTTCCAGCCTGAGCCCTGGAGATCCCCGGAGCCTGGAGCTTCGGCAACTAAGTTCAAGTTTCAGTTCTTATTCAACTTTAGCGACTGGTAACTTGAGAATCAGAATCGACAGTTGACAGAGTTCAGTGCTATTCGGTGCTATTCAGTGCTCTTGTAGCCAACAGGCCAACAGCTTGCTTCGCTTCGCTACAACCATGCCAACATGTCTCCGGAATCGAGATATATCGAGAATTGTGTGATCCTCGAGAGGCTCATTTTGCACCTCCACATCTTTTCGGGCAGTCCTTGCATTTTGCGATTCTTTCTTAGTGGAATCGCAGGTGAACCCGGTGAACCCATGCAGCAAATGTCAGATTTGCATCATTTAGCCATGGTTTCTGGTTCAGGGCGTCCGTGTAAAGTCGACATCCGGTTTGCAGCAATAGACGCAGAGAGCCGACACATCTACAGTCTACAGCCTTCCGCTATACTTCCACTGCATTTCTTCGCAGATTGCCTGTCTCCTGTTCGGGATGTCAGGTCCGCTGGGCATCATGGCCAGGCACCTCGAGGCGAGCAACTCTTCACAGTCGGCACATGTCTTTGGAATGCCCTGCCAAGGTTACCATTGTGTTACCTCAAAGTCCCCGCAGCCTTTGATTGACGCTTCAAGCCGTGATGGCGCATGCGCCAAGCCATAGCCCGCGTTGGCGTTGGCTTTCTTAGCTGCAAAAGTTGCCATGGCACAGCTGCGGCCTCAGTTCAGTTGCGCAATTGCGCAACGTACCATCAGCAGGTCCTGCCATACATTCAGCGCAGCGAAAGCAAGCCTACGGAAAACACCAGCATCTGCAGGCACGTCCTGGCAAGATCACGCAGTGCATGCCTCGCCACCGTGGGCAGCGGTTTCCTGCGTGTGTCGGCACGCGTCTCGGGTACTGGAAACGGATGGAAACGGCAACTGCCCTTCAAGTCGTTTTGAAGTCGTTGGCAGTTTTGGCGTGAGGCTCCAAGACTTGGGCCCAAGAAGGCCATGTCTCGAGCTCTGAGCATCTCTGAGCAATCCAGACACGCTGCTCACGAAGAAGATTGCTCCCAGTTGGAGTGGAGGCTGCAAAGGGTGCGGCCAAAGCTGCCCCGGCAGCGGCAGCAGCAGCCGCCGGGCCTGCAGGCATGAACCAGGCCGAGTGGAAACTCTGAAAGTTGTTTGCCCAATCTTGCGACAGAGTCACCATTCATCACCGGCATTCGGCCTGAGCCAGGTCTTTAACATTTATGCCGATCGCCCCGACGAGGAGATCAAGCCAGACAGCTGGCTGTCCACCAAGATTGAGATTTTCACCAGTTGCGAGTTTTCAGACTCTAGATCTTACACGTCGATGCGTGGTTCTGTGCATAAGCTCTTTGCACCAGGTATCCAAACTGGCTGTGGAAGCTGGAGACGCCCCCCAAGCACTATGGGGACTCTAGACTGCAGTGATGGAGAGCAACACATGCCTGCTAGGGGACATGTATAAGTGTCCTCTCCTTGCTGCCAGCTGCTAGGATCTAACGCTCATGTTCGTGCATGGAATCGATATCGAGGAGGCGTGCGAATGCTGTCGAGTTTGAGAAGTTGAGAAGTCCCCACAATTTCTGAGCTTCTAAACCTTCAGAGGCCACCCTTAGCGACTACCAGCGATTTCTGCGACTGCACCGGAAGATGATCATCAAGATCAACAACCTTCGACTCAAGCGCAGCAAGCGAAGGCATATTTCGCATTTCCCAGGGTTCGCACTTTGTGGCTCGCACTTTTTGCGCAGCTCTCTTAGCTTTCTTTGCCTTCGTCAGGCCTGGCCTCAAAATCGCTTGAGCACACCTGAGCACTTCAGAAACATGGAGTACTTCGGTGGCGCGCAGCAACGCAAAAAGAAAACGGTGTCAGGGCATGTGCTGTGCTGGTCAAGTGACTGCATCTGACAGCAACACGGCTGATGGTTGGCCACATAGTGCAGCATTGAAAGGAGCTCGCTTGAAACACTTCTGTACCCGTAGCTTGAAGTTGTGCACTCTGCAGGCCAACAGTCAAAGGAACGCCTTCAATTTGGTGGGCGGGGGTCTTATTCAGGGAGCGCCCCTTTGTGCCGTGGTGTTTCGAGATGCAAGTATTGAAGATCACGTGTGTGATCGAGCTGATGCCCAGGAAGTACAGCCATCGTTGCCCTTGTTGACAAGACAGGTGCCGGTCTGTGGTGTGTGCTTTCAAATCCGGGAGCGAATGTTTTGGTTATGCGTACACTGTTGCTTAGAGGCCCCCCGCAAAATTCTCAGCCCGCCTTCGAGCCTAGATCCTAAAGTCCCGACGTGTTGAACGCCTCAAGCTCCAAAAAGACGCTGCAAAAGCTCCAGACCACAGACCCAAGCAAGCTAAGCGAGCTTCATGACATAGATGGAGAGACCCTTTCGAGAAGCCCAACTTGCCTATAAAAACAAGGTGGGAAAGCCCACCCTCTAGCAAAAGCCCAAACAGAACCTTTAGACGACCCACCTCAGCGGGTCTTATCGGCCCAGTTCGGACCAACGAAATACAGACACTCACAGCAAACTCCTCATATGTAATCAACAATTAAATTGTCCTCAAAATTCCGCATATGAAGTCACAAACGAGCTTTGACGAAAGTTGCAAACATTTGCCGTCCTCAAATGACCACATACTCTGGCACAAAGGAACAGCCTCAAACACGCAGGTCTTCAAATGTACTTGCTGACCTGCAATTGCAGCTTGCGTAACGATACATGTCATCCAACATGCCTCGTTGCCAGCGCAGCTTCATCCGCTGTGCATGTATGCAAGAAACACTTGCAGCTTACAGTAATCAATGCAATATCTCAACGAGACGGTATAGCAGTATGGCATGTTTGCTGTAACTGTAAACGACATGGTACAGGCGGCAAGCGGACTGTCACCGTCGCCAACTGCGGTGACTCTCGAGCTGTGCTCTGCCGCAATGGCAAGGCGCCCGACTCAGCACCCTCACCATTCCATATATACCTCAGGCTGCGTGCGTTCCCATGAGTTCGTTCGAGAGCGATTGATTGAGTTCTTGCAGGCCGTAGAGCTCTCGGAGGACAGGGGGCATGTCACTACAGTATCTACAAAAAGCAACAGATGGACGGTTTAGAGATGACCGGGAGGAAAGCTGACCTGCCTGAGGACCACAAACCTGAGTTGAATGGTGAAGAGAGACGCATCAGGTGTTGCCGATGGATCATGTTAGTGCAGGGTGAGAGCGACTGATTCCCGAAGTTTAACACTGTGAGGGTTCTCAGTAACGCAGTCCAAGCAGGCAAGCAGGTGGCTCCGTGAAGTTGATCGGACCCTGTCACCGAATAGACGGGTCGAGCACTCGGGCCGACACGCAGTAAAATGTAGCTTGTCAAGAGTGATGCGTCACCCAAGGTGGGGCCTTAATCTCTCCAGGGCCCTAGGCGACTTCCATTACAAGGCAATGAATCGAGTCTGCCAAGCTCTGTTGATGGGAGAAAGCATGATGAATTGCAGGCACGGCCTGACCTGAGTGCAGAACAGCAGAAGGTCATTGCTGTGCCAGAGGCCATCCATCATGCTCGACCTAGCGCTTCGATTTTGTGCTCGCATTCACGTGTGCGTGACTATCGGCGGATGCACAACAATCCAGTTGCATTGCGGTGATCATTTAGCAGCCGATTATTTCACGTCAGACTTTGCCTTGGGATGCACAGACGCAGGGAAAATTTGCAACGCACTCGCACTCAGTCTTGCCATTCCACACCAACGTGGCACCGCAACCAGACAGTTGGCGCGAAGATGCGCGAAGATCGTGCCGAATTCCACCTGTTCGTGCCGACATGGTTTTAAACAGGTCCTATGCATTGCAATCATGCCTTGCCACGCGACGAAGCGAAAGTGAAACCTGTGACGCAACCTCTTCGCCTCTTCGACGTTGCATTCGAACATCCTCGCTGAAACGCCAGTAACGAATTCTGAAAGGAAATCCTTTCGTCTTGGCAGAGCGGAGAGTCCAGGGATGAGAGTGAAGGGACCACGTCGTTCTGTGATGACCTTCTGTGTGCACATTGACATGTTGTTAACTTCGCTCCCGTGCGCATACCAGCGGCACACGTTCTTTTAAGTTTGTTTACATCCATTTTTGTCCTTGTCAGTGCGAAGGCCGCCAATTTTTGTTCCCTCCCTAGGTGTGTGTTCTCAGGCTGCAAAGGCGTGCCTCGATCTCGCCTCAAGCTAACTCCCGTTGCAAACCTGGCCCGGCCGCATGCCGGCCTATCGTGCAACAAGGACGAAAAAGCCAAGTCACAAAAGCTAATCCGTGAGGGAAAGCGCTAGCTTCCGTCTAGGGCTGTGCGTGGGGGTGGGCGCGCCGCGCGCCGCGAGAACTGGCAATTTTCATGTTATGGAGGCCTCTTTTGTTTGGCAGATGAACATCTCTTTTTCCAAATGAACTGCTCCCGTGCTGCAGAAGCACACAAAGACCACCATCCCAAAGAGCTGCCTAATTCGGAAGTTTAGTGTTAGGACGGTCAGGGGCTCAAGTTCGGGGCCGAAATGTTATGAGATGCTGTGAGAGATTGGCGGCCTCGCACCAGCTTTTTTCGCTCGTCCCCAAGTTTCCGATTCGGGTAGGGTGTCTCACACCCCAGGCCCGCTGGAGAGCCACGTGCTCATGGATTTTGGGCAATTCGGTCAGATGGTTGGGTGCCCAAGGATTTAGTAGCGTGGACAGGCGCATACACATCAGAACAAGAAAGCCGCAGACACAAGGAAGATGAACAATTCCAGTAGTTCAGCTCGTTCTCGGCGTCATGTTCTTCATCGACATCGAATGCCGAACTTCAAACACAAACTCGACTCTACGAGGATGGTACAGATGGAGAAGGAGACAATTCACGGAACAAAAGACAAAGGCCCTGGGCAACGATCGATCAAGAGTAGACCGGAACATGCCAAGATGACGACCAGCTGAAGCCAAATCCAGGCCTGTGGTATTCAGCATGTTGTCTCTCAGACGACCTGACTGAATGGATGGCAAAAGCCTCCCAAGAGGGCCGATATCTCGAACTACAGACCAGACCACGACGACCAAAAGACTAAACTCCAGGAGGATCCGGCGAGCAACATGGCAGAGAACGCGATCCCCCAACAGATCGGACGCACGCACTCAGCGTGAATGAAGCCTTACTTCTCTCCCATGACGTCAAAGAAGATGATTTGGATCAATACCAATCACTTGGTGACAGAACGGTCAACTCCGTTGTCACCATGGTCCTGGAGGGAGTGGAAAGATGTCTCGTCTCAGTTCAAATTCCTTGAATCTCCCGAGAGGAGCAACGGGTGGACCTGGATCCAACTGGATCGGGCCAGAGTTCCCTCTGGGATTGGCCCATGTGACCACTTCAAAAGCGGCGCCAGGCATATTGAACAAAGCAGGGAGAGATCTTGACCCATCGACAAGGCTTTGTCCGCATGGGCACAGGCCAAGAAAGTTGATTGGTTCTCGACCATCAGTAGAGTGTCCAGTGCCATGGTGCCGCAGCAGAGCTCTTGCCACGGAAGACACCCATTTTGTGCACATCTCCGGCACAAACAAAATTGAGCTTGTACCAAGTTCCACCTTCCTCATCACTCGTTTTGACTTTTCGTTGTGTTTCTCCTTTCCTCCTTTTTCCTTGCCTTTTTCCTATTATGAAAACATGCGACGATACGAAAAGACAGTTCGAGCACCAATCCCGCATCGGGGATACGGTGCGATTTTTGGCAAAGATGGAGCGAACCATACAAGCTCTTCCATCACCCATCACCCACCCATCTTCTCCCCCATCCGAGCCAGTGGATAGATGACGCCCACACCACCTCCAGTCACCGCCCCCTCCCCCAAGCAAAAGACCGCCACCTCCCCGCCCAATCATCGCACCAATGGCAGCGTCGGCAGCCGAGATGCCATTGCTTCGGATTTGTGGAATGAAGCAATTGGCCTCACAGAATTTCGTCAACACGGAGATTGCTCTACGCATGTGGACGCGACATGACGCGACGCAGACTTGCTCGAAGGCAGAGATCGTTCTACACAGATGGAAGATACGGAATTGCTGCCAAATTTTGGGCTGTATGCATATTAGCCATAGCATCCCCAAAGGAGAAAAAGACGCACACAATGGCATGCGCGTTTCTTCAATGACTACAACTCAGCCCCCAGCGGCATGTACAAGTCAAAAGAAACTCAGGATGGCTAGCAAACCTCGACAACAAGACGGGCACAAAACGACTAGAAGAGGCTGTGAGGTGGATATGCACATTATCAGCAACATCAGCGAGTTCGACAACGGGCAAATTGCACGCGACCTGGCATCAACACAGAACAAACGCTCGAAAGACGAAAAAGCACGACGCCATTCCCCTACTCGCGGCGGCCTACTTACAGGAGAAAGTGCAACTAACTAGCTGAGGACTTGGTGTGAACCATTGTGAACCTGTCTGATGCTTTGACTGAGCTTTCCCTGGTCCAGATCCGGACGGTAGAGTTGCACGACGACGATGAGTTTCTAGCAGGAGCCTTCAGTTCGAGATGTTTCAAGCCAGATGAACGAACTCGATCAAGTCCGACGTGCTGCGCTCACTAAGGTGCTTGCTTGCGATGGCTGTTTCGAGCTGCACACTTCCCAGGCTGGCGACTTCGCATGTTCCCTTCTCCGAGTATTCTTGCCATGTTTTGCGTTGAAAATCATGTCTTCTGCGGACTTGTTTCAGAAAGTCGTGGACATCGTCCGGGCAGCTCTGAAGGCAGGCCAAAGCGTGAAACAGGCGGGAGTCCTATTCGTGGCTTGCCAGACATTCCGCAGTACATGCCAAGCATCAGGCCGCTGAAGAGCTTGTCGACCAAAGCTGTAGCCCAAACCTGGTCAAGACCAGGGGAAAAGGTGTTTATCTCAGTCGTCGAAAGTCAGGAGATTGCCTCCTTACTAGCATCCTGCGCAATGTCCTGCAATATATGTCAGACTCCCATCCAAGGTGGCGACAACTGCAGTGCAATCATCATCAAGCTTTAATGAAGCGTCAGGCGCTGAGGCCTTGACAGCGGCTGGCACCGGCGTTTTTCCAAAGCTGGCGTGTTTCATGAAATGCTGTACAGATTATGGTGTATTGGAAGCCTGCGCTTGCAAGAGCAGCTTGTGCAATAAGCAAACCCTCTAGTAAGACATTCCAAGTGGTTCAGAGATGTCACCTTGTGCAGAACAAGCTGCCGCGGATTTCGGGTTACTGCAGTGGGCCGCGGATGATCATTCTGCAGAGCTCTGTTCAAATGCAAAATACCGTAATTTATTTAGCTGGAAAGTTGCTCCGGACTCCAGGATCTGTTTCCAAGTGGTAGGTGACCAAAAAGGGGTTCTGCCGGTTCTGCCGGTTCTGCTGCTCTATTGCCTGCCTTGGCAGTTTCTGCGAACTGCTAAGCCTGAACCTCTTGTGATTACTGCTGACAGGCGGGCGGACCTCCGCTGACACAGCCTTGCTGCATATCGAACAGTTCATCATGGGCAGGTAGCTTCACAGTCGTCATTGCTTCCAAATTTCTACAGTATAGATTCGCCACAGACCAGCTGCATTGTTACAGCATGACATGTGCTATTCATGCGATCACGCTCAACACCTGACAGGTTACGTGTGCACATGATATCTGACTCTCTCGCATCCCGTAGCTGCCAAAACCACAAACCCAACGAGCGGAATCACCATGCTGTGAAAACAAGCCTCTTCAGCTGCTGGCTAATGTCATGGCTGCCGGGTAGGAAGTCGCTGAAACCGGTGAAACGTCCTTTCACGCACAAGTTTGGCTGGACGGCTGGACATGGCCGCCATAAAGCCTACACGCCCGTGGACATGCGGCGATGCTGCGCGCGCTGTGGCAGGATGCTCAGCGAATGTACTTCAGGCAAGACCTGTACGATCCCAGGTGGCGCTGAATTCTGCATAGCGGCTCCCGTTCATGTTCGTTGATTGAAATATCCAATCAGGGTCGAGGACGTTGATTCACAGACTGTGGGCCGTGGCTACATGGCTGCCTCGCAGAGGCTTTGTGCACTCGAGCTGGTCCTTGCAGCTTTCACCTCAGATGGTTTTCCTGTAGCTTTGTTGGGGACACACGGGAGAGCCTCAGGACAATGCTTGCCATTCGAAGCTACACGAGGCGGAGCTTGAGCTCGATGGTAGTAATGGTAGCGGTTAAATGGTAAAGCTTCATATTTCATGAAGGAAGGGGCCATCACCGTGGTTTGCCTTGTCATAGTTCTCGTCCAGGACTGGCCTTCGGTGCATCGACGGCTCTTAAGGCTTCTTGATGGACAGGCCCGAGCCTCACTCAAGCATTCGCCTCTTGATGCTGCATGGTTGCCAACATCTTAAGTTTGGGCATCTGAACGATTCTGAGCACCTGAGCACCGCTCAAAACGGCTGCCCGGTCCTTTGTCGGCTTGCTTACTCCTCGCCAGCCAAATCCCCATGTCAGTTTTCAAACAAATTGCTTGCGTGGTTCCCTTCTTTTTGGTGTCCTCTATATGGCACGAGTGCCACAGACGAGTGGTGAATGCTTTCAGTTTCGCAGAGGAGTCTACCGCATTCTCGTTCTGGTATTTCAGCAGACATTTGGAGTACTTCTTGGGAGAGTCGGGTGTCAAAGCAAAGCTTCTTGGGAGCCTGTATGTGCAGCAAGTCGGATGGCTCGTTGCACTCAACTCCAGAAATTCGCTCCTAAGTAGCATTGAGCTCTGGCAATCATCAGAGCTTTGAGTTTGAGTTGGAGATGCACATGAGCAAGAACTCTTGTGGGGGACGGGCAGTGGTACGAACCTGAGCTCTCCTCTTACCACATGCATTGAAGCAGCATGTCTCCGAATCAAGCAGCCAGATCGTTCAACTGGTATTTTCAGGTATGGGTACCCCAATTCTGGATCGAGCATTTGGGCAGATTCCTTTTCTTGATACAGGAATTGCAGACGGAGCAGGGGGCAAGGAAAGCTCATACAGCCCAACATGTTTACACAGCTAATTCACTCTGCTTAGGTGTGAAGCTAGTTAAAACAGAAATGTTGAAACCAGAAAGTTTGGAACCAAAAAACATTCAACCAACACGTACGCTGTTGGCCTTGAAATTGTAGCATCCCACAGCTCACAACCCTCAGCCCCCAAGCGATTGGTGGACTGACAAACCCGTGATCGACAAGCCACTGGTATCATTGTGTACCTGGTTCTACAACGTTCTAAAGCTCCTGTCATCTTTCGCTGCATCTCTTGCATCTCGCCGCAGTACCAACCTCACTTTCTGCTCCCTGGGCTGCAGGGACCGGGACTGGGAGTGAGTGTGGGTGAGTATGGCTGAGTGCACCTTCTGACAAACAAGTTCTTGATTCTTTTCTGCACTCGTAAGGTAGCAAACGAAACTCGTTTGATTATAGACTGTACTGGCATCGTGTGGCATCAAACATCATCAACCAGACGAGCTTGCTTAAATATCAACGATTGTACCGAGGCTGGGACGCAGACCCTAGGAGCGGAGCTGGACAGAACAGCGGCATCATTTGCTCAGAGGCAGTGAGCTTTCAAGTTTAGGAATCATAGGAAGCATGAAAGCTGCATGCATGTTCTGGCAGATTCGGGCAGGGCAGCCCTCTACGCAGATGGCCAGCCCTTCAACGGCAGTGACTGCATTCCCGGTCGCGTGTCCTTGGACCTGCTACTTCTGTTAAGCCAGCAAAGTGGCTGCAGACTGAGCTGCCCTAGTCCTCGTCGAAAACATTTTTCGCCATTGGTCCTGCAAAAGTAAGGCCTCGCGGATGCATACGACGTTTGGAGAGACTTTCGGCCAACTACTACTTTCCTCCTGAAACCTGTTTGAATGAATTTTTATTCGTTGAAACGAGCTTGCGATTGAAGGAAGGTGGCCTCTTGGACTTCAACGGGAAGATGTTAGTTGGCTGGCCGGCAGTGGTGATGCCCCAAGAGCTAGTGCTTGTACTCATGTCTGGTCATAGTTCATTGCATCGCACCTGCAGCAATTTATGACGGAGGCCCGGAGTGGCTGGCCAGTATTTCGCCTGCTTCGTCTTCTCCAGAAGCAAGCGCAGGCTGCTTACTGAATTGTGCTCGGCCGGAACAGTACTTGAAGGGGTCATGGAGGTGCATGCAGCAGCATTGCCGCTATCAGGATGTAACGAGGACTGTCGGGCTCTTCGATTAAACAAACGCTCCATCATGACTTCTGCAGGATGAGGATGGGTTCGCCGCCTCTCTGATGAATCATGTGCGCCATCGGAAAATTCAGGACGAGGCCATTCACCAAGCTGTTTACTGTGTTTCGTTTACAGTGCAGCAGGGTGGTAAAACTTTCGCTAAGAGCACAGTGACCTACAGAACGCTGCCACAGCGTCGCAGGCCCTGCTCGCGACCAGTGCTACATTTGTCCTGAGTTCACCAAGCTACCGTCGGCAACTTAATTTACATCTTTGGCTGCGGCACCGACTAGTCAAGAGTTCTGCAAGGGGCTCATTCAGATTCATGTGTCATTGTGGTGGAAACCTATTTTGCGACCTTCGCTGGTCAGGCTGTCCACTTTCAGTTGCAGCAGCATACTTGTCAAGTGCCTGGGCCGCGAGCTCGCGCAGGCTTAAATGCAGTTGACATCTGGCAAGGTTTCCGCGTTACACCGCATTTGCATCGAGGCTCGCTTTCCAGTTTTTGACGAGGAGACTGAGGACCGCCCAATCGAAACCTTTGAAAATCTCTGTCGTGAGGCTGGGCAATGTACCTTCGTATTTCGGCATGCCAGAAGCATCCTGCACAGTGCGTCCGGTATGGGTTCGCTGCTACTGCACATCCTATGCTCATAGATGTTTCGTTTGGTTGAGCCAGCGCTAGGCTAGGCTCATGGTTGACCAAGGATGATCAAGGTTGCTCGGGGGCGGGGGAGGCCTTCCCGGAGGATGCTTCTCTGGCAGTTGCATCGCCCGAAGCAGGTGTGCATCAATCGGGGAAAGTTGGCACCAGACGAGAGCTGACCCGGGTTTCTTGGCGCGGCCATTGCAGAGCACAGTGCGTGGGCAGGGTTTGTGGCGTTGCCCTCCGACGACTCTCTCCGCTGCTTTGTAATCTTACCTGTTTTGCTTGTACATACTCTTTCCGGCTCACAAGCATATACTGGCACGGCCTCTCAGAGCCACCAGTGGGTGTGAGGACAATTTCTGGCGCACCGTGCACAGGCGCAATCTTGAGGAAGAAGAAGAAGAAGGAGAAGAAGGAGAAGAAGGAGAAGAAGGAGGAGGGGAAGAAGAAGAAGAAGAAGAAGAAGAAGAAGAAGAAGAAGAAGAAGAAGAAGAAGAAGAAGAAGAAGAAGAAGAAGAAGAAGAAGAAGAAGAAAAAGAAGAACAAATGTCAACATTTTTGGCCTGCAAGTTTCCTGCAGTCCTCGAAACCTTCATAATTTCTACGCAGCATTCCTGTGGCATGTTCTACTTAGTTCCTTATCGCTGCGAAACTGCGACACGTACCATTTGCGCGGGTAGTGACGGTATGCACTGGAGTAGAGTTGCTAGCATTGCTGTTTGCTGTTTGCTCAGCGGTTTTTCTTGCTTTGTTGTCAGTGGTGCATCCAGGGCACATCGAGTGGCTTGATTGGTTTGTGACAGGACCTCTTGGGCCTGGCTGAAGCGAACGTGCGAAATATTAGCCACGGTCTCAACACGCAGATTTAGCAAAGCAGTGCCCCAAGCTGCACAGAACGAAGGCGAATTCGCAGCAAACTGCACTGCACAAAAACTCAAGATTCCTTGGCCGGTTCTCTTGCGCAGGTTTGGCCAGAGTGTTGACAACGGAACATCCGCTATTGGACATGCTGGACGATGTTGCCAGTTCATACCAGGTCCGAAGCCGTTGTTATACTGCTCAGTACGTGCCTTGTTGTGAGATTCCTAAACTTGCAGGCCTTCCTGATCGATTCCGGGGCCCTGTACATTGACCTAGCCTGAGCTCCGGACAGGCCGAACAGAGCCCTGCTTCATTGTTGATTTGAGGACCTGAGGGATGAGAACAGCCTGGAGGCCATGGCGTTCGAAGTGGATCTGCTATGCTTTATCGATCCAGTTCGTGCGGTTTCCGCATCTTGACGCATCTTTCTGTGTGCAAGGCCAACGCGTCAAGGGTGGATTACACGCGCCACATGATGGCGTCAGACGACTTCACTTCTCAGATGCAAGAGGCTCTGGCGCTCGGTGATGACGGAAATTCAATAATTATCAACCTTTGGTGCGTAGTTAGCAGGCTTCAATTTAAACTTTACAGGCTTTACATCAACCTTTGTCTTCGCCCATACTAAGCCTTAAACCCAAAATGCTTCAAGTCCCCAGAACCTTCACAACCTCAAGCCCTCGCCCCTAAGCAGCCCTGAACTTCTAAACCCTAACCAAGCTTTTTCGGACAGACGATAAAAGAACCTGTCCCCTGATATTACAAGCCTGTCAGAGTTTGTCTTAAGGGGGGGGAGGGTGGGGGGGAAGGGTGTTCGTGTGCTTGTGCAGGAGCTTGTGCATGTGCTCGTGCATGTGCTCGTGCATGTGCTCGTGCATGTGCTCGTGTGTGTGTGTGTGTGTGTGTGTTTGTGCTAGTGCGTATACTCGCGTGTGCGTGTGCTCGCGTGTGTGCCAAAACGTGACGCTCCGGTGAAGTGTGTTTCTGCTTCAGGCCGGAGCTCAAAGTTGCAGCGAGGATGCTCTGACTCCGTAGTTTTCCTGGCTTGCAGATGCTCAAGTGCAGTAGAACATCCCCGGAAGCATGCATTCTTCAACTTTACAAGCTTCGTCAAGATTCTGAGTCAGGTCATGGAGGTGCAACAGCTTCGCAGCCCTGGGAAATGCTTTGTTGCCGTGGCAGAAAGGCATCTCACAGGAGGACACCTTGCGCGCAGTTCGCATCGCAGACAAGGACAGCCTGCCTGGATGCTGTGGCGATTTGGAGCCTCCTCCGACCTTGCCCGTGTGCAGACCAGATGTGCTGAGAGGACGGTGCCCAACAAGCGGTGGTCTTCCGATTAGTTGAAAAGCACGACGGTGCAGAACTTCGACTCCTGGCCACCGCAGAGGCTTCCAGCATCCGGCCTTTTCTTCCAGCCTTGATTCTTCTCCAGCCATCTTTGCTCAGAGCATCCTTTTCGAAGCTGATAATCAAAAGAGGCATCCGAGCAGTCGGATCTGGTCGACTGCATCGCAGCTGCGATCATTGCTGCAGTGGGACCCATGCTGCTGGAGGGCATGCCCAGGTGCCGTGGAAAAGGAGTAAGTTTAGGAGTCCCCGTGAGGTTTTGAGGGTATGTTTACGTGGCTGTGGACACGTGATTATAGCTGTCGAGCTTAGATAGCTTAGTCGAGAGCTCTTGCTTTCAGGCTCGAGGTGGCGGTCAGCTTGCGCAACGAAGCTGTATCACGAAGGATGTCGACGCTTTGGAGTCCTCCGTACGGACGTCGCGAGGCAAAGCCTCAAGGCAAGCCACGCGCGAAGCATATGCACGAGTCTTGACACGTCAGGACGTGCCGCCACCTCTGTTCAGCTTCTGCAGCAGCTCAGCTTAACATGTGGCATGCTTTGTCACGAAACTGGGTGCAGCTCTACTGAGGCGAGCAAAAGGACTTCTGGGATATTCCGTTGCCGAGCTCTCTTTGTCATGCTTTCCGACCAACTTGCAAGAACGCCAAGGCACGCTTGCCAGCATGCAGCAACATGCTACATTGAACCTCACACTCCTACGGACATGAAGCATCATCTGAGTTAATGCAGATTCCAATGTACAGGTGATGCAGCTTCAGGCGGAGGAGCTTTCCTGAATCACTTGAGGGGCATTGAAGCTTGACCTTCGCAACTTGACATGCCCAAGAAGATAAGGAAGAGCAGTGCTACATCTTCAGACTGCGTCCTGGCTAGCAGTTTTTGGCCGTCACGAGCAAGAGCATATTCATGGTCTGGCAGGCTCAGGGCGTATGCAGAGCTGCTTCGCTATAGGCCTCTGGGCCATGCAATGGAGGAGCAGGCCCGACACGCGCATCGAGACCGTAGTGCATCGTGACGTCGGCAAGTCCCAGAATCTGAGTAGGCCTTGACGATGGATGATCTGATCATGGCATCTGGGGCCACTCGTCATGGCAGTATGCCAGGTTGACTCTTCCTCGGTCCCTGCGCTCATGTTCAGTTCCACGTGCGAAAGGCAGCGGTCTTGAAATCCTGGCCTGTGGAGCTAAGCTGTTTCCCCAGAGATGGGTTCAGCCGGTGCTTCATTTATGAGTGACAGTGAAGATGCCTCATCCGAGATCCCTCCGCCCAAGATCTGATGTCACAATGTGATATGCATCTCGGTTGCACCTTTGTTGTTCAAGCCGCCTGCAGCCTGCGCATGCAGCCAGCAGCCTGCGCCTGCACCATGACACCTAAAGTCTTTGCTTGGTGAGGCTCGTGGCTCGGGCAGCTGCCTGACAGAGATGCGTACATACGAGTTTACGAGTAATGCAACTGTGTCTGGCATCGCGTCGAAAGCGGAATGCATAACAACGTCCTGCATTCTTGTGTGATCCGAATGACATGAGTGCGGACTGGTCCCGTGCGAATCCTGTGGCTCCAGGCCTTCGGTCTAAGTTTTTACTACAGTATCTACGAAGCGCCGAGTGCCGAGTGCTGAGCCAGCACTGTTAAGATCCTCACCCACACCAACAGACCGAAGCCAGCCCGCTGCCATTAGTAACATTACACTTTATTACACCTTTCCACTGCCTTTTCGACATCGGCTCTGGCCTTCTGAATGGTAGCTGTTCTCCCGCCCAGTGGAGGACCTCTTCCTGTGCGTTTGAGATGCTCTTGTTATCTCTTGTTTCCAGATTTTTCGTGAATCTTCTTCCAGGAAGGATGTCTGAGTAGCTATGGGCGCAGGCTCGAGAAGGGAGTACAGGAGTCATGATGCAGTCAGGATGCCGTCATGTGGATTTCCGGAACTGCAAGGCAGCAGGCAGTTGTCTGAGTTGGAGGAAACATGAGTATCATAATTCGTCAGGCCATGCGGTGGACGTCAAGCTCACCGCAACCCCATTGTTTGTATGTGCTCTGCAGGCACGAGCGGAGCTGTTCCCAGAACACAATGCCAAAACATGGGCCTAAGATTCTAAGCTGAAGGTGCTTTTGCCGGTTCCAGCTCTGGGACAGACTGGCAATGGCACTGACCTTACTCTTGCAATGAGCATTACTGCCTTACCCACGCCCTGGAGAGTCGGTGTTGTTCTTTCACCATCTTCCACTTTTTTCACCATCTTCCACTGCGCACGCTCTTTGAAGAAATCTGAAAGGAATCTGAAAGGCACCAAGACGGAAGACGGACGGAACGCATCGGAAGCTCTAACTAAGTCCGAAGGCGCAGCGTCTTCTTGAGAAGAGACGGGTAGCTTTTCAACAACAGCAACAGTCATCATAGATCATAAGACTTCGATAAGAGCAGCTCCGCCACGCCATAATCGAAAAAGGGGGATGCTGAACATGCCCAGGAGACTTGTTCTTGTACTGGGCCTGCGCAAACCAAACAGCGTGTCCATATGTCATCGTCGTACTGAAAGTTCAACGGTCAAAGGTCATGGGCCAATCACATCAGCAATCGTTGTACATGATGTTCTTAGTGACTTGTGGCGATCAGACAGCCCCGGCGTGGACGACTGATCTAAGCCCATGTTTGTCACCATAAAAGCTCCGGCCAGAGCTTTCGATGCGTCAAACTAGATGAAAGTATGAGGTATACCACACGGTCTGGCACATGCTAAGAAGCTCAAAGCTTCAGCTGGCCGTCAGCTTGAGGATTTGGGACGCAGCTCGAAGACTGAGACATGGAAGAGAAAAACGTTAAACGTCAAGTAGGTCCCTCACCCATGTTTCCGCCCCCCCCCCCCCCCCCCCCCCAGGGCGCTACCCGGCACTACCCTGCAAGAGCAGGACTTGGGCCCCTGAACTTGGGACTTTGGAAGTTGGTTGAGAACAAGTAGACCCAGAGCGAAAAGGAAGAAAGAAGTACAAGAACAAGGAGCTAAAGAACCAAGTGCCCCTTTGTAAATCAGGTTGCCAGCACGCACACAGAGGCAGTTAATCACTTTGGTTCGGGAAGTCTTTCAGAGCGTCTGGTCGAGTTGCATACTTGAGGTGGCCTCGGGCCAATCGTCCAGCAGGCGTGTGGGAATGCAGGGTTCATCTGAGTCTGAGTTCTCAGTGTGTTTTTCAAGCAGCTCATCCTCAACAAAATGAAGCAGGCTGACGCGAAACCTGGCACGGTCGACCCCCCAGAAACCGAAAGCAATGCAAGCCGAATGCTGATCAGCCAGCTGTTTCTGACGAACGCAGTACGTTTGTCAGCTGCACTGGGCCCTGGCGATTATCCTGATTGTGGTGCTGCTGGTGGGACTCTTCCGGTCGTACCGAATCTTAAAACAGGCCGTCCTGACATGTCGCGGCGTTTTCTTGGAATTCTTGGATATTCTTGGCACGCGGAAGCCATCTCCAGCCCTCGTCAGACGCAGCACCTCACCGTGGTGAGGCATGCCCCCGAGGCAGTTGTTTTGTGGGGGCAGATACGCGATCTTCGGATTTGTTCAACCCGTCATGGCCGTCATGGTTGACTTCAGTACGTATCGCTTCTAAAACGCAGATTAAGCAGTCCTCATGCAGGGCATGAGAATTGTTGAGTGTGGCTCCTGCCGCACAGCACAGCCCCAGACTCAGCACTGCAGTGAATGTGGAGATGGGTAGGGTCATGATGGTAGAGGAAGCTGGTGTTGCCGGACTGCTCAGGTACGTTAGCGCTCATGGGCGAATTTTCATCTGCTGTAGCTGCCACTGTGCGAATCGGATTCCGATGGATGCTGCGCGGGCAGAGGCGCATCTGAAATGATGGATGTGGGCATAGGTGGCATAGGCATGTCCTGGCACTCCAGAGGAGCTCATCGTTGCCGATGGGCCGCTCAAGAAGTTCGAATTCAAGAAGGGCGGTGAGAACTTCTGGCAGGACTCACTTCAGCAGTCTGCTGAGCAGAGAGTCAGATGCCATAACTCAATGATCGTGGGCTTGCAGCTGCGCTTTCTGCTCAAGTCTCTGGGCCACCTTCCTGCTTCCTGTCGCAACAGTCCAGCAGATTGCCATTGACCTACAGCACTCCACTGTACATGCTTCGAAGAATGCTTTCAATGTGCACGACGACTGGGTTGAACTGGTCGCAAGGCAGATTGTTCCAAGAGTGTTTCAATGCTTCAAGCACTCCAAGCGCTCAAAGCACCCAAAGCACTCAAAGCATTTCCACAATTCTACAAGCGATGATCCACCACAAGCCATGCCTTCGCTCTTCAATGCTAGAAAGAAGTGGCAGGACAGGGTCGAGTGAAAGTACTTTAGCAAGAGAGCCTGGATCATCACATGTGCTTGGCAGGAGGCCGAGGCCTGACTCTCAAGTCAAGTCAACTCAAGCATTGCCTCAAGCAATACCTCAAGCTGCTGTAAGTTAGTAAGGAGCAAGCTACGATGCAATTTCACGCAATGTCATGCAGTTTTCGCACCGAGTGCACTGAGGCCAAAGTCATTCAAAGGAGCAAGGCTCGCAAGGCACGACCACTCGAGACACTTGGACAACAGCTGCGAAGTACAAACAGTCATGTTGAGAATGGCACAGCCCACCCTAAGGAAGAGTCCATTGCCGGATCGCGAGCACTGGGAGGTGCAAGTTAGTGCGACTTGAGACCGTATTCAATCTCTTCGAACAGATTCTCGCCGGAATGGAAAGGCTTTGCTGGCTTCCAATTGGAAGTGCCTGATGGATGCCCCAGATGCTGTCAGATCCTTAGACATGGCTTGACTGCTTGACGTGCTTGTACTGGTACAGACTGTGAACCTAAGCACAGCGGTTTTCCCAACATTAGCTTGTGTCCTGGAATATCACTGAACGATTGCACGTGCCACCTCAATAGCCGGCTAAGCCTGCGGTCGCTCAGTTTGATGCTAGGTGAAGGTTAAACTACTCAGGGTCCAGAAGGTGACCCAGAACGTCACAGTGAGTGTTCAGGAGTCCTGGGGTGCTGCGAGAGGGTCCCAGAAAGGTCCTGCGGGGGTCGCGGAACCACCCAGCTGCGATGATTCCTGGCCCTAATGGCTTGCTTGTTGCTACGGGCCTACGGACAAATGGATCCAAAGGGGATCTCCTAGAAAACTGGCGAGAAGACGAGCTGGAGGAAGACATCAATACAAATGTGCCACGAGCGTTTGGGCCTGCCGAGCCCTGTAGAAACAAAGGGAGGCCGCCACAGGGTTCCAGGGTTCCAGGAAGGGTTCCAGGCGTCCTTATTTAGGGTTCCGAGTCTTCGGGGCAAGGGGCCTGATCCTGGTCTGCTTGTTCCAGTCGGTGTTGCTTGTCGTCCAAGGTCAAAGGCGACCCTTCTTGCGTGGAAATTGCTGCCCGACAGTGCTGGAAGGCACCCGCGCGTTTCATGAAGCGTCGAGCCACAGTGGGTCGAAATTGTGAGAGAACACAAAGCCTGACACTTCGCCCCAAACCTCGGCTCTGGAATGTTCTGGAGGCAGTGCAGTATGCCTCGGAGGACATCCGGAATGATCCGGTAGTGACCCTGCCAGTAGTGCAGTCTTGCTGGTGGGCCGGGATCTTATCTTCAGATATCTGACGTCACAGCGAGCAAGCCTATGGCCTATGGCGACTCGAAAAGGCCCTAGAATTTCTTGGACAAGAAGTTCGACGGGACGAAGAAGTTGCCATCGCTTGTTGCTGAGCTCGTGGCATGATGGACAGAAGCGCTGAAATTGCATTGATAGGCTGAATGAATATCAGTTTTTCAGGCTGCCTTGCGTCAGAGCGCTCTAGCCTTTGAGTCGCGACCTCAAAGTGATTCACTTCAAGTACTTCAGTTGTTGGGTTGGTAAAGTCTGCAGCAAGGTTGCATTGTGAGGCGGCTTCTGTTTCTGTGTCTTTTTGTGTTCCTTCCCTGCAGTTTTCCGAAGTTGCCGCACTATTATCATTATTGACACTTGTGCTGACTCTTCCCCGGACTGCTTCAGTCTGGCAATCCAGACCCTGCTTCGTGCTTTTTGCATTCAGTCTATCCATCCAGCTGTTGTAGGTAACTCTTGTCGGGTCTTGCGGTCTTACGCTTAGCGAAACCTTAGTATTACGTGGGAATTGGTATCGGGCTCCATACAACCCCAAGGAAACCTACGCAAAGGAGACACATGTCCGAAGCCCTGAATTCCAAGCCCTCCACCCCACATGCTGAGCAACGTAGGGAGTCGGCTTTGGATCTTGGCCATAATTGCACCGTACACCGCTAAGTCAGAAGCCCAGGCCCACAACCTACAGTAAACCTTAGTGGTGCGGTTGTGCGCTTGTGATTCGCGAGCATGAGGTGCCTTTCAAATGATATGCGGCATGACCCCATCATCTTGCAGCAGGCAGTCAGCCCTTGGCCCAGTCCTGTTTTTCTCAGAGCACGAGTCTACGATAATGTACGGGTGGCATGAGAGTGGTTCTTGTCTGTCTTGTCTTTTTGAAAATCGTTGTCAAGGCACATAAGTAGCCCATGGTGTCTACTTGGAGCACGCTCTTGCGCAAGGTGAGTGGACATGCTGTCAAGTCATTTGCTGCCATTTGAGGGCCGCAACAAGGATGAGATCCCTTGTAGCGACTTGAAATAGGGTCCGAACGATATGGTTTTCAAGCAAGCGGTTTTCCCTTCTTCATCAGTGAGTCGTAACCTTCATTTCATTAGGCCATGCGTGAACGACATCCACACTGCTGGCGTTCTAAGTGGAACGAGATCAGGGGCCGAAAGAAGACATGGCGACCAATAGAACACGAATCAAATAAAGTTGCTGCTCATTCGGCAAAATCCGGTAAGCCGACACATGCAGTCATGATTGGATTTTCAAAGCCGTTCAGGACATTAGGGATAACTCTTGACTACCCTACAAGACTGTCCGAATCCCCGAGGAGTAGACGGATCTGCTTTGAGGTTTGCCTCGAAGGCCCGACTTGGTTGTGTCAAAAAACTTGGCTTTCTGTGAGTTGCTATGTAATGCCCAGTTGCTTCTCGGATGAAGGATCTTCTGGCAGATCGCAAACTTGTGGAAGACCCGCTTGGCCTGCATTGCCCGTGACTCGATTTGTGACGGGAAGTTAGCTGCACTACCACTGCTGCGCGCAGTACGCCGTTCGAAACGCAGGGGGTGAAGCTCTGCGCTTTGTTGCCGAGGCAATATGCGGACAGCGTTGCATTCCACAGCTAACGCTGCGAAGTCAGGGCGTCCCTGGGCAGGAGTTCGGTGATGATCCAGATATGGTACTTCTGGTCCGCTGACATGTTCACACTTTCCATGCCTTGTTTGTCCGACGGTCGGGAGAAGCAGAGGGAGAGTGAGTGAAAGGTCTGCAGTATTGCAACATATTGCAACAGTGCAGCCCTCGAACATTCGCTAGTCCACACTCTTAGAAGTCTATAGTCTTCAGTATTGTTCAGTATACACCGAGGGACAATGTCGCCACGTTGTTTAACGGCGCCATCCCTCCAAGAAACAAAAAATGTGCTTCAACACATGAGTGACGTGACCAAGTAAGGTGGAGCTGTTTGCATCAGATTTGGGGCCCAAAATAAAAGGAAAAGCTCCTCGCGCCGCCCTCAGAAGTAGGGAAGGCCCGTGCTAACTGCTCGAAGGCGTTTCTTTCAAAGCTCATCGCAGAAATCAGCACTAGCCGGCCCTTGCAAGCGCACGCTTGCAGAACAACGAACAGGCCTCTGGGCTCCCATGCACCTGCACTTAGGCTTGACACATAGAAGTCATAGAAGCATGCAAGTGCTGACAGCGGAAGGCGTTGCAAGCTCCTGTTGGTTCGCGCAACACTCAGCTGAATCATTATCTTTGACGTCTGCTGATCATTGCCAGCAACGTGCCCTTTCGGCATTCTAAGGGACAGAGCTTTAGCCTTCGCCAGTCGGCTAGCTGCCGATCGTCAGTTTGTCCTTCAAATTCTGCAGTCGGACTCTCGGTTGAAGCATGCCGAAGCATGTCGAAGCATTGAAGATGACAGCATGTTCTCAGACGGTTCTTGCTATTTGGGGTTCTTACGTTGAGGGTAGAGATCAAGACAGGAGGGCGCCCAAATGGGACCTCGAACTCGATGACCCGCTGGTGGGTCCGGATGCGCGTGACGCGCTTGCGAGGCGCTTGGCACATTCCAGGACACGCAAACGTCAAGAGGCGTCTCAAACATCGTAAATAGCACGCTGGTAGCCTTGCGGGTGCCAAGCTGCGCTCTCGCCTAGATCCCGTGCATACTCCGAACTCGGAATCGTGCTCCCACCTGGGTCTTCTGCCGTCGCTCGAAAGTGAAAGGCCCCCCGGGCCCCCCCGGGAGGTTCGAGGAGCGCTCCGACGTCTCTGCTGGACGTTATGCTTTTGAAGAAGATTGTCAAGGGATCACAGTTTGGGGTCTATGCCGGCATGACGGTAATTGCATTGGCACTCTATGATCGTGCCTGCGGCCTCGTGAGGAAGGATGGCCTCGCCCTGCGCTACGTGTCGGCCTCTGTTCAAGCAAAGCCTTGGGGGCATTCAATCATTGGCTTGTCGAGCGGACAACGGAGGCCGCGCCGAGATTGAAGGCGGACATGTCAGTCGTCTTAGAGGCCTTTACCCTAGGGGGGGGGGGGGTTAGATCGGACGGGTGACCAAAAGTGGCGTTTTGCGACCTTCAGCACTAATCATTTACTGCATTCATGATGCACATATTATGTGTAGCGTGCAGCGTGCACATATATGTGGACTTCATGGAGTCTACTGGCACACAGTGATGCGCCTAAAATCATATGCCGGCCACGTGTCCGTGCGACTCCACATAGGATTCCACAGAGGCCCGTCTCAAGTGTAGGGGCAGGCCCTTCCAAGCAGAGTGTGTTCAAGAGTTGCACACACGAGCATGCACATTTCTGACCAGCTTCAGAGCTTCAGAGGCTGTCAAGCAGAACGGCGATGCTCTCCAATTCGCTTCCGATGACTTGCGTGACACACGCAAGGCCTGCCGTCTTGGCGGAAGCCTTCCAGCAAAGCTGCAACTGGTGTAAGTCGTTTGGGGCCAATTGGGGATGAGGTTGTGGAAGCTGCGGCGGAGCAGAACCCCAAAGCTTTGCGATTTGCTTCTGACCAGCTCCTTTCTGTGCCTTGGAGCGGAAGGGGGCACTTGCTCATTCCAGTCCTGTAGTCTGGAGTTGACTATAAATGACCTGTAGTTTCTTGCAAGTCCTTGTCATTCTTCGTCTAAGCGCGGCTAAGTCGCTGAGGACGAAGATTTGGTCAAAGCGGTTGCCATGGTCGATGGCGCAGTTCTTGAGTATGCTGCGGACCTTTGCCAAGTCCCAAGCTGCAGTCAATGAGCTTGCACATGCTTGCCCCGATCACAGCTTAATCCTCAGACTACAGACTCGTTCGGAAGAGTTTGGGCAAACTTCAAACACAACATGGCGCAACATGGCGCAAGCCCGACCATCGAGCATCCGAGGTGCTAATAGGCGCGTGGCAGTCAAAGCTGTGGAGCAAAGCTGGGAAGCTTTGCGCTTCGAGCAGGCAAATGCGGTAATGCAGCGAGAGAAGGTTCGCGCAGTATCAAAGCAGATCAAAGCTGTCGGGTTGCAGGTGGATGGAGGTTTGCCTGCAACTTTGCTTGTGGAGGCTGTGAAGCAGGACACTCAATGATGTGCCGAGCGGTTTTCTTGCAGAATAGCCAGAAGTGCTCGCAGGATTGGAGGGCGATTCAAGAGGTCCTCAAGAAAAGCCCAGAGATCAGTGAGGCATCGTGGGGCATTGAAGTCTTGCTTAATCTTGCTTTCTGTGGCGAGCAGCTGCGTCTACCGGACATCACCAGACCCAGGATCTTCTGCTCCAAATGGCCACCGCCAATCCTGAAATTGTGCGTGCAAGTCAGCATGGCACTGAGTTGCCTATCGAGGCCTATAGAAGCCGCGGAGAGAAGCTACCGTGAAGTCTCGAGGTTGCGTGGAAACCGAGCAGCTGCAGCAGCTGCGCTGTCGGTTGATGGCATGATGCTGCAGGGCCCCAAGTCCAGAATACACTGCACCTGGGGGTGTTTAACAGTTTATTCGGATCTCCTTGAAGGCACTATCTGCTACCAGAGCTGCGGTCTGATCTCGAGCTTGTCCTGGCCTTGAATGTCATTGATCCTATAGTCACTATAGTGTGTTACTTACGCATTGGGTTTGCGTCATTTTGTGCATTGTTTCCGTTGGCTGGCAGCAAAAAACTGGTAATAGACAGCGCCCGTACAGCACCCTCTCTGAGGCTGCGGTGGCTGTACGCCAGAATCCAGATGCATTATCAGAGGTGCATCCTGCTCTGCGATTGGAACTTGGCAATTGCTTCGCGTTCTCGTGACATTTATTGACGTGGCGCATGTATGCATGTGTCAATGCTTATTTTGGCTTATCACAATGGCAGCGGCGGAATTTCTGAGGCCGCGAGCCCTCACTACGCATCCTCCAGGCAGAGGGCCTTGGACGACGAGCACGTGCCGAGCTTCGCAGGCCTGGGCCATTCGCATGTGGGCAGATGGGCAACTTCTTGAGTGCAAACACAAAGTGCGATAGTGTGCAGCATGCCCAGGGCCAAAGCTGCAGCAGAGCAGGCAGAAGAACAAGCAGCAGATGACCAAGTGGATGAAGCCAGCGACGGTCATTAGCTGTTTGCACGCCTTCGAAAGTTGACCGTTTGCCACGGTCTGCTCAGATGGGTGTTTCACCGTTCACTGCTTGTGCCGGTGCGCAAGAAGCATGCTCGCAGCAAGACAGGAACGAAAATATGAGAGCTTAGAAGTGTGGAGGCTTCGGCAGTTTGTCGGCTTTGCACTCATCCTGCATCTTCCAGAGCAGCAGCTGCAACAGTAGCATGTGCCTACAGCTTTCAAATTTCCTTACCTTCGGCCGCCTTCGCTCTGGGTGCTTCGGGTCTCAGGAGGTGAGCCAGGAGGAGCTGGAGGAAGGTGTGGCCTGACTCAGTTTTCACAGACAGGTGCTTTCAAAAGGCATCAACCTTGCCAAAGTCGTTGGAACTGGCTCTTCTCATCTCTTCTCCCTCTCATTGCGCCTCCCAGGCTGAGGCATCTCCAGAAGCACCGATACCGCAGGCCGAATCTATAGAATCTGTCGCCCCACTCTGCCTTTCCATTTCCCTATATTTCCCTCTACAGCAACTCCCGATTTCCTGCAAGATCCTGCAAGGGCGTAGACAAACCTGCTCCGTCTTTGATCGGCAAGGCAGGCAACTGAAAGAACCATGAAGATTTTTTTGCTTTTGCATTTTTTTGGCAAAGCTGAAGGCTTAGGCCGGCTTGGGCAGAGCATAGTTGAAACTGGAAGGTGGATATGGAGAATGCTAGTACCGGAGAACGTTTTCCACAGTGTGCCAGGAGCTTGATGGTGAGCAGCCAGCGACAAAAACCCAGACATCCTGTCATCCTGTGAGGTAGTTTGTTTGGATGAACCGGGCTGCATGGTTCTGCTGCCATGCGCTCATGGAGGTGTGTGTGAGGCCGGGCCAGCGTAAGGATACTTGATTGATAGTGAGTGACCCAACGTGCTGTGGCAGATTGCAGGCATGTGTGACGCGAATTGTCCAAAATCGAGCTTTCGGGGGCTCTCACTGCCCCCATTGCCGATCAACCATAAGCACCTCGGCAGAGTGCAGAGCAGAATTCTGCATTTTCATTAACATTCATTCGTTCTTCATTCGTTCTTCATTGTTTTTGAAAACGTGTACTTAAGTGCAGCCCTGCAAGAGGCACCATCGTCAAACTTCAAGAGGCAGCGACGTGCTTCCCTGTGCAAGAAGCATGAAGACCGTAGTGACTATACAGTATATATAGCATTTGTATATACAGATACATGTATATATAGATGCGTATGAGGGTCTCCCAAAAGGTCGGGTAGCTAGTCTAAGGCTGCCATTAGGTTTTCTGTTGATTCTATGACCCCTCAGAATCGAAATACGTGCTGTCAAGGCACACCGTGGAACCGCGGAGGATTGATGATATACTGATGCACCGATGTAAGCTGCTCCGCCGTGCACCGCGGGCGCTTTTCGTTGTCTGTTTGCTTGCCTGCAAGCATGCCTGTTCGGAAAGCTCGACTGTCTGCATATTTGCACGCACGCTGGGGCGCGCCTGCATGCAACGTAATTATCCTTGCCTATGCTTCCACGTATGTAGCAAATTGGACTGCATGCTCCAACACAAGGCGCATGCTCGCTTTCCCCCCCCAATATGCTACGGCGCTCGTGTACGCTTGAGTACGCTTGCTTGCAAGCTCACGCCGGCGCAGGCTGCAGGTGCAGTGAAGCCAGTACACATGGACAGCGGGCAGAACAGCAAAGTACTATTTTCCGGGAATGAGTACAGTAGTGAATGAGCACTTCGCATGGTCCTTTTTGCTTTTCTGTTGGCTCTTCACAGACCTCGCGAGAAGGGTGGCCAAGAAGTCTACTGGTGTACATCTCATGGTGCGGAGGGTGTGGGAGACGTTTTGTTTAATTTTTCTTGCCGCGGGGGGAGCGGGTTCTTGGGCACGGTGTGAGTCGGGTATAGCGCAAGTGATGTTCTCGCTGGAGCGAATCACTTGCATGGCGTTCGAATTCGAGATGCAGGTTGAAGGGGAGCTGGCCAAGGGAGTCGAATTGCGAATACCCATGGCGAGACCATTGTCCTGATAGGCAGGGGACGTCACCACTTGTGAAGCTGCCTCATGAATGTCTCGTAAATGTCCTCCTGAAAATGCCTTTCTTTCGAGCATTTTTGAGCATTGTGGCTTAGCTTTCTTTGAACGCAGCTGCAGCAGAAGATGCTGAATCGCTAGATTCTGAGCGGGTGAAATCGACTTGAACAGCAGTGACGAAGAGCCATCATCCTGAACGGCTCATGTCTAGACTGGCCAGCCATGTCAGCTTGGCCAAGTCTACCCTGCGCTATCGCCCACAGGCTGGGTGAGTCACATCAGCCATGTGGGATGTTTTGATTTTTCAGGCTGAGTTCTGCAAGGCCTTTGTAGACACTCGAATCTTCGCCTCAAGCGCAACGCCATCTCTTTCCTCGACAGCCAGTCCAGTCGTTCCAGGCCTTGAAGACAGGGCGCGTGGACGAAGCTGCCAGTTGCAGCACCCTGGCATGCGCCCCCCTGGAGGCAGCAATCGACCAGAGCTTGCGCAGCCTGCCTTGCCCTCAGAACACGCATGAACACGCCAAAAGCTTATGAAGCCCTGCAGAGATCCCGTCCTCACGTGCCCCGGTCCTCGGTGCCGAACCCAGCCCAGCCTGAGAGGTGCCCGACGATCTTGAAGTCCAGACTCCGGCGATTCCTCTGTCCAAGGCTGGTCCCCACAGATCTGAAAACCGTCCCTTTGCACAGACGGCTTGCCCCGGCTTAGTGAGCTTCGCATCCCCCAATCCCCTTCCTCCTCTGGCTCCGGTATTGAAAGGTAGCCACGAAAATGTAAGGGCGTGCATTGATTGTAGTAATTTTTCCCGTCAATGCACGACTCGTCTGAAGCTGAGGCAAGTGACATTGTCTTCAGGGAAGCATTGCACGAGGATGTGCAGGTCTGCTGGATGCTGCTGCACCTGACCCCACCACGGGACAGATTCTGCATGGAGTCAGAGGGCAGTTGGCGTTTGCCGAGGGCGGTGGTGCTCGACATGCACCTGCCGTCTCCAAAATGTGGAGCAACATTCCAGCTCATGTCCCTAGGCTGCACTCCACCTGGTATGCGCATGTGCTGAAAGTATTGCAGAATCAAGGTTCGGGAGTCTTTCCGAGCTCCTGCCAGCCTAGTCTGGACCTCAGCCGCACATCGCTGTTGAACATCACCGGCCCCCCTCTCCCTCTCTCTCTCTCTCCTTTTTTTTTTTTTTCTCTCTCTCTCTCTCTCTCCCTCGCACTTCTGCCCGGCAAGTCTGGACTTTGGTGGTTGCCATCAAGCATTTGCAGTTTCAAGCAACGGCAACTGACGTGGGCGGGAGGTTGTGTTTTTCGCTCGTCATTCATTGTCAGCCATGACAATGACTGCCTACGGCTGGCATTCTGGAGATTTCCTGGAGCAAGAGAATCTGCCTGGTTGGGGAATGGTGTTCATGGTTGGAGGATGTGTAGAACGGTAGAAATGGTAGAACTGGTTGTTGTGAGGGCCGAGTGCCAACAAGCACAGTTTCCTGTCTCCTGCTGCCGCCCGGTTTGCAGGCTTGTTCTCGCGTAACGCACATCCGTGCCACAACGGCCACTGAAGCTCCAAAGCATTCCGAATCAGCAGCTTCTCACAGCTTTGCACTGCAAGTAGAAGTAGGAATTCGGCGCGCTTTTTTTTGGATACGCTGGAAGCACAGGGGTACTGAGCTGGGACGCAGGAGCAGGCTGTGGACATGAAACCCTGACAACATACATGGAATCACAGGGAGCCTTCGGCAGACTCTGCCCGATTTGTAAATCTCGTTGCATGCACAAAGTGACAACTGGTGCCTTGCTGAATTCGGTAAGACCTGCAAGCAGGAAGAAACACAGAAAAACCCAACATTCAAAGAAAGGCTTCGTGGCCTTGCATTGTCATTGATTTTCTTTATGGTTGTCAAACGCTGCGCGTCCGACTTCCTCGGCCCCGCCTGAGGCGCAGAGGAGTCGGGCTTGGGCATCGAGTCATTCGAGGGTCCAAGAGTTCCCAGCTCCCGCTGAAGATCCATAATGTCGATTTCCAAATATTTCAGAGTTTACCAAAGTTTCCTAGGTGGTCGTCCCGAAGAAAGTTGTCCATGGAAGACCCCGAGAGAGTCCGCAGACGTTGGGTGGTGGGTCCAACAAAAACAGTTGTTTTCGGTCAGCGCGGCTTCTCGTGGCCTCATCGAGCCAAACGGAACCCCACAAATATCTGGGCCTGTTAGGCGAGGCTGAGCAAGCCAAATCACTGCGTGTGAATTCGGGGGGAGGGGCACCAGGGGATTAGGGCCGAGGCGAATGCATCCTTATGTGTCGTTTAGGTTGGCTTCGACCCTGAGACTCCAGGCCTCAAACACAGCTCAGTAAAGCAAGCCTTGCTTGGGGAAGTTCAGCGTTGTCAAAAGACTCTTCAGACAAGTAGGACATGACACAAAAGGACACAACGGACCACCTGATGCCTAGGAAGATGCGCCAAAGCCTTCTGCTCCGCTTCTGCTGGACAACGTGTGTGGTCTTAGCAATTGCTTCGGACATGTTGGGAACCCTTGGAGCGCTTGAAGGAAAAGGATCAAGCTGCTTGCCCAAGGTGATGTCGAAGTTCAAAAATCTGGTCACACGCGTTGGTTTTGGACCGGCTAAGTGGTCGGAGGCCAGCGTTGATGCATGGGAAAGCTGTTGCAACTGCCGACGGATTTGTCGCAACATGCTGTAGAATGCAGTAAGAAAGCTGAAAGGCTGCCAGACCGTACTACCAGGGAAAGTCCGCCCGGCAAACTTGTCCTGATGCCACAAGAAAGATTGCAACCCTTTAAAGTTCGATGCAGGATACCGTTGGCACCTTACCAAAAGGGTCAAACAGCCGCCTACAACTACCCGCTCGAGCCTTATCTCGATGCCCAGCCTCCAACATAGTTCAGTTTCAAGTTTCGAGATGCAGTGATCAATGCTTGTTGCCACGGTGGGAGTCTGAAGGCCATTTCTTGTGCCACGCGAGCTGGCCCATCGCTTCCCACTGGACATGTGCCTCGCACATCGGGGAGCACATAGACAATGATTCGGCTTCGGCTCAACGCCGTTCAACGATTGGCATGTGCATTTCGCGTTTCTACATGGGCAGGCACAGGAAATGACGCTTTGCGTCGACGTGACAGATTGCAAGAGTACTTGTGCAATCATCCATCGTTCGAGAAATGGGCATGTGCAGGATCGGTGGCTTCATGTGTCATATTGTACGGCACGGGGCCGTGGAACTTCCCACCCGAATGACGCGCTCCCCGTTCTCCTCCTCCCTCTCTCATTCGCTTTGGCTGTCCACGCTGAGTTAGTTGTTCTCGATCCTTTTTGCTGCAGGTATGTGGACCCTATTTTTCAGACTTCGGACGCTGCGCAGCGCATCCGTATGAGGTGGCTTCTTGCCTTGCGTTCGGGAGTTTGCGTGGCATGAAGCAGCCAGGGGTGTCACGCTCTTTCCGCGCTTGCAGGGGAAGACGCTGGGCTGCACAAGCTGACGTTGGTTTTTGACATTTTTTTGACTGTTTATCAGGCTTCATTTTGAATCTGAGAAGGATGACACGTGACACTTTTCACAAGCATCCTGGGCCAGAGAGCAAGGATGCGGCCTGAGAGCGCGAAGGTAAGTAAGTAAGTGTCTCACATGCAACCCATGGTTAGCAAATCACATGGGACATATACTTCATTCCAAACAAGGCAAAACAGAGCATAGAATATAAGTAAAACGGCCAGCAGCAGCATCGCACAGAAAGAGAAACTCGACGGCTTCTGCCCGAGCCACTTTCCACACTTGAACGCAACACTCGAGGATACCCCCATCGTCAAAATCAAAGCCCCGTACTGCAGTTTTAAGTTTTAGTCAGTCTTGTGGCCGGACCACCTCTGCAATGTCACGACCCGTCTGACAGGTTAGAGTTGTTGTTGCTCTCGACGTAGAGTGTTCTGCTTGCGTACTTACAGTGACTTTTTCTTCGTCGCGCATGCCCCACACAACTGAAAGTTTGCATCAAGCACACATCGCATCGCTCCGGCTCGCGCAGGCGACGTTGTGCAGTTGCGTGCGTGCTTTGGACAAGTTTGGTTGCTGTTCTGCATCGTCTGGCTCAGTTCCCTCGGACATCAAGGTGTTGCAAATCACGCGCCCGCGCCGGCGCGCAGGCATTCTCACAGACCCTGCATCAGCCTCCACGACAGCCTCAAGCAAGAAGTCAATCGGATGGGTTGTTTATGTTTGTTTCAATGACGCTTTTGCAAGCCCTGTGACAGCACAAATCCCATGGTCGGCTCACGCAAGTGGCGCGGTGCACTCGTGTTTGCCCTTTGGTGGGCAAGTGTGGTGGCATGCTTTGCGCCGCTGCGTTCAGTGAAGCTGCGCAGTCTTCCTCCTCGGGTTGACATGGGCGAAGCAAACATTTTTTGGGCAGCCGTGCAGAAAGCAGTGTCTGGGAATGAGGACGCGGAGACGTACCTTCAAAAGATTGTTCACCAGGCAAAGGCCCACATGGCGTCCGACAGACCCGTGGACAGAGATGGCGCAATAGAAGCCTTGATAGAGGCAATAAGCGAGAACGGATTGCTGACCCTAGTTTTGGGCGGCAAGAATTTGGGCAAGACCTTGCTCAAAAATGAGGCAATCCAGAGATGTGCAGACAGGAAAGACACGATCAACGTGCTCTCCGTCGACATGCGAGATGCCAGCCTAGCTGGCCGACCTTTGATGGCAGCACTTGACTTGCAGCGTCAAAAATCTCTAAAATGGACAACTCGGGCAGTGCAAGGCTTGCGTGCTGTGATCGCGCAAGTTGTCAACAAAGCTATAGCTACGGGAGCCGGTGAAGCTGCCAAGGGTGTCTTGGACGTGGTAACGCAAGAAAAGCAAATCAAGATCGATAATTTTATCACCAAGACCGTGAGGAGTGGTAGAATCCCCAGCATTGTGGTGGACGAGGCGAATTTGGCGCTACCTGGAATAAATGGAGAAGCGAATACGGCGGCCAAGACAGCCCTGGCGACCATCACAAAATGGACCAAGCAGACTAAGCAAGCCAATTTCATGCTGATCTCGTCAGAGTTTGGCTACCCGTTTCGTTTGATGGAATGTTCGTTGGACTTGAGAACCATCGGCAAGGTGATCGTCATCGGCGAAGTGCCGAAGGATGACATGCTGCAGATGCTGACAGGTGATTGGGGAATGGATAACGGCTTGGCCCAGGTGTTCTACGACTATTTTGGGGGTGACATCTTCACCACCAAGCTGGCCTTAGACAATCTCATCCAAAGAAAAGATAAGTTCAACCCCTATGCAGTTGTGGATTGCCCCGGCCTGCCTTCATGTGTGGAAGACCCGGAGGCAAGGGCTCACCTGGAGAACGTCGCCAAGGATGGCTTCTCCTTTGTCAAAAATGTGGAGACGGACGCTGGCGCGAGGTTGATTGCAGAGAAGAATGTCGGAGGGGTGATTCGCAACGGTGCCGTCACCTTCGGATTGCCCGACATCTTCAAGGGCACCGACTACGAATGAGCTATCATCCCATCATCCTATCACATGAAATGGAAAGTCGCTCGTGCACTCGAGAACATCCCCTTACCAACACCAGGCCTGCCAGTGCTGGTCAGAAGCAGTTTCACAGAGTATTTGTTGAACGTATTTTGATCGCGCTCCATCTTTGTGTGAACTCGAAGTTTGATCAGATGCTGTGCTTCTTGGCTTGAATGCTGTCAGGCATACCTGAAGGAAGTGCTGACCTCAAGCCGAACTTCGCTCATCCTGTCTGAACTGATTGCAATAGGACGATGACAAAGATTGAGGTTTTGAGTGCGCATGTCTTGTAGGCAACAAGTACTGAGCTTTCATTTTCCAGCGAGCCCTTGCTGAGCACTGCTTGAGGCTATCAAGAAGAAGAAGAAGAAGCCAAATCGAGTGACGTGCGATGCAGATGAAATTGTCATTCACAGCCTGGAGGAGAGCTTTTCATGTCAATCCCACTCTCCTCCCTGTGCCGCGTCTCAGCGTGACTCTCTCTGGACAAGGACTGGATGAAGGAAGACGAAGAAGCAGAAGTAAATCGCGGCACATCCAAGCCCAGCACCTGGTTTCGATGACTTTTCAGCTTTGGGGCTTTGCCACCGCCCCGCTCGCAGGGCAGATTGCTATGGGTTCACGCTGCCACCAGCGGACGATGCTTGAGTTGCGCGTGTGCCTCAGCAGCGCCGGAGTTTGAGCGCTGCGAACTTGCATCCGTCCTTGTTGTGTGAGCTTCTCGGCTGAGGTAGCAACAGCATCACTGACGCTTTGTTGGCGCTGCGGCTTTGCTTGACTTCCAGGATTAGCAGACAGCAGTTCAACGCTCACATTCTTTGAGCAGGCTACGGCGTTCAAGCTTTCAAGTCAAGCGGGGCGTGCAACGGGTACAGGACCGGCGACACAGATGCCAGTGCTGGTCAGAAGCAGTTTCGCAGAGGCGCTCTTCGTCGTGCTTAAGTGCATAGACGCGATCAATCCATTTGAAGAAATCTGGGGGAAGAGCGCTTGCATTGCTTTGCTCCGCCAGTACTTCAACTTTGAGTCTTACTTGTTAGCATGATTTTTCTGGCTGAATCGTGAATGAAATCGGAGAATCCGTGCTCGCAGCTGTGCGGGCTCTGGGTTTCACTCATCAACCTTGCGACGTGCAGCAGAAATGCAAATGACATGATGGGGGGCAGTGTTGTCGTGAAAGGGTACCGGTGAAGGCGGCAGGAGAAATCCTTTGGAATCGACATCACATTTGCTGAGGACAACTCTGCTGCTGGTCTTCTCTGGGCAGCCGTTGAGCGGCTTGTGGCACAGGGCATACAGCATACAGGGCTGGTTGTAGCAAGTGTAGCAACACCTGGCACATTGGCAGTTTGACAGTGGCATGTTGCGGTATCTGCTGCATCGTGCTTCATCGTTTGCGAGGACGGGCCTCCGTAGTTGGATTGAGGCTGCCAAGGATTTTCATGGCCTGCCCAACACTCAGGCGAGACGCGTTGGGACATGGGACCGGGCCTGCTTGAAGCCGTTGCAGAGCCTTTAAAGATGATCGATTTCAAATACGGCTGCCTTCGGGGGATGTTGCCCTTCCGGAGTGGATTTAGCCCAGTTGCTGGCAGAGAATCTATACTATACGGGTCAGGGGTGCTGTTCATGATCTTACTTGTTGCTTTGTCTGTGGGTATACAATGATATACAATGGTATCCATCACAACTGGGCCCAGCAGCGTGGTCCTGGGGTTTGGAAGAACATGGAAGAGTGTGTGCGGGTTTCGAGCACCGCTTTCCAAAAGAACTGCAACAGGGATGCTTTTCAATTTTGGCAACTTCTTGTCGCAATTGAGCCGCGTTCTTTTAAGCGCTCGAGTGAAATTACTTTGCAGCCGACATTATGATTTTTCCGCCGAAGGGTGTGAAGAGGTAAGCACGATTGCGCGGAAGGGTCTGCGGAAGGGTCTGCGGAAGGCTTGCAGAAGTGTTTTACTGTGAACAAAATTTAAATTTAAACTATCACCATCTATACTCCCAGGTACTTCGGGATTGTATTGCTCACGCCCAACACGCTAGCAACCATAAGAACTGCACCCCATCGCTCCCACAAGCCGTTTCGGGGTGCGGAACTCCGCGGAGGGCCGCGGAAGGGTCACGGAAGCTCCGCGGAAGGCGACAAAGTCCAAACCCTGAATCCGAAAACCTAGGGGGTTGGGGGGTGTGTGAGCGTACCTGGACAACATATATACTCAAGTTACTGGTTTATGTTTATGGCCCGGAGTACCCCGTGGAAGGGTCCGTGGAAAAGTTACAATGTCCAATCGACTCATGCTTGAGAAAAGAACACGGCTTAATTCTTTGTGCTTGTGGCAGAGTCCGCGCAGGTTCTGAAGCTGCACTGCGAGGAGGGTTGGTTCAGTCGCAGAACTCATCAGCTGACAAAGTTCCAGCTGCGACGGCAGGCCGAACTTTCCAACCAGTCCCTTTCCACAAGCTTCTAGCAGAAGAGTCAGAAGCCACGATTATCCGCGACAGGTTGATGAAAGTGAACTTTGGACTACTTTCGTCTATCGCGGTAAGTGGAAGTGGGAATACGCGTGATGCTGAGACCCGTCATCAGCCGAAATTCAGTGAGAAGCTGAAGCTGCCGCTGAGAATTCGACCAGCAGTGTCTAAAGGAGCGGGCTCTGCACCTGTACAACAAGGAGTTGCCGGTGGTGCTATTGCTCGGACCACAGTGTTTGTTCCCACGACCACATGAGAGACTCTGTGCGTTAGGCTGGATGCCGTGGGATACGTGAGATGGCATGCCGGTGCCTCAGCACCGGCAGCAAGGTCCAGAGAATATCAATATGTGTGTGTATCTGTATATATATATATATGCATACGTGCAAATAAATAAATAAATATATATATATATATATATATATATATATATATATGGGCGGACGTCAAAATACCATGTATGTAAAATATGATGGAAGTGCGATATGAAGTTCCGCTCTTGCTGGTTTATGTCTTCGCCACAAGGCGGCACCCCATGCGTATATGCAGGTTTCAGGCTCTTCCCCATGTAGGCGCTAGGATAGCGCTAGCGTGGCGCTAGTGTTCCTTTCCAAAGGCTAACATTTTAGGGTTTAGTGTGTAGGGCCTCGGGTTTAGAGCGATCCAGCTTCGGGAAGCTTAAGTAGTATAGGCGGCCTGCGGCTTAGGTAAGACTGTGGAACACTGGGTTACACACCCTGGACCCTGCACCCTAAACCCTGTGGTTGCTCCTGATGCATACTGCCGGCGTGCCAAAATTCTAAAGTCATGCGGCGAAATATGCGCTGGGTTGTCGCTAGCATCGCGCTAGCAAATATGAAGGGAAACTGCTTGCGGTGGCCACTTGCCCATCCAAGACATAAAGCAGTACTAAGACAGCTGATTTGAAACATGGCCAACCTGGAAGAGCAAAGCACTACTAGCCTACTAGCTAGAGCTCAAGTAGCTCCAGTAGTTCCGAAGACGATGCCTGAGTCTTAAAATGACGGCGCTAGTGTGTTTTGCGAGGTTTTTGCATCGGGAACAAGAATTAGTACTACACTTCTGTACTTGCCAAAGCCATCGTTCAAGACCTTCGTTTTCCTCCTCGTCATAAGGCGGCGCCATGATTTTTTCAGCATCCGCCGTTCCTGGAAGAAGGAATATTGACAGCCACCCATATATATGTAAACAAATAAACAAATAAATCCATACATATATTTTAAGGGGCTGCGCCCATGGGCGGGCAGCGCAGGCAGAAGCGCGGGGCGAAGGGAATGTTTGGGCATGCATTGGAGCCCATTGTTTGGGCATGCATTGGAGCCCATAGGAGGCAAAGATGTGGGGGGTGAGGGGAGCGGGGAAGGTGGGGAAGGTGAGGGGGTGGGGGGGGCGGGGAGGGTTTGGGCATGCATTGGAGCCCATAGAATACGCATTGGAGCCCATAGAATTCTTCATGCGTTTGGGCATAGGGGGGGCAAAGATCTGGGGGGCAAAGTGGGGAAGGTGGGGGGAGCGGAACTGGAGGGAATGGCAGGGGCCAAGCATTGGAGCGCACAGAACACTTCAGGCGTTTGGGCAGAGGAGGCAAAGATGTGGGGGGTGAGGGGAGCGGGGAGGGTGGGGAAGGTGAGGGGGGTGGGGGGGGCGGGGAGGGCTTGGGCATTCATTGGAGGTCAGAGAATACTTCAGGCAGAGGGGGCAAAGGTCTAACGCAACTTGAAGGAATGGGGGGGGGGGGGGGGCAGGGGCAGGAAGGGTTTGGGAAGGGTGGGGGGGGGGGGGGTGGCGGGGGGGGGGCAGGAAGGGTTTGGGCATGCATTGGAGCCCATAGAATTATTCATGCGTTTGGGCATAGGGGGGGCAAAGATCTGGGGAGCAAAGATGTGGGGTGAGGGGAGCGCGGAAAGTGGGGAAGGTGGGGGGAGCGGAACTTGAGGGAATGGCAGGGGCGGAGAAGGGAATGTTTGGGCATGCATTGGATGCATTGGAGATGGGAGCGGGGAGGGTGGGCAGGGTGAGGGGGGTGGGGGGGGCGGTTTGGGCATGCGTTGGAGCCCATAGAATAGGGGGCAAAGATCTAACGCAACATGAAGGATATGGGGGGAAGTAGGGGGGGGGGGGGGGGGGCAGGAAGGAGGGAATGGCAGGGGCGGAGAAGGGAATATGCATTGGAGCCCATTGTTTGGGCATGCGTTGGAGCCCATAGGAGGCAAAGATGTGGGGGGTGAGGGGAGCGGGGAGGGTGGGGAGGGTGAGGGGGGTGGGGAGGGTTTGGACATGCGTTGGAGCCCATAGAATACTTCAGGCAGAGGGGGCAAAGATCTGACGCAACAGGGGAGGGTTTGGGCATGCATTGGAGCCCATAGAATTATTCATGCGTTTGGGCATAGGGGGGGCGATCTGGGGGGCAAAGATGTGGGGGAGCGCGGAAAGTGGGGAAGGTGGGGGGAGCGGAACCTGAGGGAATGGCAGGGGCGGAGCATTGGAGCGCACAGAACACTTCAGGCGTTTGGGCAGAGGGGGAGCACGTGGGTGAGGAAAGCGAGGTGGCAAAGATGTGGGGGGTGAGGGGAGCGGGGAAGGTGGGGGAAGGTGAGGGTGGGGGGGGGGCGGGGAGGGTTTGGGCATGCGTTGGAGCCCATAGACTTCAGGCAGAGGGGGCAAAGATCTAACGCAACATGAAGGAATGGGGGTGGGGGAGGGGGGGGGGGGGAGGGGGGGGGGGGGGGGGGGGGGGAGTGGGGGGAGGGAGGGGGGGGGGGGGGGGGGGGGCAGGGGTTTGGGTATGCATTGGAGCCCATAGAATTACTCATGCGTTGGGGGGGGCAAAGATGTGGGGTGAGGGGCGGAAAGTGGGGAAGGTGGGGGGAGCGGAACTGGCAGGGGCGGAATGTTTGGGCATGCGTTGGAGCCCATTGTTTGGGCACGCGTTGGAGCCCATAGGAGGCAAAGATGTGGGGGGTGAGGGATGCATTGGAGCCCATTGTTTGGGCATGCATTGGAGGCAAAGATGTGGGGGGTGAGGGGAGCGGGGAGGGTGGGGAGGGTGAGGGGGGTGGGGGTTGCGGGGAGGGTTTGGGCATGCATTGGAGCCCATAGAATACTTGAGGCAGAGGGGGCAAAGATCTAACGCAACATGAAGGAATGGTGGGAAGGGGTAGGGGGGGGGCAGGGAGGGTTTGGGCATGCGTTGGAGCCCATAGAATTTGTTCATGCGTTTGGGCATAGGGGGGGCAAAGATCTGGGGGGCAAAGATGTGGGGTGAGGGGAGCGCGGAAAGTGGGGAAGGTGGGGGGAGCGGAACTTGAGGGAATGGCAGGGGCGGAGAAGGGAATGTTTGGGCATGCATTGGAGCCCATTGTTTGGGCATGCATTGGAGCCCAGAGTATGGGGAAGGCAGAGGGGGAGCACGGGGTGAGGGGAGCGAGAGGCAAAGATGTGGGGGGTGAGGGAAACGGGGAGGGTGGGGAGGGGGGGTGTGGGGGGGGCGGGGAGGGTTTGGGCATGCATTGGAGCCCATAGAATACTTCAGGCAGAAGGGGCGGCAAAGATCTAACGCAACTTGAAGGAATGGTGGGAAGGGTAGGGAGGGGGGGGTGAAGGGGCCAGGGAGGGTTTGGGCATGCATTGGAGCCCATAGAATTATTCATGCGTTTGGGCATAGGGCGGGGGGGGGGGGGGGGGGGGGGCAGGAAGGGTTTGGGCATGCATTGGAGCCCATAGAATTATTCATGCGTTTGGGCATAGGGGGGGCAAAGATCGGGGGGGCAAAGATGTGGGGTGAGGGGAGCGCGGAAAGTGGGGAAGGTGGGGGGAGCGGAACTTGAGGGAATGGCAGGGGCGGAGAAGGGAATGTTTGGGCATGCATTGGAGCCCATTGTTTGGGCATGCATTGGAGCCCATAGGAGGCAAAGATGTGGGGGGTGAGGGGAGCGGGGAGGGTGGGGAGGGTGAGGGGGGTGGGGGGGGCGGGGGGAGGGTTTGGGCATGCATTGGAGCCCATAGAATTATTCATGCGTTTGGGCATAGGGGGGGGGGGGCAGGAAGGGTTTGGGCATGCATTGGAGCCCATAGAATTATTCACGCGTTTGGGTATAGGGGGGGCAAAGATCTGGGGGGCAAAGATGTGGGGTGAGGGGAGCGCGGAAAGTGGGGAAGGGCATTGGAGCCCATAGAATTATTCATGCGTTTGGGCATAGGGGGGGGGGGCAGGAAGGGTTTGGGCATGCATTGGAGCCCATAGAATTATTCATGCGTTTGGGCATAGGGGGGGCAAAGATCTGGGGGGCAAAGATGTGGGGTGAGGGGAGCGCGGAAAGTGGGGAAGGTGGGGGGAGCGGAACTTGAGGGAATGGCAGGGGCGGAGAAGGGAATGTTTGGGCATGCATTGGAGCCCATTGTTTGGGCATGCGTTGGAGCCCATCGGAGGCAAAGATGTGGGGTGGGGGGTGAGGGGAGCGGGGAGGGTGGGGAGGGTGAGGGGGGTGGGGGGGGCGGGGAGGGTTTGGGCATGCATTGGAGCCCAGAGAATCAGGCAGAGGGGGCAAAGATCTAACGCAACATGAAGGAATGGTGGGAAGGGTAGGGGGGGGGGGGCAGGGAGGGTTTGGGCATGCATTGGAGCCCATAGAATTATTCATGCGTTTGGGCATAGGGGGGGCAAAGATCTGGGGGGCAAAGATGTGGGGTGAGGGGAGCGCGGAAAGTGGGGAAGGTGGGGGGAGCGGAACTTGAGGGAATGGCAGGGGCGGAGAAGGGAATGTTTGGGCATGCATTGGAGCCCATTGTTTGGGCATGCGTTGGAGCCCAGAGTATGGGGAAGGCAGAGGGGGAGCACGGGGTGAGGGGAGCGAGAAGCAAAGATGTGGGGGGTGAGGGAAACGGGGAGGGTGGGGAGGGTGGGGAGGGTGGGGGGGTGGGGGGGTGGGGGGGTGGGGGGGGCGGGGAGGGTTTGGGCATGCATTGGAGCATTAGAATACTTCAGGCAGAGGGGCGGCAAAGGGAATGGTGGGAAGGGTAGGGGGGGGTGAAGGGCCCAGGGAGGGTTTGGGCATGCATTGGAGCCCATAGAATTATTCATGCGTTTGGGCATAGGGCGGGGGGGGGGGGGGGGGCAGGAAGGTTTGGGCATGCCTTGGAGCCCATAGAAGATTCATGCGTTTGGGCATAGGGGGGGCAAAGATCGGGGGGGCAAGATGGGGGTGAGGGCGCGAAAGTGGGGAAGGGGGGGGAGCGGAACTTGAGGGAATGGCAGGGGCGGAGAGGAATGTTTGGGCATGCATTGGAGCCCATTGTGGGGCATGATTGGGATAGGAGCAAAAGATGTGGGGGGTGAGGGGAGGGGGAGGGGGGGGGAGGTGAGGTGGGTGGGGGGGG